CTACAGAGGATATGCCTGCCTTGCTAGGCGCCTACAGCAAAAAGGCGCTGCATCTGCCTGCAGTCCTCTACTGCTAGACAGATTGGATTTGTGTACACAAATCCCGCATCACAGATTTCCGTTTTGATAAGGGGAGGAGGGATTTATTTTCACTTTGATAAGTTGTTGTGCGCGCTTTGCCCGTTGCTGCCAACCGTGACTGGTAGGAAGTCCTGCTGCCGGCGAACCAGAAAGCTTTTGGTCACGTCCGTGCGCAGTTCCTCCACTTCTGCGTGCCGCTTTTGGAACGCTGCCCGGTTCTCACCAGCAGGCACATCTCTAACACTAAAGTGCGACATAACCTCGGCGTTCAGAAAAGCGTGCGCGTCCTCAACCTCATACAGGAAATCGTGCAGCGCGAAAAGAAGGGGCAGGTGCGTGATGCTTTTTTTAAAGTCCTGCACCTTTTTCTTGATCGACCGTCTAGAAGTTGTACCCACGTTCTTCGTGTCCTGTGCAAAAGTATCGTACTCGTATTGCAGTCATGCATTACAAATCTCCGTCTTAATGTAAATCTGCATCACAAATTTTATTTCTGTTGCTGAGGAAATTTGTAATGCATTTATACGAGTACGATACTTTTGCACAGCATACTTCGCGAGCAACGGAGTAGGTGCGCCGTCACCGCTCGCGCCACCAGAATTAGGCGGAGTGGTGGTTCTGCCCGTTGCGCGGGCGGACGATTGCGGGTCGTCTTCATCCGCCTCGTCGTCACCCTCCGAGAAAGATTCACCTTGAAGTCCGTCCTCGAAGTTCCATATCCTGTGCAAAGGTTTCGTACTCGTATGAATGCAATTCTTGCATTACAAATCTTTTGCACTTGCTTAAGGTAAATCCGCATTACAAATTTTATTTCTCACACTGAGGAAATTTGTGATGCATTTATACGAGTACGATACTTTTGCAGTTCATATTCCAGTCCTCGTCTTCAGCATTCTGCTGTTCTTGAGCTACGCCATCGTTGTAGCAGCCATACTATCCTGCGCAAAAGTAATATTGCGCTCGTAGGAATCGCAATCGTGCATTACAAATCTCCATCCCAAGGTAAAACAGCATGACAAATTCCATGGGTCATGCTGAGCTAATTTGTATTGGTGCGCTTCCTACTAGAAGTACGATACTTTTGCAGCAGTTCATACATACACAAGATCGCGTTCGCGGACACCCTCGGGAAACGTCTCCCTGAAAAATGCCGCGAAGTTGGCTTGCAAGGACTTTTCCAACTCCAACAATTCGCTCACCAGCTCTCCTTGCTCTTTCAGCGTCGTCGCTGGGTGGCGGTTATGCATTGCAAATATGTAGTCTGGGATGTCTGGAAACTTGTGATGCTAATTTACATGCGTCACAAGAAACTGATACTGAGTCCAATACCCAGCCAGGCATAAGAAATTTCTCAGCGATTATTCCGTGCGTAACCCGAATGAGAAGTCGCGTTTTGGCATGACAGAAGGTTGGCGCTATTTCACAACACGAATTTTTACAGGTAGTTGCAGGGGTAAATATAGTACGAGTTCATGAATACAAATCGAAATCTCGCAATTTCTATTTTCTAGACCCAATCAAATATTTGCAGTGGATAGCGGTCGGGCTGCGCAATACCAGCGCCACCTGCAGCTCCGGCCGGATTATCTTCCGCATCGTGCGGCAGCCCATCTTGATGACCACTACCCTCGGCAGATGAACTACTAGTTAACAGGCGCAACAAATTCTTCCCGGTGCTGATTTTTTCGTAGTAGGCACAGAAAATCGCGCTCTTGCGTTGCAAGATCTTCACCGCATTGGCTTTCGGCAGGGGTTTCTTCTGCTGCAGGTCCGTCCGCGTGTCTTGCAGCCAGGCCCGCGTGACCTCGCCGTTCTGCGACGCGAGCGGCAACAGTTTCTCGACAATCAACTCGCGCAGCTTCCGCGTGCCCCACCGGTGCGTCTTGTGCAAAAAGTCTTTTTCCGACAACGCCGGGGCCGCCGGCTGGGAACCGCTGGCCGCCGCAGCCGCCACTGTGAGGACGTTTGGAAAAATGTTGAACTGCGGTGTGATTTCTGAAAACGGATCGAAGGTCGGGGTCCCTGGCTGCAAACCACCTCCCAGGTCAACAAACGCCCCTTGAATCAGGCTAAATACAACTAGAGCGCCTGCCACCAGCACCACTGTCGCCGCAGCGACAGGGATTTTGGGTTTTCCCTTCAATTTTGTCATGACGTGCTTCTGTTCCGGTGTTGCTTTGAAAACCGGATGTAACAAATTTTTTGAATAGCGAGCTCCAGGGTGGGAGTTTTGACAGTGATATAGGTTTTATTTACGAATGCGAATGGTCGTGGAAGTTACTTACGGTCTCCTTCCAGCGCAAGTGTAATTTGATAGAGTATTTGATGTTCGGATTTTTTACCTCCTCAGGAATAAAGACCACAGCCTGAGAATGTGAATGCCTGCGTGATAAAATGGTTTATAAAAATGGTGATAGACTACATAGACGGTTTTACAATAAAATAGATAAAATGGATTTGGATTTGCTCTACGGCATAGTAGTAAGTTTGTGATTTAAATGAGTTTTCGTGTTCTGGACAATTTATCGCAATCAAATAGTGCGTAAAAACTGATAGTCGTAAAAGTATTGTGTGTATTTGGACAGAAAAATATTTATTTGTCAACGCAGTTGAGTTTCATCAAACTCTCGATACAATCAGAGACCAGGTCTGGTATATCATTACCCTTGATTTTTTTGCGAGTCTTTCTTGGGGGGGCGCGATCCCAACTTTTTGCTATGCGTTCCTATGACGTGAGGGGTCTGACAAGAATCGACTTCTCTATTTTTTCGCGACGACTTGGCGAGTCGAAGCAATTACAGACTGCAAGAATGTTTTGTGTTCTTATGCTGTGTATTATCCTGAGTAAAAGCGTACCCACGCCAGAGTTGTAATGCAGATTTGCAAAGACAGGAAGACTTGTAATGCGCATCCCCATGAGAGCCATTTCCAATCGTATTTTGGAATTTGTAATGCTGTGAACAGGATGAGCAGATGAATCTGTGATGCGGCTGCACTTGCTCACCTGCACCACACTGCATAGTGCAACTTGTCATGCGTGACTCACAAAACTCCTAGGTTTGTGTTGCAAAATCCCCATCCTGACTCTGGTGTGGGTACGTTTTTACTCAGGATATATATTCTTCCACCACTCAATGTTTTTAGTACTGGTAATTTTGGGTCACTTCTATGAATGTAGCTAGTTTAGCTTCTTGTCGTCGACTTTTTTCTAAATGTAGTGCGTAAAGAAGCTTCTGCTTAAAGTGTATGATCAACAAGTAGAAATTATGGTAGCAGAAACGGCGTTTTGCATACCGGTCTTATTTTCTGAGGAAGAAATTTTCGTATTAATAATTTTTTCCTCCGGCTCACTCCACTAGTATTTTTCTTCTAAGGGAAGAAACTTTGGCGGAAGTTGTGTAGAGGGTGCTCTTACGATTTGAGTTTTTCTTTACAAAGTGCACTCAAAAGTAGCAACTACAAGCTTCCTCGGGAAAAACAAAAATGGCTTCACTAACCAGTGACGGCATCTATTATCGTCCCCAACCTCCTTCTGGCCAAAGAAGGAATGATATTGTAGAAGAGTTTTATCGTATACGGGCTTCCTAAAGAAGGTGTGAGCTGCGGCTTGACCACAGATGGTGGAGAGGTGGTCTTTACTAGTGTCTCAGGTGGTATTTGTTTGTGTGGAGTATTTACAATCCAGAATCTTACAATTTTATGGCTTTCGTCATGTGACAAGCGTAGCGGCGTACTTTATATGTAGTGGCTTGACAGTAGAAGGAAAAGTTTTGTATGAAAACTGTTGCGAAATAAACGAGTTTTACCAAACTGAGTTTACTTACAGCAGCGTGAAAGCAATCAATTTTATTGCCTCTGTCGTGATTTTGAGAAAATTTTTTGGGGGGATAACAACGGGTACACGACGGGAAAAGCCACCCACGGCTTATGTCATGCCAAATAGCATGGCTGTTCGTTGTTCTTGTGTTCGTCTGAGCGTTGTTTCTACATAGAAACAAGCGCATGACAAATTCGAAATAATTGCTCGAGCTTGGGTACTACGTACCGGTAGTACTTTTTTAGGCCTAATAGATCCTGTGCTTTCTTTACGTCCCTTCAAAGTACAAGTAGAGACCGTGGAGGCACCTGCCGCCCGTTCGGAAAAATATATCGACTACTACGAGATCTTTCCTTCAACTGAACCTCCTTATGTATGATCATCGACGGCCCCTAGTGTGCAAGTGCGGCTGGGTTGTACTAACTAGTAGATCAGTGGACAATAGTACCGTTGGCACAATGCTTATTTTGCCAGAGAAGTACTGCATCAAATAAATGGTTGCGAACAAGAACCAAGTTCTCGAGAAGGACCAGCATGAGATAGCAAGAACTACAAAGCTAGATCACCGGCTGCTTTACATCAAGACAGCGTGGTCGTGACTATCTGTAGCAAAGATCTGTTCCACTGCCACGATACAACTCAGAAGAAACATCCACCCACATCCATATAATCGCCCCGGGACACATTGCGTAGATCCTGAGTTGCCGCACTAGTTCTTCCGAAAGCTACATACTGAACAGAAGATCAAGATCCGGAGGACCACATCAAAGGAGGGAAATACTAGACATTGATCTCTTCATGTTTGAGGGATCCTTTAGGACGGGGCTATCTCAGGTTTTGTGCGAGAAGGTAAAGTAGATCTTCGTTCATCCTGTCGCTTCTATTCTTGTTGAATACGACCACGAGATCAAGAACCACGTCGGGAAAATGTATAGCATGACTGATATGACTCGTCGCGTGTCTCGTGAGTACCAGAAAAGTCAAATTTCTGCTATTGCTACAAAGAGTTCTTCTACTGCTCTTCATTTTGGATCAGAATCCTCTTTAGGATCAGTTGTTCCGACCAGCCAAGGATAACACGAATTTCGAGCGCCTTGTCCACCGAGACCGACCTTTCCGCCCACCACCTACAATCACGAACAGACGCAGTGCCAAATTGACGAGCACCTTGCCTTGGTCTCCACTTCAACAGAAATTTTTTCAAACAACAACAAGCGCCGCGCCGGCATGCAGAAGATTTGCATGACAAATATTTTTCAAACGTAGTCGGGGTAGGTACGCGTTGTCACAGGGTACCGAACCAGCGTCCTTTTTTTGTTGTGCGGCGATTTCGACCAGCGAGATGTTACTTGTGGCAAGGAGGACCTACTGAGACCGCTCCCACATCTCCGGTCATTTTCACCAAGACCGGCTGCTTCTCCTTCAAACTCGTTTTTCCCCCCCAACTCATTCACCACTTCGTTCCACAACTTTATCTGCTCGCCATCCCTGGCGTATGAGAGTGCACAACTCCCCCTCCCCCTCATTTGCAGGGCATAAGCAGCAACACAAGTTCTGCCATAAGTGCACGTTTTGCATGACAAATTCGCTACCGATTCTAGGGTTGTGGCGGGGTCCGGAACCTGTCATGCAAGCAGTGCCAAGGGAGAATGGGTCGATTTGGTATTTCGCATGACAAATGAGGGGGAGCAAGTGGAGTTCTGCACTCTCATATGGCAGAAAACAGCAAGCAAACGTGAATCACTTTGTTCTCGTCCGACCCAACCGCGTCGAGAAATTCATCGATCAAGTCATCTTTTTCCAGGTCGCCACTAGGGACAGCGAGCGGCTTGTCGTGATCTTCTCTCTGCTCAATACCATCCTCGCAGGACGAGGCCCTTGCCCTACCAGTTGCTTTCTCCCTTCGCGCCTCGGCCACGATGTCGCGGAAGACCGCTGCCACGTGTCGTTTCTGCGCGATCTTCTCGCGTGAAGAGCTGCAGAAGGTGTTCTCCCTCACCACGCACGCGTCTCGCAAAACGTCTAATAAACGCGACTCTCTGCTACTGCTGCAAGCTCGTCCCGAGCTAGAAGAACTACAAGAGGCTCTACTACGAGCACCTGTGGAAACCAGCGAGATTTTCTGGAAACTCCGAGTCAGGCCGTCCATGGAAGCGTGGAAAGCTTCTTCATTCTGATGTCCGTCATGACCATCTTCCTGCTCGTCCATCTTTGCAGCTCCCGGTTCTTGTATCATGTCGCCAGGTGGAGATGAGCCTTCCTCAGGTTTGATTCGCGCACGAGCCTGTTCTGCTTCCCCCGCCTCCCCTGCTTGCGACCGCGGCTCCGCAACCAAGGTCTCCAGTTCCAGCAACAACGCCGTGTCTTCGAACCATCTGCTCTCCCGTTCCGTATGCAGTGCAAAAGCATCGTACTAGTAGAAGTAATTGCGATTACAACTAATTAGCTCACAGCATTACAAATTGAATCAAATTCAATTTCAATGGAAATTGAATCTTTCTCAATAGAAATCAGCATTACAAAAACAAATTGTAATGCTGATTTCTATTGAGAAAGAAATTTGTCATGCATAAGTGCGATTAGTTTTTGATTTTGTACGAGTACGATAGTTTTCCAAAGGATATTCCGCCCGACAGAGTAGCTCCTTCACGGCGGTCAAACGTGTGTCCCGCTCGGTCAAAACACCCCTGCACTCGATACACACTAAACAGGGGACACAGATTTTTGTTGAAAACAACGCTTCCTGCGGAGTTTTTTTTATCCCACGAAAAAACTGCTTCACTGTGATGGTTTTGCAAGATCCGCATCACAAGTTTGCTACACATGACACAGAAAATTAGCCATGCGTGCTTCCCAAGAGAAAACACGCTTAAAAATCCAAAGCCTTGCAGGTGTAGCAAGACAAATAGTTCTGTGTATACACTCTGTGCATCACAGCTTCACATTGAAACGCTTTTTTCTTGCGATATTTTTCCGCCCGAGTTTGCCCGTGATTTTTTGCCGCTCGTCGCGAATTTTTTATCCTGTGCAAAAGTATCGTACTCGTAGTAATCGCAACCATGAATTACAAGTCTCCTTCGCAACCTCAATCCGCATGGCAATTTCCGTTTTTCATGCTGAGGGAATTTGTCATGCGATTTCTACTAGTACGATGCTTTTGCATTTCATATTTTTCCACAGACAGCGACCAGCGCGCGGTGCTGCTTTTTCGGATCTAAGGATGAAGAAACGATTTCCCGCATCAAACGGAAAAATCCCCCCGCCCCATACTCAAACTTCTAGAAATTTGTGATGCAGATTTGTGGGCACAAATCAGCTTTGTCATGCTAGAAGGGAAAGGATGCGGACTGTAGTGCTGGTTGGCGTGGGAAAACCTTGCATCTTGAGAATGACAGGGGGAAGCTGGAAGTGGGAAACAGCATGACAAATTGCCTGCAAACGAGCGCACAGCTGCGTCTCTTGGCCTTCTAGCATTACAAGTCGATTTGTGTACTCAAATACAGCATCACAAATTTCCGGTTTGATATGGGGAGGGGGGATCTTTCCTTACGATATCCCGCTCCAAAGCGCTGCGCCCGAGTTCCCGGAGGTTGTTGAGCTGGAGACACTGCAAGGTCTCCGACAAATCCAGGACAAACCGGGTGAAAATGTCGCGCCGAATGTAGTGCTCTGGCAGCCTTCTTTCTCCCACGGCTTGCAATTCCAGGTCGGCGAAGGTGGTGCCATTTTCATAGTTTGCGGCAAAGTCGAAGGCCTGGAAACCGGTGCGGAGTATCAAGGTAGAAAACTACGAACAGTTGTCCAGGTTCCTCGCGTTCTTGTTCTTAAGCTTTGCACGAAGATATGTGGTCGCTCGCTGTTTCAGTTTCCAAATCTAAGTTCATTTTGCAAAACCAAAACTGCTATTACGTCCACCACTCGTGCTCATATCGTTACAAAAGTGGAAAATGGAAATATGATCGGAAGTTCTGTAGTTTTCACCCTCCTATCGAATGTGACATACATGCTCTGGCCTTCCGTGTAGCTCTCCGACTCTTTTCCCCGCCCGCAGACCTTGAGTGCGAGAGCGCAGCGGCTTTGCAGCGACAAGTCGCCCTGATCCTGACTGCCATCTCGGAAGATCTGCGCGACGCACTTCTCTCCCCTGGAAAGCCCGTATTTGAAAAGCTCGTCCGTGCTGAGAAAATCTGACAGAAAAACACGGTCCTGCAACAGCCGGGGCAGCGAAGATGATGATGAATTAGTATTATAGGGAGCTATGCAATGCAAAGGCATCGTACTAGTATAAACTGCATGACAAATTAGCCCAGCATTACATATTTGATTTGTAATGCTGATTTACCTTGAAAAAGAAATTTGTGATGCATCAATGCAATTACTACGAGTGCGATACTTTTGCACAGGATAGGAGCAGCTCCAGCACCAACGTGACGGCTACGTGATGTTCCCGTCGTGGTGCTGCTAGCATCGGGTTTATCAAGTGCAAAAGTGTCTGGGTCTGGAAGAATGCAAGTTTGTCATGCTTGTTTCACATGACTGTTGAATTTCTCATGCCCATTTAATGTCATGCAGAAACGCAGTTTGTCATGCAGGATACGCAACACCTAGATCTAGAAGCTCAGAAACTTGTCATGCTGCGCCAGCACTTGTGGCCTCCTCATGGTACGCCACCCAGCATCACAAGTTTCCAGACCCAGACATATTTGCAATGCATAGGGTTTAATTTTCCAGAAAAACTCGTGAAACACTTCCGCACAGAAGTTTCTTCTTTCCTCCCGCCTCCCTAAAAAGGAGGCAGTGCCGTGTTTTCGTTCGTCCCCTGGCTCCATTGACTCAGATAGAAACTCCTTCGTCAGCAGCTCCTTCCTAATCTCCTGTTCCTGCTCCAGTTGTATTTGCTCCTTGAGTTTATGTACTGCAGCTGTGGACGAGATTTTTTTACTTACAAGACCATCTGGACGAGGAGGCGAAGGACTTGATTTCATACTCGACGAAGGCGGTGCGCGTGCGCTGCCTTGCTGTGTAAAAACAGTTGAAGACGGTGGACCACGGGTAGAAGTAGTACGTGCGAGACCTGCCTCCGTCTCCTCCATCACGGCTTGCAGGCGATCCTATGCGAGTGCACAACTCCCCCTCGTTCTCATTTCTCATGCAAAATCTCAACTCCATCTCCAATTGCTCCGCTACCCTGCGTCACTATTATGCATGACAGATTCCGGAAGCCCAAAGCAAAACATAAACAATAGATACCACACGACTGGGCGCATGAAGAATTTGCCATGCACTGGCTCCACGTGTCTTGGTGTTTGTATTGCTGTTGATGCAATACAAATGAGGTGGGGGAGGGTGAGTTGTGCACTCTCATAGATCCACGCGAATGCGCTCTTCTACCCGGGGATCGATAGCAAGTCGGAGAAAGGTATGCATTCGCATATCGCACTCGTACTGATCGCATTTATGCATTACAAATTTCTTTGTCAAGTTAAATCCGCATTACAAATTCCAAGTCTAATGCTGAGGAAATTTGTCATGCGATTTACACTTACTAACTAGTGCGATACTTTTGCAGAGCATAAAAGGTCATGAGAGTCCGGTGGAAAAGATGCCGCAACGCCTCGTGATGTACGCGAACGCTTGGTTCCGGCGCTCTGCCAGCCTGTTCCAACATGATCTTCAATCCGGGACGATAAAATCGATTGTGCAACATCCATGTAGTCGGGTTGCCATCAGCATCAATAAATGCGCAGCTACCTGGCAGTTGCGAACTTTGCTGCTGCAATGTTGTGAGGAAAACTTCCCCTGCTCCCCACGCTCAAACAAGGATGATGTGTGATGCGCAGGTTGTAGCTGAAAATTTCAAATGTTGATTTGTATGCAGCAGGAGAAGGCGCGGGATATTACCTATCGCATTTTTTTGCGGGCTATGCGGTAGAATTCTTATTGCTGTACTCGTCGCGCAGGCTTTTGATTCGCCCAAAGAGGCTTCGTTTCCTTGTCGCGATTTAATACAACACGGCTCTTGTACAACGGAATAAATGATGTTGGTACGCAAGTCGCAGTTACAGGTTGAGTATGGGGAGGGAGGTGGAGTTTCTACTTTGATATGCATAAGGGGTTTCATGCCGAAGGCCCCACGTGGTCCGACCAAGTACCACTCACAGATATCAATTGCAAACATGTCTGGGTTTGGAAAAGTTAAAATGCAAAATTGTCATGCGTCCTGTGTGCCAGTCAAACTCTGTACTACCAAAACCAGTTGCGAAGACGTTTCTACTAATGCGGGACAATGATCAGCACTGCGAAGACCTTGGGGAGGACAATCAACTGTGAAGTAGACGTTTCTACAAATAGCACTGTGAAGAGCTTGGGGAATCTGCGATGCTGGTGCTGCATTGCAGAAGCAGACGACCTCATGGGGCAATCCAAATCTGCAAGCAGTCTTCCAGACTCGTCAGGTACATTTGCAATAGATAGCAAAGCCGGCGAAACAACAGCTGCCCGGAGTTAAACTCTGGACTTCTTCCCCTTTCTGCAAGTATAGCTTCACCAGCAGGCGTCTTTTGAAAAAAATCCGCCCAGAGCCCGCGGTGTCTCTCGGGGTTCAATAAGGACGTCAATTTTGGCGCTCGTCCTGCCTCGGCAACTTCATCAAAGTGGGTAAAAAAGCTCGAAAGCCAGGCTTTGACCTGGGAAAAGAACTGCGACGACTGAACTTGGACGGAAGACAGTCTCTCAAACTCGGGCGTGTCGCGCTCCAGGGGTTGTTCTCGGAAAGAAAAATGTTGAGCCGCCCAAAGCAGGTCCTTTCCGAGATCAGTACCAGGCTGAAGGATCAGGGCGAAGCAAGCCAGCTCCTTCCCGTGGGTTGATTGGAGGAAAGCCACCAGTTGGTCTGCGACGGAAGTTGCAACTCCAGTAACGGAAAGCGGTGGCTTGTTTCTTCCTTTCCCTGTCGTTCCACTGCCACCAGCAGCAGACGATTTGGCATTGCTCCCTTGATGCTGTTGGGGAGAAGAAGTATCGTACTCACTCGAAGTCGAATACGAATTTCGAAAAGAATTATCAGTATCCTGCGAGATAACCACCCGTGGGAGTCCGCCGTGGTAGCGCCGGAACCCCGGAATACTTTTCGGACGATCTGTCGCGTCGTGCAAAAACGAGTAGTCAAGGAAATCATCAGGAAAGCTGTGCATTGTATCCTGTGCGGCATCATCAACGTTCCAGGAGGGCATCCATAAGGTGCCCGCGCCGTAGCGTACGTCTGACGAGAGACGCTGGTAGCAGACGCGAAGGTAGTCCTGCTTTTCCCTTGCAGCCGTCACCATGCAGTCTACTTGCAAAGCGTCGTGCAAAAAAAGCAGGCTGCTCAGGATAAACTCCCAGTCCAAACCTATCTCTGGTTCTGCCTCGACTCGTGGTCGTGGAGGTTGCTCTTGCTTCTGGAAGTAGTTCTTGTCAACCTTTTTCTGATCAAGCAACAACAGCCTTGGAAACAAGGCCTGCGCATTGCCTGCCAAAGCGTACAATTGGGCCAGCTGCGCGCGGAGTGCGAGTTTCGTGAGACCTGGGGGATGAATATCGCACTTTTCACGTCGGCATGCCTCCCTGTACGCTTCGCGTGCAGCCTCTTGCATGTCCACTGGTAGGTCCTTTATTGCCTCTTCGAAATCTTTTTCAGCTCGCAAGGCAAGGTCTTGTTGTGCCTCCTGTGCTTCTCTGAAAGCAGCTGCACTCAGCTTATTTCCGCGCTGGCCGGCCTCCTGCTCATGTTCTTTCTCCGCGGGAGATGATGATGATGCTGATGATGGCCCAGCTTGTGAAGACCCGCCTTCTACTGTTTCACGAGATAAGAAAGTGCTGCCACGCCGCTGCGGGTCGAGAGCGTGGCCTTCTGGTCCTGCACGCCCAACAAAATCAGCGAGGACACTCGGCTCCAAAGCGCGCAAAACTGCAGCTTCTTGCTCCGGGTTTATATCCTGCGCAAAACTTCTTCGACTGCAGTCGCTTAGAACTTTATTCGAAACTGCATACAGTACAATATATAAAATGCATTCCCGCCACTGTGGACGTAGTAGAAGCTATGCGAATTCAGCAGCAGCATGACAAGTAATTGCGCTTAATCATTTATTCCTCATATAGGAAGAGAAATTGTAATCATCATCGTACCATCCGTAGATGCAGTTTCTTGCTGATGCCTACTAGGTGCGGTCTATAATTCGGGGTTATTTGCAATTCATAGGAGAATCCCTTTGCCATCTCGATCAGAGCCTCTATTTCTCGTTCATCCGGCCAACTCCTTTGTTTCGCCGGTTCCGTAGGTTCTTTCGACGACGCTTCAACATCCGTAGTATTCAATGAAAAAGCCTTGCGCACGCTCTAATCGCAGTCATGCATGAAGACAGGTCTCTGGCGCTGATCTCTTCAGGGAAATCAGCAATGCAGAGACAAACTGCATTTTTCCTTCCGGAGAACATGAAAGCAAAAAATTGTATTGCGATCTTTATTTGGTGTCTGGAGTGCGATGCTTTTGCAAGGCGTAGATAGCCATCGACCCAACGGAGGTGGGCGGAAGGTCCTGCTTTTCGTTCTGCTTCTGCTCGTTCATCTTCTTCTTGGATTTCGTTTCCATGTGAGAGATCAGGATATGACAGTGCACAACCCCCCCTCGTCCCCCTCATTTGTACAGCATGGCCGGCTACACAAACTAACATCAGCAAGAATTATGCCGGTTTATTTGCATGACAAATTTACACTGGACAGTGTAGTTCTATTTGGGCCACCAGACCTTGTCGTACAAACAGTGCTAAGAGGCACAGTCTCAGTTTGGAATTTTCCACGACAAATGAGGCGGAAGGTGGAGTTGTGCACTCTCATACAGGAGGAGCCTCTCTGCCGCGCGTTCCACATCGCCGTTACTTTCCGCGAGGGCACGCGTGGCCTCGTCTCGCGGAAATCCCATGTCGCATAAAATTTCAAGTTCTCTTCCGTTGGCCTCTTGACGCCGCGGGGGTGGAGTACTAGAAACGGCGATATCACAGGACGTCGCTGGGAAGCGGGCAATTCGCGCACGGAGGTGCTGTACTTGCGTGGTTTCTGGCAGTTTGAGGTCTACCCCACTAATGTAAGCTTCAGTTCTAGACGAGTCGGTCTCTGCTATGACAGCAGGTGCAACAATATTATAGCGACCGCCCCTGCGCCTGCGCCGCTCCTCAAGTAGTCGCGTCAAAATACGTTCGTTCTGTGCGTCGTCTATTTCGTTTTCGTTCACGGCAAGCCACGTAACGACGTTGCAAGCGTCCATCTCGCAGTCGGTTTCCAGAAGAGCACGCTTGATTCTGTTTTGATTCCAATTCCATGTATACCCCATCTTAGTCAGTGCTTCCATGAATGCCCGCAGCTCTTTGTTCTTCTTTTCGTCGTCGTAGAACGCGCAATCATCTTCAGGCACCAGTTGATGTTCTTGCGCAGTTGTTGTAGAACTAGCGGGATCTCGATCTCGTCCTGTTGATGGGTCTACACTAGAAGTACTAGTCCGCCCCTGAAGATCGCCCGTTGAGGCAGTAGCCCCGTCTTGTTCCATCGATTGTTTTCTCTCTACTTCGGGGGCTTGTTTTCTCTCTTCATCCAACAGGTCGTTCTTCTTCACGGGGGGCCCTAATTTTCTCTTCGTTTCATCTTTCTTATTCTTGCCTCGCACGGAAGTAGTTGTATTTTTGTTGATACGAAGATCAGCCTGCTTTTCGCTTTCATCCCCGTTCCTGCTACGCTTCCATCTTTTTAAGTACGAAGATGCGTCCTGCTTCGCCAATGTCGTCAGTTCGTAGGCGTCCTCGCTTGGAGGTCGACCACATGCTTCTACAGCCGGCTGCAGCTTTGCTTGCTTGGAGCTCATCTTTGCTTCTGCAACCGGCTGCAGCGGCTCGGGGTATTTATCTCCAAAGAGCCTCATGTAAGCCTGCTCTCCGTCTCCATTGCTTTGAGTAAGAGCACGCGCAACCTCGTCTCCCGGAAATCCCGTGGAGCACAACCAGTGCTTGTCTGGAGAAAGAAATCTCGGGTTATTGTCATCATGAAGGAGACTCTCCAAAGCGCATTCCACTTTGCCTTTGCTTTCCACAAGAGCGCTTGCGGCTGCGGCTCGCGAGCATCCGGACACGACGTCGCACAAAAATTCGACAGGCCGCTCTTGCGGTGGAGGAGCTGGAGTTGTGCTAGTCCTCCGCGCGGCCTGAAGATCGCCCGTCGACGCAGCCGCTCTGTCTTCTTGATCATTGTTTCCCCCGTTTTTAGGTTCTTGCCCTGGGACGAAGGCCTCGGTACTGGAAGACGCGGTTGCTGAAGCCGCGAACGCAAAACCGAGACCTCCCGTAGAATTGATACTTTCACGTGCAGAGAAATGATATTGTAGGGCGGTCGTGTCTAGTACTTCAACTTCCTGTTGAAAGTAGTTCCATCGACGTCCTGGTCGGGCCGGCGCAAGAACTATCGGGCAGCCACTATTCATTTCACCGGTTTGCGACACGCCGTAGTTGCCGCATTCGAAAAACCTAAAGGTCCCGACGTAAAAATCCTCCTGGCCGGCGAGGAGCAGTCGTAACAAAAAGTAGAGAAGCCCACTGGTAGAAGACCCGCCAACCCCAACGGCGCGGCCGCGCGGGTTGTGTGGTCTCCGGCGCATATAATCCCGTTTTCCTTCGCAGACGACCGCGTCGCTGCTAGTTTTTCTGGGGGTTTTTGAGAAGGAGCGCGTGTTTTTGCCCATCTTCCAGGAAATGAAAGTCAATAACTGTTGTCGGGGTGGAAGGCGAAGGTTCGATTTCCGAAAACAATGGACAAAACAAAAATCAATCGTAATATCAAAACAAGCGGAAATGGAAATCAGACAAAGATCGAAATTAGAAAATGAAACTGTTTCTTGTCATAGGTGGGCTTGCCTCACGTGTAATTCATTGTGGGCAGCAACTATAATCGACATCGGGTTCAAAAAAGTTCTCTTCTTTGGCTCTTCAAGATGCGCAAAAATACAGGGGTAGACATTTCTTTTTCAGACAGAGAAAATTGTAATCACACGACACCAATAAATCCAAAAACAAGGACACCCTATTACGGCGCTCAGAAATGAAACTAGACTAATCGACTTGACTCAAACAAAAGGGGAAAACTGCCTTCCCGCTTTTCATCTTCTTTCTGCAGTTTTCTGGTACTTCTTCATGTGATTTGTTTCATAAACAACCTTTTGCACTACACACGAATGTTCCCCTGAAACCCCGCGAATATCTTTGACCTCCCTCCCTCTTGAAGATGCGATACAACGTACTAGATCTTCTATTGCGTACCCTAAACATCTCAAAGTTTTGATTTTGAACCTTCCAAGTCTGGGGCCACCGTGCGAATGCGCTTCAACATAAGGTACACGTATATGAGATCAAAATTATGTTGATCATTCTCTGCAACCCTTCCTATTCCTTCCACTTCAAGAATACTTGGTCAACAAAGGATCGCTCTGCTGTAGACAACAAGTTGACAGCCTGTTCAAGTTCATTCGTTCTTGCAGGGGGGCCATGCTGCTGACAATAAGTAGAGATCCCTCAGATCCCTCAGAGATATATCTATATGAAAAGCAGGATCTTTGCCCTGGTGGCAGCGACAGCAAAGGCACACAAAAGACACCGACACTGTTCCTAATCTTGGACTTAATATTTTTGCGAAGATCTTCCTGCAATGTTCCCGAACTGATTGTGCTTTTTTTACACCAAGAAATACTACTAGACTTTGACTTAATACTATTGAGCGTTTGATCCTCACACCGTCGTGGCCGCCCCTCGGGGCGATCGGTACGTATCCTAGTATACTGTAAATCATGAGAAGATCCTTTTATTAGTTTTACTTCCCGTTTCCACCAGAGAGACCAGGATTTTTGTAGCAGCTATAATTATATGCGCCCACTCGTCGGTGGGGTGCATTTTTTTCCCCTGAGTAAACTCACTTCTTTCCGTAGATGGAAATAGAAAATGCCCTCGAAGTTGTAGACAAAACGAAATCTCTCCGAGCTGCAAAATGTTGTCACAACAACTCATCACGGGCAGAAGTCAGCTCGAGAAGTAGAGGGACATCTTCATGCTTTTGCTCTTATTCATTTGTAACAATCTTCTTTTTTTTCTCAGAAAACGAATTACTCTGGCCAAATATAACGAAATCTGTATTCTCTGCACAGAACGAAAATGAAATACATGAGCTTTTTGCTTCACACACAGCAAAAGGCTAGCCCTAGCGCTAGTACAGTAGTAAAAATCCGCATCAACTTAGCAGGAGCGACCTGCATAATTTCATTCTTACACTCACGACGCAATGTTGCCTGTTCTGCAACCACACAGATTTTTCATGTTGCCCGTCTGTAAGTACTTCACCTACTATACGTCGCCATGGTCGTCCAACATGCAAGCCGGGTTTTTCATCAAAAAACAAAAAACGGCTGTACAAGCAGACTATAATGCCACATTCAAACGTGTACCGGACCACCACATCCAAACTGGCAATTTCGACTCGTTCCTGCTGTTCCGTTATCCACCCGTGCAAGCCCATTGGATAAGGGGCGGGGGAGAAGGAGAGCGGCCTTCACCGTTCCTAGGCCTCCAACTCTGCCTTCCCCCGTATTGAACTCTCTGTCACCATGGGAAGCATGGGCACGAGAGAACTGGCAAACAACGGGTGGGTGGGTGGGATTTCTGAAAAATTCAACTCCCCGGCCCCTCTTCCCCAAGGAAAAGGTCCAGCCGGTGGACCGTGCAGTAGCTTACCAGGGATTTGCTAGCCCTTGAACCAAAACCGTCGCGTATCGTCTCTTAGTCGAAAACGATGCACCGGGGTGCATCCATATTTCGACTCGTTCCTGCTGTTCCGTTATCCACCCGTGCAAGCCCATTGGATAAGGGGCGGGGGAGAAGGAGAGCGGCCTTCACCGTTCCTAGGCCTCCAACTCTGCCTTCCCCCAAACGACGCATCGCCGACGGCCCGGAGAACCCATGCTCAGCTGCTGAATCCGGGCAACAGGAGGAGGTGGAGGCCCCACTAGGTGGCCATCACCTTCGCCACCGCCAAACGTGCTTTCTCGTTGTCCTTGCGCATTGCCGTTCGTTTGGCGGTGGCGAAGGTGATGGCCACCTAGTGGGGCCTCCACCTCCTCCTGTTGCCCGGATTCAGCAGCTGAGCATGGGTTCTCCGGGCCGTCGGCGATGCGTCGTTTGGGGGAAGGCAGAGTTGGAGGCCTAGGAACGGTGAAGGCCGCTCTCCTTCTCCCCCGCCCCTTATCCAATGGGCTTGCACGGGTGGATAACGGAACAGCAGGAACGAGTCGAAATATGGATGCACCCCGGTGCATCGTTTTCGACTAAGAGACGATACGCGACGGTTTTGGTTCAAGGGCTAGCAAATCCCTGGTAAGCTACTGCACGGTCCACCGGCTGGACCTTTTCCTTGGGGAAGAGGGGCCGGGGAGTTGAATTTTTCAGAAATCCCACCCACCCACCCGTTGTTTGCCAGTTCTCTCGTGCCCATGCTTCCCATGGTGACAGAGAGTTCAATACGGGGGAAGGCAGAGTTGGAGGCCTAGGAACGGTGAAGGCCGCTCTCCTTCTCCCCCGCCCCTTATCCAATAGCGCTGCCCAGTCCTAAAGTCGCCTCCTGCGAAGCTTCATCATCATCATCATCGTCCGCCCCTTCCAGTAGGGCCAGCTCTTTCGCGCAAATAGTTTGCGCCTTCTTCTTCTTGATCGCCGCGGGGGCGGCAGCCTTCGCGTGCACCTTCCCCACCTTCCCTTTCGGCTTCGCAGCCGCTTTCTTCATAGCCTTAGCCTTGGGTGCCATAGTGGTCCTAGTTATGTTCGAAAAGAGTAAGAGCCGTAAGTGCCTCAAGCTGTAAGATGATGTGCCGGACTATGCCTAAAACTAGAGCACAGCCAAATCCCCTGTAGAAATGAAAACCCAAATTGCGGCGGAAATGAAGCTAGGCATAAGCATCCTGGAGCTCGAGCGACGCTCTATCACACCGGATCTAATGAACAGAAGCATTTCGTCAGAGCATGGATCCCGAAGACCAGCAATTTAGTGCGATTTATAGACACTCACACCGGGATACCGAAAAATGAACCCAATGAAATTTCTGAACCCGATTTGCGCACAGCAGAAGCTTCCGCTGTGAAATGCAAGGAAATAAGGAAAGTAACCACATGCCAGCTCCCTACGTCGAAAGACCTAAGTACCTCATGGCGCTCCTCTTCACAGAGCGCATTTCTATTTCAAGAGACCGCGCCACATCCTACTGCCCATCGGCATTGATTTCAATAATTTAGGACCTTGCACTGTTTGGCATGAAGATGTGACTTTGACACACTACGAGAGGTTCCGGAGAGGGAGCCAGGAGCACACCAAGTCCCCATCTTTGTGTCTTTCAAAATCCTCAGAGTAGTCGAAAAATGTCCCCGAAGCGTCCGACCAACCTTGTCGGAAATTGCACTCCTTGCGCGCTTTCTCCTGTTTCTTCGTTGACATTTTCGCCATTGCAGTACGGGCTGCCAGGGCGCAAGTTCTGCGAAGCCCATGCGGGGTAGAATCAAGCGCCTTCGTCGCGGTCACTATTTCCGCTCGGGAAATCGGAAAAAGCGTAGCCCAGTCTGCCACCTCACAAATCGGGCAGCAATTGATGCCCGGATAACCACAGCTGCGCTTGAGCTCTACCCGGCGGAACTGCGTTGTCTTGTCTTTCCTAACTTGTAGCTGTACCCCCTGCACGACAAAACGCTTGGCCTTCTTAATGCCCGTGAGAAAAACCTGCCGGCGGGAAATGTGGCACAGAGTATCTGCCCGGAGCCCCAAAGCGCACCCAACTACTACTATTTCGCGCTCCCTGCTTGACAAGTGCCCAAGCCCCGCCGTATGAAGTGGGCATGCTTTCTTCGGAAGCATCTGGCGGCTTTTGAGGTACCGCGTAACTGCTCTCTTTAGGCCTCGCAGCTGTCTCTCGAAGAGAACATTACGGATGCTCCCCCTCTCCGACTCCACTGCTACCACGGAATCGAGGTAGGCGTTAGTGCTAGAATATCCACCGCCCGGCTGCGTCAGCAAATATGACGCGAAAACTCTCAGATGGGAAATCTTGACTACTGAACCCGGAGCCGGACCTTGCTCAGCTCTAAACTTCTCCCAAGTACGGACATGTGAGGCCTGCGGACCAGCCCCCCCCGAGCCTGGGGCTCGTAACGCGTCGGGCTGACCCTCCCGAAAGGAAACGGGCATACTTTTACCAAACCTTCCACAGAAACTGGAGAGCAAATTGAATACACCTATGCACTGGGTGTGCAGAAAAGAGAGGAGTCACCAGAAATCGAAGGGTGGACTTCAATCAAGCCTCAAGACAGAGCAATGAAAACTACCGGAAAGCAAACAACCTCGAGTCATAGTCAAGAGTAGCCTGTTGGAGAATTTCATGGACTTCGACCTAGTAAGAGAGGTAGACCAGCCGCGCAGTGAGGCAGTGTGCTAAACAGCGAGAACAATAGAGACCCCATTTATTTTTCCAGAACAAGTTGGAGCCATCCCTAGATCGCCACAAAGCCCAAAAAGGGGATACATGGGGAACATTTCCGATCCTGAGCAGGAGGAGCTCGCAAATAGTATGTGTAAATCTTGATGGACCTTACGCCCAAAAACGGTTGATCGCTCGGCCCTAGAGCATAACAATACTACCATTTCTCTGACCAACTCCGTCCCTGCGGTCGTAGGATAACGGGTTCTAACCGCCATTGCCTAGAGCCGAGCGACAAGCGTAAGGTCACTTTTCATCGGTGAGCCAATCTGCCTGCCACATCCCAAAGAAACCACTCCAACCGGAGGCAGCCGAGCCCAAGGGAAAAACCCCGCGTTTCCTATGCCTTGCCGGAAAACCCGACCCCGTCGTGTATTAACCACACGACCTCCTGATGCCTTACGTGGAGCCACGTATTCTTCCTGTTAGAGCCAAAAATCTCATCTGAGACCCATATCCGGAGGTATCCCAAGCCTCAAGCCCCCACTCTGCTAGCTGCAGAGACCGCTGCCATTTTCCCTCCTAGTTCTTCAAGATACCTCTACAAGAAAAACCCCAGCTATCTGCTGATCCGTGCCAAAGCTCCATCCCCTCTGAACAAAGGGGGGGTAACAACTAGGTGCCACCTACCCGCGCATCAGCGCCTTTCCTAATCTTCCGGAATTTCTGAAAAATTCAACTCCCCGGCCCCTCTTCCCCAAGGAAAAGGTCCAGCCGGTGGACCGTGCAGTAGCTTACCAGGGATTTGCTAGCCCTTGAACCAAATCCGTCGCGTATCGTCTCTTAGTCGAAAACGATGCACCGGGGTGCATCCATAAATAAAAGCGACCCGATCATTGACTCAACTCATCTGCTCCAGGCACCGCAAGGAAGACGCAGACGGGGTAAAAAGAAGGGGCGGGTCTTGTGTCACCGCTCTATCTGGCGGGCAGTTGTGGTGATCGTGGTGCTGTAGTGCATTACTTCTAAGAGCTTCAGCTGCACGTAGTTCTTCTTGGAGATCTATCCAGGAAAAAACAACCATCCCCATCCATTTTATGCATGACAAACAAAGGAGTTTATACATGTTTTGCATGACAAATTGGATGGGGATGGGTGTTTTTTCCTGGATAAGATCTCGTTGCATACCGTCCGGCTGGTCGTGCTCTTCTTCCAGCACTCCCCGTGAAGGCGGGTCAGCACTTATCGTAAGGAAAAATCCCGCCTCCCCATATTGAAAAGGTATGCTTCCGAAAATTAGTGTTGCTGATTTGAGGTCACAAATCACGTTTGTCTTGCAAGAAGACAAGGGCAGAAGCTTCCGCCCCAATATGGAAGACATTTGTCATGCTGTTGGGCCTAAAGGGGAGCCGTTTGCCATCCTGAACAACTAGACCCGTGCGCCCCTACCTAGCCCGGGGATCTGGCCGCAATGCCTCTTTGCAATACAGCGCTGATTTGTGTAGTACACAAATACAGCATCAGAAGCTCCGTTTTGATATGGGGAGGGGGGATTTTTCCTCTCAATAGCACTGGAACGAAAGTTCCCTCGATCACTCAAATTTTCCGCGTCAGAAGTCCTCGACACCATTTGCCCGTCTGTGTCTGTGAACACCACCGTCGGCCGGTGGACGGGCGGTGCTGCTGCTGCTCCTGCTGCGGCCTCCTGCAAACAGCCGCGTGCGAGTTCAAACATCGCCTCGCAGTCCGGGGAGAAAGAGTTGTACTCGAAAAGGCAATATCCTGCGCAAAAGTATCGTACTCAAACTGCAGTCATGCATTACAAATGCTTTTCTTACGGTAAATCTTCACTACAAATTTCATTTCTCATACTGAGGAAATTTGTTATACATTTAGACGAGTACGATGCTTTTGCATTTCATAGGCAAACGTCCATCAATCGGGCGCGGCTTGTCCGCAAGCTGCCATGTTGAATCGGCAGGAGGGGAAGCTCCGATGACGATGAGGTGTAAGTGGTAGTGGTCCTGTTTTTTGTGCCCGTTCCGTGCTGGAAGAGACAGTCCGGGAATCCTAGATGACTCCTTCCGGATCCAGGTCGTAACGCTGAGGGGGAAGATGACGGAGTCGCAGGGACGAGTGGTGGAGACACTGCTCTTCTTGCTGAAGAAGTTCTTGTAGATCCAGGTGTAGTTGTACTAGCCATGGCCGCTGCTGCTCCACCGCTGCTGCAATAGTTTGACGGCCGCTCTTCGTCATCGTCTGTTCGGTAAAAATTCTGTACAGCGCCGTCGTTTTCTTCTCCCCGTCCTTTCGTCGGAAGTAGTGGGTTCAAGTGCGACGGCTCCGACCTGCATGCCTGAACCGTCGTTGTTTCTGCTCCAGCGACCCTGTGTGGAGCAGCGTGCACGCGGCAGGATGGTTCAGGTATACTAGTACAACACGGGGACTTTTCATGACTCGTGCTGTCTAAAAAAGTGTGTGGTTTCAATTTGCTTGCAGTTGGACTTGGGTCATCTGCTGCAACGGTATCCGAAGTTTCACTTTTACTCGACGGGCCGCCACTTCCCGAAGATATCGTGCTCTGCGGATCTGCTTTTTGGGCGAAAAAAAGCAGAGACGAAGATGTTGAGCAGCTTTTGGTGGAACAAATAAACCTCGACCCCGTTGCTTGGGCAGCGTTGGTTCCTGGGAAATGATCGTGTTCCTCCGTTTCTTCTTCATCTTCTGAAAACCGCACTTTTTTGTTCATTTTCCGTGAACAAGAACTACCAAAGCTAATGCTTGTTCCTGGGCTCCCTGTAAATATTCCCTGCTCGTCACGACTGAAGATTTTTCTCGATGATGTGCTTCCCGATAGTACATCCTTAAGTTCCTTCGTTCCACTCGGAGACAAAATCGAAGCAGGTTGTTCTGGTCGGAGTTGTGTAGCACCGCCATTCTTATCGTACTGCTCGTGGTGCACTTCTTCTAGGTGAGCCTTGTCAACATCACGACTACTGACGACCTCTCGTCCAGAAAGTTGCAGAAACACATTTGTGCTCGAAGAGGAGGAGGAGGAGGCAGCAGCGAGGACGCCGGTTGATTTATTTGATGCAGCATTCGCACAGCTCATCTCGTCGTCGTCGGAACGCATGCACGGTCGTACTTGCTTTGGGTGATGCACGGTTGTTCTCTTCGGGAAAATACGCAAGTCCGGGTCATCGTGTAGAAGTAGAGCCTGGGGTGACGCCGAGCTGGTCGGTTGTTCTACACGAAAATCTCGTGCAGAAAGTATGGAAAAAAAAAAACAAACACGCAACAGGTTTAGTGGTAAAAGGATTTTCGAATAAAAATATCATTTTGTAAATGACAAAGCGATTCTGCAGTTCCAAACGCGACGGTACACTGGTGATTTACAGGTAATAAAAGAAAGCAAAAAATACCACTTTGCGTGCTCTTGTATCAGCCGCAAATTTTGCGACCAATATAGTTGGGGCTGAGTCCGTTACGGTTCGTTCCGGTTCGTTTCACCGTAACGAACGAATTTTCGTTCGTTCGTTACGGTTCGTTATGGTTAACGAACGAACGAACGAGTCCGTTTGTGGCATCAGAACGAACGAACGAACACACTGGCTTTGCCATCCAAGCGAACGAACGAACGAACGAACGAACGAACGAATGCGTGTTCGTTCGTTCGTTCGTTCGTCATGGTTCGTTTCACCGTAACGAACGAACGAAGTGGCTTCGCGGGTCCGCTAACGACCAAACGAACGAACGAATGGACTTTCGTTAGCTCGTTACGGTTCGTTTCACCGTAACGAACGAACGAACGAGCCCGATTCTATCTTCCTAACGAACGAACGAACGAACGAATGGCTTTTCGTTCGTTCGTTCGTTATGGTTCGTTTCACCGTAACGAACGAACGAACGAAGTGGCTTTGCGCGGATCCGGGGCCCCGGAGATCGGAGACTTCGGGAAGCCGGAGTGCGCCTGCGGGGGGCGGCTCATCACAAAATTAGCCCTGCCATCCTTCGGAAGATTCCGCGCGGCGGTGCTATGTGTTTTCGAAAGTAATGTTTATAAATGCAGGATGCCGTCGCGGGGAATATTCCGCAGGACGGTATTCTCGATTTATATGCGGAAGGGGGCCCTTCGACCGGATGCTACACGGACGACCACGGAGAGGAGTCGCCCGCCGCCCCTTCCTGAGTGCCAGCCTCGACTGCCAGCCGGCAGATCGTTTATCGGAAAGGGGGGCAAGCCCCGCGATGGACTCGCCACGAAATCTGCCATGCCATCCTTCGGAATATTCCGCGCGGCGGCGCTATGTATTTTCGAATGCAGAAAGTCGCACGGAATATTCCGAAGGATGGCGCAGCGGCTCGACATCAACCAGCCATGTCCGCCAGCTGCGCGACGTGCGCCAGGAAAGGGCGCCGGCCGTGACGCACCAAGGGGCTGCCCGCGCGGGGGACACACATGCAGGAACTTTTGGCCCCCACACTACTGATTCAGGCCGGCACACTCGGATGCCTAGAGCTCCACCCGGAACACGAGCACGGGTATGAAGTCGCATTTTTCTTCAACAAACCGCCGCCCCTCCGAAGTACTCACTGACCTTGTTCGCTAAAGAAAAACGAACAAAGCCGGCACCGGAGAAGGCGGCAATGCTGCCGAGCCGCCGACCTTCTTCGCCGTCTCGCGGAAGTTTTGGCCTTTTGCAGCTTTCACGCACAGACACCTTTTTCACACAATCAGATTCGTTCGTTACGGCGTGCCGGCTCCTGACGAGCTCGTTCGTTACGGTGAAACGAACCGTAACGAACCATAACGAACGAACGGAAGTTCGTTCGTTACGGTGAAACGAACCATAACGAACCGTAACGAACGAACGAAAATTCGTTCGTTACGGTGAAACGAACCGGAACGAACCGTAACGGACTCAGCCCCAACTATACTCTTTGCGACACAATATACTTAGCTGTGGGGGGGTCCCTTGTCCCTTGTCCCTTTTTTTGGTCCGGAAGAGGGACAAGGGACAAAGGTCGGCTTTGAAGCGACGAAAGCGGCGAAAAGGTCCCTTGTCCCTTCTCTTGGTAGTGATTTGGACCAACTTTTTATCGGCCAAGAAAATCGAAAAAAAATCCGGTGGCGCGGCGAAACTGTAGAGGCCAGAGCCAACCAACGTAAGGGGGGCGATTCCCGATTCCCGAATTTTGCATTGCTCAAAATCGATTTTGCATTCCCGCAGACGCGGATTTCACAAAATCGATTTTGCATTGCACGAAACCGAATCCCGCAAAATCGATTTTGCATTGCACAAAATCGATTTTGTATTGCACAGCATCGATTTTGCGTTGCACAAAACCGAATCCCGATTTTGCAGTGCACAAAATCGATTTTGCATTGCACAAAACCGAAAGCAGCAAAATCGATCTTGCATTGCACAGAAACGATTTTGCATTGCACAAAATCGATTTTGCATTGCACAAAACCGAATCCCGATTTTGCATTGCACAAAATGGATTCTGCATTCCCGCAGACGCGGATTGCACAAAATCGATTTTGCATTGCACAAAACCGAATCCCGCAAAATCGATTTTGCATTGCACAAAATCGATCTTGCATTGCACAAAATCGATTTTGCACTGCACAAAATCGATTTTGCTCTGCACAAAACCGAATCCCGATTCTGCATTGCACAAAACCGAATCCCGCAAAATCGATTTTGCATTGCACAAAATCGATTTTGCATGGCACACAACGCAGATTGCACAAAATCGAAGCCGCAGACGCGGATTGCACAAAACCCCTCCTCCAGACGCGCAATCCCGCAGATTGCACAAAATCGATTTTCCATTCCCCCAGAACGCAGCGCCGACCACAAGGCCGGTTTTGAGCTGACCACAGGTGGTTCGATGTTGTGGGTCGCGCAAGGGCTGTTGAAGGCCACACAATCGCCCGACCACACAAAATCGATTTCGCAGCTTCCCAGGTCCGACAGAATCGAGCGGCCGCGTGGCTCAATATCGAGGCGGTGCGCCACGCAATCCGCCGGGCCGACGGACTAGGGGGGAGAGCTTCCAGCTATGCGCTTTAGCGGATCTCCCACAAAATCGATTTTGTGCGTCCGCCCTTTCTTCGCGGATGCAGTCTCCCACGCCAATGCCTTACCAACCCCCGTCCCAGCCCGCGCCCTCAGAGGTACGGGCAACGGGCCCTACCGGCCACAAAGTCGATTCTGCAACCCCTCAACCCTATGGACAACGTCGGCACCTTGCCGGACATTAGATTTTCCGGAGAGATCTGGACTTCCGGAAAGATCTCGGGAGATCGCTGCGGTCCGGATTTTCCGACTTCCGGAAAATAGAGCTTCCGAGAAAATAGCAGAAAATCGATTTTGTGCCTCCATTACTATTCAATAGTAGCGAGATCGGACTAAACCTGGTCCATACCATCGGCGGAGGCAGTTGCTTACTATCCAGTTGGTAAGCTGCTGCCAAAAATCCAAAAAAAATCCGAAGGCAGTCGCGCTCGAGGTGTCGCGCGCAAAAATCCGCGCTGTTTTGTGTTGCGTCCCGAGCAAAATAATAATTACTATTGAATAGTAACCAACTGCCTCCGCCGATGGTATGGACCAGGTTTGGTCCGTCTCCGTTACTATTGAATAGTAACTCGCGCGCACTTTTGGCGCATTTTTGGCGCACACTCGGGCGCACTTTTGGCACACAGAAAATCGACTTTGAAGCGCCTCCGAATCTCTTGAAAGTGCAAGCGTTCGGATTTTTGGCAGCAGATTACCAACTGGATAGTAAGCAACTGCCTCCGCCGATGGTATGGACCAGGTTTGGTCCGTTCTCCTTAGCAATGAAGCAGAAAATCGATTTTCCGAGTCGATTTTCGATTTCGAGGACTTGCTGATGTCCCGATCTCGATTTTCGATTTCGGAAAATTCCGGATTTTTCGCAAACTCCGGACTTTTCGAAATTTCCGGAATTTCCGGAACCCGGAAAATCGATTTTTCGGCAGTCCCGGAAAGTCCAAGCAACGCGCGGACTTCCGGAAAACTTGCTCCTCTGGATTTTCAGGAAGTTGGAAAATCGATTTTGGCAAACAGCCGGACAGCCACCTGCCTTACCCACATAGCAGGCCCGCGCCACCTCTTTTGCCCGCACCACCACTGACGCGGACATCGCACAAGGAGCGGTCCAACAAAATCGATTTTGCACGCCTCGGGTGATTGAACCCGCAGACGATTCTGCGAGCCTGAAATAACTAAAATCCCCGACTCTGCGCCCCATCAAGCGCCCAGCGGCTGTCGAGGACTGAGCCGCGGCACCCACCGAGGGCTGTCTGTTTACAAAATCGATTTTGCGACCCCCGCGCCAGCCGAGAGCCTGTTCCTGGCGCCTCTACGGAGCTCAGAACACGCAGACGGGGCCCATGCCGCTCCCGCGGCTTTTCAGAACTTGGGCCCGGATGTAAGTCACAAGCTCGGGCGTTTTTCATTGCTTTCTACGCTGGGCCAACGCGATGAATGTGCGGAACTTCATCGGGGCGCAAGTTCTGGAATTCGCGATCATCCCTAAGCCTGTAGCGTGCGAGCGAAACATCGATCCAAGGCGGGCAGAGGCCCGTCCTCTGCGACTTCGCCCCACGCAATCAATTTTGCAGCTTTTGCCGGATTTTCCGGCTTTTGTGTTGGTAAAATCGATTTTGCGACCACGCGCGGATTGTGTGGCCCCGCCCGAGGATAGGGCATCTTCGAAAAGCGTGCCCGAAGGGTGCGCACAAAATCGAATCTGTCCGCGGGTACTCACAAAATCGATTTTGTGAGCACCGCCCGCCGGGCGGAACATGACAACCCGGCGCCCCCAACCCGGCTGCGGGAATCTTTCTGGCAGCCCGGACGCTCCAGGGTGGGGCCTAACGCCTCAGGACACCGGCAAAAACTGCCGCGAGACCGAGTTGGCGCATTCTCGAGCTTCGAGAACGCGGGCAACCGACTTCGTTTCGCGCTACTTTGCTTCGCTTGTGGACGTTAGCAGCCGCGGCACAAAGTCGATTTTTTGCGGCGTGCCTGGATTTTTTGCGGATTTTTTTCCGATTTTCTTAACATTTTTGAAGTCGGTCCAAATCAGTACTAACTTCTCGCGAAGGGACGAAGGGACAAGCAAAAGGGACACGTGCTCTCATGCATTTCCTGAAAAGGGACAAGGGACAAGGGACAATGACCACGTGGATATCATCCATTTCCTGAAAAGGGACAAGGGACAAGGGACAATGACCGCTTGTGTATCATCCATTTCCTGGAAAGGGACAAGGGACAATGACCGCCTGTGTATCCTCCATTTCCTGAAAAGGGACAAGGGACAAGGGACAATGACCGCTTGTGTGTCCTCCATTTCCTGAAAAGGGACAAGGGACAATGACCGCTTGCGTATCCTCCATTTCCTGAAAAGGGACAAGGGACAAGGGACGATGCCCGCTTGTGAATCCTGCATTTTCCGAAAAGGGACAAGGGACAAGGGCCGCTTGTATATCCTCCATGTTCCGAAAAGGGACAAGGGACAAGGGACAAGGGCCGCTGGTATCTCCTCCATTTTCCGGAAAGGGACAAGGGACAAGGGACAATGGCCGCACGTATATCCTTGAAGTTCCCAAAAGGGACAAGGGACAAGGGACACATGTATGCCATCCGATACCCGAAAAGGGACAAGGGACAAGGGAAAGCGTTTATATTCTCCAAGATCCGAAAAGGGACAAGGGACAAGGGACGCCGTTACACTCTCCGATACCCGAAAAGGGACAAGGGACACGGGGCGCATGCATTTCCCCCATTTCCCGAAAAGCGACAAGGGGCAAGGGGCACCTGCCGCCCTTCATTTGCCCAAAAGGGGCAAGGGACGTGGGACCCCAGGCAGCCTCCATTTACCTTAAAGGGACAAAGGACAAGGGACGTGCGACCCGAAGGAGCCGAAGCCGCTAAATTGGAAGAGATCCCGGCGACATGCCCTGCACCGCCACCTCCCCAGGTAGACCCGCGCCATTCCCGCCGTCTCTGTCTCCTCTCGTTCTCTTTCTCCCGTCGCCTGGTCCCTTCGCTTTTCCCCTCGCACCCGTCCCCCCCCTCATTTGTCTCTCCCTCCCTTTGTCCCTCTCTCCCTTTCGGCTGGTCCCCTGGTCCCCTCCTGGTCCCCTGCGCCCCCGGTCCCTTCTCGCCTGTCCCTTGTCCCCTGTCCCTGTGTCCCTTCTCGCCTGTCGCTTGTCCCTGTGTCCCTTCTCCCCTGTCCCTTGTCCCTGTGTCCCTTCTCGCCCGTCCCTTGTCCCTGTGTCCCTTCTCGCCTGTCCCTTCTCCCCTGTCCCTGTGTCCCTGTGTCCCTGTGTCCCTGTGTCCCTGTGTCCCTGTGTCCCTGTGTCCCTGTGTCCCTGTGTCCCTGTGTCCCTGTGTCCCTTCTCCCCTGTCCCTGCGTCCCTTCTCCCCTGTCCCTTGTCCCTGTGTCCCTTCTCGCCCGTCCCTTGTCCCTGTGTCCCTTCTCGCCTGTCCCTTGTCCCTGTGTCCCTTCTCGCCTGTCCCTTCTCCCCTGTCCCTTGTCCCTGTGTCCCTTCTCGCCCGTCCCTTGTCCCTGTGTCCCTTCTCGCCTGTCCCTTCTCCCCTGTCCCTTGTCCCTTCTCGCCTGTCCCTTCTCCCATGTCCCCGTGTCCCTTCTCGCCTGTCCCTTGTCCCTTCTCGCCTGTCCCTTGTCCCTTGTCCCTTGTCCCTTTCGCCTGTCCCTTGTCCCTTTCGCCTGTCCCTTGTCCCTTTCGCCTGTCCCTTTCTCCCTTCCCGGTCAGAACCTGGGTCGCCTCCCGGCCCCTCGGGGACCTACAGCGTGTCCCTTTTGCTTGTCCCTTCGTCCCTTCGTCCCTTCGCGAGAAGGGACAAGGGACCTTTTCGCCGCTTTCGTCGCTTCAAAGCCGACCTTTGTCCCTTGTCCCTCTTCCGGACCAAAAAAAGGGACAAGGGACAAGGGACCCCCCCACAGCTAAGTATACCCTTGCGACAAAAAAATCGAGCATAGGCTCGTGATTCAGGCAAAGAAAATGCGAAAATTGCAATAGAGAGCCAAAAGTCAAACAAAAAGTTGCTTATTAAAACACTGTTGTGTGACACTTGTTGATTCTTTTTCACAAACAAAATCGGACTTGAGCCCGGTGCCGGACTGGAGCACGGAGCTGGCGGAAGAATTAGTTCTGGAAAATGTTGTACTGCGCCGCGGGAATCATGATTCGTAGATGAATCGGGTTCAAGACGAGAAGGATTACCTATGTTCAGTCCTGCACCGCAATAGTTGACCACAACGCGGTCGTCGGAACAAGGGGGATCGCTATGTACTTGTTCGTCGAAGCAGCGCGATAGACCCTCAGAGTGCTCGACAGGGTGGGATACACGTCGTTGCAAGCGCTGCCCTCGTCTAACAGGATCACCAGCGACGTTCATGTGGTCCTCCTCCCGCAGGTCAGTGATATCAACATGTTGACCATTGTCACCTACACGACAAAACAAATCCTCTGCAGCGTCGATCATTCCTCCCACACGCGGAACAACCCTCCTTTGCTCCATCCGCGCTGCAGTGGGGTCCTGGAAGGCGTGCATGAAAAAGCGAGCACAATGCTCAAGTTTTTTGCAAAAGTTCTTCGCATTTCTGCAGGGGTTTGTTGTACAACTTCTGCCGGAGATTGTTCTGTGTCGGCCGGAAGAATCATCTTCATCTTCAGTAAGAACAAACCGTGTTGTTGTATCATGATCCTCTAAATCCCTTCTAGCCGAAGACGGGCTGCGGGACGACACGCCAGATGAACTTCGTCGCCGATACGCAGAAGTAGCCCCAAGAACTGCACCTCCCGCATGCGAAGTTTGGTGTTCTCGTCGCTGCCGACCGGCTCTTGCGTGCAGATTTTGTTGCACGGAAGATGAACCACGTCGATACTGACTGCATCTCCCCGACGGTAACGTGGAAAACACCGGCACAATGTGCTGCAAATTTTCCTCGTTAGAATTTTGGCCTGCTCCAGCAGCAGCAGTTCTTCTTTGTGCTTCCACCTGGTCGCCGTCCTTTCGTTCTTGCTGCACGGTGGTCCTCGGCTGACCATGTTGCTGCTCAACACCACGGGTGGTCTTCAGAGGACCATTTTTACGACCCGCAGAAGTAGTAGAACAACTACCACTCACACAACAACTCTGGCCACGATCATTCTCCTGCTGCTCCCTTGTGGTCACCAGCCGCTCCTGGTACTGCTGAAGATGCGTCATGTATCGCACGAAAAAACTGTTTCACTGTGGTGATTTAGCAAAATCTGCATCACAAGTTTGTGACGCGTGACACTGAAAGTCTGTCATGCGAGGTTCCTAAGGGAAAACACAGCTACAAATCCACTGTCTTGCACGTGTGGCATGACACACACTTCTGCGTTCCATTTTCTGCATCACAAGTTCACAGTGAAACAGTTTTTTCTTGCGATATCATGGCATGCCCGATCACGGCGCGCCGGATTGTCGCCGTGCTCGGAAGTAGTGGCGAAAATGAGGATATGGAATTTGTTGAACGGCCGCTGCGAGACACCACCGGCGGACGAGACGAAGAAGCAGGTGCGGTCCTTGTAGATGTTTCCATAGATGATTTTGCACCACGTAGCTTCGTCCCGCTACTACTACAACCACCTGCCTTCGACGACGCTGCTACCGCCCCGCCCCACCGATCCGGGGGCGGGGAGCTGCTTGTTGTCTTCATCCCTTCTTTCGAGGTTTTTCTGTTCCTTGGGGTTTTGCTTGAAGATAATATTGTTCCCTGCCCCGAACTACAACTAGAGCTTCGGTGAACGACGACCGCAAGTGCGCTCGACGAACTCGTTGCAGCTGTATTTCCAGCTGGGGGCGATTTCGCCCGGGCGCTGAGATAGCCTTCCACAATATTCGCGCGAAACATCTCGCGGAGTTTTTGGGTCCCAGGAGATACCTGGCGGGAGAAGGTGGAGAGGGCTTGCTGGGCCTCGGAGGAACCGCTACATGGGAGAGGACCGCGGGCTTCGGCTTCGCCTAGGTGATCTGGTAGTAGATTACCATCCTCTACCTCGGAAAGGGTTAATGTTGACGATGATTCATCACGTTCGGCGCCCTCCAGGCTTCCTGCTCGAACTTCCGGTGTCGAAGTTTGTTCGGCAACGGGGGTACAGCACGTGCTACTAATGCTCTTATCAACACGTTTCATCGCGTTCGCCTTCTCTGTGGTCTTACCTCGTTGCACCAACAAGGATTGCGAATTCCTGCTCTTGATGCTTTTTCGCTCGCGCAAGCCCTCGTCTGTTCTTGATGGTATAATTGAGACGGCCCGTTCCACCTGCGCTTGGCTTTCCTTGCTTGCGGAAGAAGCTTTTTGATGTACACCTTCTACTACCGATGGATCATGCGAAGTAGATCTACTTCCATCTTGACCCGGTGATGACGGTATCATGTGACCCACCTTATGAGGATCAGGATGAGCAGTAGTAGCTTGTTCCCGCTCATGTTGCAAGCGGAGCTGCTGCTGTTGCGCACCTCCTCGTCCTGCTGGAGCGGCTGTCTCTGCCGCGGCCCGTTCAGAGGAAGATGAAACCGACGCCGGCGATGCAGATGATGTTGGCGATAACGGTAGTACTAGAGAGCCCACCCCAGACGTCGCATTTTTGCTGTTCGATAAAATCCGCTGCACGCTGGGTTGCTCCAACAAATCCTCCAGAAAATCAACCGACGAGCGATCATCGTCTTCAGTATCTGTGGGATCATCATTCCGGCTCGTATCTTCAGAAGGCTCGTCATCATCATTCTCTTGATGTTGTATGTGAGCCGAGGAAGACAAGCCTTGTTTTGATCCACTATCGCGCCGTCGGAGAACAGAACTCCGACTGTCCTCCCGCCCGTCGTTCTCCGACACACTGCTCAGCCCCTGTTCCAAGTCTAACTGCACGAGATCAAGATCTTCATGCGTTCGTCCCGCGGAACCGCGCAGCTGCAAATCGAATGATCGTAGGGGTGCAAAGTCGCTGTCATACTGTTCATCAGGCGCAGCGCTTCTACCTCTCCTGGTTGAAAATGTTCCAGACGGCGACCCACTAGGAGGACTCCGACTACCATCCTCCTCACTGGGGCTGCGACTATGATCGGAGTCAAACGACCCGCCCCCATCCCACGACGGAAATCCGCCGCCGCGTCTAGAAGTTGTACCAGTATTTAGAAGTGCCCCGCGCGGACTCGATGCACCGCCGAGTTTCAGAATTCCGGTCAGACAGGCGGAGGCGGTGAAGAGGGATGTAGTTGCTCTTGAGGGAGTTGTTGTACTTCTAGTACGTGTAGTGAAGGAGTTGTGCCGGTGCTCGTTGTGGTGCCGCTCCGCTTCTCGAACTTGCTGTGCAATTTCCACCCCTGCTTCGTCGACACGCGACAGTAGGAATTCAAGTCGTGCAGGAACAGGCGGTAGCGCCCACACGATAAAATAAGCTTTTGCTATTGACAAAAAAAACTTCATCTTCGTGTTGAAAATCTGGTGCGATTTGCAGACGAAAGTTGCAGTAGAAGTATGATCTTGCAATTTCATGAAGATAAAATGTATTCTCGAGGCAGACGATGCAAAAGCAAAAAATTATCAACTAAAAAACGGCTACAGGATGCAAGTCGTAGCAGTTGTGTTGTATGAGTATGATCATATCGCGCATAAAAGCACTACTACAACAGCTCCTACGATTCGCTGGTGTGGTCATTGAGAGTGTTAGTTCGTGTTGTATGAATATAATAATTCGCTGTGCCTTTTGCTATACCACGGACGAGATCCGGCACAAAAATCGAAATCCATATTCGGAACTACCGCCGTTATTCACAAGAGTGACCAGATGTGATCTACTTCACAAAAAAGGAAACATTCGAACAGATAAATGCAAACCCACACACACAACCAAATCAGGTGATCTACTTCCGAGTCAGAACATGCGAAACTACGCACAACTAGACCTAGAGCAAGCCACGGTACGTATAGGGTTTAGAGCGCCTCGTGCGTGTATCTCGCGAGCAAATTTTTCGCCTTTTTTTTGAAATTTGCGAGAGTCCGTCGCTGCATTTTTTCGAGGAAAAAACGAAAGCGTCCGTCTCCGCGTTTGAGGCCCGATCGTTTCAAGTTTATTCCGTGCACAGAATTCTTGTTTTCCGCCCGTGTGCTTCGAATATAAAGTTCGAACACCGGAGGTTCCACTTAGGACCTACCTGATTCATGCTACTGGCACTAAAACCTCTTGTCGGCTGCACACCGCAGCCCAGCGTGCGCGGACCACACGGTCGTGAGCCGCATTAATACTTCAACTTCACGCTGGGAAAAATCAAACTTGTCTTGCTCTTTGTCAAGGATATTCTCGAGTTTTTTGTCGTCTTTGCGTGGGCGGCTACTTTACTTTTTCTTGAAGGTTTTTAAAGTATTTCTTCGCTAGTAGGCCGCCAACAATGATGAATTCACAAAAAATAATTCAAGGTGAGCTATGAGGGTACAAGGGGTCCTCGTAATGGTATAGAAGATTGAGATTGACGAGGATTAGGATAAGTATCACCGAAGCATTTTTTAGATCGGGGTCATCATGCCGGCTCAAATCCCAAAGTCAACCAAAGTCAATGAATAGACTAAAAATGATCTGTAGTAGAAGTAGACACAATAAAACAACTAATAGAGTACAAAATCAGTACGAAGTTTGTTTCTGAATGACATCACAATGAGTTTGAAAAAGCCTGCTTCTAAATTCACGATGTTTTTTCTTCGAAATTTTTTCCGAGTTGTTCCAAGACCTATAGACATGTCTGAAAGTAGTTGAAAAAAGTTGAAAAATAGTAAATCAAACTACTAGCACTGCTGTTCCATGTAGTAGTTCGTTCAATTTCGCTCACGCTCATTGTACTTATCTTAAAAAGTCGCTCCTCCAAATAGCATTTTTGTCCTCCTGCCGAAAAATGTTTTTTATCGCATCTGCTTTTCCAATTCCGTGACGCACCGGTGAATCCCGACGAGCCAATACTGGTCTATGGCGTTCTCAACTGTTACATCTTCAGCTGTTACATGGATTTGTGATGCAAGAATGGCAAAAATGAAAGGGGCGCCCTTGCGCGTCTTGCATGACAGATTTGGCACAGATTCTCAGCCTCTTTGGCTCTTCGAGAATCTGTCATGCGAAGCAGCTTGATCGTGTCGATTCTGATAATGTGATCTTGCATGACAAATCGTCTAACAGTTGAGAATGTAACATTTGAGAACGCCATATGGTCCTTCTGTGTCATGCCAGTACTGGACGACAGCTGTTGCTTGATCGACTTCACGGTATTCACATCGCTTACCGATTGCGCGAGTTCGATCAGTTTTAAACCGACCTGTTCGTTCAGCTGGCCCGATTCTAACGCGTCGTAGATCGCCTGGAACCGTTTCCTCGTGTCGTCCACTACCCGCTTGGCCTATCAAATGCAAAAATGTCTGGGTCTGGATCATGCACATTTTGCATGACTCCTGATGTCTGTGATGCATGCCCTAGCATCACAGATTTTATGAGGGCTTCCTGATGCCTATAACGCATCAGAAATGCGCTCTCGCCATGACAAAAACTGGACCTCTGTTGCCGTTCATGCAATACAGATTTATTGTAGAATCCAAATCCAGCATTACAAGTTGCTATCTTCCAGACCTAGACATTTTTGCAATCCATATAGCCGGCTGGACCTGTGCGTACTGCGAGAAAAGCTGCTCGAGGCCTTGCTTGACCGTGGAAATGTCCGCCGGAGAGGCGATCCACACGGGCTGGCCACCTGAGGTTTATACATAGGTGATTCTCATACTCACATCAACATTGATCACTTGTACAGAATCATCTCAAAGATCTTCAGACACAAGGATCGAAGGTGGCTTACTCCGAGTCCGAGTCGCGGCTTACTTAGGTGACGACCACCTGACATGATTCTCACACTCCGCTTTGTAGTGAGACAGGTCGTGAGGGTGAGTGGGAGCAACTCTCTGTGTGCATCAATCTCTCTCATCTAACTAAAAGTACTCACTCTCTACTTTTCAACATCCAAATGACACATATTAACTCCAGAGTAAAGACCGACCATCCACCATCTTTTATCGCGTCAAGATAAAAAAATCTCAACTTCTCGATTCGCTCAACAAAAAATCAAACTGCAGTACCTGCCGCCGGACTCTGATCTGCCTGCGTGGCGTTCACCTGGGCGTTCAATCCGGCTGTGGCTTCGTTCGTGTGCAGAGTCGATTGCGTTGGGTTCGGGATCGGCCAAGGGGTAGGTAATCCTTCGATGACAGGCTATCCTACGCAAAAGCATCGCACTCGTAGTATTAATTGCAGTCCTGCATTACAAGTTTTTTTCTCAAGGCAAATCTGCATGACACATTCTATTTCTCATGCTGAGGAAATCTGTATTGCATTTATACGAGTACGATACTTTTGCAATGCATACAGGCTCTGCGGCGGCCATGGGAGCGGTCGACCGACCGCCTGCCACGGCCGAGCCCATGACTTGTTCTGTATGGAGTTTGTATGTTGAAAAGTGGATCTGGAAGTTTATATGTGAACTATATCAAGTGCTACTGCAGCTAGTAGTAACCTGCATCAGCATGAGATGGGAATTATGTCTTTGACAAAACACAACATCAAAATCAATTATCACTACGTTGCTGCGGCGGTGGCCCGCCTCCTCCCATGCTCATCTGCTGTGGCTGCATCTGCGGCTGCATGTGGCCACCACCTTTCATTCCGCCCACCTGCGGACTTGCGCCGTACATGCCCCCGCCGCCCGGGGGGCCGCTCATCATGGACGTGTTGGCCGTACTGCCTCCCATCGGGCCTCCCGGAGCCGACATGGGTGTGGTATTAGTGGTCGGCGTTGCAGGTGGGGGCATTGCCATGGGGTTGCTGATGTTCTGCATGGGCGGTTGCATCATGCTGTTTGGATTCCCCATCCTTCCCGCTTCCCCACTGTTCATCGACGGTGTCATGGTCATCGGGTTACTCGACATACCGCCCTTCATGTGACTCCCGACCGGGGGCATCTGATTGGCTTTCTGGTGCGACATGGGCTGCTGCGAAGTTGTCGGCATGGACGGATTTCTGGCCGGGGTTTGCGGGGCTATGCCTCGGTTGGGTGGTGCAGCCGAGCCAGGTCCGCCCATCGGAGGTTGCTGCATCCCCTTTTGTATCAAATGTAAAAATGTCTGGGACTGGAAACTTGTAATGCTAAAAATGAATGATAGACGCACTGCAATACGCAGCTATGCATGACAAATTTTTTGGCTGCCATGTGTTACGTATTCCGTGTGGCAAACTGCGTTTTTGCATGACATCAGGTAAGAAGGCTTTTTCGTGCCTATGCAACACAGATTCCCGAGTCATGCCAGACAAGCATGACAAACTTGCATTCTTCCAGACCCAGACATTTTTACATTTCATATTTTGCGATGCCGCCATCCCGCGTTGCCCCTGTGGCCCGGTGGGGGGTAAACCGGATTTGCCACCTGAAAAGTTTATTTGATGATGCGAAAAATTTTTGTACGAAAACTAGTTTGTAGTTCGTATAGTTCTTAGGGACCACATCAACGTTCATCTGTGCGGTATGAATGTGTGTATCTACCAGCACAACATCTTTCTTGATCAAAAGGCCAAATGCGAGCAGCACGACAGCGTGGTTAGTTTCTTTCATCTTCTTTACGGGCGACGAGGGTCGTTGTAGAAGATTCTTGTAGATGGATCTTCTTCTTCAGCAGGTTGTGAACCGCGCATCATCTACTCTATAGCTGTTTTTACTACACTTTCCGTCGCTGCATGTTACTTATTTTGCAGGACTAGTACAAGATCACACCCACACGTCATCAACTCGCAAGAATAGGTAAAAGCGTATTATACCAGTTTGCTTCCCCGCCCCTGGTCCGTACATGCCCCCTCCCATTCCCGGCGACACCTTGATCGACACCTGCTGAAACGGCATTTCCCCGGGGTGCTGGAACCCGCCCTTGTGGATTTCTTCCTGAGGTAACGCGTGAAAAATCCTGTGTCTCAGCAATGCCGAGCTCGGGTCGTTCTTCAGCCGCTGGAGCTGTCGCATGGCGCTTGTCATTCTCCCGGAATTCGCCAATAGTTCCGCGTACTGAGTGAGCTTCAAAGTGAAAAGCCCCAACTCCGTGCTGTTCGGTTGATTCTGAGCGGTATTGTTCACCACCGTATGCACTGCAAATATGTTTGGGTCTGGATAAAGAATGATGCACACATCTGTGGTCAACATGCAGTTTTTGCATCTGCAAAAAGGTCATCGATCTGAAATGCACTGTCAGAGCATGGCAAATTCTGCGAAGGTTTTGAAGCCACGACGCCGAGTCTCCTGCAGTAGTTAAAATTATGCCCTCTCGTCCACGTCCTAGACGAGACGAAAAACGAACGGTTTTTGCTGAGGACGCAAATACATGAGATTTTTGTCTACAACAACTCCAGACTTCGGATCACAAGTTATTGGAATCTACTAGACACTTCCAGACATCTTTCTGGACATGTTTGCAATGCGTATGCCGTTTGCGTGATGTCCTGCCACACCGTCATGCGCTCGACCAAAGCTTGGAGCGCCAAGTGCTGGCTGTTCACGGGCGAACTCGCTCCCGGGTTGCTGCTCGTCATCCCGACGCCCATACTGGACCAGTACTGGATCGTCTTCCCGAAATTCTTCGAGCAGACGCAACACAAATATCCAGTGAGAATTTTTTTCAGTACACGACGTACAAATTCCTGCACTCGTCGGGCATGACAGAGTTGTTCTTTTGCCACGAACCTACTTCGCGATACAAGTCGAGGGTGTAATTAAAAGTTGCCGGAATTTATTGTCATGCATCTTGTAGCTGTGTACGGAAAATTTTTGTCTAGCATAATAGCACCGCGGAGCGCACGTCAAACTTTTCGTGCTCCAACCTGTCGGCGAGTTTTTCGGTTAAATACCGCCAAGCCTGTATGGAACTGCCAGGATCGAAATTGACAAAGTCGAAAAATTTGTGATGCATAAAATGCATGACGCGGAATACGTGTGTTGCAGAGCAGGCAAGTGAGGCCGATTATAAGCCTGTTTGGGGTTATAGATCGAGCTGCTAAAGCAGCATGAGAGAATCAGCCTTCTTTGCCTAAACAGCATTACAAACTGGATTTAGGCGCCCCCAGAATTTGTCATGCGCCACTTAGAAACTGGGTTCGAACTGGAATCCATTTTATGCATGGCAAATCATTTCGATTTTGTCAACTTCGATTCTGACACTTCCATAGCCTGGTCGTGCTCCGCGTAGGTGGCAAGCAAGGCGAGCGTCTCTTTCCAGTTGTTCAGGTTGCTGTCATATGCATTGCAAATACGTCTGGGTCTGGAAGAGTACGCGACTTGTGACGCAGGACCTAGCATGACAGATTCTGTGAGATCTCTATCATGCCTATTCTGCATGAGAAACTCCCCCTCACGACCCTGGTCGAAAATGGACGGCTTTTGGTACTCATGCAAGACAGATTCTTGTATGATTCAGATGTAGCATGACAAGTTGCTATGTTCCAGACCCAGACATATTTGCAATCCATATGTCACAGACCAGTGCTTCGAGTTGGTTCTGCACCACATTCCCAATCGTGGACAAAAACGGATCCTGCTGGCTCTGGATGTATTCGTCACGGACCTTGGCGAACAGCTCCGGCTCGGGGTACGCGATGAGGAGCGCGTCAGCAACGCGACCACACCTGGTCAATGACAATGAGGGTTGTTCTTTCGCATAAACATGATGCATAGCCGCATCTCAAATCTCCTGAGCCGCGAGGAAAATCAACATGACAAATTGCGCTTTTGTGTTATGAAAAAATCAGACACGACCAGAATAGTTGAACGTTTTTCTTTTGTCTAGAGCACTAATAAAATACTTCAAACAAATTTCCACGGCTGCTTCCCTGCTTCCGACCAAGAAATTTTGTCGGATGAGGAGCTCCGGTCCCTGGTTCCAATGTATAAAAGTGCACTCAACTTACTACTCCCCCTGCCTCCCCTGCACATTTGTAATGCAAAAATACCAAATCCACATGTTGTCTTCAAATACTGTGCGCATGACAAATCTTCAGAAGATGTGTCATGCGAAGGCTCCACTTCATCTGCCATTGCTTGTGTTGCTGCTGAGGCATTTCAACAAATGAGGGCCGCGGGGAAGCAGCCTGGGGAGTAGTTGTGCACTGCAAGGATACAGTCCGAAGCGGAGTCGACCTTCTTTTGCTGTAGTTGGAGTTCTCTGCATTGCAAAAGTATCGTACTCGTAGTAATTGCAGGCATGCATTACAAATCTCCATCCCAAGGTAAAACAGCATGACAAATTCGATTTGTGGTCATGCTGAGCTACTTTGTAATGCAATTACTACTATATACGATGCTTTTGCACAGGATAAGTTCCTCCTCCTCCTTTTTCCTCGCCAACTGCAGATCCTCCTGTTTCTTTATCACAAGGAAAAATGCCCCCTCCCCATATCGAAAACGAAATTTGTGATGCTGTATTTGAGTACACAAATCGACTTGTAATGCTAGAAGGCCAAGAGACGCAGCTGTGGCTTCGTTTGCAGGCAATCTGTGATGCTGTTTCCCACTTCCAGCTGCCCCCTGTCATGCTAAGATGCAAGGCTTTCCCACGCCAACCAGCACTACAGTCCGCATCTTTTCTCTTCTAGCATGACAAAGCTGATTTGTGACCACAAATCTGCATCACAAATTTCTAGTTTGAGTATGGGGTGGGGGGATTTTTCATTTGATATTCTTCTGCGCCTCCTTCTGGGCCATGGTGCTGAAAAAGTCTTTATGAAATGTAAAAATATCTGGGTCTGGAAGAATGCAAGATTTGTCATGCATATTTCTCACGACCCATGATGCCTGTAATGCATGCCCTAGCATCACAAGTTTTTTGAGGGATTCTTGATGCCCATTCCGCATGACAAATGCCCTCTCCGCGTAGCAAAAATTAGACTCTGTTTGCTGCTCATGCAACACAAATTTTTTAGACATCGAAACGCAGCATCACAAGTTGCATTCTTCCAGACCCAGACATTTTTACATTTGATAGTCTTCCGCTGCGTGTTCGTCGAACGCAGGCAGCGCCGGCGCTCCGTTGTTCGAAGCCTGATCCATAGACGCTTTCGAAATTCGCGCTTGTTCCTCCGCCGCGGCTTTCTCAGCCCACTTGGATCCGGGTTTGTGCCCCAAGTACTGCTCCTATCAATTGCAAAAGTTGTATCGGACTAGTAGAAATCGCATGACAAATTTCCTCAGCGTGAGAAAGTATAATGCAGATTTACGTTGAGACCGAGATATATCAAGCATGCATGATCGCTGCGATTACTACGAGTATCAGATACTTTTGCAGTGCATAGCTCCGCGCTGTTCGCGATTTCCTGCAAATCGTAACCGAGCTTCGTCTATCAAATGCAAAAATGTCTGGGTCTGGAAGGTTCCGAGATTTGTCATGTTGGGAAGCTAAGGGCTGGGCGTCCCTGTCGTTCTCTAAACCTTAAAACGGTAGCCACTTACTCGACAAACTCTAGGTAGAATAAGTTTGGACAAAGTGATCACTACCGAGAGACAACAACAAAATAAAAGCTCCTGGGACGGCTGCGGCGTGAGCATTTGTTGCTATCTGGGTAGGGATAACGTTGTGTGCAAACCTAAACACTAGCGTCAAGGGAGAAAAGAAAAGTAAAAAAGCGGTAAATCATCCTACTATGACACAGTCCCAACTACGAAAAAACCCCTCTTAAAAAGTCATGCAGTTTTTCAAGCTCCTCCAGGTCTGGAATGCAGGGCCTAGCATCACAGGTTCTGCAGCCCCTTGGTGATGCCTATTCTGCATGAGAAATGCCCTCTCAACACGGTTAGAAGTGGGGACCTTTTGCAAGTCATGCAACACAGATTTTTGTATGATCCGCAACACGCATCACAAGTTCGGATTCTTCCAGACCCAGAAATTTTTACATTTGATATCGTCACGATGCGTTGTTTCGACGTGATGTCTATGCATTGCAAAATCATCGTACTTATCAGTGCGAATTGCATTTTTACATTAGTTTTATTCTTAACAACAAAAATGCAACGTGTCCTCATGCTGGAACAGGTAGAACAGTAGATCTCTACTCTGTCATGCAGGACTGCAATTTGTACGAGTACGATAAGTTGTACATTATTTCCAGTGGATAATGTCGTCGGCGTTGATGTGTAGAGAGATGAAGTTATCACAGGAAAAAGTGTTAACGTTAACGAAATTTGTGATGCAGTAATGCATCAGAAAAGGTGCCCAAATTTGTATTGCGTAGCATGCATGGAAGGCAAAATTTGTAATGCATGACTGCCATCTGTGGAAACCGTTAACGTTAACACTTTTTTGTTTGATAGAAATCCCACAAAGCTTTCTCGTACTCGTCCTTCTCTACTCGATATCACACGAAAAAAGTGTTACAGTCACACATTTGTTGTCAATTCAGCAACACAAATTTCTCTGCGTAAGATAGAAAACTTGCAATGCAGGAATCCTACAGGAAAACACCTATGGAAGGAGTCTCCTATGCATATCCGGCATGACAACGCTTGTCTGTCCTGCTTGGCCTGCAACACAATGTGTAACTCTAACAATTTTTTCGTTCCATACTCGAGACTTCGTCTGACAGTAGCCGAGCCAGTCCTGGATGTTGGCCCAGTTCTCAAAAGCGTCCTATCAACTGTAAAAGTGTCTGGGTCCTCTGGAAGAATGCAACGAACTTGTGATGCTAAATCTGAAGCACACAAAAGAAAAAATCTGTGTTGCATGATTACCAAAAGTCTCTCATGCAGGATAGGCATGAGAGATGAGATCGCACAGAATCTGCCATGCTAGGTCCTGCATTCCAGGCCTCATGGGTCATGGAAAAGCTGCATCACAAATCCTCGCGCATTCTCCCAGACCCAGACATTTTTGCATTTGATACGTCCGCCGAGCCGATGATTTCGGGCTCCGAGGGGACAACGTGGAGGTAGATGGTATGGCGCTCTCAAGCGTTACATTCTCAACTGTTACATGAATTTGTGATGCAAGAATGGCAAAAGTGATAGGGGCGACCTTGCGCGTCTTGCATGACAGACTTGGCGCAGATTATCACCCTATTTGGCCCTCTGACAATTTGTCATGCGAAGCAGCTTCATGATGTCGCTTCTGAAGGCAATTTTGCATGACAAACCATGTAACAGTTGAGAAGGTAACCGATTTGAGAACGCCATAGATGGCCCCTTTCAAAGCGGAACCTGCGAGAAGATCATTGTGTCGTCCATATAGGAATGTTCATTTTTGCAGGCTAGGTGGAACTAGATTCGTGATGCGACAGATGTAAGCAACACGCTGTTAATTTTAATACTAGTCATCATGCATACTAAAGGACTTCCAGAACAAGCAGAGCTTCAACAAATCCACTGTACCAAACTGCGCGATCTTCCCGCCAAAGCCGAAAGACCCGCCGCAATCCATGTCGCGGTCGTAGCACCGGGGCATGTATTTTGATTTCTGCACGTTGTTCAAAATGGAGAAGAGCCCAAACCTATCAACTGTAAAAATGTCTGGGTCTAGAAAAGTGCAACTTGTCATGCTAAATCTGAATCTATACAAAAATCTGTATTGCATGATTACCAATAAAGCTGTTCACTTTTGAGAAGGCCGAGAGGCCGCAGTTTCTCATGCGGAAAAGGCATGGTAAAGATCTCACAGAATCTGTGATGCTACGGCATGCATCACAGACCTCACACGTCATGCAAAACCTGCATCACAAATCTGGCATTCTTCCAGACCCAGACACTTTTGCAATCCATAAAACCCGTTTGTGTTGCTGCTCGTGCTCACCTATCCTCTGCAAAAGCATCGCACTCGTACTAATCGCATTTATGCATTACAAATTTTTTTGCCAAGTTAAATCCGCATTACAAATTCTATTTCTCATGCTGAGGAAATTTGTCATGCGATTCATACTAGTACGATACTTTTGCAGTTCATATCACCATGCCTTTCAAATAGGGGGAAAACTGCACGTCCACACAGTTGGAAACATTTGTCACGTCACAGTACACCTCCGGCTCCTTGATGTTGTAAACCGTTTGTGCGGTTTGGCTCAACCCCAACACCCAGCAGATGGTCCGGTTGTCCCGCCCGGTGGACAAAAGCAAGTCCGGATCGGTGTCGTTCCAGGCAATTTTCGTGATGCCTTTCACGTGTCCGAAGTTCACCTCGCGAAACGGGTAGCTCGGCTGTCGTAAGTCCCAGATTTGAAAACCCGGGAGTCTGTCGTCGTCATAAGCGACGATGAGCTGCGTCGCGCAATCTGGACTCCACTGCACGTTGGCGATGTGCTGGCGATGCGACGGGTCCACGATTTCGGCGCAGGTGCCGCGGGTTTTCAGGTCCCAGATCACGTTATGAATTGCAAAAGTATCGTATTCGTATGAATGCATTACAAATTTCCTCAGCATGAGGAATAAAATTTGTAATGCGGATTTGCTTTCAGAAAAAAAATGTATATGCATGATTGCAATACGAGTACGATACTTTTGCACAGGATACACGTTCACGCCGTTAGAGGAGGTGGAAGAGATGATGTTTGGCACCTACAAAAGTTGTTTGTAATGCACAACTTGCATGAGAACTTCGGTTTCTCATGCAAGGCTACGCATGACAAGCTGAACAAGATATTTCATTTTTTACAACACTATGATCCTATTCCTATTATACCTTCCTATTCCACGCCAAGTCGACGATTTCCCCTTGCATTTTGGTCTGTCCAGACTGCTTGTGAATTTCTGGCTGCGTTGGGTCCGATAAGTTGAAGATTTGCACCTCGCAATTCCTGCTCCCCGCGGCCAACACGTTCGACTTATTCGGATGAAACGCGGCACAGCCGGTGTAGTAAATCTGGTTTCCGCCGACTTTCGCGGAGCTGTACAGCAACCCGTTGTCGCTGCCGTATCACAGGAAAAAAATGTTACAGTTACACATTTGTTGGAATTTCAGCATCACAAAGTTGCCCTACAAGGCAAAGAGAACGTGTAATGCGCAGACCATAAGGGAAAACCCGCACGAAATGACAATGAGGCTGGCAAGCATTTTCTGCATGACAAAGGTTGTCTGCCTTGCTGGTCTACTTGCATCAGAGTGTGTAACTGTAACACTTTTTTCGTGTGATATGCCGTGACTGGAGATTATCACCGCCGGGTCGTAGAGATTCAACACCCCGTCCGGGTGCGCGGCGCAGAGTAACCCGTATGGGAGCCTTATCCTGAGAAAAAACTGTTTCACTGTGAACTTGTGATGCGTAGAATGGAAGACAGAATTATTTGTCTTGCCACACGACCTGCAAGACCTCGACTCTTTAGCGGTGTTTTCCATTCGGCAGCGCGCATGGCAAATTTTCTGTGTCATGTGTAACATAGTCTTGTGATGCAGATCTTGCAAGATCATCACAGTGAAACACTTTTTTTCGTGGAATAAACCTTCCCTGGTCGAGATCCTTCGCGCCCCAGGAGAGTGAGAGAAACTTCATGTTCTGGAAATCGCAGGTCGCGATCACGGAGCACTGATCGTGCGATTGGGTTAAGTCAAACGTGCAGAATTCTAGTTTAGACGGTGTCTCCTGGTACGAAAAATCCGCGTTAATCGAGGGTGTGGCGGATTGAGAAGTCCCTAACGCGATCAAAGCTATGACAGTGCACAATTTTTCCCCCTCCCCCTCATTTGTCATGCAAAAGCCCAAATCCACGCGCTGCCTTGTGGCCGCACCGTTTGCATGACAGATTCTGGAAGCCTAAACACTACTAGCTACATGTTGACGCGCATGAACTTCAACTTGTCATGCGGAGGCTCCATGTGCGCTGGTTTTTCTATTGCTGCTCATGCAATACTAATGAGGGCGGGGACGGAGGGAAGGTTGTAGTGCACTTTCATAAAATTCGGCTGGGATTCGCACGGACACCATGAGACAATAACTCCGGCTCGCTGCAAGGTTTTCAGTGCGGGAACCGTTTGCGAGATTTGCTGCTGCTGGTGTTGCGGTTGCTGCTGTTGGGCGTGTTGTGGCTGCTGATGTTGACCAAGTGGCCCTCCGGGCTGCATGCCTGGTTGCTGCGGAGCGCCTGGGGGGCCGCCTGAAGAATTTCGATATATTACTTTGGAAAAAATGCAAGACATCATGATCATCATTCAGATCTTCTAACAATGACGCGGCGAGATGTGTCAGGCAAAAGCATGTTGCTATGCCAGCATGTAGATCTACTTCGATCATTTTTTTTTTACCAGCACTCGGTCGCTGTGGTGGGTGGTACCCACCGCCCGAAGGCGTTGGGGGCTGCATCGGATGGCCACCCCCTCCCCCGCCGTACATAGGTGGCTGCGGCTGGCCGTATTGTGGTTGCTGCATCTGCTGATGAGGTGGACCCCCTCCATGATACTGCGGCGGTCCGGGTTGTACTCCTGGGGCTGCTCCGTGGTTTATCAAAAGGAAAAATCCCCCCTCCTCATATCAAAACGGAACCTCTGATGCTGGAGCTGTGTACACAGCTACGCTTTGTATTGCAGGAAGGCACCGCGGCCAGATCCCCAGCCTAGGTAGGGGCGTCTGGGTCTAGTTGTTCAGCATTGCAAACGGCTGCCCTTTAGGCCCAACAGCATGACAAATCGGCTCCATAATGGGAGGGAAGCTTCTGCCCTCGTGTTCTTGCAAGACAAATGTGATTTGTGGCCACAAATCAGCAACACAGATTTTCGGAAACATACCTTTTCAATATGAAGAGGGGGGCTTTTCCTTTCAATATGGTTGTACTGGGGTGCAGCTCCGGGTGCCGGACCACCGTACTGGGGTTGGGGCGGCTGCATCTGACCATACTGTTGGTTTCCATACGGTGCGGGTTGTGGGGCAGCTTGTTGGGGCCCGCCGTACTGTAGTATTGTATATTTTTTCATCTAGGTTTTGATATCTATTGACTCAACACGGGTCATAGTGGTCCTGCATCAAGACAGATCTCGCTCGGATGCGAAAAACTTGACATGTATATACAAGAGGAAAAGGACGAAAACCGAAACCGCTTTTTTGCCATGCGGCCCTTAGTTATAGATTGCCTGGAGTAAGCAGTTGTTTAAAATCATTGTCTATCCAGTGCATCAAAAGCATCGTACTAGTATAAATTGCATTACAAACTAGCCCAGCATTACAAATTCAATTTGTAATGCTGATTCACCTTGAGAAAGAAATTTGTAATGCATGAATGCAATTACTACGAATACGATACTTTTGCATTGCATATTATCCCACCTGTGGAGGTCCGGGTGCTGCCCCGCCGTATCCGCTTGGTATGAACTGCAAATATGTCTGGGTCTGGAAGATTGCCAGATTTGTCATGCATATTTTGCATGACCCGTAATGTCTGTAATGCATGCCATAGTATAAGTATTGCAGATTTTTAGAGGGCTTCCTAATGCCTATTCCGCATGAGAAATGCCCCCTACTCCGCGCCGTAGGACAAACTGGAGTCCTCGTCTTGCTGGTCATGCAATACAAATTTTTTTCGAATCCAGAGACAGCATCACAAGTTTAGAATCTACTTCCAGACCCAGACATAGTTGCATTTGATACCTGGTTGGCCGTAACCACCACCCGGCTGCGGAGGGTAACGATTGTGCATCTTGGTGCTGCTGAATATTAGACAATGCCAGTGCGCAAATATTAGAAGTCGCTCGCTATATTAAGTTACTATCGAATAAACAAGCGTCGATTAGTTTTTACGGTTTTTCTTTTTGCGGAAAGTGAAAAAGACGTTGTCCTTTGGTCAGTTGTCGCCGAGTTGGAGTTTGTTTTGTATCATCTAAGTCTGTCTGTATTGACTGTAGAGACATACACGACAGGTGCACCCGGAAGGTGCCTCGTAGTTAGTACCCTAGTACTCGTGCCTAATAAACAAACCAGGTTCATCGTTGACATTGACATATTCTTGATGTTGTTGTTTAATATGTCGCTGAATGATGGCTATGGCAGAGATAATCGTAATTGAAAACTCGTACTTCCTTCTGCATAATTATGATGGATCTATGCTGCAGATGCGGATCATGCTATATCTCCAAAATTTTCGTCGTGCTCGATTACAACATCAACAGCAGCGATGAGACAAGAATGGACTTTGTTCTCATGCTGTTTATCTGCTAGAAATAGAAAGTAGTCGGAAATATGCATATCGGGTTCTTTGTTGAAATTATCTCGGTTCATTGGAAGATCGTGAGTGGAGCAGCAAGGTTGATGGAGGTGTATCCTGTGCAAAAGTATCGTACTCGTAGTAATCGCAGTCGTGCATTACAAATCTTTTGATAATAGGCAAATCCGCATTACAAATTCTTTTTCTAATGCTGGGAAAATTTGTAATGCGATTTCTACTAGTACGATGCTTTTGCATTTCATAAGGTGGACCGACGTTTTATTTCATCATCGACTAGGCGCTCCTACTAGTTCTAGTAGTTCTACCACATCAAATGCGATGCTGGAGTGTCCAAAACTAAAAATACTCACCGCAAATGTGTCTGGGTCCTCTGGAAGATAATTGCAAGACTTGTCATGCTATTGTCTGGCATGACGATGACTCTGAACTCTGTCATGCTAGTTCACGAAGGGCCCCGCGTGCTTGTGAAATACAAGCATTATCAATACTCGCAGCAGTGGGCTTCATGCCCTGATCTGTTTCGTGGCTTCACCACAACGGCAACAACGACGAGGCAGAAGACACTAAGTTACGATACGCACAAACGGAAAAAGAAAGATAAAGAGCCAGCGCGTCGTGCAAAAAATTTGGCTGCGTTTCAGGATCGTATCGAAAATCAGCAGAGAAGCGCTTGTTTAATATTTTTTTAGACCAAAACTACATAAGTAATCGCTCATCAGGAAGACCACATGAACAGCAGGAACACCGAGCGAATGGGAATGGCACGGGCCACCAAAGTGATTGCGAAATAAACCTTTTCAGCCACAACTCAGGTTGTGTTGTAAATAGAAAAAGGCATTCACACCCCGATCAGGACGAGGCTTGAGCTTGTCATGCGGATTTTGTAATGCAGGAAAGTAAGCTGAAGCTGAACCAACAGACTGGTACTTAACAAAATTGCCATGCGGAATTTGTAAAAATGCAGGACAAAGGGAGCTGTAACAGAAAAAAACATCTCATGCAAGACGCAGGGCAGGTAGCTTTCATGTCAATTCGCACGAGAAAGCGTTACATTTTTGATCGGGGTGGATGGACGTGGTCGCAGTTTGCATTTGTAGTAAAAACCATCTTCCAGAGCCCGCTATATCATACACGTCTACTTACTTTCTATCAGTACATTATACAAACAAGAGAGCAAACACACCTATCACCTACTATACTAGCCGGCTGGCAGCATTTTGAATTCCTTTGAAAAGCGACAGCGTGCCTCTTTTCAATTTCCGAATCAAGATGCCCTGTCATGTCTCTAGCGGAGCTGGGCGCAACCATGCTCCTCTCCGGGTATAGACGCCGGCAAACTAACACTAAGTGTAAAAATGTAAAGCACTAATATAAAAGAACTACCCGAAATCTGTAAAGCTAATTGTTTTTCATGTTTCTTACGTCGTGTTAGAGGTAGTACGAAGTTCAAGATTCACAATTGTCATCATCCCGTCTTCCGTCCTCCACTTTGTTTACTGCCGGCGTCTCCGTTGTGAAAGAACGCATTCGCTTGCTCGAAAACATTTACATAACAGATGCTCGCTCGTGGTCTCGAGTTCGAGTTTGCGATTGAGAATTTTTGTATGCATGATCTCCATCCGGTTGAAATTGTTCTGGTAGAAGTACTCCGAGTTTAAGATCTCCACTAGTAAAGCCCGCTCCTGTTATTTCTCCACTACCTCCTCTTCTTTTATTTTTCCTCTTCTTTAATCTATTTTCCACATGGTTTACGACGTTGGACGCTGTTGCTGCGCCGTCAGTCCTGGCGATGTCGCGGCTACACTTGTTTATGTTTTGTTCTTTTCTTATTGGCGAAATAAAATCTTTTCCGCCAGAACTCAGTTTGTAAATAGAAAAAGGCACCCGCACTCCGATCAGGACGAGACTTGGGCTTGGTATTCATTTCAATTCGTGGCCTCGCTTCGTTAGTGCAATTTCCTAGAGCATAAGGGGCGTTTCTACAGCTGCGCTCGGTTCATCTTGGTCGTGCTTTATTTCTCCATGTTAGATGCAGGAGTTCTTGTAGTTGCATCCAATTCCAAGTTCGACCTAAGATAAGTACCAATATTACGTCGTAGTGCTCCACCAGCACCAGCCCGCACCCGTTGGACAACTACGATAAGGCGCAAAGATATTTATTTAAGGCGCGCTGGAAAATGAAAATGTCCGTCGGATGACGAGGATATAATACTCAAGCGCCGTCTTGTAGTTACATGGAGTAATCTTAGCTTCGTGCTGAAGTAGTAGAAAGTACTTTATACAAACAGTTGTAAGTACTACTTGCGTTTGCATTTATTGCGCAGCTGTTCGTCGTCCCTTCTTTTTACCGACACTGGTACTCCTTATCCGCGACGCCCGGCCATGGCACCCCTGGAACCTCCTCGTAACGGTTATCGAATGCAAATGTGTCTGGGTCGTCTGGAAGACCAGTGCGAGACGTGTCATGCAGTTTCTGCCAGTCCCGGAAGATCGTCGGGCATGGAAGCCCTAGAATCACAGATAATTTCGAGCAGGTCTCCAAATGTTGGTGTTGCCTGATGCGCATGACAAATCCCCTCTTTCGGTATACAGAACAAATGGAGCCTTTTGCTGGCCATGCATGGCAGATTTTATCATGATGTAGAATTCGCATCACAAATTGCGATCCTTCCAGCCCCAGATCGATATTTGCAATGCATAGCAGTTGGCGGCGAACCACTTCCTTTTCTTCCAGGTTTCCATGTAACTCTGCCCGCCGAGGTGGCGGCGGATTCCGGACGGTAGCGGCTTGGTGCCGTCGCGGCTCCACCCGCCGCCCGCGCGGCCCGACCAGAGCATTTTTGCCACTGTGAGCTTCGCGATCTCTGGGTCATTCCCCGGAAGGGAGGACGCGATTTCAGGGTTCGGAAACCATTGCCCTTTTCCGTTGAAGTACAAAAAGGCCGCGTCGCCCGGCCCCCCCTGGAGCTGCGAACACTCCCACTTTCCCAGCACATCGCCGTTTTTGCGCCGCGCTTGTGGTTGGATAGCCCAATCCGCAGAGTCGAGAAGGCCAGCAAGATTATTTGAAGACGTCGAACTGCTCGGCGCACTAGTCTGTGCACGGTTTTGATGATCGTTTAAGGCCTGACGCTCCTGTGTAGATGAAGTCTGCCCCCCGCTTCGAAAGAACGTCCTTCGCTTACCTCCGGCGAGTACTAGTTGGTGCCGCGCGAGGGCCTGCTGCAACACCTCTGGCATTCTTTTCACCTTCGTGGGGTCTGCCCGGAGTAAGGACATGTAGAGCCCTATCGGTCCCGTGGTATCCCAAGGGGTGTTTCCGTAGCTGTGCAATTCCGCACGGCGGAATAAATGGTAGATCATGTCCCCGAGGAGTAGGTTTAGAGGTTTCGCCGCCATGAAACCATTTGTCAAGCCTTGTAATGATGAGTCTTGATTCGGCCAATTGGGCAACTGCTTGATAGCCGGAAACGACTCGAAAAAATTAGGGTCTTTGACCCCAAACGAAAACGAGAACTCTTGGCAGGCAAAGATGAGCCCAATGTCGTCCTTGTTTTGCATTTTTTCCTCCGCAACGACCGTGCCCGCGACGGGGTCTCTCGTCACTTTTCTTGGGGACCGGAACTTTTCCGTCCCGGAAAACGCCATCTCCAAGAGCTTGTCCCAGCCGACGGTCGGGCCGACTTTCCAGTCACAGTAGACGCCTCCTTCCCGGTACAGGAATAGCAAGCGGAACAAGTCGGATTTTATCAACTGCAATTGTGTCTGGGTCTGGAAGAGTGCCAGACTTGTCATGCAGGTTTTTCGTGACCCATGAGGTCTCGTCTGGTATGGAGGACATAGCGTGACAGACTCTGTACGGCGAGTTCTATCATGCCTACTTATCCTACATGATACACTGCCTCTCGATTAGGTCAAAAGTGGACAGCATTTGGTAATCATGCAACACAGATTTTTACGATGAGTGTGATTCAGATTGATTGAGCATGACAAGTTGCTTTGTTCCAGACCCAGACATATTTGCAGTTGATAGATTTCATGGTGTAGATATCGAACGCGTCGAAAGCCCAGAGCATTTCCTTTTTGTAATGCTCCTGCAGATATTCTCTCGCCGCATTCAGGTTGAAGAACTTCTATCCTGTGTAAAAACATCCCGCTCACCCCAGAGTTGTCATGCTAAACAAAATGCGACACACTTTGCCCCCCCATTCATTGCACCATGGCCGCAGATGGCTTGATGCGCCGGGCGGGTGGGTCAGGCGGACACCAAAGTGCCATCACCATCATCTCCCGGCCACTTTTTCTCCCGACCCCAGAGTTATCATGCAGATCTACAAGCACAAGAGCATTTGTAATGCGCATCTCCATGAGAGGCATTTCCCATGATCGTGTTTTAGAACTTGTGATGGTGCTGTAAACAGGATAAGAAGATGGATTTGCTATGCGGCTTCCCTTGCTAAATTGTATTACACTACAGCCTGCAACATGATGTCATGCGTGCCTCCCAAAACTTCAAGGTTTGTGTTGCAAAATCCCCATCTTGACTCTGGGGCGGTGGGGACGTTTTTACAAATGATAGCTTCACTTCAAACTCTTTCCCCGGTCCCGCGTTTAACTTGGCCCACTGCGCAAATCCTTGTGTTAAAGTTGGATCTATCCACTGCTGATACTTCAGAAACTCGTCCAAAGTCACATCCTTCTCGTCAAAAAACGCTGTGAGAATCAGAGTTCGCGGAACTTTCGTCTGGACAGGAGGAGCAATATTTTTTTTGTAGAAATTCCTTTCCACGTCGTCAATCGAGGCTTGGGTCAAAAAACCGTGGTATTTCTCGTGCATCATCCCCACTGGTTCCTTAACGTTTTCTATGTCCTCTGTTGGCCACACCCCCGGGCCGTCGTTGTAGTCGATATTCTCGTGGTGTTTCTGCGGGTCCTGTCGTGGAGAGTCGCCATCGCCATCGCCACCACCGTCATCGCCACCACCGTCATCGCCACCACCTCCATCGCCACCACCGCTACCGCCATCGCCACCACCCCCGCCGCTAAATGGCCAGACCACGTCTCGAAACGAAACGCATTCTCCTTTTCTCGATCTCGTGTACAAAGATTCACTCCAGCCGTCGAACCAGGGAACGAAAATTAAAACGCAAGTACCGCCTGCGAGGACGAGAAATACGAGGAGAAGAATGAGCACGCACTTTTTCGTGCAGCACTGGCAACAGCCCCCGCGGGAGGAGGTTGTTTCCACATTCTCCATCTCCTGTTCCTGATCTGCACCAGCATCTTCAACGTGTCCCAGTGCGTTCCTCGCACTAGTATCCACTGGTACAACTTCATCTCCCGCACTCAGCAGTAGAGCCGCATTCTCGTCCCGGGCGGCCGCAGCGGGGTAGTACGTGGAGATCGAGTTTTCATCTCCTGCGGGAACCTCCATTCTAGGTCGTGGATCCGGATCATCATAGTGCAGCGAGGAAGGTGGCGGCGATAGCAGTTTTTTTGACGTGTTAACATCAGTCGTTACATGATCATCCCCACGACGGTGATCAGCTGCACGAGGACCAGGCACCATGGCGACTTGACGTCGTTCCACCTTTTCGCCGCTCCGTGTTCTGGCGGCTGGTTGTGGTACTGGCACTATGTATAAGTGGTTGCTATCAAAGGATGATGCGTCGCTTCTAGGTATAAAATTTACTCATTTCCTTATTGTCCGCAAAGTGCACACTATGCAAGAAAAAAACTGTGTAAGTAGGTGTAAGTTTCTTCGCAGATCGCTGCGAAACCTTGGAAGGAAGAAGATCAGCTCTCACTACGTATCAGTAAACATTGGTGGTTTTACCAGCGTCTCAGTTTCGGTTTCGAAAAATCAAATCCGGAAAAGAGAAAAGCTCCTGTGCACAAAGTTTATTTTGGTTTTTATTTCCTCCAAAATGTCAATTTGTATTGCCGCTGCCAATTAGCATCAACAGCGGGGCAGTGATGTCATGATCTCAATTTTTTCAGCAGCTGCGCCAGTACGCGTACTCAGTGAACATTCTGCGCGATTCGTGATCAATTTTCTACTACTCCCCTCGAAGATGAGTGATCCATTTCTTTTGTAGTGATCCATTAATTTCTATCGTAGTGATCCATTTCTATTCTCAATAGTCTCGAAGTATGACTATGAACATTCTGAAGCACTTAGCACCTGTATCCGGAACGGCAACTCTTGACGCATTTCGCTCTTTTGTAGACAGGGACGGAGTAGCAGTAGCGACGCGCGCTGCTTCCAAATCGGGGCGAACACATGAAGACTGCTCTACTCTACTGAAGCTAGTGTGTGCGAGGCATAAGCCTTGCGCGTTGGAATCTTCGAAAGTACAGCGCTATAATTGTGCATCTTGCTACTTCGAGCTGGTTGCGCCTCTGGAAAGTGCAGGAACAGAATGCACACCAGTGAAGCTGCGCTGAACCCTATTCCAGAACGCGCAAGCAGGCGGAAACCACGTCTCCCCTGCATACGACTGATTTTCTTCGCAACAGCAACAGCACCCTACGTTTGTCGTGTTCACAGCATTTCACTCTTCAGAATGCCTCATACGTAGAAAACTTCGGAATCGCTACTACTAATACTACTAGAAAACATAGCGTCATCAAATCAAATCAAATAGTTTTCAAGTCGCCTAGTGCAACGAACTCGAGATTCTACCCAGGGCTACAAGGGTAATCGCTCGCCAGGGGCACCATCAACAGAAGGAAGATTGGGAATGACACGGGCCACACCAAAGTGATTGCGAAAGAAACCTTTATTTCTGCCACAACTCAGGTTGTCATCATCATACATCATCTTTCTAGCATAGGGTAGGATTGCAAAAAAGGGTTGATTGGGAGGATGTCGCTATTCAATGATCGGCGCTACATTTTTATGGGTCGTGAAAGCGCGCACTGGAACTACTGTATTGTACATAGACGTAGGAGTTGTCGTGACTTCTAGAACTACTGCATTGTACATTGTCGTGAACTAGAAAGCGCGCACTAGAACTACTGTAATGTAAATTGTCGTGAAAGCGCGCAGGACGTGGAAGGTGTATTGTACACAGAAGAAGGCACCCACACGTCGACCCCGATCAGGACGGGGCTTGAGCATGTCATGCGGAATTTGTAATGCAGGATAAAGTTCGAATTCGTACTGGGAGCAAGCATGCATCATTGGCGAAATCTGAACTATGAGCTATTTCTTGCTTTTGCATTTATTGCACAGCTGCTCGTCGTCCCTTGATGCCCTTCTTACCGACACTGGTACTCCTTATCCGGGACGCCCGGCCAGGAGACCCCTGAAACCTCCTCGTAACAATTATCGAATGCAAATATATGTCTGGGTCGTCTGGAAAAGCAGCGCGAGATCTCTCATGCAGCTTTTGCCCGACCCGGATCTTCGTCGGGCATGGCAGACCTAGCATCACAGATTGATAATGATTTCGAGCAGGTCTCCAAATGTTGCCTAATGCGCCCCTCTTTCGGTATACAGAACAAATGCGCCCCTCTTGCTGGCCATGCATGGCAGATTTTGTCATGATCTAGAATAGTTCGCATGACAAATTGCGATGCTCCTTTCAGACCCAGACTACATATTTGCCATGCATAGCAGTTGGCTGCGAACCACTTCCGCTCCTTCCAGTCCTCCATGTAGTTCCGCCCGTTGAGGTGGCGGGGGATTCCGGGCGGCAGCGGCTCGGTGCCACCGTGGCTCCATCCGCCGCCCGCGCGAGTGCCCGACCAGACCTTTTTTACCACGGCGAGCTTATCGATCTCTGGGTCATTCTATCAAATGTAAAAATGTCTGGGTCTGGAAGAGTGCAAGTTTGTCATGCTTGTCTGGCATGACTCTGAAATCTGTCATGCACATTACTGAAGAGCCCCACTTTTCTGTCATGCAGAAACGTATTTTGTCATGCAGAATAGGCAACACCTAGAAGCTCAGAAACTTGTCATGCTGAGCCAGCAATTGTCGCCTCCTCATGATATGCCACACAGCATCACAAGTTTCCAGACCCAGACATTTTTACATTTGATACATTCCCCGGAAGGGAATAGGCGATTTCGTGGTTGGGAAGCCAGTGGTTTAGTCCGTTGAAGACCAGAAACGCTGCGTCGCCCGGGCCCCCCTGGAGCTGTGAACACTCCCACTTTCCGAAAACATCGCCTTTTTTCCGCCGCGCTTGTCGTTCGAAAATCCACTCCGCAGAGTCGATATCCTGTGCAAAAGTATCGTACTCGTAGTAATTGCATTTATGCATTACCAATTTCTTTCTCAAGGCAAATCAGCATTACAAATTTAATTTGTAGTGCTGGGCTAATTTGTATTTGTAATGCAATTTATATATACTAGTACGATGCTTTTGCAGTTCATAGTCGAGGAGACCAGCGAGGTTTGAAGACGTCGAATTGCTGCTCGGAGGTCGTGCACTAGTCTGTGCACGGTTTGAAAGATCAGAACCCTGCTGACGCTGTGTACTAGAGGAAGTCTGTGTCTGCCCCCCGGCGCTTCGAAACAACGTCCTTCGCGTAGTACTTCCGGCCAGTGGTTGGTGCCGCGTGAGGGTGGCCTGCTGCAATACCTGTGGCATTTTTGTCACCTTCGCGGTTCTTGGGTCTGCGCGAAGTAAGGAGATGTAGAGGCCTATCGGCCCCGTGGTATCCCACACGGTGTTTCCGTAGGCGTGCAATTCCACGCGACGGAATATGTGGTAGATCATGTCCCCGAGGAGTAAGTTCAAAGGCTTCGCCGCGATGAAAGCGTTCATCAAGCCTTGTAATGAGGAGTCTTGATTCGGCCACTTGGGCAACTGCTTGATAGCCGGAAACGATTCGAAAAAATAAGGGTCTTTGACCCCAAACGAAAACGTGAAGTCCTGGCAGGCGAAGATGACTCCAATGTCGTCCTTGTTTTGCATTTTTTCCTCCGCAACGACCGTGCCCGTGACCGGGTCTCTCGTCTCTTTTCTTGGGGACCGGAACTTTTCCGTCCCGGAAAACGCCATCTCCAACAGCTTGTCCCAGCCGACGAGCGGGGCGAGCTTCCAGTCCATGTATACCCCCCCTTCCCGGTACAGGACTAGCAAGCGGAACAAATCGGATTTCATGGTGTAGATATCGAACGCATCGAATGCCCAGAGCATCTCCTTTTTGTAATGCTCCTGCAGGTACTCTCTGGCCGCATTCAGGTTGAAGAACTTCACTTCAAACTCCTTTCCCGGTCCCGCGTTCAACTTGGCCCACTGCGCAAACCCTTGTGTTTTCTCCGGATCCCGCCAGTTCTGATACCGCAGAAACTCGTCCAAAGTCACATCCTTTTCGTCAAAAAACGCTGTGAGAATCAGAGTTCGCGGAATTTTCGTCTGGACAGGAGGTGCGGGAGGTGGTGGTGTAGTTCCACTTCCAGGTGGAGCTGCAGATGGAGCAACACCAATATTTTTTTTGTAGAAATTCCTTTCCACGTCATCAATCGAGGCTTGGGTCAAAAAGCCGTGGTATTTCTCGTGCATCATCCCCACTGGATCCTTAACGTTTTCTAAGTCCTCGGTTGGCCACACCCCCGGGCCATCTTTGTAGTCGATTTTCTCGTGGCGGACGCGGTGTTTCTGCAGGTTCTGTCGTGGAGAGCCGCCCAGCAGGTTCTGTCGTGGAGAGCCGCCCTGCAGGTTCTGTCGTGGAGAGCCGCCACCGCCATCGTCGCCACCGCTATCGCCACCACCGCCATCTTCGGGACCACCGCCATCACCACCACCGCCATCTTCAGGACCACCGCCATCACCGCCACCGCCACCACCGTCATCGCCACCACCGTCATCGCCACCACCGCCACCGCCACCACCGCCCCCGCCGTTAAATGGCCACCCCCATTCTCGATTCGAAACGCATTCTCCTTTTCTCCTCCATCTCGTGTACCAAGATTCACTCCAACCGTCGAACCAGGGAACGAAAATCAAAACGCAAGCACCGCCTCCTGCGAGGACGAGAAATAGGAGGAGAAGGATGAGCACGACGCAGTTTTTTGTGCAGGAGCACTGGCAACAGCCCCCGCGGGACGAGGGGGTTGTTTCATCAACATGCTCCATCTCCTGTTCCTGATCTGCTGCACCTCCAGCATCTTCAACGTGTCCCACCGCGTTCGACGTCGCATTAGTATCCACTAGGACAACTTCATCTCCCGCACTCAGCAGTAGAGCCGCATTCTCGTTCCGGGCGGCCGCAGGGGGGTAGTACGTGGAGATCGAGTTTTCAACATCTCCTGCGGGAGCCTCCATTCTGGGTCGTGGATCATCTCCACGACGGGGCACCATGGCGCCTTGACGTCGTTCCACCTTTTCCTCGTCGCCGCTCCGTGTTCTGGCGGCTGGTTGTGGTACTATGTATAAGTGGTTGGTCAAAGGATTATGTGTCGCTTCTAGGTAGAAAATTTATTTCCTTGTTATTGTCGTCCGCAAAGTGCACAGTATGCAAGAAAAAAACTGTGTAAGTAAGTGTAAGTTTCTAGCAGTTACTGCTAGATGAAACTTTCTTCGCAGATCGCTGCGAAACCTTGGAAGGAAGAACTTTTAAGACTTTTTTACAATAAATTTTTAGTTTATGGTAAATCATGCTGGATTAGCTTTCACCATGTATCAGTAAACATTGGCGGTTTTAGCAGCGTCTCAGTTTCGGTTTCGAAAAATCAAATCCGGACGAAAAGAGAAATGCTCCTGCGCACAAATTTATTTTTTGGTTTTTATTTCCTCCAAAATGTCAATTTGTATTGCCGCTGCCAATTAGCATCAACAGCGGGGCAGTGATGTCATGATCCCAATTTTTTCAGCAGCTGCGCCAGTACGCGTACTCCGTGAGCATTCAGCGCGATTCGTGATCAGTTTTCTACTATTTCCCCCGAAGATCATGAGTGAAGATCCATTTTTTTTGTACGTGATCCATTAAGTTCTATCGTAGTGATCCATTTCTAATTCTATTCTCAATAGTGATAGTCTGTCTCACGACGGCACCGAGAGAACTTTTCCTTGCCTCCAGCAAGTAGAGAGAAGCAGAGAGCAGTTTGTTCCTTGAGAAGACTTTTCGATCTTGATTTTGTTCTCGAAGTCGCAATCCCCAGTGGTAAGTAGATACAAATAACTGACTATGACAACAACGAGCAGGAAATTGTCACCTGCCTCAGTCGTGGTCGTGCTTGATTTCTATATATTTATTTCTTTACGTCTTTAGTGAGCAAGTGCAAACAAGGCTTGATCTTCGTGCTGTGGCCAAATTACGGAAAGCGGAAAAGAAAAAGCGCCCCCTGCGATTGGCGAAATGCGATTTCTTTCAAAAAGAACAGAAAAGTTGGAATCCTCTTCCTGCCTTTGTATCGACGCGTTCATTCCTATGTACCTATTTCGTGAGCAACCACGTATCGACAGCTGGTCCCTTATGCGCGAAGATTTTTCTTGTCGTGATAGTACAACAGGTATCAATAAAGATATATAAAACTTGATGTTGTAGCAGCTGATGGTGATGACACAATGCGCATGCGGTGCCGCTTCGCGGTTCATCTGCGCCGTGCCGCTTCGCGGTTCATCTGGTGTGGTGGTGCAGGTCAATTCAATGCAGTCCTGGTTTTAGAATGTCAGTCTAGAATGTTTTTGCACTGATTAATTTGCTTTTGAAAAACAAAAACTTTTAAAAACGAGAAGAGGTGTTGATACAACATATATAATGCGATCTACAGGAGCTTGAAATTCCTGCGACGATAGATCGATCGAGGCTCGTCTTTGCCTCAACTTACATGTTATCTGGACAAGAATACAACTGTAGACCTTGTCCTGGCATTGGGATATACTAGGGTCTCTACGAAAAACGGCCTGGGAGTGGTGCGAGTGTTGAAATCATGCGCATATTTTACAACAATCGCGAATAAATTGTTGTTTTTCCTCACACTGAAGCAGTGCTCGGTCTCGTCACAGCGAGGGCAAATAAGTCCGATTTCCTTACTATCCTGGAGGAGGAACTTCTTGATGTAGAAGTTCTTGCACAGGCCTATCCGATATCAAATGCAAATATGTCTGGGTCCGGAAGGCTGCCAGGTTTGTCATGCAAATCCTGTATGATCCATGACGCCGGCGTTAATGCATGGTCTAGCATCACAGATTTTTAGAGGGCTTCCTAATGCGTGCCCCGCATGAGAAATGCCCTCTTCGCGTAGGACAAGCCCGACCCTTCTTGCTGGTCATGCAATGCAAATTTTTTTACAATCCAAAGACAGCATTACATACAAATTGCAACCTTCCAGACCCAGACATTTTTGCATTTGATATCAGCACTGCTCACCACGTTACTGCAGTCGTGCCAATATGAAATGCAAAAGCATTGCACTTCTAGTATAAATCACATGACAAATTGAAATTAGCCCAGCATTACATCAAATTGAATTTGTAGTGCTGATTTACCTTGAGGAAGAAATTTGTGATGCATAAATGCAATTACTACGAGTACAATACTTTTGCAGTGGATAGCCAGGCCTGGTAAAATTCATCCTCATCTCCCCCGTCTACTGCTCCGCGAATCGCAGCGCGAACTGATATGCCATCGTTTCCCTGCCGTACGAGCCACAAAACCATGGCTCGCAACAACGGGCTGAGCATCGTGAAAGGGTGAAGGAGGGTGAGGGTTTTCTGAAGTTCGTAAGCCTGCTGCGGCGGGATCGGGAAAGGGTCGTTTTGACCATGATCGTGGCGGGCCCCTCGTTGCTTGGATCTTCTCCGTGTGGGGTCGTTACTAGGTGGACCCACATCTTCCATATTTTGTACTGTCTGCTCTTCAGGATCAGGAATTTCAGCTTTTTCAGCAAGATCGTGCCTACTGTGAAACACTTGTTCACCTCGTCCAAGGGAAGCAGCACCTTCATCTGCTGCATCTGGCGGCGGGGCCGCTTGTGTTGATCCGGAAGACCTAGTAGTTTTCGCGTCACGGATAGAAGTTTTTAACTTCGCGTTCTCCCATACCCCGAGTAGGACCCCTTCTATCGGCTGGGTGTGAACGGGAAAGCAGGTTGATAAGTCCTCGCTGGAAGTAGTATCCTCATGCTCATCTTTCAGCAGATATTCTTCCATGCTCAGGAGAACGCCGACGCCTCCACTTCTGCCATCTTCAAAACCTTCAAAACTAGTCGTTTCCTCTGTGTAGTCGACATGTTCCTGCGCAGGATGGCACGACCACAGGCGCTCCTGGCAAAAGAACATGGCGTCATCTACTGCGCCCGCCCCGCCGGGAACGTATTGGTTATTTTCATCATCTAACGGCGGGGTTTCTCCTTGCTCCACCTCCGCGTCGAAGCGGCCATGTCGTTGCCCTCTATCCTCCGTCTTGCCCACCAAGAACTGTCGGGAGGTCCGCCGTGGTCGTCCGCCAGCAGACTTTTCTCCTTGTTCTATCCTGAGTAAAAACGTCCCCACACCAGAGTTGTAATGCAGATTTGCGTAGACAGGAAGACTTGTAATGCGCATCCCCATGAGAGCCATTTCCAATCGTGTATTGGAATTTGTGATGCTGTGAACAGGATGAGCAGATGAATCTGTGATGCGGCTGCAATTGCTAACCTGCACTACACTGCGGAGTGCAACTTGTCATGCGTGACTCACAAAACTCCTAGGTTTGTGTTGCAAAATCCCCATCCTGACTCTGGTGTGGGTACGTTTTTACTCAGGATATGTTCCACGCACCGCCGCGGCAGAAACTGGAAATCCAGAAACCCATTCGGCCTGCTATGGTGTTCTCAAACGTTACATTCTCAACTGTTACATGAATTTGTAATGCAAGACTAGTTCAGGTAAGAGGGAGAATCTTGCGCGTCTTGCATTACAGGTTTGGTGCGGACTACAGTGCTATTTAGCCCTCCGAGAACTTGTCATGCGAAGCAGCTTGATCGTCTGGCGGGTCGTGGTCATTTTGCATGACAAATCATGTAACAGTTGAGAATGTAACGTTTGAGAACCCCATACCTGCAGGTGGATGAGGATCTTCTTCTCGTTGATCTGTTTTCAAGGAAGACGCTGCGTTTCGGTTCATCCTGGGAAGTAGATTATGCATTGCAAAAGTATCGTACTAGTATAGATGCATTACAAATTTTCTCAGCATGAGAAATAAAATTTGTAATGCTGATTTGCCTTGACAAAAAAATTTGTAATGCAAGACTTGCATTTATACGAGTACGATACTTTTGCACAGGATATAGATCTTTCATGTGCAAAAGCCGCGACTTTCTGGCAGTCTTCGATTCTTCTATCCAACTCCGTGTTGAAGTGAACAACGTAGAGCGCGTATCAATCGTAAATATGTCATCTGGGTTTGGAAACTTGTGATGCTAGTTTGTGAATTGATGTGGGGGCACTCCTGTTTATTTTGAGTGTGTGACACGACACTGCAATACGCCACCACGCATGACAAGTTTTTGAGCTCCTCCGTGTTTTGCTTTCCGCATGGCATCAAACTGCGTTTATTTTGCACCACAGCAACGAGGCTTTTTAATATTTCCTGCTCGTGCATCTGCATTTTTACAGACATAACAGTCATGTGAGGCAAGCAGGACAAGCTTGCGTTCTTCCAGACCCAGACAACAGGTTTGCATTTGATAGCGCGGAGTAGAACAACAGTGTGCCCAGAAAAAATTGTTTACTTTTGGAATTGCTGGTCTGGATTTTCTTGTTCATTTTTTCCCTGTGGGCGACCCGCAAATGTTCTTTGCGCACAGTCGCTGCAGTTTCCTTCTTCGCGTCCCTTCTCGCTTTGTTCCTCGCTGCAGCGGCTGTCAGCTGGGAATTTATTTTTGCACCAGATGACCTGATGTTATTGTGCTGTTGCTGTGTCGGCTGTACCTGCTGTAGCAGCTTCGGGGTTCTTGTCTCCTGGTCGTGAATATCAAATGCAAATATGTCTGGGTCTGGAAGATTTCTAGATTTGTCATGCATATTTTCCATGACCCATGACGTCTGTGATGCATGCCGTAGCATCACAGGCTTTTAGAGACCCTCCTGATGCCTATTCCGCATGAGAAATACCCTCTCCGCGTAACACAAACTGGACTCCTGTTGCTTGTCATGCAATACAGACTTTTTCGGAATTCAAAAACAGCATTACAAGTTCCAACCTTCCAGACCCAGACATTTTTACATTTGATAGTGAACATTGGGGGCTCGTGCTGAAGACGAGTCGGGGGCAGAGCTAGATATAACCTGCTCAGGTGTTACAATCTCAAACGTTACAATAGAATCTTGAATTTGTGTTGCAAGAAGTGCGTTATCTGTCCAACTCTCATAGGATTGCGCATGACAAGTTCTGGAGTCCCAATCCGCACTACAATCTGGCGAAATTTGTATTGCAGAAAGTGGAATGCTGTCGGAATCTGTCATGCTCATCATGCAATACAAAACCCAGACTCTATTGTAACGTTTGAGATTGTAACGTTTGAGCAGGTCATACTAGAGCTACCGATTTTCCATTTCACAAACGCTTGCAGCGTCTCCATGATGAAGTGCTGATTCCCGCTTGCACTTGCTCCCTGCTCTCTACAATTTCTGGGACCACCACACGGCGAGGAGATTATAGTTCGTGCGGTACTGTCACTAGAAGGCGCGGCTCCTGAACCAGCTGGACTTCGTCCAGGTTTTGCTCCTCCTAACAAGTTGTCCATTGTTCCGTTGAAGAACATGGCGACCAGCTTTCTGGCCCAATGGGTGAAAAAGTGCTTCAGTTTTGCGATCATCTGGCTCAACACATACCATTTTCGCTTCTGATTTCCATTTTTGCACCGGGTCGTGTCGTCCGCATTGGGATTTGGTCCTCCGCCCGTTCTGTTCGCATAGATGAACCGATCCAACGCTCGGAAAAGCATCTGCTTCAACTGGAACAGCAAACGCAGAACCTTCTTTGCCCGAGAGATGTGAAAGAGTTTTTGAGCGTACAGCCCGTGGCGCGACGATGGAACCGTCCTCGTGCTGGAAGGTGGTTCTCTTGCAGATCGATGTTCCAGATAATTATCCACGTGAGCCGCAGCCCTAATACTTGCAGCCGCGGCCCCTTGTTGTGCTGACGAGACGGGTAGAGGTTTTGCCCTCTCCTGCTCCTCTGCGAGGCGCTTTAAGGTTTCCGCAATGTGTTTTTTTCTCCTCTTCCCTCGGCCAGTAACAGAGTCTGGGCCGAAGTAGCCACGCGGAATCTCTTCGCCGCCGTCAATGAGGGGAAATCTCGCTTTGGAATGCCGCCTCCGCGTATCAAATGCAAAGAGACTTTGACTTGTCATGCACTTTTTGCGTGAGCCATGATGTCTGTGATGCATGCCGTAGCATCACAGATTTTTTTTTCGAGGGGTTCTTGATGCCTATTTCGCATGACAAATGCCCTATCCGCGTAGCAAAAATTACATTCCCTTTGGTGCTACTCATGCAATACAGATTTTTTTGGAATCCAAATGCAGCATCACAAGTTGCATGCTTCCAGACCCAGATGACATTTTTGCATTTGATACCGCGCAGCGTGGTCCAGCTTGGCCTGCTTTTTTGCCTCCGCAACCCGCTCCTGCGTTTCCGCTGGGGAGAGATAGGCAGGCTGCGGTTCTTGTGAGGCTGCTTTTGGCCCCCGGTCATCAACAGCAACGGTGGCTCCTGCACCCGGTCCTCTTGGCGGTGGATCTGCCACGAAACCCGGTCGTGCTTGTTTATCCCTTGGGACCTGAAGTCGCGGACCTAGGCTCCTAAGTTTTTCCCGGGCGGATGCGAAAGTCGACGTTCTCGGCTGCGCAGCGGCAGTGGCGGAATCTTCGCCCGAAGAAGTCGTGGTGGGAGAGGCGGCGAACGAAGACGCTGATACACTTTGCTGGCCGCACGACCTTATGAAATGCGAAAGCATCGTACTAGTATAAAAATAAATCGCATGACAAATTCCCTCAGCATGAGAAAGATGTAATGCGGATTTACCTTAAGAAAAATATTTGTAATGCATGATTGCAATACGAGTACGATACTTTTGCACAGGATAGACCTGTCGTCCAGTTTCGCTAGGCTCATATGCCACGGGACCGTCTTGCTCCGCTGTAGGCCGCCCTTGGCAGACTTATTTCCTGCTAATTGTTCATCTAGGGCGCTGCTGGTGCCATCGCCAGCACCGTGTTTTTGTTTCATCGCAGCAAAATTTTTACCACCAACTACACCGAGGCACAAGGGGCTGTTGCCTCGCATCAAGGGCCTAAACCCTAAGCCCCCTTCTTCCTCGTCTTTCGTTTCATCATTTTCACTCGGGAGGACGATAGAACTTCTATCTCGCAGTAGCTCCAGCTTACTCAGCATCCGCATGTCGTCTGCCAGTGTCAGCATGTCGTTTGGTACGGGTGTAGGAGAAACTTTCTTATGCACATCGTCGAAAGAAGATGAAGAACCAGCAATACTGCATTCGCCGAGCTCTTCGTCGTCGCCAACATCGGAAAATGATGATGAGGACGATGGGGACGAGAGATTTGAGGAGTCCTGCAACAGGAACTCCAGAGCGGAAAGATCCTGCGGAGTTGTACGCTGAAAATTTGCTCGGCTGGCTACCGACGGATTGAATTCGATCTTCTCGGTCTTGACGCTCCCATCCTCGGCCTCGTCGAAGGTAACACGACGCTCCCGGGGGTCCTGTTGTACTGCGAGACTGTTCGAAGAACAGGAAGCATAGGATCCTGACGTACTTGAACCAGCACCAGAACCTTCTCGTTTCAGAATCGATGGCTTGTTCATTGTCGTTCTAGCAGCAGCAGCAGCAGCGGGCCCTCGTCCAACATTATTAGGCTGCAAAAGCCTACAAGAACTACCCGGTTGACCAGCGAACGATGCTTCTGCAGGACGGCGCGCTGCTTGATGTTCTTGTGCCTCCGTGTGCTTTTTCAGGAGTTTCTGTAGCTGGTCCGCCCACTGAACATCTGTAGCTGGTGGCGAAGATGCAGCGGCAGCTGCTCGTTCTCCCCCTGCCGTGGTTTGTGTAGTTTCATCCTGTGCAGGAGCTGAACCTGCTTCCAACGCCACTGCTAGGGGCTCGGGTTCATCTACAGCTTCACGCAGTAGCTCTCCTCGGTTGCAACTATTAGATGTACAACTTCCAGATGAATAAGGTCCTGCTGCTCCTCCTCCTCCTGCCGCAACTCCAGGGGATGATCTTGCTAAAAACAAGTTGTCTACTGCATCCCGTCCTCGACCGGCCAATCGATTTGGATTTGCGGTGCTGGCCAGGAGCGCCATTGGATTATAAGGGGGCGTCACAGAGCCGGAGTCAGGATAGTTGGATGAGGAAGACGAGGAAGATTCCTCGTCCTTGTCCATTTTGATGTTGGCAGATAATGTTGACACCTCTGTACTAAATCTAGAACCGGCCACATCACAACGACCTCCAGAGCTCCTAGAAGTTGTACAACTATAACTAGGACTATCGGAGGCCGCAGCATCATGTCGTCCACGTGCTGAAGCCACTGACACGGCAGCGCTTTTGATGAAACTGTCCCGGGACGACGAGGCGGAGCTGTCACCGCGATTTCCTTCAGGAAGTAGAGGTGTCCGCTCGACGGGGGGGCGTTCTCCTTCTTGCGGCAAATAACCACTACTTTTCTTGCGCGCATAATCTTCACGGTCTACTTTTCCTCTGCTTTCGTCGGAAAAAATCTGCAATCTTTTTTCGAAATCCTCTGCCAGCTTGTGGCTGTCGTTCTCGAGGTTAGAGGATGGAAGAGGAAGCTGCGCACTATGCCCTTTCAAAATATCATCTTGTTCCCACAAGAACTCTGGTTTTTTACTGTTCTCAATCGCGACCTCCAGCTGCGGAGACAACAAGGCGGAAGAGCTGGTGAACTTCTTCGACTTATTCCTGTCTTTGCTTACTCGCGAGTGATGTGTAGTAGCTTTCTGTGCGACGACCTCCACAGGCGAAGCCCCCGAGAGCCCCTCTTCTGCCTCTGGCTCCTCGAGAGGAGCTACTTCTACAACCTCTCCTGCCCCTGCGTGGTCAACGTACATCGCAGGTGGGAGTTCTTGTAGCTTTATCTTTTCCACTTGTGATGAACCACACGACCGTTCAGAGGTACACCTGCGGTCCAGATCGTACCCGCAGCTTGTGCCCAACAAAATATCGAAGTCATCTTGTTCGTTGTCTGTGTCAACGAGCTCTATTTCAGGATCGGCGGTCGGCCTCAGCAAAAATCCTGACGATTTTTCCGAACCAGCAGTTCTCCTACTTGCTGCACCATTTGCAGGGGGTGGTTTAATGCAGCTCTCAACTCCAGCATCCCGAGGAGCGCTGGAATGTCTACCTGTGGTGCTAGTCCTCGTAGTACTTACTGGAAAAGAAATGCTGGTGGAAGACGGAGCCGACACAGGAGCAGGAGGAACAGGGCCGCCCTCGCTTCTGTTTATATGTGCGGCTTCATCTTCTACACACGACCTTCCTGAAGATCTGCCGTCTCGTCCACACGCCCTTCCTGCTAGTACGCTCTCACTTGTACGTAGTGCGTCCACCGCAGAAATAAAGTCGAATACTCCTGTGAATCGACGCGCATCAGAAGTTTCTTCTGGTGTGGAAATAAGTTCTCGCCCGGCGCTGGTGCAATTGTAAAAAAGATCGTGAAAAATGCTGGATAGTACAACCGCGGTCGTCGTGGCCGCCATGATTCCGAAAAAATAACCGCCTTTTCGTCGAAATGGGTCTCGAGTAGCTGGCTGCCGTTGTCTAGACAGATCAGCGCCCCGCTTCGGCGCCACGGTTTCAATATTTACTTGTCTCATTTTTACGTATAGGATACTGTCATTGTTTATCTTTTGCGTTATTGAAGATAAAATAGAGAAACTGAGTGCCCCATCAGATGATGATGATGATCACGTAAATGATATAAGTAATTTCCTTCTGCTGCAAAAGCAAAATACAACCAAGACCAAAAAATGCAGTCGAACTCGATAAAGAGCTCTAGGTTCTACTTCGATAGATTTCAGAGAACATGGTTACTTATGCGAAATAAAAAACACGTGTCAGAAGTGACTGAAGCAGGTAAGAAGAATGAGAATCCTGCAGAGAACCGCGAATGACAGTGGTCAAAGTGTAGTTGGATCTCGTTGCGGGCTGGGCCGGCAGGCACGACATAGATCTTTCTCGAATGGGATTCGGATTGTTGGGAGAGTCGATCTTCGAAGGCATGATCTTTTCCTCGCAGCAGTGGTCATTGAAACGTCTTCGTCTTGATAGAACTGCGCGCGCGACACACGACGAGACTTTGTGTATACTTATCATAAACTTTTCAGGGATCGTGTGCTTGTGCCTGCGCCTGCCCCAACCAAGAGTTACTTTTGCCGTAGTCTGGAGCAAGTCAAAGTCTTTTTTGTCTTCTTAAAGTGACTGAGGAGACCGCGCCTCCGTAGGTTGATTTGTCCAGCAGATTTCCCATCTTGGCTATGGTACGAATCGTGAGTAAGTGAGTTTTATCTACGCACAACTTGGATCCTGTATGTATGTATCTACGCACAACTCGAGGCACTAGAACAGCAGTCTTCTGCATCTGTGATTGAGGTGACTGTGAGAGCCATGTCGAAAAACCGTTGTGGTTGGGATGATGAACCAGAGGACCGCAGGCGCAGCGCGGGGGGCTTCCATGCCTCCTCGTCCTCTACATGGGCAAGAACGAGGAGCCCATTGGACAGCGTAGCTGCTTCGATCGAACTCCTGCCACTATGGAAGTGTCAGGATTGAAATCGTCAAAGTTGAAATAACTTGTAATCATGCTAAACCGACCGAAACCACTACACAACCTGTAAGGGCACCTTACCGCACGTGGTTCGGCCACCAGGTCGTGGAAAAAATGCATAAAATCGATACCAGTTGGAGTCCCAATTTCTAAGCGGTGCATGACAAATTTGCCGAGCACCGGAATCCAATTTCTCATGCTGTTTGGGCACAGAAGACTGGTTTTGTCATGCTCCTTTAGCAGCTCTATCCCAAACCCTAAATAGGCTCACAATCTGCCTCACTTGCCATCCCTGCAAGAGAGGCACTTCATGCCCTGCAATTTATGCATGAGAAATTATTTCAACTTGTTTGACGATTTCAATCCTGACACCCCCCCGCCCATAGCCATCAGTGTCAAGCGGGGGCAGCTGAGCTAGTTCTTCCTCGGACAGGGGTACCCGGTCGACCATAATTCGTAGGTGTTGCGCCGCTGGGGTAATGTCGACTTTCGCGCAAAGCTCATCATGATGTTGAACAAGCCGTCGTCTTTTACTCCCTGCATCAGGATGTTCTTGAACAGGCCTGTAGATAAACTGGTCATCAATAGTTACTTCCACCTCTCGCATTCCTTTTTGAGTCAGTGCATCTTCCAAAAGTTTAAGACAATGCCGAAGCGGAGCCTCTAGTTGGTCGACTGCAAGACGCGCCGCGACGGCAGCGCTGTACCCACAATCGGCTCCATAGCACACCAACTGTGCAGCCAGACCATACGGATGACCGACTGGCATAGATGTCCTTTGCATTGTACTCTGACCAGCTTGCTGCATAGATTTCATTCGAAGCTGACGACTGAGCTTGGACAAGTCCTCAACTGGCATGGGCAGGTGCGGGCGTTGGCCAAGAAGGTTATAGAATGCACGCCAGCTTGCATTAATTTCAGACCTCCTCTTCTCCCCCTCCCTCCCCAAAACCAACGCGTCAAAGACATTGTGAAGGTATTAAAAATAAAAATCCCCCCTTCATCCCATATCAAAACGAAATTTCTGATGCTGGATTGGGATATTACACAAATCCAATTTGTGTTGCAGAAAGACTGCGCGCAGATCTCAAGCCTAGGCAAGGGCCTTTTGGTGTAGGCACCTAGCATGGTTGTAGACGGCTAGTACCCTGTAGGCCTGGCAGCGTCACAAATCGCCTGCATAACGTCACGGACAGCTGCCTGAATGTGCCTTCTTGCAAGACAGATTTGCGGTCACAAATCTGCATCACAAATTTTCAGAAGGTGAAGGATGCGTGTTCAACATGGAGATTGGGGATTTTTCCTCGTAATAGAAGGAATAACTTGCTAACGAAAGGCGCAACCTCCGCCAAGAACCCAAAGGGCAGATCCTCAAGGGTGGAAGCGTCAGCTCGAGGTAAAATCTCATCCGCTGCCCCCGTCGCAGCTGCACCATCGGCGTGCCTGCGCCTGCGCTTCTGGGGAGGCGGTTGGCTATGCTGCACCCGTCCCGCGCCGGGAGAAGGAGGACTTACTGGAAAAGCAATGCTGGAAGAAGGAGCCGATACAGGAGCAGGAGGAACAGGGCCGCGGCCCTCGCTTCTGTTTATAATTTGCGCGGTTTCATCATCTTCTACTTCTACACACGCCCTTCCTGAAGATCTGCCGTCCTCTCGTCCACACGACCTTCCTGCTAGTACGACGCGGTCGCTCGTGCCTACTGCGTTCTCGTTCACCCCAGGTATCAAGTCGAATACTGCCAAAGCGAATCGCGCACCATTGGCGTCAGAAGTCCTCGTAGCTCCTTGTTCTGCGCGAAAATCGCAAAGACCGTGAATCATGTATCACGAGAAAAAAGTGTTACAGTTACACACTTGTTGGCGTTTCTGCATCACAAATTTTTTTGTGTGTGGCAGGGCAAACTTGTAATGCGAAGATCATAAGGGAAAACAGGAAGGAAACGAGGCTCCCAGGCATTTCCTGCATGAGAAAGGTTATCTGTGTTGCCGGTCTTGCAATCCAATGTGTAACTGTAACACTTTTTTCTTCGCATATCATGCTAGAAGATATTACTGCGGTCGTCGTCACCGCCGCCAGAACTTCGAAAAAATAACCTCCTTGTCGTCGTTATGGAAGCGTCAGGATCGAAATTGACAAAGTCGAAAAATTTGTGATGCATAAAATGCATGGCGCGAAATACGTGCGTTGCAGAGCAGGCAAGTGAGGCCGATTGTCAGCCTGCTTGGGGTTATAGCTCGAGCTGCTAAAGCAGCAGGAGAGAATCAGTCTTCTTTGCCTAAACAGCATTACAAACTGGATTTAGGCACCACCAGAATTTGTCATGCGCCACTTAGCAACTGGGTTCGAATTGGAATCCATTTTATGCATGACAAATCATTTCGATTTTGTCAATTTCGATTCTGACACTTCCATAGTCGTCGATAGCATGGTCCTCGAGAAATAGGAGCTTCTTGCCGTTGTGTACTACTACACAAAAGAACACCGCCTTGACGCCTCGTCCCCGGCGCGGCGGTTTCAATATGTACAAGTTGTCTCATGATTTTCTTTCACTAAACTCAATCCGTGGTATTGTTCTTCTTGTTTGTTTGTTTGGTGTGCTCTAGGTTCTACTTCGATAGATTTATTTAGACAACATACACATAGCTTGTTGCTTATGCGAAATAAAAAACACGTGTCAGAAGTGGCTGTCTGAAGTAAAAGTCCCGCGGAGATGAACCGCGAAAAGATGACAGTGGTCAAAGTGTAGTTGGATCTCGTTCGGGGCTGCGCCGGCAGGCACGACATAGATATTTCTCGAATGGGATTCGGATTCTTGTTGGGAGAGTCTATCTTCGAAGGCATGATCTTTTCGCACCAGTGGTCATTGAAGCGTCTTCGTCTCGATGGAGCTGCAGGAACCAGTTTTACAGTCATAACTCGATGAAGATCAAGTTCAAGATAGAGATGTAGCAAGGCTCCATAGAAGTAAAACCCTGCGGAAAGAGCTTGTTTCCCGATCTTAATCATGCACTACTACAGATCCCGCGACGCACCAAGAACACGTGGAAGTTCAAATGGGGAACGATAACGATCGTTTACAAAAACATCTCCATGTGCAGATCACCTCCTAAGACGAGTACTAATTCTTACTTGAACAAATCAACGGCCCTCTGCGTGTGCGTCTGTCTGCGCACAGAAAATTATGATCAGGTGCTGGTCCTCGTCCTGCTACAAACACGACATCCGCAGCTGGGGTTCGGACACAACGAGCCAGGTTGCATCGCTTTGTGAGCACCAGGGCCTATTCGTAGGACATCGCTCCTTTTCGAGCGGTGCCTTGATGTCAGATCGTTATCTTTGTAGCGCCACACGGGCCCGACAAAAAATCTGGAATCTTTTATTATTACTTCTGCAATAAAATCAGAAATAAAATTCTCTTGATGTAGTTTGTTTGCGTTGCCAAATTAATTCTCCGCCTCCTTTTTCGAAGGTTTTCGTTTTCTCTTCTAGTAATTGAGATTCGTTAGTTTTTTCGAACTAGCATTTCGAGTGGATTTCTGCAACGCTTCGAATTCCTTTTGTGAAAAATAAGTGCGTATAAACATCGCTGATCAGCAAGACATTTGCAGATTTGCTTCTTTACTCGCACCTCGCACCAGTCTTCCTTCCCAATATATTGTTTGATTAATGATACTTCTACTGGTCAAGCCATGGATAAAAATCGTGCGGTACGTTTCATCGGACCTCCGGCTGCGACTGCTCTGTTGCATGTGCAACGTAAATTTAAAGAACATCGAGGCCAGATGCAAACGATGACCATAAATAAATAGTTTGTTACGATAGAACTGCCCAAGAAAGCTATAAAATGCAAATATGTCTGGGTCTGGAAGAATGCAGGAGTTTGTCATGCAGATTTTGCATGACCCATAAAGTCTGTGATGCATGCCCTAGCATCAGAGATTCTGTGAGGGCTTTCTAATGCTCATACCGCAGAAGAAATGCCCTCTCCGCGTAGCACAAATTGCACCTCTTTTGCTGTTCATGCAATACAGATTTCATGCAGAGTCCAAAGGTAGCATCACACGTTGCATCCTTCCAGACCCAGACATATTTGCAATGCACAAAAGCTCCCCCCACCTCACGCTAGATGAAACCTCCGACGTGCTGCTTCCCATGCTTCCGATGGAGCTGCGAGAAGGTTGTAGGTTGTCACTGATTATACGTAAATCTGGGAGGATGGTCAGCGGGGGGCTGCCACAGTGCCGCGAGGCCGCAAATTCGTCGCACCTCCGCCGGGCCGAGCAATCCAACCAGTGCTATCATCCCGGGCCCCGAGCTATCAAATGCAAATATGTCTGGGTCCGGAAACTTGTAATGCTGAGTTGTGAAGAATAGTGAATTCTCTGTAATTATGCACAGCCAAGCATGAGAAATATTTGCGCGGCTTAGTGTTGCGCTTTCCACATTACAAACTGCTTTTTGCATGACAAGTGAAAGGGTTTCTATCTCTTCTTGGACACGCATGACAAATTCTTCAGTCATGCCAGACAAGCATGACAAGGAACTTGCATGCTTCCAGAGAGACCCAGAGACCTATTTGCATTTGATACGAGTGGAGGAAATCCAATGCCTCCCCCGGCTGCGTGACTGCTGCGGCTCGGTCCTGCAGGGATGGAGTCGAGCGGGGCAGTGGAGCCGGAAGAGTCTCCATACAATCCATGTTCTTCGTAATATTACTGACTCGCTTCATTGTTAGTAACGTTGTGTGAAGCTCTTCTGGGCCACCCACTAGGACGCGAAAGTTGGCAACGGCACGAGCAGAAACTACTTACTTACACTTACTTCTGTCTGAAGAACCGTATCTTTTTGAGTCGCTCACAGCATAAGTACTCACTATCTATGACAAAATCAGGCAGAATCAGAAACTACAGGATGCTCAAGTAGATCTTTCGTAAGCAACAGGCTGCGCAGGTACAGGTAGACGCGCTGTAAGTATGTGCCCTCGGATCTACTTCAGAAAAGTCCTCAGGTAGAAGTATGAACAGAAAGATCTCGCCAGTTGAAGAAAAAACGAAACAGAAACATACGATGATGATGAAACGGAAACGACGAAAAATAAATTCTGGATCGAGTGCCTGCTGACCGTATCAACATGTGACGGCACAACCGCGTACAATTCCTGGAAAAAGTCATCACTTCATCGGGACGAAGATACGAACTCCAACCCAACACGGAAAACTTGTTTAGAAGAAAAGTACTATTAGGTACGTTGCAGTGATCATAGTACGTACTCTCGTCCGACGTGCATTCGAAGTGTGGATCTTAATAGTTCTTATGATGTTCTCCACTTTTCGTCATCTCTTTCGATCAGAATTTGCGGAAATCAGTTCCAGCAAGTCGATACTCAAATCTGTGACTTCCTTCTTCCTATCAAATGTAAAAGTGTCTGGGTCTGGAAACTTGTGATGCTGGGTGGCGTCTCATGATGAGGCCACACATGCTGGCTCAGCATGACAAGTTTCTGAGCTTCTAGGTGTTGCCTATTCTGCATGACAAACCGCGTTTCTGCATCACAGAAAAGCGGAGCTCTTGGGTAACGTGCATGACAGATTTAAGAGTCATGCCAGACAAGCATGACAAACATGAATTCTTCCAGACCCAGACATTTTTACAGTTGATACTTCCTGCGGTTCTTATACTGCTTTTGAATCACAGAAGCGGCTTTCGCTTGCTCTTCAAGTTCATTTATTTCATCCTGCTGGTCTAACACCGCCTCGCGGTCAACATTTTTATTTCCCGAAAATGTTGAAGAACAACCAGCTTTCATTTCCGCATACGCAGTTTCCATTGCGTCCCTCTCACTCTGTGGTGTAGAAGTCCTCCTGTGTGTTGTTTTCAGTGCAGCTGTATCAAATGTAAAAATGTCTGGGTCTGGAAAAATGCAGAGGTTTGTGATGCAGCTTTGGCATGACCCAGACGGTCTACCATGCACGCCCTAGCATGACAGGTTTTGAGAAGGTCTCCTAATGCGTCATCCGCATGACAAAGCCCTTCTTTCGGTGGTCGGAAATGTGCACCTTTTGGCTTACATGCATGACAGATTTTTGTGTGATGGGAAATGCGCATCACAAGTTGCATCTTTCCTGACCCAGACATTTTTACATTTGATAAGCTGCAGCTGCCTCCGACGCAGCAGCACCGACTTGTTGAGTAGAAGAAGTACTGTGGCGGGTCGTGGTCTTTGCTGCTGCTCCTCCACAACTCGTTGCACTAGCTATCCAAGAAAAAAAGTGTGTAAGTGTAAAGTAACTTTCTTTGAGGAACAACAAAATCACAGATTTGCTCTGCATGACAGAGAAAACCTCACATGCGTACGCTAGTATGTGAAAACACTGTACGAGAAGAACCTCTGACGCATGTCCAGCATGACAAGTGTAGGCGTCTTGCATCCTCGTCTGCAACACAAAGTTACACTTACACATACACAGTTTTTTTCTTTCATACTAGCGGCGCTTGTGCCAGTACTTCTGCTCGTTCCTCGTGGTGTTGTACTAGGACGATGCACTTGCCCTGCGGAACCAGCTGGTGTAGAAGTAGATGAAGCTTTAGCTTGTGGAACAACTACGGAAAATCTAGTTTTGTTCGCGGAGCGGTGTCGCAGCGGCCGTCTACCACCGGTCCTCTTCGACGTCCGAATATGGGGGTTGCGCGCGATACTAGCTGTGAAAGAGGCCTGCATGGAGGCCGCGACTTGTTCCTGGTACTGACCTTGCGTCGTGATGGTGTTGTTTCGCACGATGAGCGAATCCGATTTATTGTTTCCGGATGGCGAAAGAACAGGGGAAGATGCAGATGGTGAAGAATGTGCAGTTTTATTCCCTTTTGCCTTGTTGCTTTTGCTTTTATTCGTCCCCACGGGAGACATCAGACCAGAACCCGATGTACCAGCTGTGGCTCCCGTTCGCGTTTTTCCAGAAGATGAATTTTGCGCATCATCCCCACCTGAAGGGAACAGGACCTGCAACATCGCTTCACACAGACAGTCGTTGAAAACTTGAGCTTGGTATGCTTTTTGCTCCTCATCCAGCACAAGGTTCTCGGCATTCTCGTTATCCGCTACCCGAACTTCGCCTTCTTGTTGAAAGGGTTGGTTCATCTGGCTGCGAGGGCTGCGAGATGCAATCGAAAGCACAGGAGACGACCCGCCAGCGGCCGGGCTGTGATGAAGATTGACGCTGTTAGATAAAGGACCGACAACATTATTCGGCGGTTGATTTCTTCTTGCAGAGGCTGTCCCTCCTTCTTGACGTAGTAGACTGACATTGTAACCCGCACGAGGACCCTCCTTGTCCTCCCATGGCGACCCAACATCATTCACCGACGGCGGCGACCAAGCGGCGTGAGGAACTTGCCGCTGATGTGGGGAAGCTCCTGGTGCTGGTGCTGGTGCCGGGCCCAAGGCACCCTCATGCGGTTTTGCATGGGAAAGTCGGAGTCCTGCGAAGCCTCCCGCGCCAACGGCTTGCTCTGCCTTAGAAGTTGTTCTTGTTGTGGCCGATGCCGACGAGGTTACCGGTCTTACGTACCGGTACTCCGTGGTAATCGTTTCTGACGTCGAGGCTTCGTTTTCCGCAATTTTCGCTCGTCGGGGTGAAAAAGACTGTTCATCTCGCGCTGCCGGCGAACTCGCCGTCGTTCCGGCGGCTGGCACCAGTGGCGCAGCATGCACGATATTTCGTGCGGCTCCGTCTTCCGCAGCAGGAGCAACGTCATGTTCACGAACTTCTTGAAATCTTGTCTCCTCTGTAGTTGTGGTGTTGTTCTGCCCTTGTACTCCTATCCGAGAAGGCGTCGAACGGCCCCGCCCGACGAGGCTTCGGTCAGCAAGACCTTCTGACGGTCCAGAGACTCCTGTGTGAAGAGGAAGAGAGCTAGCGTAGTAGAGCTGTCTTTTCTCTTCCACCTCCCGTTCCCGTTGTTCCCGTGCCTGCAGAATCAAATCGTTCCAAAGTTCTGTGTTTTCCTTCTCCAACCCCTCCAGCGTGTCTGTGACAACGTCATTCAGCAGTCTGTCAGCAATGATCTCTTCGATCACCAAACGCCCGAGCTCTCGAACCACCTCTTTTGCCGTCAAACGGATCTGGTGCGAGATTTCGGTCTCGAAAAAGCTTTGCTCTTCATCATCTACTAGTAGCACGTTTGTTCCGGGTTGTTCTTGCGAAGAGAGGCGCTGTAGTCGGAGGTCCTCACGAGTACCGCGCTGCTCTTCCGGCTCATCTGTCTGGATGAAGTTATTTATGGTCATTTTTTTCAAGGTAGGCTTAGGCTATATCATTCTCCGTTCAAAATCAAAATACGCTTCGTAGAAGGCCGTAAGTCTAAGTGGTACGAGTGGCGGTCACGAAGCAGCTCGCTACGTGTGCGACGGTCACTGACTGGCCAACGATGCAAGGCAGTGAGCGCCCACGCCGCGTTTGTTGATTTCAGGAGTGACAGCGAGCAGCCTGCTTTTTTTTCATTTCATAATTGTCGGGAACGGCTTGTGAAAAGTAGTGGAACACGACATTGCAATAGGTCGGTGTGAACAAAGCACACGCAAGGCTTGCAGCGCAGTCTCGTTCTCGTACGAGGCCCCGAATGATAAGCATTCAGTTTTCGATGACATCTTCGCCAATCTTCAACTTTTGAAAGTTCAGCACCCGTTCATAGCTCTTTTAGGGAAAATCAAAACCCAATGTGTTGCAATGCCCTTTCTTGTCAACTTCTTTTAGTAGTCAACAGAAGATCATACCTGTCAACAAGAATTTATTGTTCTGCTCTGTTCATCTTCCCGTTCGTTGCATGATCATACACGAGTCATACTCCGTAGGAGATCAAGGACATCACGATGCACGTGTTGTTCTTGTTTCATGAAGGACAGCACCATACACGTTTCATATTGCGTGTTGTTTCATGAAGGACACCATGCACGACGATGAGCCATCTCCCTGCTCCCATCAGCTCAATAAAGAAATCACCACGTCACATGGCATGTGTGCTTACAGAGTGGGCAATCAGACAAATGTTGATGAGTTTCGGCTGGTAGTATTTCTGTAATAAATTAATATGCGATCACCAAAAAAATTGATTCCAGTTCGTTTTCTTTCTTTTCAAGGCAGCTACAAGAATTTTGAGCCTACTGCTACGAGAATTTCTTCTGAATTCAGTTGGCACCGGCGCTCGCTGCAAATAAAGAAAGCATCAAGCCAAAACTTACCGAGGCGGATAAGTAAAAAATGCTGAGTGTTGTATTATCTGCGCCTGCTCCTCCTGCAGATCGATGTTTGCTTGTCTCTGTTCATGCGTCAAGGTGTTTTGAAGTTGAACGCGTTTATCCACCTTTTTTCCTAGCGCTACTTCAATAAAACTCCGCTGTTGAGACTGTACCCCGCTGAAAAAAAGAACTGGCACCTGTGAGCCTGCTTCAACAATGGAGCTACCTCGGCGCTACAAAGCGCCTGGAGGTACTAATACCCATGCTAAGAACTTTTTAGCTAAAAGACTTTTTGAAAGTCTTATATTTTGATAGTCTTTCTAATTGTCGTTCCGCCTCGACACCAAAACTATGCATCTAGAAGATCATTGCACACAGCCAAATAGAGCTGCGTGCGCGCTTCTCAAGGTGAGCGGAAAAGCCTTCCACATACTATAATGCAGATCCCTAATGTGAGCGGAAAAGCCTTCCACACACAGTAAACTAGAAATAAATGAAAAACGAGATATATTCTAGGAAAAGCAAAACACGTGATGGCCTGCCGCGTTTCCCACCACTGCAGCTACCGGCAAACAACGGCTGGTGGCTCTAGGCCATCTTCAACAAACAATAAAGCAAGATCACTGCTGCTACAACATTAACGTTCTACGTATTAGAGCAACTACTTCAAACTCCACGCGACCCCCAGCAGGTCAGCCTGATCTCACTGCTCGCCCGGACCGGCAGCGTGCAGTAGTCGACCGACAAAACCCGGGTCTCGATTGACTCCCGCTCCGTCCCCATGTTCGTAATGTCGGTGACCGCAGTGTGATAGACGTTAAATGTGGAAAACAGCAAAGTTTCCGCGAACTCCATGCCCGGCCGGACGTACCACTTCATATTGTCGGCTTGCCCCTGGGAAAGTTCGTCCTCGTTCAAGAATCTTTGGGAATGCGCGCCCGTCGCGTTGAGCGGAATGGAGGACGGGTCCAGAACCGCGAGCGGGTACTTGATCGCGAACGGCTTCGATAAATCCTTATCAGCAGGCCTTGTTACGTTCATCCACAAGTTGTAAGCGTCATGCACTCTGACGCGGGACCAGAAGCATCCCCACTTCGCGAGCGTGTGTTCCTTCAGCAGATTTCCGTCCAGCAGCTTGGTAAAAAAAGCCTCGACCGTGGACCAGTCCGGGGCCATTGCAAACACCGCGTCGCCGAAGCCCCTGCCCCACGCGGGCAGTGTGGAATTTAGAACGTTTATTCTGCGGGCGATTCTTATGGATGTGTCAGAGTTGAAATCGACAAAGTTGAAATAATTTGTCATGCATAAAATGGGTGCCAGTTGGAACCCACTTTCTAAGTGGCGCATGACAAATTTCGGCGGTCCCTAAATCCAGTTTGTCATGCTGTTTAGGCAAAGAAGAGCGATTTTCTTATGCTACTTTAGCAGCTCGAGCTGTAACCCCAAACAGGCTTACAATCGGCTCTGCAACACACGTGCCTCGGGTGATGCATTTTATGCATTACAGATTATTTCAACTTTGACGATTTCAAACCTGACGCTTCCATAATTCTCCGGAAGAGCGTTTCCAACTCCTCCACAAAGGCCGCCGCGGTTTGCGAAGTGGGCAAAGCGCCCTTTTTATCAAATGTAAAAATGTTTGGGTCTGGAAACTTGTGATGCTGTGTGGCATATCATGAGGAGGCCACAATTGCTGGCTCAGCATGACAAGCTTCTGAGCTTCTAGGTGTTCCCTATTCTGCATGACAAACTACGTTTCTGCATGACAGAAAAGTGGGGCTCTTTGGTAATGTGCATGACAGATTTAAGAGTCATGCCAGATAAGCATGACAAACTTGCATTCTTCCAGACCCAGACATTTTTACATTTGATACTTTTCCCAGCGTCCCAAAAGCGTCAAGTACCCGACGGCAATAACTCTGTCGGTTGGGTGTGATCTTACGGTCGGTGTGCTGTGAGCACCGACCACATGCGGGGTGGGCGCGACATATTTCGCCACGTGCTCGAGGTCCGAATCGGTCAAGTTGCAAGTTGCCTTTGCGACATCGTTCACAAGGTCGCCCGATTCTAGTAGTGGCTTCAGCAACGGCGCCTGCAGTCCGGACGCCAGCAAAACGGAGAAGTATCCCAGCACGGAGAATCTTCCGCCGTAGCTCATGTTGGTATGAACTGCAAAAATATCGCACTCGTAGTAATTGCTTTTATGCATGACATCGGTGATCTACGGGCAGGCTCAGGCTGTCAGTCCCGGCGGCGCTTTTGGCCCTATGTACAGAGAGAACAAAAATAAAAACAAGTGTAGGTAGACATACATGTGAAAGATTTATTGAGGAAAATATATAACTGAAAGAAGACGAAAGTCGTATATGCAGCACTAAAGCCACTCTTACGGGCATGGTCACGATTGGGCTTTAGTGGGTAGTGCTCCTACGATCTGTTACACTTCTATCAGCTGGTCAAGTACGAGGAAAACGAGAGCAGCATTGAAGAAGGGAAAGGCGCGCGCGCAGGCCAGCCCAGCAGCAGCAAAAAATCAAGACAAGAAGCAGACTACTGCCACCCGGGGTCCTACCCGACCGAAAACTGTACCGGTATGGGCCAACATACCACAAAAAGCACCGAAGCAGGGTAGGTGCTCGCGTAAAGAGAAAGGTGCCCAAACCTGCAGCGCCCGAGGGTGCATGCTCACCACTGTAGGATAATCTCTTTACCGTCTGCCAGCGGACAAGCCGCTGAAAGGCAAGGATGAAGCGCAAAGCAAAAAACAGGTAGGACAAATTCACTTCCTACAGATTTCAAGGATGAAGCGCAAAGCAAAAAACAGGTAGGATGGAGCCAGCAGGCCAACCGCATGACAAATTCACTTCCTACAGATTTCATTAATTTCATTTGTAATGCTGAGCTAAAAAGTTGTAATGCGATTCATACTAGAAGTGCGATGCTTTTGCCTTTCATAGTTGGGCAGGTCCGGCAACAATTTCCAGAACGGCTTCACCTCCTCCGAAAGGCCCTGCATGGTCACATCGGTGTGCACGAAGGTCAGCGGCACTATCCCGTTGACCACGATCTTCGCGGTGGCGGAGCGGTGCCGACTGTCCACGATCACAGTGGCGCGCTTCAAGTTCGCGGCTGCGACCGCAGTTTGCAGCTTGTCAAACAAAGCCCTGAAGCTCTTTCGATTCGCGGCCGCGTCCTTCTCCAAGCTCGCGCTCGGTGCTTGCCACCCATTGACTCCATCCTTGGCGGTTTGGTCCAAGTTCGCGACTTTTGCAGCGTATGTCAGCTGCTCGTTCCAGATTTTGTGCGACAGATTCGTCTCCTCCTGGTTTAGATTCGGGGCACTCGGCGTCAACTTTTCGACGATTTTCTGAGTAACCAGAGTGCGCCACGTGGTGGAGTCCGGTAGCGTGCGCAACTTGTCGGCCGGCCAATTCTCCAGCAATTTCCGAAATGAGGTGGCCTGCTGAGGAGCTCCTTCCGCCGGGTCTTGTTGTTGGCTGAAGTCCTCCGGCTGAATAAAGGCGTAGCCCTTGGTTTGGTACTGGCTCACCGCCTGCTTTCTTTTTTCCTCATCCAGCAAGCTGAAAGGCTGCCCGTTCAGCGTCATGCTGGTCATACGCTGGGTCTTTGGGTCGAAAGCCGGATCGTAGTTCTCATCCACTTTGCGTGGGGGCTTCAAGTTGATCTGCACCCGCTCCTGCTGGCCCGCGAGGTTGTTCCACTCCGGCTCGGCTTCCTTATTCCAGACGAACAGGTAGAGAAGCAGGAGGGCTAATCCGAGAACGAGAACCATAGAAACTACGATAATGATCGTGGTGATCAAACAACAACTCTTCTTCTTCTTCTCCTCCTCCTCAGCCCTTTGGAGGCTGGAATCATCAGCAGGATAGACCAGAGGCTCGCGCTCTCCTTGTTGTTCATAGTGCCCGGGGGGCCCAGCCGGTTGCTGGTGGGCATAGACGACCTGGCTGCCTGGATGGACGGACATTTTTGAGAACCGGCAGGGTGAACAGATACAGAATGAAATTGGTAGCCAACAAATAAACTGTCAACAAAGCCAAAGCTGAAAACTCAACTCAAGTTTGTCGTACAAACCAGCAGGATAAAAATGATCAAAGTAATTGCTTCAAAGCAAAAAAGTACGTATTTGCGTCTAATGCTAAAATAACAGTGCTGATGAAAATGCTTGTCAAAACCTTCAAGAACTACTTGGCGTTGGTTGATGCTGCAAGAATGTACCAAAAAATGACTTTCGCGTGGTATTGCTTTGATGAAAAATAGTTCGTTGTCCTTGCAGTGTGCGATTTATTATTTATTTTCTGTCATCACTTGTCATCCGACATGATAGATCCTGGCGGCCATTTTTGCGCCTGCAATTTAGATGACCTCGTCAACGCATAGCTCTGCTTCTAGCATCATGATCATGAAGGAGCATTTTATTCACAAAAGATAAAGGAACTTTTTACAGAGAGTCGTATGCGCCATGGATTGGGGGGGGGTGCGCATGCACATCAATTGGCATTTTCGAATAGTAGAGCAAATAGAGCTTCTTCATCCAGAAGTAGCAGAAGATGTAACACCGATCAAGATCATCATTTGTGACCGATCTTGCACATCTTTTTTAAAGAAAAAAACACTAAATATTCATTATCCGCGAAGGCGTCCACAGCGAATGTTTCGCCGTGAAGCGGACCTGGCTCAAACCTGGGCCAAAAGAGGGCCAAAGCTCTAGAGGTAGCCTTTTCTTCGCCTACTTTTCTATTTCGAATACGCATACTACTGTGGAAAAGCCTGGAGCTCGAGGAGGGCCGCGACCTCTAGAAATGCAAAACCTGTAGGGGTGAGCTCTAGAGGTCAACCTCTAGAGGTCGACCTCTACAGGTCTTGGCCCTACGCTGTCTACAGCTTCGAGCCCAAAAGTCGCCTTTTTCTACTCAAACAAGAACACTACGTGGCTCGTCTGCTTTGAAGCAGGTCTTTGTAGTTGTTCTTCCACGCGCGACCGGCCTACCGTCTCGAAAACGGAAGCGAAACAACGACCAACCGCGCGCGGGCTGGGAGGGGCACAGAGACAACCACCGGAATGCCTGTCGCGTTCAGGCGGGGAAGGCAGGTCGGGCGGCCGCCTACTTTCATATTCATCAGCTTCGCATACAGTAAAAAAAGGTAAAGGACCTGGACCAAATAATTTCGCTGCTGCAGGGGTGCCTGCTACTGGGAAGCAAGAGCTGTGGCGAAGCTCTGCTACTGGAGCGGCGCGCGCGCTTTACAATTAGCGCCAACAGGTGCGCAGCGGTTCACGGGATTGCAGCTGTGTTTGCTTCTTTTTGTATGTGCCGAGCGATCAGCGGCGACCCCTAACTCCACAAATCGCAGCTACAGCTAGCCGAAACACATGCACCCCGAAGAGCGGCAGCGGCAACCTTGGCCTAGTTGCGCTGGGGTGACTGCAATGAAAACAGAGAGGGTGGCTACGCCTGCTGCGGATTTCTGGTGCCAGCTGATAGGGGGCGCGTCTAACGCGGCCGAATGTAACGAGAACAACCTGGAGGGCGCGCGCTTATTTTCTGCCTCGATTGCTGGGCCCTGCTTCTCGTTCTGGCACTACAGGCGCCGGCCGGGCCAGGCGTTCTAGGTTTTGGGCTGCTGATGGCGGTTTGCGCCTGCCAGTTTTCTTTTGATTTTTTTTCTCTTTGTCTTTTGGTTTTGTTCGTGCTTTTGCGAGCCCCGGGAACCTTAAAAACTTTGCTCATTTTGCTGCTTTGCCTTTTGCTGCTTGGTAGGGCAACCAAGTTTTTTTCGTGCGTTGACTGCCCTTCCCGCCAAAACCTTTCGCCCAGAAGGCGCCTCCCCTACGGCCAAGCTTCTTTGTTTAGCCGCGCGCTTCCAGGAGATCTAGCTGCTGCAATGCTATTTTCCTATTGTTATGTGCAGATCCCCGCGCCGCTGTGTCTGCACTGCGGCGCGAGCCCCAAATATTCATTCTCCGCGAAGGCGTCCACAGCGAATGTTTCGCCGCATTGGCGAGCAATAGCTCTCCTGCTCGGATGAACGAAGAAACGTTTTCCGTGCTTCTGCTTCTCAATAAAATACGTACGCATGATCTACTTCGCCCGTTGTCCGAAGTGCTGACCACCCTTCTTCTGTTGTTTTGCAGTCCAGTGGTCCCCGATTTCAAAAAAAATGGCCTCGTGAGGCTTGCTGGTGTTGGTGAACGTTCAGGGGGAATGGTTATGGTGGTGCGTTGAATATAACGAGCAGCTTAATGACGCACTTGTTTTTCAACAAGAAGAGGGGGCCGGGGTCTACAACTCAGACTTACGACAGCGGGTTACTAGGGTAATGCAATTCATAACGAGAATAGCTGTCGAGTAGCTAGATATTTTCAAAGTCATTCGCTAGCTGTTAAAAGTAGGTACTTGTTTCCATTCTATTTACTGTGCTATTAGCACAATGAGCTAGCTAGTCTGAATGCTGTCGCGGATGCGTCGACGCATCCGTGACAGCATTCCTACTAGCTACGTATATTAAATATCTATTCCGCACCTGAAAAGGTGGCATTGAAAGCATGCTTTTTTGAAAGCTAGCTAATGACTTTGGAAATTCTTAGCTACTCGACAGTTATTCTCGTTATACGTGAAATGTCAAAGCTAGCTAGACATTTATTTTGACGGCCAAAAACATCTACATCACACAGAACACACCTCGTGTTTTTGGTAATTGTTGCCCATCATGCGCGTGCGGCCATGATGATGCGGCTACCAAAGTGATCGTAACATCGTGGCCACAAGTATTTACGTGCAACAGCGAGCTAGGCCCAGCATTCCAGAGCAGTGGACACTTCGTCGCGTCCGCGATGACTGATCAAACATCAATGACACTCGTCTTGCTACTGGCAAGGCATCTACAGTTCTGCCTTCTTGCCATCATGATTACCATATGCATTGCAAAAGTATCGTACTCGTATAAATGCATTACAAATTTCCTCAGCGTTAGAAATGAAATTTGTAATGCGGATTTACCTTGAAAACAAGATTTGTAATGCATGATTGCAATACGAGTACGATACTTTTGCACAGGATATACCACTAGCCCGTTTCGCGAATTCAGTGGAAACGCTGTTTGACAACTTCTGCAAACTCTCAATCGACAATTCTGGCAAAGTATCAAATGCAAAGAAGTCTGGGTCTGGAAACTTGTGATGCAAGTCAGTCAGCAAGAATAAGTGAACTGTAATGCGCAGCCAAGCATGACAAGTTTTTCCCGTGCTTCTGTGCTGCGCAGTCCGCATGAGCAACGGCGTTTTTGCATGACAGGCGAGACGAGAGGCTGTTCGTGGCCACGCAATACAGAGTGCAGAGTCACATACCAGACTAGCATGGCAAATATTGCAATCTTCCAGACCCAGACATATTTGCACTTGATACAAAACTGATGTCAGGAAAAAATCCAGATTGTTGTCCACCATGGTTGACGTAGTTTTTGCCGATGTGGTGGATTTGTTGTTTTCATCTTTTTCGTTTGAAGTTCCGGTTGTAGTTGCAGAAGAGGAATCAGCAGACGAAGCGGATGAAGACTTTGTTCCTGTTCTTGGCGCTGAACTACTCGAACTACTTGTCTTTCTACTAGTACTCGTGCTGGAGTCAACATCTTTGTCTTTGATATCTGTCTTCGAATTTAAACCAGCAGTTTTCTTCTTCTTTTTACCACCCCCTGATGCAGTTGCACTTGATGACCGTGTCCCGTCCCAGGTCACTTTGGTCGCCTTTCTCTTCTTCTTTTTCGCGCCGGCTCGCCTGTCTTTGGCCTTCATCTCCTCTGGGTCTGAGGCGCCCGACATGCTGGTCTTGCACTCCTCTTCACAAAGTTTTTCCTTGTCAATCTCCGTGCCCATCTGCATCAACTTCTCTTCCCCGACTTTCTCCGTGAACATCTGGCAGTACCTGATATAGTAGTTTTTGTGATAATTTGCATTTGGCTTAGTGTGTTTATGCATGACAAAGCAGACGATCTCCGTTCACTGACCACGCAACTACACAAATCGAAACTTGACAAACAAAAATGCTTAACTATCAAGTACGATATCAGCCTCTGGTCGTAGTCCCCCATGCCCATCTGCCCGAACCCCTTGTCATCCCCAAGATGGTCAATAATCCCGGGCCCAAACAAGTAGTACTTCTCTTCATACTGTTTCACCCCGTAGGTTCGTTTGTCGAAACTCTTCTCGCTGCACACTTTCTCCTCCAGCAAGTCCAAAAACTCGTAGTCCTTCAGCGGCACATTGGGCCGGATACTCTATCAAATGTAAAAATGTCTGGGTCTGGAAGATTCTGAGATTTGTCATGCATATTTTGCATGGCCCAGGATGTCTGTAATGCACGACCTAGCATCGCAGATCTTTAGAGGGCTTCCTGATGCCTACTCCGCATGACAAATGCCCTCCCCGCGTAGCAGAGACGAGACCTCTCTTGCTGGTCATGCAATGCCGATTTTCTTAGAGTCCAAAGTTAGCATCACAAGTTCCAACCTTCCAGACCCAGACATTTTTACATTTGATATACTAGTCACATTCGCGATTTGCTTCTGAAGTTGGTGGAAGGTCGCCCGGCATATGCATTGCAAATATGTCTGGGTCTGGAAGCATGCAAGTTTGTCATGCTTGTCTCACACGACTCTTAAATCTGTAATGTATGAGCAGGAAATAAAGAGGCTCTCTACTCCTGTCAAGCAAATATGCAGTTTGTCATGCGGAGAGCGAAACACACAGGAGCTCAAAAACTTGTCATGCGTGGCTGCATATTGTAATGCGCCTACCATTCACAAACTAGCATCACAACTTTCCAGACCCAGACACATTTGCATTTGATACGGCACGCGTCGCAACGAAACCACTCGAACTTGTCTAAGGTGGCGGTGGCTTGGCTATTGTGAGGAAAAATGCTTCCTCCCCATATCGAAACGAAGTTTCTGATGCTGGATTTGCGTACACAAATCAGATTTATCTTGCAGAAAGTGCTTGGCGGCATTTTCTAAGCCTGTTTGGGTATGCAGAAGGCTAGCAATTACGCACGGCAAACAGGTTCGCAGTAGTCGAAAGCGCATGACAGGCTGGCTGTGGAATGCACCACGTGGCTTCTGTTACCCTATAGGCAAGACAAAGGAAATTTGTGGGGACAAATCAACATCACAAATTTCCATTTTGATATGGGGAGGGGGGATTTTTCCTCTTGATATTGGCGGAGCAAAGTAAATGTTGTGGCCAGGAGGAGCAAGTAGATCTGCATCTGCGTCGTGGCCGAGATGAAAACTCCAATACTTGATGTTCTCATGATCATGTTCTTGCGCGACATGTTGAGTCGTGTGGGCCTCCGGGAACATACAAGTTGAAAAAGCAACGAGGACCGCGGATGTTGGCGCACAAGATGACAGTACCTTCAGGCACAACGTGCAAAGATCAAGATGTTCTTACAACGGACTCGCGTCATGAGTATGATGTTGACAGTGAAGTAGACACGATGATTTTTTTTCACAGACAAATAGAAATACCGTTACCGGAAGATGATCCCAGATCAAGATGAAAATACAACTTTTAGCAACAGAAAATTTCGTGTCAGACTACCGCGTCGTAGAGGTCATCAAGAGCTGCGTCACAGGATTGGGTACTGCCGATGAAAGATTGTACTTAGACAGACATCAGGATATGGGTAGTAGAAACCGAACAAGTTTACGAGTTTCACGATGAATCCATGCTGTGGCTGGACACGCATCGAGTTGAGGAGCCTCAACATGATGAAAGAATGTTTCTAAGGGAAACAACGGGATTGAAATCCACGCTATGACAATTATTTCGTATCTCTTGTCTTCTTTCCACCAATCGTGGCACGTCTTTCATTAATTTTCCGACTTTCTTCAATCAACAGTAAAAAAATGGTAAATGCTGCCTTGCCGTGCCTGCCGGTCGCGTTTGCCGTTAGTACACAACGCATTCTACAGACAACGAAAAATTCTGGTGAACAAAAGAAAACTTTCTGTTTCAATATTTTCTACAGGCGCGTTGCGAAACATTTCAAGATATGATGGAGGTATTAGAAACAGCATGCTCTTCGTGTGTAGAAACGACCTTGATATTCTTACCCATTACAACACGAATTGAAAGCGAACCACTAAAATGAATAGACATCATTAGATTTCTTGAACAACAACCCCAGTCGAACTGCTTCCGAAAGAAGTACTCTCTTCTTTCTCGTCCCTGCTTGAAGATGTGGCTTTCGTTACCCTGTCACCGCCACCACCTACCCTTCCCGTCCGCAGCAACACCACCGCCAGGTAGCCCCAAACCATCATATCCTGTGCAAAAGTGTCTGGGTCTGGGAGATTCCGAGACCTGTCATGCAGATTTTCCATTATCCATGTCGTCTGGAATGCAGCACCTAGCATGACAGATTCTGTGAGATCCCTATTATGCCTATCCTGCGTGAGAAACTCCCTGCCAACTTGGTCGAAAGTGGACAGCTTCTGGCACTCATGCAACACAGATGCTTGCATGATCCAGAATTAGCATGACAAGTTGCAACCTTCCAGACCCAGGCATATTTGCAATCCATACATCACTGCGCCGAGCAACATGGTGCTAGAAAACCCCGAAACTTTCCGCAACCACGCGCCGAGCAATATGGCGTTCTCAACTGTTACATTCTCAACTGTTACATGAAGTTGTGATGCAAGAATGGCACAGGTGAGAGGGAGAACCTTGCGCGTCTTGCAATACAGATTTGGTGCGGATTCTAGTGCTATTTAGCTCTCTGAGAATTTGTCATGCGAAGCAGCTTCATCATCTGGCGCCTGCGCCTCATGGTCAGTTTGCATGACAAATCATGGAACGGCTGAGAATGTAACGTTTGAGAACCCCATAAGCAACGGCCCAATAATCAAGCCGAGCTGGGTGAAAATGTTGAACAAAGCGACGACCTGTTCCGTCACGGACTCGGTGTTTGTGTTGTTGGTGTTTTCGGATTTTTGCATAGGTTGCCCGTCTTGCAAGTTGTGGATTCCGCTATCCTGCGTTTGCTTCATGGCAGGAAGCGTTGGCACGAGTAGCAACGCCTGTCCCAGACCGAGGAGGACCAAAATCACCGCTTCAATAACTGTGCACTCTTGTAGTTCATCAGTCGACGTTCTTCTTTCGTCACTTCTTCCCTCGCCCAGCAGAACTGAGTGATACAGCCCCAGCAGCAGCAAGCAAAACCCGGACACCCCCGCGCCCAGCTTCAGGCTCCGGAGATACAGTTTCTCCCGGTCCGCAATGGTGCCCGCCGGAACGCCGCAGAGACTGTAGGAGATGGAAAGAATGGCGTACATGTAGCCGATTTGGAGGACGTCTAGATGGAGAAATTGCTTCGCGTGAATCGCGTAGATGGGCTCAACCAGGCCGAAAACGAAGGTTCCGAGAAAAAGAAAACCGGCCGGAATCAGTATCCTGCGCAAAAATGTCCCCACCTCCCCATAGTCAAGTTGGTAAATCTGCAACACAAATCCCCAAAGTTTTGGGAGTTGTGCATGACAAGTTTCCATCTGCAGTGTAGTGGTGGTTGGCAACGGAAGCCGCATGACAAGGCCACCTTCGTTCTCATCCTGTTTACAGCATGACAAGCTCCAAAACAAGATATGGAAATGACTCTCATGGAGATGCGCATTACAAATGTTGCACTGTCGTTGCACATTTGCATGACAACTCTGGGGTGGGGACGTTTTTACTCAGGATAATCAGGATTGCGAAGTTGTCTTTTGCGAGCACAGAGTAGAGGTTGATGTTAGACGTCGTGGCTTCCTCCTCCTTAGTAATCTTATCCGCGTTCTTGGTGTACGAAGGAGTACGAGTAGGAGTCTGTGCTGCTTGTTCTTGCTCCACGTTCTTGGCGTCCACTTTGGCTTTCGCTAATGGAGGTTGGACGAGGCTGTTATCTTTATTCCCCGGCTCCGGCTGCACCAGACTTCGATTTAATATTTTCCGGTTGCTCCTACTTCCCAGCTCAAACCACGCGAGCAAAACCACGACCGGGACCGCGACAAACAGCATCAAGCATCCCGACACCAAAAACGGGCAAGAAAACGAGCCCCCGATGAGTTCTAGCCAGGACCCGATCGGCGGCCCGCAAGAGAACCCAACGCCGATAATAACTTCGTTTCACCTATCCACAGTAAATCAAAATTTCCCACACGACACGACGATGTACAAATGCGGTTTCTGGATTTGACAAAAGTTTCGTTCAATCCTCAACTTAATACTTGACGAAAAAATATATTTGTAGTGCATATTTTGCACATGCACGTTGTGTGCAGCAGGAAATCAAAATTTGTATTGCGTATAACCCCATGACCAATCCCAGGTCGTCCACAAACCGGTCGGCCACCATACTGAAGATTGCGAGATTCGAAAACGCTTGGCCGATCCCACCAAGCAACCTTGTAAAAATCTGGAGGTAAAGGACAAATTCCGGGTTGGAAGCAAACCAGATCGGCGTGTAGCCGAACAAAATCGCGGAGAGCCCCTGCAGCAAGAGACCGAAGAGAAGAATCGTAATGCGGGTTTTTGTCGTGGAACTGGTGTAGTTGCTCTTCGTGGTTTTCATCTGCGCGTCGACAAGATCCTTGCCTGTTCTTTCGGTGGTAGAAGTGGTAGAAACCGTAGATGTACTAGTTTCATCTTCACTGTTCTTACTACTAGATGAATTTTTCGCCGCAATTTTTTCGCTGATCACCGGGGTGAAGAGCAAAACCGCAACGGAGTAGACCGCAAACACCGACCCAACCCACGTGACGTCGATGTTTAACTTAGCATACTCCGCGGGGAGGATCGGCGCGATCTATGCATTGCAAATATGTCTGTGTCTGGAACAAGATTCCGACATTTGTAATGCAGTTTTTCCAAGCAACCCCAGGTCTGGAATGCAGAGCCTAGCATCACAGATTCATTGCGCAGCCTCTTGGTCTTGGTGATGCCCATCCTGCATGAGAAATGCCCTTTCAACATCAGCATGGCCAGAAGTGGGCACCTTTATTTGCATGCCATGCATCACAGATCTTTGTATGATCCGCAACACGCATCACAAGTTCGGATCCTTCCAGACATCCAGACATATTTGCATTTGATACGATCAGGCTGCACACGATGTTCGAGGTTAAGCCGACGAGACACATCGACAGCAGTATCGAAAGGAAAAATCCCCCCTCCCCATATCAAAACGGAATTTCTGATGCTGGATTTGTGTACACAAATCAGCTTTGTATTGCAGAGAGGCACTGCGGCCAGATCCCCAGGCAAGGTGGGGGCGTATGGGTCTAGTTGTTCAGCATGGCAAACGGCTCCCCTTTAGGCCCAACAGCATGACAAATCGCTTCCCTATTAATGGGGCGGAAGCTTGTTCTGCCCTTGTCTTCTTGCAAGACAAATGCGATTTGTGACCTCAAAGCAGCAACACAAATTTTCGGAAACATACCTTTTCAATATGGGGAGGGGGGATTTTTCCGCACGATAAGCAGGTAAAGGAAATCTAACAGCCGTTTCTGCAGCGCTACTTTGCTCGCGAAACTCCGTCGCGCGGGCGCTCCTGGCGGGGGTACAAGTTGGGGGGACCTGCTCCGACTGTTTTCGAACTCAACATATTCCTCATCGTTATTTTCATTGCCGTTGTTCTTGTCATCATCTACGTGAAGGACGTAGTTCTTCTGCATCGCCTATCAAATGCAAATAGGTCTGGCTGTGGAAGATTGCGAGATTTGTATTGCTGCACTCGCATATTACCCCTCAACTCTGTGATGCATGTTGTGGAATAGCGACGTCAACCCTCTGTCATACAAAAACGCGATTTCTCATGCTGGTTGCGCACGACGTAAGCGCTCGTGAATTTCTCATGCGTGGCTGCGTATTGGAATCAGTTTGTGATGCATGTACTATTAGCATCACAACTTTCCAGACCCAGACATATTTGCGATGCATATCGCCCCGAATACCTGGTCCTGCTTCGACGCGGTTCTAATCTTGCAACACGACAAATCTGCCGTGCCAGTTTTGCTTGTGTGGTCGAAGTAGCTCCCATCAACTTGGTGGTGCTGAAGCAACAGAGGTTGCTCGAGGTGCTGCATCTTTGCGTTCTGGTTCATTTCCTACTTCCTTAGAATCAAACAGATTTCCTTCCGGATTCTGTTTGTCTTGGTTTTCTCGTTTGAGGGATGAATTATAACGGCAGACGTAGAAAATTTGGCTACTTGTTGTTATTCGAAGCGGCTGCCATATTAATTTCACTCTTTCATAAAACAAAATCCCTACCCGGTTCTCTCTCTGTCTTGCAGCTGCACTTTGTTCCAACTACTCCCTCCCCGGTTCTACATACACATACTCTCTCCTGTCTTGCATTCTGTTGCATCTTATTGAGTAGTCTCCTGCCTACAGCATCGAAATCGCCTTTGCCTCCACTCGTCTCTACTTCATGAAGAATGCATTCCCAGCAATAGATACTGCCTTGTCGAAAACCCAAGACTAAGGTACACGACCTCTACAAACAACCAAAATCAGGATTAATTAAAAATCGACGGTACGGCTCTCTTCCGTATCGTGCGATTGGGGAAGCAAGAAGCAGAAGCAGAACTTACTAGAGCCGGTAGTGAAAATTTGTGTGACCTGGCGCGGAAATGTTTTTAAACCACGGCAACGGGAACCGACTACCGGTGGTTGTTTTGGGATTTTTCAAAGACGTGCTTGATTGCAAGACAAAATGTAGTCACATAGACATCATCTAGATAGAAGTAGATGAATCCATGATCGCGCCAGGCCGCGGTTTCATCTTTTTTTATCGCATTCGTTTACAGTTTACAGTTTACAGTGTTCGCGTAGTACGCGAGACTTCTACTCAAAATGAGGAGTCTATTTGAGGAACTTCAACGTGAAGAACCTCTTGATTTCAATTTCAGAACAAATTCTTCAAAACTGTGTGCGCTCAAGCTGGTCGTATCTGCATACCGTATGGCTACCGCATAGCTCATCTACTTTTTCGTTTGATTTATTATACGGCCTATCATTTTTTCCCAGCCCGTCACGAAGCTCGTGCGTCTCTACGAGGACATAATTCTGTTTTAAGTAAATAAGGCACTGTAGTGAAAGAACTGTGAACTGTGTTCATTTTACTTCGCACCGAAAAACAAAAAGTTCTCTAGCTTGCTGGCTGGAGAATAAAGTAAGTACTTAGTTAAGTGGCTGCAATGTCATTTCTCATTGTTCTGTAGTTCCAAAATCGAAGATCTGTTGAATCTTCTCCGCCACATTCAAAATTCGTGAATTCTGCTGCTTGAAAAACAGTCTTTTAGCTTAAAGAGCTGTATTTCCGCGTCCTCCACGATTTCCACCAGCGATAACTGCCGTCGCCACGTCAATGTTATTTCGGCGGGTTTTGCAAAAAGCTTCTGGTTCCATTCGAAGAGGCAGTAGAAGAGGAACTGCTACTGCTCCCTCCCGTGGTAGATATCAAAGAAAACAAGTCCGTCACGATCACTCACGTCACGATCACTCATGCGCATTCTTGCATATACAAAATTGTTTGTCATACGTAAAAATGCATCACAGCCAAACTTCATTAGGGATTTCCCTAGTGTTTCTGCAATACAGGGAAAGTTTGTGATGCTGAGAAAATTTGTAATGCAAAACCTGCAAGTGAGTGACTGTGACAAACTTTTTTCTCTCCATAGTAGAGGTTCCGCCAACACTGTTCACCACAACAACCTGCTGATTTTCAAGAGCATCCACCTGGTGCTCTGCTGTCCCCGCCAACATAATAATTCTTGCACGTAGATCCTGCACAAATTTGTGGGCAAGTTGTTTGTAATTCTTTCTACTGTCGTCGTGGCCCGTGCTGTCTCGGAGGTTCATCCGCTTGGTATAATTTCCTGTCCCGGCTGCATCGTCTCGGCCGTGTTGAGAAAGATGAAGGCGCAGAACCGGAGTTGTCCTGGCTGATGCAGTAGGATGAACTGAAGGGTTTGCGGCTGTAGCACGACGCCGAGTTCTGTCGACAAAACAAGCCTGATGCTCTTGATGCTCAGAAGTATTACAAGAGTGAAGATCGCCTTCCTCCACCTCGTCTACTTCATCTTCACTCCCGCAAGAAGGTGTACCAATATCAGACACAGCGGAGTCCGTCTCGTGATCTCCGACTTCATTAGTTGCAGTACCAGTCGCGTGGTTGTTGGCCCAGGTCCCCGTCGCGGCCAGCACAGAAGGTGGGAGAATTTTCCTTGCCCCACCACCAACTCGCACCCGCCCCGCCCCGCCATCCCGATCGGGGCCACCTCCGGGTCCGTATGAACTGCAAAAGTATCCTATCGTACTAGTACAAATTGCATTACAAATTTGATCAGCATGAGAAACGGAATTTGTCATGCTGTTTTACTTTGAAAAGAAGATTTGTCATGCATATACTGCAATTAGTACGACTACGATACTTTTGCACAGGATAGTCCGTCCGGGCCATCAAACTGCGTGCTCGAAACGCCAAAACACGTCATGCCCTCGGGCGGGTCCGCACGACTGCCGTCGTCGAAGTCGTGCAGAGGTAGAGGTCCTGGCTCACTTCTCAGCTCCTCCCGTTCGCGATACACCGGCACCGCGTGGTAAATTTCTCGTCGGGGTGGGAGGAAATCTTCATCGTCTTCGCCGCCACCAGCCGCCACGGAATTGCGACGCATCCTCTCGTCCTCAGCCTCCCGCTGCAACCTCCGTTGTTCGCGTTCCTTTTCCTCGATCTTTCTTTTCTCCTCTTCGATCCCGTCCTGGAATATGAACTGCAAAAGTTAGTATCGTACCCGTAAAAACTCCTCAGCATGAGAAATTAAATTTGTAATGCGGATTTACCTCAACAAAAAGATTTGTAATGCATGATTGCAATACGAGTACGACACTTTTGCACAGGATATGGAAACTTTTGTAGCAATGTTTGTTCGCCAGCTATGGCGTTCTCACATGTTACATCCTCAACTGTTACACGATTTGTCATGCAAAGTTGCAATCAGAATCGGCACGATCAAGCTGCTTCGCATGACAAATTCCCGACGAGCCCAACAGGCTGAGAATCTTTGCCAAATCTGTCATGCAAGAAGCGCAAGGTCCTCTATTTCGCTGTTGCAGTTCTTGCATCACAAATCCATGTTGTAACAGTTGAGGATGTAACAGTTGAGAACGCCATACCAGCGCAAACCTGAAGCGGTGCTTGCTGCTGCACAGATCGCGCAGGGACGTGGTCCGCCCTTGCAAGATTCTCGCAGCGGCGGAGACCGTGGGGGGGTCGTCGTTTTGCCACCAAGGCTGAAACTGTTTCTTGTCCTTGTTCTGTTGTTTGTGTTCCCACGACAGTAAATCGTTTACTTCCTGCACCCGCTCCTCAATTGTCTTCGTGCTTGTTTGACGGACGTCGCCGAGTCTGGAGCTGAGGAAGGGCATAATGTTATCAGTGAAGATGTTGTCCGGGAGTGTGGGAAGGAGCGCCTGGTCAACATCGACATCGTGTAGGTCATCTAGTCCATCTGTTGTAGCTGCATTCCCTGGAGCTCCACCAGAGGGAGCTGCACCGCCAGCAGTGTTAGTTGCGCTACTCGCACCACCGGAAAGATTTTGTTCTCCTGCGCAACTACAATTATTATCGGAGCTCGAAGTTGTACTAGTTGTAACAAATTTCCGCAAGCGGCACCGCCGTTCCTCGCTCTTCTGCGTTCGGTCGGGAAGGCGCAGGGACGTGTCGGAATAGACTTTGCCATTGTTATAAACCGTATTCGACTGGTTCAGGTTCTTCTGTAGGTTGTGGGATGTTGAAGAACCAATCGTACGCACGGCGAGGGCCGCTCCCTGCAGCAGCGAGGAGGTAGAGAGTCCGAGCGGGACTACAAACGAGGACTTTATGTAGAGGTGCAGCAACACGTACACGGTTTTGGCAGCTATCACGGTTGCCACACTACCGCGACGTTGGCCTCCGAGGGAAAAGGGGGTGCTCATCATGCTTCTTCTAGGCATTTTAGTCCTTCTCTTGTGAACATGGATGTTTTTTTTTCACAATCAATGCAGGAGTATTTTATGCGGTAGAGACATATAAAACAGAAACAGATAGTTACAGAAGCAGCGATCCCATCAAAACAGCAGATGAGCCATTGACTTCTTCGTATCACAAATGCTCGAAAATGAAGTCTGTTCGTGGACAGATGAGCCAGCGCTATGTATTTGTGAAGTACAACACAAGAGGTGTATTGTTGGCAACATCAAGTTGTACTTGTATTGAAATGAATGAAACAGACCAACTATCGAAAGGATCACATGCAGAACAAGACGTCCTCCTTTACGAAGGGTCTTGCAACACACGGCCAGTGCCAGCTCATGTGTTCGATGCCTCCACTATCAAGTGATCATTGGACTATTAAAGGATCCTCGCTCGACCACGGGGTGGTCTATCTGCAGCTAGTCCGTGTCTGCTTTCAGTGGAAGGCTCCGACGTTCTTGAAAACCTGTACTTTGAAAGCCTTTACTTTAAAGTCGATTTCTGCAAATTAGCCAGCGTTCGCTGCTTCACCATTCTGTGCGAAAAATCCGAAAAGTGCGCCTTTTCCTGTTTGAGGCGGGGCACGGCAGGCCACGGCCGGCGCCGCCTCGCTCGGGCCTGAGACGAAAACTAACCTCGCATCGATTTTTGGAAATTGGCGAGCGTCTGGAGCGGCACTTTGTGCGAAAAATCCGAAAAATGCACCTATTCTTGTTTGAGGTGGGGCGGGCGCGGCTGCCGCGCCCTACAATTTGAACAGCGTCGTGAACTTGTCATGCACGTGCTGTATTTCATCTGGGGGTAGTTAGGAGAGCTACTCGCTGTTGGGTTGCAGCTGTAGTTAGTAGAAGTAGATTTCCCTGCAGCTAGTCCGTGTCTGTTTTCACTGGAAGGCTCCGACGTTGAAGGCCTTACTTTAGAAGCAGAAATTCAATGTCTCTCGTGGTGGTTGTAAAGCAGATTTGTTCTTCTGCACGGAGGACACATTTCGTCGAGACGCCATTCCTCGATCTTGAGAACTTGCACTGCAAGTGAGTTCGATGGTATAGAAAAGTAAGTATGCCGACGTACACCATAGGTACATACACACAAAGTCGTCGTCACATTCTCGTGTCGTAGCAAAAGAAATTAGATGAAAAAGGGTATAGACCACTACAGTCCAGTACTCGTCAGCAAAAGTATCGTTAGAAAATGGAGTTGTAGAAGTTGAGAAGCAAGTAGTAGATTAATATTGCTTGATACAACAAGTCGTACTCGTAGTCGTAGACTTGTTTACAGTTTGCATTTACAGGTAGAATTAGTAGTACGTACTTTTATTTTAGTTGACATTTGTTTTTTTATTTGATTTCCGGAGCACAAAGTGCTGGGCGTTCACGTTCATGGTCGATTGCCTCTTCCTGCGCATCAACAGAGCCGAAAATTATAAACCCGCCTACGCCCAAACCGACCTCCCCTCGCGGTCACCCGGCTTGAAGGATATCGCACGAAATAAAACTCTGGTCTTTCGTCTTCACTGTGACAATTGCTTTCTTTTGGTATTTCATGACGTCGCACATGACAAGCCTGCTCTTGCGCATAAAACCAAAAATCTGTCATGCGTGCAGTTTGAATAGCGGAAAAAGACAACAGGCAGAGGGACGAATAAATCCTGCTGTGCAGCTCGTGCTTTATTTATTCCAGCATGCAAGACAAACTACACACCATATCTCGGCTTGCATCTGCAACTGCCTCATCTTCAACACACGTGCACAGTGAACAAGGAGCAGACGTTCTTTTTTCCTGCGATACAAGAGAAACCCATATCAAATGCAAAAGTGTCTGGGTCTGGAAGGTTGCGAGATTTGTCATGCTTGTCTGGCATGACCAAAAAGTTTGTGATGCGTGTCCAAGAAGAGACCCTTTTGCCTTACATGCAAAAACGAAGCTGGTAATGCGAAAAACGCAACACAAAGAGGCGCAGATATTTCTCATGCTTGACTGTGCATTACAGAGCATTCACTATTCCCAACGCAGCACTACAAGTTTCCAGACCCCGACATTCTTACATTTGATAACCCACGGCGTTATCCCGGAGCCCGCGGTTCCAGCCACCCATGCGGACGCGCATACCCTGATGTAGTTAATTTCGCGGTTCCTACGCATGATAGCGAATCCTCGTCATAGACACAATGCTCACACAAAATGAAGCTGGAAGCCGTTTTCTCAAATTACTGTATTATTCAAAAAGTTTATTTCTTGTTTTAATAATAAAATACGTCCTGCTGCTTGCCTTGTCCTTTACCCTTGCCCTTTCCTCCCTTTCCCTTGCCCTTAAAGCCCTTGCTGTTTGCCGTGACGATTCCCATACCGCTATCCTGTGTAAAAACGTCCCCACCCCAGAGTCGTCATTCAATTCTGCATGCTGAAGATGTTTCTCATGCGGAGCCCCATGAGAAGGATTTTCTAATCGTGTTTCGGAATTTGTCATGCTCCAATCAGCACGATGTGCTAGATGCTAGTGAACTGGCTAAACAGGATTACACTCCGAGACCAAACTTGTCATGCGCAACAGCCAAGCCTTGTGGATTTGTCTAGCAGATTTTCCATCTTGACTCTGGGGTGGGACGTTTTTCCACAGGATAACCGCCCTTCTGACGGGGGGCGTTCGCGTATCGTGTGCGATTAAAGTGTCGGACGTCTTCGCTGTAGATGTCACGGAAGCCGCCCTCGCCTTTGTTCTGCCCTCGGTTGTTGCCATAACCTGTCAACGATTTGTGATGCGGGAAACGCGTTGTCTCGTGCGTACTTACTTTAGCATGCGGAACTACATTCATAGTAAGTAGACGATTTCTATGTCGTCCAACGCAGGACAGATCCAGATCCAGCATGACAGATTGAATGCTTCAGTTTCAATAACTTCTTGGTGAATTTGTCATGCAATTTGCAGTACTAGTACTAGTTACGTACCTTGTCCTCCCTGTCCGCCCTCCATATTTTTCTGGTAATGCCCAGTCTTGTATCACGATGGACAACTTCCCCTAGATCTGGCTTCCAATTTTTTCTTGTCATGCGAAATTACAATTACAGCACTAGCCTTTGCTTTCAAGGCCTGCAGTACAAGCTGCAGTACCACTTCAAACAAGACAAGGAGTGCTACAGTCTGTTCCTAGAGAAAAAAATTTCGTCATTATTCAAAAACTACGATTGAATTTGTGCTGCTGTGTCGCTTCGCATCAGATCTGAATCAAGCGGGATCGTCGAGAAGGAGTTGTCCTCTGTCATAACTTGTAGTCGACCGCCCGCTCGTGCTGGTCCAGCCCGTAACTGCACTTGTCTGCCAGGGTCAACGCCAGCCGCTGAAAATTGGTTTGCGAGTCCTCGGGTCGGACGATGAGGATGGAACTGGTCTTGTCCCAGGCAAAGGGTACTTCCTGGTCGTTTATGCTTTGCAAAAAGATCATCGTACTAGTACAAAATTGCATGACAAATTTTGCCAAGAAGGAAAGTGGAATTTGTAATGCTGTTTTGCCCTAGCAAAATAAATATTTGCCATGCATATTTGCAATTAGTACGAGTACGATACTTTTGCACAGGATACCGTTGATCATGCGGCTGCAAATGCTGTGGATCTTCTCCTTCTATGAACTGCAAAAGTATCGCACTCGTATAAATGCATTACAAATTTCCTTAGCATGAGAGATAAAATTTGTAATGCTGATTTACCTTAAAAGACAGATTTGTGATGCAAGACTTGCATTTATACGAATGCGATACTTTTGCAGAGGATACCTTCGGTAGTTCGAACATTTCCGTCAACTTATCGCACGGAAAAATCCCCCCTCTCTTTATCGAAAATGCACACCTGAGAAAATTTGTGATGCTTACTTATGGCCGCAAATTGTGTCTGTCTTGCAAGAAAGCAACGGCAAAGGCTCTGCCCCATTATGCAGGCGATTTGTAATGCTACTCGGCCTAGTACAGTGTAGACGCTCCTCATGCTTAAGTGCTTAGGCCACAACCTCTCTACATTGGCATGATATGGGCCTGCAGTCCCCTAGTGCAAGACAAATCTGATTTGTGTACGCAAATCCAGCATCGGAAATTTCGGTTTGATGTGGGGACGAGGGGGGATTTTTCATTTTAATACAACTGCTTCAGGTCCAACGACTCGTAGCTGCTGGAATGCTTTAAACAGTAGCACCGGATGGCCTGCTCCTTCACCAATTGTTCCAGCAACTTCATGTCGATCAAGTCCGGCAGAAACTGCACCTTTGCCAGGTGCTGGTGCACGGCCGACTTCCAGTCCCCACGCATGACCGCCAGGGCCGTATGAAAGTGCACAACTCCTCCCCCCCTCATTTATGAAGCAAGAACGGCAATACAACCGTCAGCAAGAATGCTGTTTTTGCATGACGAATTTGCACAATAGTGTAGTACTGTTCCGGAGTAGTTTGTCATGCAAACAGTGCCAAGGAACACACAGCCTGGATTTGGTGTTTTGCATGACAAATGAGGGTCGTGAGGGGGAATTGTGCACTTTCATAGGCCGCGTGCAGGATGTATTCTCGGGTCGTTTCCGGTGGGGTTTGGAACACATGCTTCTCCATCTGGTCCAAGTGCTATGAGAGTGCTCAACTCCTCCTCCCCCTCATTTGAAGGGCATGGATGAGTAGCATTACAAGCAGCTGCAGAAATGTGCCTTCCACATGACAAATCTCTTCTGCTTCTGCACACGGATTGTAGTACTGTTTCAGGTTCTGGTTCCAAAATTTGTCATGCACGCAGTGCTGAAAGGCAAGATGTGGATTTCTTTTCTTGCATGCCAAATCATGTAAGTATCTATGAGGGGGGCGGTTGTAGTGCACTCTCATAAATGCTTTCTCAAGGCTCGGGAGATCAGCCGCCGGTGGCCGGGGTTGATATGAAATGCAAAAGCATCGCACTCGTAGTAATTGCTGTCATGCATTACAAATCTTTTTGACAAGCGAAATCCGCATTACAAATTTTATTTCTCATGCTGAGGAAATTTGTTACGAGTACGATACTACTTTTGCAATGCATAGTTGAGCTGCTGCAACAGCATGTTCGGCACCTCCAGCAAAAGTGCGGTCACCAAATGCGCAGCGTCCAGGTGGTCCAGCGGAATGTGCATGTGGTAGGGTAACTGCCTCCGTCTCTCCGTCTTTTCCTGCTCCGGGTTCCGTTCGTTAAAGCGCTGGAACGCGACGCCCTGTGCCAGCAGCTCTTTGGACTTGTTGTAGGTGCACAGCTCCATGAGGTAGTGGTGCGCCTCGGGAATCAGGCCCATCCGGAAGGCACACAGACCTGGTTGACGTGGGAGTCGGAGTTTGTAGTCGCAATATTGTAATATCGACATGCTCGTGACCACACGTCGCACCCAAGCTTTATATATTCCATCTTGCAGTAGACTACATGTTCTTACGGAACTAGATACCGAGCTAAATCGCCCGAGTAAATCCAACATTGGCCGCCAGCTGCACTTCAGATTATTTTCAACGGGATCAAATTCAAAGAGACACACCTTCCATTTTGGACCCCTGTTGGATTAGCTGGCGCATGCGGCCAAAGCGGAAAGCACAATCAAAGCGATTTTGCAAAATTGGCCAGCGTCCAGCCGTGATGAAATGCGTGCAAAAAATGAAAAATCACTATTTTCATGGCTGAGGACCGGTGGGTACTTAGTGGGCACAGGCGGCTGAGACGAAAAGAAATTTTAGGCCAATTTTGAAAAAATGGCGAGCGTCCAACATTATAAATTGCCCGAGAAAAATGGCAAGTCACTGCTTCCACGGCTGAGAACCGGCGGGTAGCGGGCGCAGGTAGCTTGAGCACGACAAAGAAATAAAAGCGATTTTGGATAAATGGCCAGCATTGCAAGGAATAAACGAAAAGAGATAAAGGGAAGGACGGGAAAACGAAAAATAACGCTTGCTGTGGCTGAGGACGGATTCGAATTCGTGACCGAGGACTTCTACATGAGAAACTTTTACGCAATCCCCAACAAGATACATTAGAAGAACCCCCTCACAACTTCAACTATCTTTGGAGTTCTCGTCGTTCTTCAAAGTCTCATAGATACTTACACTGCAAGGTGTCGCACTCGTATATATTTTATGCATTACAAATTTCCTCAGCATGAGAAATAAAATTTGTAATGCGGATTTACCTTAAGAGAAAGAGTTGTAATGCATGATTGCAATACCAATACCTGTCTGCGCGAATGCGCGGTTGTAAAGAATCTGGGTGTGGGTTTCCACTTCCAACGAGCGCTCGTACATGGTCATGTAGTGCAACGTGTCCCGCGCAGCCCGAAACTGGTTGTGCAGGGCTTTGTGGTAGGCCCGGCAGAGTTCCGCACGTAAAACAAACACCTTCTCCGTGATCTGCCCCTCGCAGCCGGTCTCGATAATGTCGCACAGCGTGTCGATGAGGTCGAAGGATTCGCCCGGCTCGGAAAATCCCCAGGATCCGAGCACGGAAGGTTCTGATAAAGTTTTTTGAATTTGTTGGCGGGATCTTGAACTTGTGATCCTCTCATGTTGGATGTTGTCTGCAGCTGCTCAAGGTCACTTGTTCCCTTACAAATTGTAGATAATTCTACCTCGTCCTACTAGTAGAACAAGGTGCAACGTACAGAGCGTTGTTTTTACGCGACGGCTTTTGCATGAAGATATAGCGGAAAAAAGATGAAAAGTTCAACTTGTGCGAATACTTTCAAACACGTCCATTCCCAACTCGGACTTCATGAAGTCGATGCAGATTTTGTTGTCGGTATGGAGAGAGAAAAGCTCATGCTCGAGTCGCAGCCAGTCAGTCTGACTATCGCAGGTTTTCTTGAATGCGAGATTTTCGTGGTAGCCTACACAGGTCTTTCTGGTATGGCAGTAACATCGCACAGAAATTTGACTGCGATGCTTTGTTATGAGTGACACAATGGTTTTTGGTATATGCTGCAGCAACATTGCCGATGAGTGATCGCGCAGAGCGTTTTCTCCTTTGATACTCCGAATCCTGCTTGTAGTAAATGTGCTCCAACAATCGCGCCGCCGTTTTGCTCAGGTCCACGCCCTGCTCTTGCGATTTCATCTCGCCCTCGTGCTCCACCATGTATTCCGTCAGGTCCTTCAGGAACAAAATCTGCTTGCAGGACGCGACTAAGTAGTCCTGCATTTCCTTGGTCGAAAACTGCAACGCCTTGAACAGCTCATCATCCAAGCGGAACACAGACAGGAGGAAGGTGCGCCAGAGTGTGTTCTTCGTGAACGTGTCATCCTGATCGTCGTCAGCTGTCGTTTATGTTGTATTGGGAATTACGCATGACAGATCTGGTATGATTATGTTGTATTGGGAATTACGCATGACAGATCTGGTATGCTTACGCATTTGCGCATCACAAAAAATTCTATACCTTCCACCCCGGCGTCTTTGCCCTTTTCCTCATCGGTTTGTTTATGCAATGTAAATTTCCTGTACATGTACAAAATGCATGACAAATTTCGCTACCTTGCAGAGTCCAACTTGTCATGCTGGACTAGGATTGAAGGTAAGTTTTTTCATGCAGAGACTGCATTTGTACGTGCACACGAAATTTACTGTGGATATTGTTCCCAGCCCTTGAACGCGTCAAACATCTCTCGCAACAGGCCCATTGCGTTTTCCCACCGGTTCAGCATCAAGTTTTCGAACCACGCGCCGGAGTAGCTGTCAAACTCGAAAATGACCTTCTGCCCGAGCAAGAACAACTGCGCGGCGGCCCCGTGCTTGTAGGTGGTAACGACGTTGAGGTAGAAGTCGAGTTTTTTCAGGTACGTTTGCCGGTCCAAGCCCTTCCGACCGCGGACCTGCACCAAGTCCAGGATCTTCTTCAGCAAATCGACCGTTTTGATTTCATATCGAATGCAAATATGCCTGGGTAAAGAAGGATGCAACTTGTCATGCTAAATCTGAATCATGTAAGAATCTGCGTTGCATGATTGCCAAAAGTTGTCCACTTTTGACCTAATCGAGAGGCAGTTTCTCATGCAAAACAGGCACGAAAGAACTCTCACAGATGAATCTGTCATCGTCATGCTATGTCCTACATACCAGACCTCATGAGTCATGGAAAACCTGCATGACAAACCTGGCACTCTTCCAGACCCAGACACATTTGCATTTGGTATTTCATGGATCTTCCCATCCGGATCTTCCGACTTCCGGATCGCGTCGTCCGCATCCTTCATCTTGCCCTCCACCTGTTTCTATGAATTGCAAAAATGTCTGGGTCTGGAAAACTTGTCATGGTAAATCTGAAGCATGCAAAAATCTGTGTTGCATGAGTGCCAAAAGCTGCCCACTTTTGACCAAGTTGGAACGAAGTTTCTGATGCAGAAGAGGCATGGCAGAGACCACCTCGCAGAGTCTGTCATGCTAAGTCCCGCATTCCAGACCTCATGGGTCATGGAAAATCTGCATGACAGGTCTACACTCTTCCAGACCCAGACATTTTTGCACTTGGTAGTTTCTTGCCGTGCCCCGCGTCGGTCTGCATCTTTTTCTTCGCTGCGCGAGCGGCCGCCAGGGCGGCCACGCGTTCCCGCTGCTCCTTTTCGCGGCGCTCCGCCTCGTAGTCAGCCTCGGTTTTCAACCAGCGCCGGCGGGGGGTATGGGGGAGAAAGATTTGATGTAGATTCTTAATTTGATGTCTACATGGAACACTGCAAGCATAGGATTTTCAATTGGATGATGTCATGGAAGTACGGCTGCACTTAACTTCTATCTTGTACGACGTCCACTATATCTTTGTGAAGAAGCTCAAGCTGGTCCTTGCGTAGGTCTATGCCGCATCACAGATCTCATGCGTGGTGATGCAATCTGCGTATGCCAAATTTTTCACTACAAAAAAAAATTCACAACCCATAGCGGCGCATGCGGATCATTTCTTCGTCCATGTCGGAGTATTGAGAGGAAAAATCCCCCCTCCCCATATTGAACAGGCATGTTTCCAAAAGTTTGTGATGCGGATTTGAGGTCACAAATCACATCTGTCTTGCAAGAAGACAAGGACAGAAGCTTCCGCCCCATTACGGAAGCGCTTTGTCATGCTGTTGGGCCTAAAGGGGGTCCGTTTTCCATGCTGAACTGCTACCCCCATACGCCCCTCCCTAGCCTGGGGATCTGGCTGCGATGCCTTACTGCAAGACAAGTCCGATTTGTGTACCCAAATCCTGCATCACAAATTTCCGTTTTGATATGGGGAGGGGGGATTTTTCATTTTGATACGGAGTCTTCGGAAGATTCGGACGAGTCCGTGTAGGCGGAGGAAGAATCTGTGATGCAGAAAGTGCATTTGTATCTATTATTTTCAATATTTTCAGGAATTTGTGTTGCCACAGTGTACACAGAAGTCATTCTTTGTGATGCAGAAATTGCACTAGTTCTGGTTGCAATGTCATATTACCGTCGCTATCCGAGTCCGAGTCGCTGTCGGATTCTGAGTCGCTGTCGTCAGATATGTATCGTATGCAAATATGTCTGGGTCCGGAAACTTGTGATGCTAAAATGTGGATGATGGAAACAGGAGTTGAGAATGCAACCTAGCATGACAACTTTCCAGCGCGCTTTCTCATAGGCAATCCGCATGAGAAGCTGCGTGCTTGCATGTTCAAAAGAGGCTGCGGCTTTTGTTGGTTATGCAATACAGATTTCCTAGGTATGGAAAGCTAGCATTACAAGTTCCACCCTTCCAGACCCAGACATTTTTGCACAGGATAATATGAGAGTGCGCAAGAACTCCCGCACTTCTGCTTCTCATTTGATGATGAATGCCATGCAAAGTAGTAGTGTCAAACATTACAGGCGCCACGGCGCCGCACTGCTCGCGTGTGAGACGAAAATAAATTTTGTACGATTTTCGCAAATTGGCCAGCGCTCCGTGCTGCATTTTGTGCGAAAAATCCGAAAAATACGCCGTCCCCTGTTGGAGGTGGGGCGGGCGCGGCAGACCACGGCGCCGCACTGCTCGCGTGTGTGACGAAAATGAATTTTGCATCGATTTCTGCAAATTGGCCAGCGTCCCCTGCAGCATTTTGTGCGAAAAATCCGGAAAATGCGCCCTCCCCTGTTGGAGGTGGGGCGCGGCAGACCACGGCGCCACACTGCTCGCGTGCGAGACGAAAATTAATTTTGCATCGATTTTTGCAAATTGCGCAGCGTCTGCTGCTGCATTTTGTGCGAAAAATCCAAAAAATGCGCCGTCTCCTGTTGGAGGTGGGGCGCGGCAGACCGCGGCGCCGCAGCCGCACTGCCCGCGTGTGAGACGAAAACTAATTTTGAATCGATAGCGGCAAATTGGGCAGCATCTGCATCAGCACTTTGTGCGGAAAATCCGGAAAATGCACCTATTCCTGTTGGAGGCGGGGCGGGCGCGGCTGCCGCGCCCTACAGTGTGAACAGCGTCCTCGTGAGCAAGTTGTCATGCACGTGCTGCATTTCATCTGGGAGTAGCTAGAGCTAGTACTCTTTGTTGGGTTGCAGCTGTAGTAGAAGTAATTTAGATTTCCTTCAAATCACTTTGGAGGAGTTCGGTAATATGTGCACTCGGATATCAGATCCCTTGCCAGCGCCGCCTTTCTTCTCCGAGGTCGGTGACCCGTCGTCGCTGTCAGACGAGGAAGAACCAGAATCGTCGGCTTCTTCTTCGTATGCATTTTTGCAATAGTATCGTGTTTTTCTTTTTTTGGTAGTAACTGCAATACAAATTTGCGGAGCATGACAAATACAATTTCTCATGGAGAACTGCCTAAGAATAGAGGTTTGTCATGCACGATTGCAATTACTACGAGCACGATATTATACTGTTGCAAAGGATACTTCGACCTCCTCCTCGGGCTCGTCTTCATATTCATCGGGGTGAGCCTTTTTTTAGTGTAATGCGGGGTTGCTGTTGCAGCAGCAGCGAAGATTGTGCAATACAAGTTCACATGTTCTACTTTGTCTTGCACTACAAGCCCGGAAAAATCAAAGAGCGGCTCTTGTCAACATGCGCGCAAGCTGCACGACAGCAAACGATTCGAGGTCAATGATTTAATTTTTTTTTTCATTTCTCTTTCTCATCATCAATCAATATTACCGCATAGTGTTCCAGTTCCGTTTCAAAATCGACGTTTCCCTTTCTGTATCCTGTGCAAAAGTATCGTACTCGTAGTAATTGTATTCATGCATTACAAATTTTTTTCTTAAGGTAAATGAATCCGCATCACAGATTTTATTTCTCATGCTGAGGGAATTTGTGATGCATTTATACGAGTACGATATTACTTTTGCAATGCATATTCTGATCTTCGCCCTCAGTGTGTTGAACGCCGTGGCCTTGTTTTTCGAGAACAGTTTCTTCTCCCCGCCGGCATGGGTGTTCTCGACGTGCTCCGCCAGCGTCGCGATGGCCTTGATGAAAAATTTCGGCGTTTCCTGCGCCGCAGTTTTCTGTCCGGAAACCGACGCGTTGATGGCTTGGGTCTTGATTTTGTCCAACATCTTGCGCCCGCCCTCGTAATCCTGCAGGAGCGAGGAATAGTCGCTGATTTTCAAGTGGTTCTTCATCGTGCGGATCAGCTCCTGCAGCCCCGCGTACCTTTTGTCCGCATGACTGCGGTATCAAATGCAAAAGTGTCTGGGTCATCTGGAAGAGAGCAGACATTTGTGATGCAGTTTTTGCCTAGCCCAGCTCGTCTGGCATGCAAGCCCGAGCATTACAGATTCCGAGCAGGCATCCCCATGCCTAACCCGCGTGAGAAATGCCCGCTTTCTGTGACAGGAAGTGGGGCCTTTTGCTTTTGCTGGCCATGCATTGCAGATTTTGTCATGATGTAGAATATGCATCACAAATTCGAATCCATCCAGAACCAGACCCAGACATGTTTGCAATGCATATGCGGATGACGCGCTTCGTGTTCTTGTCGTCATCGGAATCGGAGTCCGAGTCGAAGATCTTCTGCTTGGCCTTCTGCGCGGCCGTCTTCTGCACGGTCGGCTTCTCGTCATCGGAAGATGCATATGCATTGCAAGAATGTCGTACACTTACTTACGTAGGTACTAATTGCATTTATGCATGACAAATCCGGTTTCTCTGGGTAAATCACCATGACAATTTCCGATTGTCATGCTGAGAAAACCTGTAATGCAAAAATCACAGCTGTAGTACGATAGTTTTGCAATGCATAACCGACTAGAATCGGAATCCGAGTCCGACGAGGAATTGCCTCCGAAAAATTTCGATGTCATCTTGAATGATGATAAATTCTTTTGTTGTGTGTCCGCGGTGAAACAGGTACAAGAAGCTGATGAAAACTTCGAGTTTTTAGGACTGTGTCGATCGCTTACGCTTTTTCGTAATAGTGATGCTGTATGCTGTGTTTGAAGATCCGTTAACACTTTGCTCGAGCAATCCGTATCGGAGCGCAAATCAGAGCTATTAGTTCGCTTGGGCTATTGATGACAGAGAGGTTTTTTTTTGTTGAGAATCTTGATTTAGTCGGTGAAGATGTAGTGTCACAGTTGTTGTTTGTAGTTTAATATTTTTGTTGTAATATTCTTCTAGTAGTTCTAGTCAGTGTGTTCCAGCATCGTTCTTGTTGTGTAGTTCACCAAACAAAATAGCTTTAAAATGTTGTTGTTTAAGACTGACGGTGCGGACCGGAAAGGAAAGGGCAAGTGCTATCGAGGGATCTCGTTTGAAAGTTAGGAAAGAAACACAACCAAAATTGATAGACATCGGGCTGCAAAAAGTGAACGCTCGCAACGAGAAAATGAAAGAATTTGCAGCCGTACTAGCCAAAACAGGATCTTTCGAAGTTGCGATATTGACATCATCCTCGCTTTCAATGTTGTGCCGCTTCGTACCATAGTCGTTTAAAAGAAGGGGGTGCACCAAAATGAGGACTTTCATCTCTTTCACGCAGCATAGCGACTATGTCACAGCTAGTGCTATTGCTGTTCAAAAACCTGCACTGGATCTTTCTTCATCTTCATAAACGGCAGCTTCTTGCTACAATCAGTCACTCTTTGTCAACCAATAAATCATCGTACCATCATCTTTTCGCAAATACTCTGAGTAAGGGAATAAGCGGCAAACCCGGCCACTCTGTGAGAATCCAACTTTCCACGATCTCTCGCCCAACATTTAACGCGATTTCTCAGCGATAAGCGATCCCTAGAATCCTGAATCGGGATTCGGCGGACGTTAATATTGCAAACATACAGCCTCGAAGTTGTGCTGACCCGTGAATAGGGACACAGGAGCGCAAGGGCAAATGAGTACTCCCTGAGTCGCGGACTCCCTGAGTCTGCCGGGAAAAAAAACCGCTTAACATGACCTTTGCATTGCCAAAGGTCGTGCTAAGTAGATTCAATATCCCCTTCACCCAGGCCGACGTTGTGTCCAGGAATGGACCCTGCGCCACTCCGTTAACCAGACCTATGGGTACCCAGAGGTCGTGTTTATCGCGAGATGTTTTTGGATTTTTGGCTGCAGACCCAAAAATCCAAAAACAGCTCGCGATAAACAGAACCTCTGGGTACCCCGAGGTCTGGTTAACGGAGTGTCTGGGGCCTGACTCTGTGACAAAACGTCGGCGCCGAGGGGCGCACCAGCGGACGCCCGGGCGCGCCCGCCTGCTCTACGATGCCTGTGCGCTGAGGTGGCTGCGTTTCAGACTTGTCACCTGGGGCAGGCAAGTTAGATAAGCCACGCCCGCGGCGACGAGCAGCGTAACATGTTTGCTGCATTTGGACAAAGCGAAGCAAGGCACGTTTGCCAAATTTGCAAAGTAGTTCTGCTCCAAGATTCATTTTGAAGCACGGGCGGCGGGCCTAGATGCACGAGAGTCGTGGGCTTTTGGAATTCACAGGGATTACCGGCTTTGCCGCTAATTCAGCGTTTTAGAGTAATTGAGTAGAACACGAAAGCTGGCACAACAGTCGCAGGCGATAAAAGAGGCTCCTTATGAGCGGGCGCGGGATGGCGCGAGAAAAGTTCCCTTGAGAAACTTTTTCCTCATAGTCTCAATCTTCAAAGACGCAAATGCGATGACACACTGCTTGTAAGCGTCCATATCGACGTATTAAAATCGTGTCGATAAATTGGAAATGGAAGTGCAGCAACTAGGAGGAAAATAAAACTTCTTCATCTCTGTCTTTTACTACCAATTCATACGGAACACAAGGAGCAAAGACATAAGCTCACTCCTTCGTGCTAACTTTGTAAAAAATGTTTCTTTTTTTTCCCTTAAATTCAAAGCTAGAGCGTACAGTGAGTCGCACGAGAGTCGGTTCTGGTGCATAAAAATGCCGCGGAGGTTCTTGCATAATGTTGAACTTTTTATCGCCGCAGCGGAAAAATTCAAATCATACGTCGCTACAAAACGAAGTGATAAAAACTTCATCGAGATACTTTGGTCTTTTGCATTGACTGGAGCTGTATCATACGGGCATATTGCTATTTTTTACACGGCAGTCGCAAAGACCGGCATTCAGGTAGAAGTTCTCATGTAGCGGAAGCGAATGATCCCTTTATCCTCGCAGCTTACGACCGACGGAGCGATTGAAGTGCGTAGCTGCAGGAAATTGCTCTGGATTGTAGTTTATCGCTTTTCGATTACCATTACTGCTGTTGAATTGTTTTATCCCATCATGAAAACCAGCTGGTGGCGTTGCTTTTCTCAAATCGCAATTTACATTTGATGACTTCTGTAAATATTTTGAAATGCATTGCAATTCTCTCTTCCTTTCGATGTAATTCCAACTCCAACAGGAGCAATAGAAGCGGTTCGTATAATTAACATCATGTCCAGTCGAGTAATATCTCTATGTTGAACTTGCTACCAGCCCGTCTGTGTGTGTGATACCCGCTCTCGTTTGCTGTTCTAAAAAAATTGTTTAGTGAAAAAGCTGCAGTTTCACGGCGAGGCATCAGCCTGAGCTTTCAGAAACCCAAACACCAATGTTCGTCTCTAGCACTACTAGCGACGTTGCTGCTGAGCACTGTGTATGTAGCAATTCAAATTCTTCTAGCCCTAAGTGTAAAGTGGGAAATGTTGATCAGTCATGCTGTTTGCCAAAGTATTAAAAGACGCGCTTCGTAGTTCCATAATCATAGAACGATGTAGTGCTTTTTGAACTGGAAGAAGAATAAGCTGTAGTGCACTTTATTGAAGATGAAATTGAAATTCTTGCGAGGAAATATGTAGTAGCCTGCTCTTCTCTATTACTTGCCCTCACTGGAGGACTATGTAGCAGTGCCACAGCGCGTTTCTGAATCCAGTTTCATTTATCTTCCCTGCTGCATACCAGAGCTAAAATCTAGAAAAATGATTCCAGTTCGTGCCCCCTCAAATTGTCCCTCCTGCAGCTTTCGGCGACGCACTCGGGACCGGACTCCGCGCCATAGCCATCTGGCGGACAGGGCTTCCTGCACCACCCGAGGACGACTCCTGCGCTAGCAGCACCGTCGCGTCGCGGAGCTGGGAATTGGGCGACGGGTTGTAGCTACCGGCGACAGGAGGGACGTCGATAGGGAGGCCGTTGTTTACACCAGGCGAAACGACCGCCGATTCCGCCTTCGCACTACCTTTTTTCATCTGCTTTTTATTCACCACAAACGGCAGATCCAGCTCCACCCACACTTCCTTCAGCACCTTCACGAAGTACTCCAAATCTTCATCCGAATGCAGCGGCCCCGGCGTCACCCGGATCCGCTCCGTGCCCCGCGGCACCGTCGGGTAGTTGATGGGCTGGATGTAAATCTGGTGCTGTTTCAAGAGTAAATCCGTCAACTGTTTGCACTTAACCGGGTCCCCGATGAACACCGGCACGATGTGGGAGCTGTTTTCCATGTAGGGCAAGTGGTTCTTCTGCAGCAGTTTCGTCAGATATTTCACCTGCTTCTGTTGCCCTTTTATGAACTGCAAAAGTATCGCACTCGTATAAATGCATCACAAATTTTCTCAGCATGAGAAATAAAATTTGTAATGCAAGTTTACCTTAAAAAGAAGATTTGTAATGCATGATTGCAATACGAGTACGATACTTTTGCACAGGATACCTTTTCGCTCCTTGTTGGACTTTTTCAAGTGCTGGACGGACGCTAGGGCGCCGGCCGCGACTATCCGAAGCAAAAACGTCCCCGCCCCATAGTCAAGTTGGGAAAATAGCAACACAAATCGCCAAGTTTTGGGAGCTGCGCATGACAAGTTTTCCTCTGCAGTGTAGTGCTGGTTGGCAAGGGAAGCCGCATGAGAGCGCCATTCTCTCAACCTGTTTGCAGCATTACAAATTCCAAAACACGAATGGAAAAGCCTTTCATGGAGCTGCGCATTACAAATGCTCCTGTCATTGCGCATTTGCATGACAACTATAGGGTGGGGATGTTTTTCCTGAGGATAGCGACCACCGGGGGAACCGCGGTGGTGAAGATGAAAGACGACGCGTAGGAACGGACGCAGTCGATGTAGGCGGAGGAACTGTGTGTAAAACAAAGAGTCCGGGTACGGGTTTAGTCGTGTCATTTCATTTGGTCATGCTTGCTCATGCATCAACACATAGCATACATTCATAGATCATAGTATCATAAAGGATTTACAAGAACCTCAAGCCTATGTAATATACCCAGCGATGTATCCGCCGAACGCGCCAAACGCCTTGCCAAGCGTCCCGGTGATGATATCGAGCTCCAAGCCCTCCCTCTCCGCAATCCCGGCTCCCCGCTCTCCGTACATCCCGACGGCGTGCACCTCATCGCAGAAAGTCAAGCAGTTGTACTTGTTGGCCAGCTATGCATTGCAAAAGTACTATCGTTGTACTGGTAGAAATTGCAATACAAATTGGCTCAGCATTAGAAATCAAATCTGTAGTGCGGATTTCCCTTAACACCTAGATTTGTAATGCATAAACTGCAATTAGTACGAGTGCGATACTTTTGCAATGCATACCAACGCGACAATCTCCGCCATTTTCGCGATCGACCCCGACATGGAGTACACGGACTCAAACACGATCATTTTCGGGTATAACGTTCTCAACTGTTACATTCTCAATTGTTACATGAATTTGTGATGCAAGAATGGCAAAAGTGAAAGGGGGGTCCTGCGCGTCTTGCATGACAGACTTGGCCCCGATTATCAGCCTGCTTGGCCCTCTGCGAATTTGTCATGCGAAGCAGCTTGATGGTGTCGATTCTGAAGGCAATTTTGCATGACAAATCCATGTAACAGCTGAGAATGTAACAGTTGAGAACGCCATATCGGGTGCTCGAGCGGGTATTGCTTCAACAACTTTTCCAAATCCTCCATGTCGTTGTGTTTGAAAATGTGCTTCTTACACTTCGATATCAAGTGCAGAAGTGTCTGGGTCTGGAAACTTGTAATGCTGCAGTGGGAATAGTGAATGCTCTGTAATGCACAGCCAAGCATGAGAAATATCTGCGCTTCTTTGTGTTGCGTGTTTCGCATGACAAACTGCGTTTTTGCATGACAGGCGAAAGGGTCTCTTCTTTGACACGCATCACAAACTTTTTGGCCATGCCAGACAAGCATGACAAATCTCGCAATCTTCCAGACCCAGACATTTTTACATTTGATATTCGACTGCCGCATCCCGTCGATCATACTTGCGTGGTTGTCCGCGTCGGAGAACAGCACCAAATCCGGAATCAGCTTCGCAAACACCTGTAGCGACGCTTCGTTCGCGACGAAGCCGGAGGAGCAGACCAGCGCTTTCTCCATGTGGTGCAGATCGGCTAACTCTGTTTCCAACTCAACGTGAAAGCTTGTCGTGCCGGAAATGTTGCGCGTACCCCCCGCGCCCATGCCGGTGGAATCGAGCGCGTCGTGGGCGGCTTTCAACACTTTCGGGTGCTGCCCCATGCCGAGGTAATCGTTGCTGCAGAAAATTTTCACCACGGAGGGAAAGCCCTGGTTAGTGGCGTTGTTGTTTTCCTTGACTGACTTCTTCTTGCCCAGTTTGGTCGTGGAAGCTGGGGGGGTTGGAGATGAAGATGAAGAAACAAGTCCTGGGATGTCACGGCAATTCGCCGAACTGCAAGTAGTCGAGCTCGATGACGAAGTGCTCCCGCCGGCGGTACAAGAGCCCGGATCTCCTGGTCCGACATTGTCCTGCCGAAACACCGCGTTCGGAAACTGCCCGCATTGCCGCTGGAGATTTGCGAAGTGGCGGTACCGACCCTCCGCGTGGAGTTTGGAAATCGCCGATTGGAACGTTTTCGAATACAGTTGCTCCTTCATCTTGTGCTGCTCCCAGCTGATGTTGTGGTAATTCGTTGAATTTTGGGATTTGAAATCCGAAATTGTTGCAGTTTGGCTCTTCACTTGTTTCGTCGGGGTCTGCAACAGATTAGTTTCTTGTTCCTCCTCCTCACTTTTCAACAACGGACAGCACTTCGCCGCGGCGGGAAAAGCGTTCAGCATCATTTGTTTCGTGTCTTCCGGAATCTTTCCCGTCTCCATGATCCGCTCGATAAGGGTTTTATTGTTGATGTTGTTGCTGGTGTTGAACGGAGTGGAAGTTGCGGTAGATGCAGCATTTGTCGCTTGAAGATGTTGAAAAGAGCCAGCCCCTTGAAGATGTCCTCCTCTCGATTTGTTATGCGGCCCCGCAGCTCCAGCAGCGTTGTTTTTGGCGTTAAATTGCTGCTGTTCCAGCGGCGTCATGAACATGTTGGACCCCAACATGAGGAACGGGCAACCGCCGCTCGCGCTGTGTCCTCCGGCGCTGCTCGCGGGGATTGGTGGGTGGCCGGGGGGAAGATCTTGGACGAATTTCGGTTTGGTATTATTTCCTTGTTGCGTTTTTGCCGTGGTTTTGATAGTTCCAGCACCTGTAATCCCGTTCGTGTTTGTAACGGCATCGGTTTGAAGATGCAACTGTTGGTGTAGTCCTACTCCAGAAGCACCTCCGGCAGTATCCGATCCGGCACGGCTACGGGCAGTTGTCGGAGTAGAGGTCACCGTCGAGGCGGGGGTGGCGCAGTTGGTCGTGTAGTCCAGGTCATTCTTGATCACGACCTTGTCCTGAAATTTCGAGACCACCGGACACATCGACGCTTTGGCTTCCAACTGAGCGGTGCTGTTGTAGAAGAGGGGTTTGTCTTGATGATGCGTTTGTGTTTAATAAAATTGTGTATTGCAAATGCAAAAATGCGAAGTCATGTTTGTGTTGGATGAGACAAAAGGCATCTTTGAAGCAGATCAAAATGATTGTCATACATCTTCCCAATGTTGTCTCCGGACGATTTCAGCAGCTGGCGCATGAAGGGACACAAGTTCTGCACGTCCGACAAGTTGTACTTGTTTTTCAGCTTCGACGTCAAAGCCTGCGCAGCCGCCGACATCTTGATTGCGTGGCGGGCTGTCGTGCAGAATCCAAAAGTGGCACCACGAGGAACAAGTGTAAAGTAAGTGGGGGGTGAAAAGTTTATGCTTTACAAAATTGGGGTTTAGTGTTTTATGTTGCCCTCGCAAAACCGCAAAAATTTTGCGAGCGCAACGTGACTACCTTTCACAGCAACCTCATCTTGCTGTCTGGGTGGGTGGGGGATGCGCCACTTCTTTGCATCAAGTAGTGCACCTCGTCCACGAGGTTTTTTCTTTGTAGTTTTGAGAAAATCGAAGACCTCCTAAAAGTGGATGGAAAATTGGGAAAATTGGAAGTGGAACAAAAAAAGGCGGAAATTATCAGAGGCTCTCATTAGGATTAGTACAATGAGGGAAATTGTTATGTGACTTCAGCGTACTGAAGTTGTTCTACTGTACATGTACTACGTTGGTGCAAAACAACGCTGGCTTGACTTATAGCCTCGGAAATTATCCTTGAGGCGCTTTACACAAGAAAGTCAAGAATATTTGAAAATTGAATCAGCCTCAGGTTCTTCTCAGAGTCAAAGAAACAGCTGACAAAAAAAGATTCGCTCAAAGAAAGGAAAGTAAGAAGCTAACCACTCGTCAGAGTCAGACTCGTACAACTTCAACTTCTAGCACAACAAGATGAACTGTAACTTCCATAATGAAGTCAAAACAATACCCGGACCGCCTCTCGCGGCAGAAAAAAAGAAAACTAAGGATGTTGCGCAGTTTCAAGCCACAAATGATGTGGAAAGTTGCTTCGAGTATCTTTGCATGCAGAATCTTCACATTTCTGACAATTACGTACCGACCCAAAGAAATCCGCTATTTCTGCAGCTGCATCACTGTAGTTTGTTACGGCTGTGAAGCTACATGAGAGTTTAGATGTTGAACGAAGAACGTGCATATTGATACGGCGACCTTGTTGTGCTCACTCGAAGACAAAAAAGACTACGGCCCTTTCGTAAGTCTAAGTAAGTAGGTTTTTGAGAAAGCGCTTGTTCTTCTAGGACGAACGACCCAACAGAGCGAACACCGAGTTGTAGCCGTTCGAATCGCTCTATCGGTTTTCCGGCTCGACAGATGATCGCTTCTCCTGACGACCACGACATTGCGAATGTTTAGATACAGTTTTGGTTGGTTCAGTTCGTTCGTTTTGTGTGAAAAAGCACGAGGACCACGAAGACTACTATGACAAAATCTGCATGAACTTCTCGGTTCTACGTAGGTGTGAGACATTCGATTCGACTTTTTTGTTGAGAGTGATAAAAAGTTGTTGTCAGCTTTGCATACTTGATTTGAGAGCAGCGTCATTTTGCATTTGTGTGAGACGAGGATGTGGTGGAAACTGAAACAGGACTTTTTGACTCTTTAGCGATAGGAAATCTGTTTTGCTATTATTGAAACTCTATTGAAAAACGAAGTAAATGACCTCAATTGATGTGAATGCATTTGGAAAGAATCATACAGTGTCGTGTACTCAAACTCGGAAATGTTACCTGAAAGGAGAAAGAGACTTCTATTCTAAACTTTGTTCTACTCATCCGCCAGGACGTAGTTGTACTCCCCACCGCCGGTGCGACCACTGCCAAGAGAGGACGTACTTACCTCTTTACTACCCCGGACGAAGAATGAACCCTGTTCTTACGCCTTCCGCATCCGCGTACCCCCTTCTCTCTCCTCTTTTTTCATCAAAATCTTCTGACTTTTCGCCCGGGCCGGAAAGGAGCTACTGCGGCCATGCGTGCCTTTCGGATGGTTGTTCGGAAAAAACGTCGAGTAATGCTCATAAACCATCTATGCAATACAAATTTCCCGCACAACACGTACAAGATGCTTGACAAATTTCGCTAACTCGAGGTGTCGTCCAACTTGTCATGGTGACAAAGATTGAAGAAGGCAAGTTTTGTCATGCAGAAACAGCTTATGCACGTGTACGGGGAATTTACTGCGGTTACCATCCCCGGATTCAGCGGTCCGGCGTCCGTTTTCCTACTGTTCACACACGCGTATTTCCCCAGCTGCACCTCGTTGATCGTCCGCCTCGATTTCGGGAAGGAAAACACCGGGACAGAAGCGTGGTTCGACAAGTTTGTCACTTCGTCGTAGCCGAGGAGCCTCTTGAACTGAAAAGTGTGGTTCGCTCCCAGCACCACCTGCTCGCCGACTTTGAACGGCAACCCCAATTTCACTATGCAGTGCAAAAGTATCGCACTCGTATAAATGCATTACAAATTTCCCCAGCATGAGAAATAAAATTTGTAATGCTGATTTACCTTAAGAGAGAGATTTGTAATGCATGATTGCAATTAATGCTACGAGTACGATACTTTTGCACAGGATATTCCCAGTGTACCCGGAAAACTGACCGTACGCTCCGGGCCCGGGGTATCCAAAAAAAAAGACGCTGCTAGTGTGAATTTGTGATGCGCAACATGCAAGATGATTGCGTCTGTCATGCTGGGCATGCGTTGTAAGGTCCATAATCCAAGGGCGTTTTCACGTACTATCGAATCTGCGCATGACAGGTTTTTGCTGTCACGCCAGAGTAGATATTTGTAATGCTGATCCTCCAACAAAGTTTACACCTACAATCTTTTTTTCTTGGATACGGGGTCGGACACTTTCAGTGCGTCGTTGTGGGTTTTGTTCGACGGAGAATAATATGCATTGCAAAAGTATCCTACTCGTATAAATGCATTACAAATTTTCTCAGCATGAGAAATAAAATTTGTAATGCGGATTTGCCTTAGATTTGTAATGCATGACTCCAATTATTACAACGAGTACGATACTGTTGTACAGGATAAATAGTTCGCGTCTTTCCTCTTGTCTTTCGGAAACGAGTAGCGCTGAGAAAACGTTTTGGTCGGGTCCACGCGCAGTTGCTCGATGGGGCACTTGGGAAGGTGCGGTGTGATTTGTTGGTCGGTGCTGGAGACTTCTTGGTCTTGGAGGCCGGCCAGACAACCGCGGATGGGGTCGACCTGATAGTTTATTCACAGAGCATTTTTGCCTAGTAGATGTAGACGCTGCGTCGAATTATGCAATGAAACCCTGCATCCATGACAACCTGAAAAAAAATTGTGCAAAATAAATCATCCATACCTCCGGCCAGTTGTGATCGGACCGGTACGGGTTATTCTCGCGATTCCTTCTCGTTCTCTGCGACTTAGAGGCGTAACTGGGTAACCGCAGGGGCTCGCGCCCGGAAGGGTCGGAAGGGAAGGAGCGCCAGGGATGCGTGGCACCGAGGACGGAGGAACCGGCGATCCTGCGAAGATTATTCGTGCCGTTCGTTTTTCTGCAACACAGAAGTGCTGTGGGATGCGTGTCTTTGCATGACAAAATTCCCTTATAATGGCTATCATGAACACCAGACATCTGTATATATACCTTGCCCCCGGTGCCTGCGTTTGCAGTATCACTTGTCGCAAGATCGGTGATATCAAATGCAAAAATGTCTGGGTCAGGGTCTGGAAGAATGTAACTTGTCATGCTAAATCTGAACCAGACAAAAAACTGCGTTGCATGATTGCCAAAAGTTGTCCACTTTTGCGCTAATCGAGAGGCAGTTTCTCATGAAGGATAGGCATTAGAAAGATCTCACAGAATCTGTCATGCTATGTCCTACATGCCAGACCTCATGGGCCATGGAAAACCTGCGTGACAAGTCTGGCAATCTTCCAGACCCAGACATTTTTGCAGTTGATAGGTGAGGTGGTGAGCACGGCCATGCGGTTTCGCCACTCTGGTCGGTCGGCGAGGACCGCACGAATCGCCTCCACAACTTCGATGGACGGCTGATAGATTATGATTTTTTGTACATGCACCAGAGTACTTAGACATCCATGAGAAATCTGGCACTCGCAGCATTCCTGCATGACAAAAATGTACCTCGTGCGAATGGACTTGATTTGCGATCATCAGCTCGAGTTGGTCGACCGCTTTCTCCACTCCCGGGTCGGGGAAAGCGCAGGAATATGAACAGCAAACGTATCGCATTCGTAGTAATTGCAGTCATGCATTATGTAAAGGTGAATCCGCATTACAGATTTTATTTCTCATGCTGAGGAAATTTGTAATGCTAATGCATTTATACACGAGTGGGATACTTTTGCACAGGATAAGGAAAAATGCGTTGCAACGCCCCCGACGTCGAAAGCAGCGAGGCCGCCGATTGAGGCTCGGCGCCATTTTGATACCTGTAGGACAATCACGAGCGTCGAACATTTCATCTGCAGAATTTGTCTTGCAGAACTCGCAAAACAAGCATGATCTGTCATGCATGTTGCGCAGTACTAATACTATACGTGGTCTACCTTTTTCTTCCCACCCGCCTCTCCACCGGCTTTCTCCTCCGCTGCAGCTTTTAGCAGCAACCTCGTTTTGTGCCGTCGGTAGTGCTGGAGCGTCTCGGTTTCTTCAATTTGGCCTTGTATCCTTTTGTCCTGGTGCTCCGCCTCTACTCTGGACTTTTTGTCAATGTCCGTGTGCAGTTTTAACTTCGGCCGCGCCGGCGAGGTCAAATTTTCGTTTTCTCCCGGCAGGTGCACGGCCGGCGTTGCGTGGTGGTGGAAACCGCCACCGTGGCGAAGGTCGAAATGCGCATGCTCCACGTCGGACCTATGGAGAAGTTGTATAGTTTGTCATGCTGAACACCTGTATACAGCAATCGCTTGTGTTGTCGTGCATGACAGGCAAGAACAAGTTTATTTGTATACGTGATTCCATGTTTCATCAGCCGTTCCTTGGAATTCGTCGCCGCCCTGGCATTATCCTGTGGAAAAGTATCGCACTCGTAGTAATTGCAATTATGCATGACAAATCTCTTTCTCAAGGTAAATCAGCATGAGAAATTTAATTTGTAATACTGAGCAAATTTGTCATGCGATTTTATACGAGTGCGATACTTTTGCACTGCATAAGCATCTCCGTGAAGAAATAGTTCGTTTTTACTCGGACTGGCGCCAACATCGCCTTTCCCATCATCTCTGCTACTCTTGTGTACTACTTCACCCGCATTATTGTACTCAGTCGTGTAATTCAACACCGGTAAGAAGGCGCTTATCGGTATTTTCTTCCCTGTTTTGTCAATTCCGCGGTAGGTCCCGGCCTTCTCCGGAAAGTTCCAGTAGTCTTTCACCGGGGAATCCTGCAGGAGGGTGTTGTTCAAATTGTTTTCTCCGGACCGACGAAAAGCGGGCTGAGACGAGGAAGAACTGGTGGCCTGGAGGTTGCGAAAAGTACCAACCAACGAGGCTGCCATCTTCTTGGATGAAGCGACGGGTCGCGGGGAAGGTAAAGGATGGACTGCTCCGGGTCTTCAGTTTCAGTCTGTGTGTAACTACTCCATCATACTCGTTCGTATACTAACAGCTGGCGTGAAGACCACAACGTTCTTCTCACAGCGTGGTCTTCTTGCAGAAAGAACCAGAACACGACGCCCCTCTTTCATGTGTCGTGTGGTCGCAGAAAGTGAACAAGAACTCCGTGGACGAGCTGTAGGACAAAAATCCAGCTACTCTCGGTCTTCACAATGAAGAAGAGCGTGTAGTTGCTTTGGCACTGGATCCTACAACAGCAGGCAGCGGATAAACTTCATCCTCTCTCCAAGGTCCAAGAAAAAATCGCTCGTAGTGGATTGAACACTCAGTGCTCGTCTCAATTCGTCGGAAAATTTCAATTTCTGCAGTGGCAGTGCTTATTTCAATGTCGTCCGCGCTTGAAGCTGCATCTGTTTCATTGCTTCTAACCGCCGCACGATTTTTCCCATCATGCATCCATTGTTCCATATCATCGTCTTCGATCATAGCCACAATAAAGCGATTGTACATGTAGTTGTGTTCTGGCGTTGCTGTCCCAGTCCCCCGGCACTGCATCGTGCCGGCGTCGCAGAAGAAGCAGAGCCAGAGGTGCTTTCCATTTACTCCTCGAAAGAATCATACACGTATAAATTATCTTTGTCGTTTTCAGCAAAATGTGTAGTACTACTTGATCTGAGTATGCTTTGGGTACTATGTGTGTTTCTGTTCCTTGCAAAGCCAAAAGGTCGTACGCTATCTTGTTCACCACGATGAAGTATAAATCTGTGTCTGTTCAATTTGCGAATAGCCACAGGAGGGTCGGTTCAATGCAGCGGATCATCACTCAGGGCGACCGCTCTGTATACAAAGATGATCTTCACCTCTGCTCTACATCGACCTCTTCTGCGCAGAAGCTAAGGACAACAAGAAGCAAAAGTGAGTACACCGTAATTGAAAACGTGCTGAAGGTGATGATTTTAATACTTGCAATGTGAAATCTTCTTCTACCTCGTTTTCTACTTTCTAAAAATGTCATCTAGAAGTCGAATACTCCTGAAAGTGTCAAACTGCCCTCCCCCAAAACTCCCGTGCCGACGGAAGCTAGTTGAAGAGCAGAGTTCAAATAAGGTCGCATAAACTCGAGGAACGGTTTGGCGTGGTGGTTCTTCCATGATCTTTTCTTCTCTTGAAGAAGCTGGTCTTTGTCTGCTTCATCGGCGTCATCGTCAACTTCCATTTCTTGTACTTCATCTGTACTGGCAGGGGCTCCGGTAGGGGTATTTCTTCCCCCCGCGGACGAGTGAATGAATTCTTTTCCCCTTTGTTCAACTTCGGTTTTCCTGACTTCTTGAAAACGTAGCTTCGAAATCAACTCCAGGCCCTGCCACAGGAGAAATGAAGTGTTTATCTTTCCTACTGTCTCGTCTTTCGTTTTTCTTTTTCCCCTCGTAGAAGAAGAACCGGCGTCTCGTTCAAGTGATTGAAAGAAAACGCGCCACAACCCCCGGGTGAGCCTCTCAGCGATAGTTGTGTCAATCGAGGCAGAAGGGAAGTCTTCTGATTGGTGTAGTACAACTCGATCTTTTTCTTGCAGCTCTACTAACTGCTGCGAGTGATCACCACGATGAACAGCCGGACTTGATGGGCTTCTACCTCGACTACGACGCCGGCGCACAGAGCGACTGCGACTGCGGGTTCTCCCACGTTGACTCCCGGTCGTGCCCTCGGTAGAAGATGTTGCCGGGGGGACCTCCCGCGGAGCTGTACCACTTTGGCTTTGCAGCACAGGCTGCAATGCAGGTCCTTGTCTACCTTGCGGAAGATTGCTCGCTGCTGTAGTAGTGCCGGCTACAACCTCGCTCAGCGGCTGCGGAGTTCTTGACAGGAGTCCTCCTGGTGCTAATGATCCTTCGCCCGGCGCCCGCTCAACAGAGGTCCTTCTTCTTGATGTCGACATGATACTATTTTCACGACCAGCAACTTGAACTTTCACTTTCAGCAACTCCCGCCGCGCCGCTTGGTACCGCGACTTCGCTTCTCGCAGGTCTTGCAACAAGTTCTCATAAATATCAAATGTAAAAGTGTCTGGGTCTGGAAACTTGTGATGCTGTGTGGCGTATCATGAGGAGGCCACGAGTGCTGGCTCAGCATGACAAATTTCTGCGCTTGTAGGTGTTGCCTATTCTGCATGAAAAATTGCGTCTCCGCATGACAGAAAAATGCGGATCTTGGGCAACGTGCATGACAGATTTAAGTGTCATGCCAGACAAGCATGACAAACATGCATTCTTCCAGACCCAGACATTTTTACATTTGATAATAAAATTCCACCTCCAATTTCGCGTTCTCCTGCGCAAATTCCGTTTCCTGTCGTTTCACCGACGCAGTTTTCGCCAACTTCCGCCTCTTTTTCTCCGCTGTTCTCCGCTCATCTTCGGCCCTTTCGCACTGGGTCCGCTTCTCGATAATCGGCCGGATCAGCTCGCGCACTTCCCGGATGATGTGCGGGAGAAATTCGTGGATCACAGCGGCACGGGCGGCGAGTCTCTGTTCCGTGGCGCTGGGCAAGGAACCGCTAATATCGCTGTACGGAGATAAGTTGAAGGTTTCTTCGGGGACGAGTTCGTTCTCGTAGGTTGCATCTGAAAGTGGTTCTCGGGGAGGCCACCGTAGACGCTGCTCTTCCTCCGCATCATATTGTTCATAAGGGTTGTAAAACATCATCACGGGCTCCAGGCCCCCTCCAGTCCAGCCCCTCGGCAACATCCTAGCATGCAACCTGCCGCGGTTGTACTGATCCCACAACTCTCCTGTGCGCAGCAGCCCTGCGTACACCGAATTCCACCGTTGTTCGCGATTTGTCAAAAGGCGCTCCAGCGCATTGTTGCCGATGCTACGTACCCACCGCTTGCGCCGAAGCTTCTCCAGAAGTTTATCCCGATCTTCCTCTGGGCGGGGGTCATTTGGGTCTCGCTTGGCGAGGGTACTTCGCTCGTGCTCGACTTGTTTCGTGGATAATTTTCCCATAGCGTTTTCAACTTGCGTATTCCTCTGCAGTACGCGCTCGAAAAGCTGGCGCTCCTCTAGTACCGCTGGGAGTTTTCTCTCAACATCTGCCCCACTATCTTCCGAGCTGGCGAGCCTCTTGAAGTTACTAATCAAGTGCGGCCAGAAGTAAGCACCCGCACGATTTTTATTTCGAAGATTCTTGGATGTGCTCGCATTAATCACCGCAGCTTTGCACGTTTCTATTGCTCCGGTAACCTTCGTCTTCCAGGCACCCAGCCACTCCTGGATTGCACTTTGCAACAGTGTCTGTCTCTCCCGTACCGCTTTTCGCAGGTTGTCCAAAGTCCGCGCCAATGCTTGCGCTTCTGCAAGCTCCTCGCGCTCCCTCGCGGCAGACACCGAGTTTATTTGCTCTTCTACCTGCTATCAAATGTAGAAGCGTCTGGGTCTGGAAGATTGCCAGGTTTGTCATGCATATTTTGCACGACGACGACCCGGAATGCCTGTAATGCACGACCTAGCATCACAGACTTTTAGAGGGATTCCTGATGCCTATTCCGCATGAGAAATGCCCCCCCCACGTAGCAAGAACTGGACACCTGTTGCTGGTCATGCAATACAAAGTTTTTTGGGAATCCAAACACAGCATCACAAGTTGCAACCTTCCAGACCCAGACATATTTGCAATCCATACCTGCGCCTCCGCTGCCATCTCCTCCTCCGCGTTCGCTCTTTCCATTTCGTGCAAAACAGCTATTCTGAGTAAAAACGTCCCCACCCCAGAGTCAAGATGGGGATTTCGCAACAGAAACCTAGAAGTTTTGGTGGTCACGCATGACAAATTTCAGTCCGTACTGTAGTGCAGGTTAGCGTGGACAGCCGCGTCACAAATCCATCTGCTTATCCTGTTTACAGCATTACAAATTGTAGAACACGACTGGAAATGTCTACCCTGGGTATGCGCATCACAAATGTTCCTGTCATTGGAAATCAGCATTACAACTCTGGGGTGAGGACGTTTTTACTCAGGATAACACCCATCCAGTCGTTTGTTTCCCCAGGCGAAATGCCCAACCAACGCTCCACTTGCGTGATCTTCGGAAGAAACAGCCCATGAAAAAACTCATTCTCGGCTTTATCCTGAGTAAAAACGTACCCACGCCAGAGTTGTAATGCAGATTTGCAAAGACAGGAAGACTTGTAATGCGCATCCCCATGAGAGCCATTTTCAATCGTGTTTTGGAATTTGTGATGCTGTGAACAGGGTGAGCAGATGAATCTGTGATGCGGCTGCACTTGCTAACCTGCACTACACTGCAGAGTGCAACTTGTCATGCGTGACTCACAAAGCTCCTAGGTTTGTGTTGCAAAATCCCCATCCTGACTCTGGTGTGGGTACGTTTTTACTCAGGATAGGCTTCTCGGCAGATTCGTGCTTCCGCAGCCCGCAGGTCTTGCACCTTTCTACCCGCTTTCCGCTCTTCAGCCGAAACCGACTCGTGATCAGCTTTGATGGTTTCCGTTGCAGTGTCGGTTAAATTCGCTTTTTTCGTTTCGTAGATTCCGCTGATCTGCGACAAATTCTTCCGCAATTTATTGAGCTGGCGTGAAATCGGGGTGAGGTTGTGGAAAATCTGCTGGGTAGGGCTCTCGAACGGGCTGGAGTTGGGAGGAGGGTTCGACGGTAGTTCTTGCGCTCTCGACGCTCCGCTGGTGATAGTACCAGTTGTGCCCCCGCTCAGTTCCCCGGTGTAGCCACTGTATGAAGGAGATGTCGGTGCTGGACGAGATGATGTAGATGTAGAGCTTCTACTTCCGCCCCCTCCTGATGCCAGTTCTTGCACATCATTGTCAAAAAAACCCATCTCCGGCACACCGAGCGCAGCTGGAGAAAGCCCGTTGTAGGAGACAGTGATAGGCAGCCGCGGTATTGAAGGTGCGCGCACTGCACTGGGGGTTGAACTTCTTGCGTCCATACAAGAAAACGATGACACAACTTCGGATCCGCCTGGAGGTGTTTCTCCCTCGTGTAGTAGTGCATCATCGTCTCCAGCAGTACAGAGCTTTTCCCCGCCCAGGAAATTCGCCATTTCCTGCCACATTTGCTCCGCTCCGTTATTGGGTTGAAAGACGAGGCACGCGTGGCATTTAGCATTTCTGTTCTTCTCCAACCCACGCATGAGTTCTGCTTTCATCCTGGCCTTCGGCTCTTTCAGCACAACGTCCTCGACCAATAGCCGACGTCTTGGATCCTCAATTATATCCGCTTTTGATGAAGAGCAGGGGCTCATTCCGATCGGTTCAAAAAAGCGATTGGTGTTTGTGGCGCAAAATGACTGCCTTCTTCTACTACCGTGGTCGTCCCGCTGTAATTTCATCGAAGCTTTCGGGTAGTCAGGACCGAAAATCGCAAAGTGGCACTTTGCCGAACCGTTTTGGATTTGGGAGGCCAGCGGGCTCCTGCACTCCGCGTCTGAAAATGTCCCTTCAAAGGCTGCGAGGGTATCTTCTGTAGGCTCATCTGGATCTTCGTTTCTCGCTGTGACTACACCACGCCGACGTGTGCTCGTGCCACCTCCTCCCACTACCTTTCGGCTTTTCTGGCTCGGCTCAGATATCATGGTGCGGCCACTACCCACCCTAGCGGGACCACTACCATCTGCAGCTCTACTGCTTTGACTTTGAGCACTTTTCCTGTGCGAAGATAATGCTAAATACTGTCTATACACGCCCTCCAGGCCGATTCTGCCGATTTCGAACAGCCCGCGTGCCTGAAACGCCCTCATCGGTTATCCTGTGCAAAAGTATCGTACTCGTATTGCAATCATGCATTACAAATCTCTTCCCTGAGGTAGATCAGCATTACGAATTTTATTTTCCATGCTGAGGAAATTTGTAATGCATTTATACGAGTACGATACTTTTGCGCTGCATATCGGTTCCTCCCAAACAACGGGGAAGTTTTTGTCAATTATCCTGTGCAAAAGTATCGTTCTCGTACTAATTGCTTTTATGCATTACAAATCTTCTTCTTAAGGCAAATCCGCATTACAAATTCAATTTGTAATGCTAAGCCAATTTGTAATGCAATTTATACTAGTACGATACTTTTGCAGTTCATATCAATCCCGTGTTGCCAATGCTGCTTCCCCGCGATTCCTATTCCGAGGTGGACGGGGAGGGCAGTCGTACTTTGTAGTTCTTCTTGATGACGCCCTTGCCTAGAAGAACTCAAGAAATTTTCCCTTTTGCAGTACTGCCGCGCCCGGCGACACGCATCCTGGAGAGGATTTTTACTCCTTGTGTCGTGCTGTTCACCAACATAATGATCTCCTGGGTGGACTTCATCGACTTTGTAGCGCAGGAATCCAGCGATGCACTGTTCTTCCAGAGTCAGCGCGTTTCGCATCAATTCCGGCGTTTGGATGAAATCCGTCAGCATCACGCGGTTCTGCAACAACTGTCGCAATAAAATGGAAAAATCTTCGCTTTCAAGGAGTTTTTTAATTGGAAAAATCTCCTCAGTGAACAGTGTGAGACAGTGGCTGGATTTTTCAGCTTGTCCTCTCGCTCCGGAACCTCGGAAAGCAGAGTGTGATGAGTCTGAAACAGTATCTTCACGCAGGAGCAGCTGTCGAATTACTTCCTGGCGTTCCCTTGCAACGGAATGCCGGTCGATCTGTAGTCCTGGTTCCGCTACTGCGCCGGCTGCGGACGACGCGTTTGTTGTAGTATCTTCACTCAGGAGTGGTCGCGTGGCTACTTCGCGACGAGGCCCACTTGCAGCAGCCGCGCTGGCACTCCTGCTAGAGCTAGTACCAACTTGGGCTCTTAGATGGTCAGCGTATTTCTGGTCATACACCCAGGGGTCCACCGCCATGATCTGAAGAAACACGTCCACAAACCTCTCTTCCCTATGCATTGCAAAAGTATCGCACTCGTATAAATGCATTACAAATTTCCTCAGCATGAGAAAGGAAATTTGTAAATGCGGATTTGCCTTAAGAACAAGATTTGTGATGCATGATTGCAATACGAGTACGATACTTTTGCACAGGATATTCCCAGAAAGGAAGCAAAACCCTTTCAAGATCGTCTGGAGTAGGAACTACACGGAATAAATCATGTTGATGTTGCGCAAGGGTTCTATCTCGACGTGGTCCTATCGCGGCCTCGTGGACAGGTCGGGTGAGCGTTTCGTGGAGGATGCTGTGGTCTTGACTTCTTACCGGCTGCTGCACCGAGGCATGATCTCGTCGTGCTGGTACTTCTACACCTCGTCGCGCCTGCTTTTGTAGTTGTCTCGTGGATCCTCCTCGCGGAGGTCGTGAATCATGCTCCCGCGTAGTTGTAGTTCGAGTTCCTTCTAACATGATCCGCAACACTTCTGCACTTGCAATCCTTTGCTCGTGATCCGAAACCGAATCTTCGTCATTGGAGCCAGGTCGACGTTCACGCGAGGGCTCTTCTTCAGAAGATGCTTCAATACATTTTCTCACCACGGCAGCGAAATCGGTCGGACGGTGCGCCGCCGCCGACGTCCTGCTGTTGCCTTCGGCTGTTGTCCTTGAAGATGATGCACTTACGCTTGCCCCCTCCGAATTCATATTAGTAGACGACCACCAAAGGAGATTCTGCCTGCTCGAAAACCAGGGTCCGTGGGCAAACCACTGGCAAAAACGGGTGCGGAATATGGAAGCGTCAGGATTGAAATCGTCAAAGTTGAAATAGTTTGTGATGCATAAAATGCAACCCACAAAATGCCTGTCTTGCAGAGTAGGCAAGCGAGGCAGATCGTAAGCCTGTTGAGGGGTAGACATAGAGCTGCTAAAGCAGCATGACAAAAGGCGTCTCTCTTACCCAAACAGCATTACAAACTGGATTGCGGTTCTACCCAAATCTGTCATGCACCGCTTGGAAATTGGGCCTCCAACTGGTATCGATTTTATGCATTGCAACTTATTTCAACTTTGACGATTTCAAACCTGACACGTCCATACGGAAGGGGAGATATTGATAAAATTGGGAGTAATTGTCGTCGTCTCTTCTATCCGTTTCCGGCGTTGCACCACTTCTTGATCTTTTCGCGAGGACTGCCGCCCGGGCGCGGGGTTGCAGAATCTGCACCGAGTATTTTTGGAGAAAGGTCGTGGCAGTAGTGGAAGTTGTTGTAGTTTTCACCACGGCCACCCCCTGGCCCTGGGACTCGGACTGTTGCTGCACCGCATTAAAACTTGTTCCTCGCCGTAAACTCGCGGCCACACAGGCTTCGACCAGCGAACGTAGTAAAGTGGCCGTCGCTTTCTGTTTCGGGTCGTCCACCTCGTCTCCGCCGCGCCGTTCCAGGACCGTTCTTGCATCTTCCACAATTGTTTCCATTTCTGCCAAATGTGCTTGCAAAAGCCGGAACTGCTCCTGGTACAGGGCACTCTCACTTCCCGCGGAACCGGACGAGAGCCAAAGCGTCAGCAATTCCTTTACCAACCGCAGAAGTTGGGGGTTTGATATTGAGGGAGTAGCGGTACTAGAGTTCTTGGTGCCTTTACCCTTTGGCAGCTTTCGTCCTTGATGATGACCAAGTGCCACGACCGCTGCACCACCCTCCTCCCTGAAGAGCTCCGCGTAGTTTCGTCTTATGCCCATGCTGTTGTAGCTCTTTGCTTCATCGCCCGTCTTCGCAGGAATTCGAATTTCTGTTGCTGCGCCAGCATGAAAATAATCTCCTCGTCCTCCACTATCACTATCAGTGGTTGCGGTTGCAGGTGCTGGTGCAGTTCCCGTACCGTATTCCGCATAACAAACTTCCAAATAGTCTGCCAGCTCCGCGTCGGCCTTCACCATGCAGGCCACCTCTGCCACATCACGGAAAAGCAGCGCGTGTTCCCGCAAAAATGCTACAGAAACGGCTTCGACGTCCTCGTCGGCGTCCCGTTCATCCGCGATCCTGTTCCCGTCGCGACCATCCGCTTGAGTTGCATCAAAATAAAGCTCCTGTTGTACCAGCTCGGAATACGCACTTTCCCACGTGTGACGGATTGCGATCAGAAGTTCGTACGTAGTAGTGCTTTTCAGCAGGTACTTCAGAATCACTGATAAGTCTGATGTACTACTATCCACTGCAAAAGTAATGTACTCGTAGTAATTTTTGCGATTTTTAGCTTGACAAATCTGGTTGTCAGAGAACCGTTCATCTCTGGGTACTTAAATCAGGATATACAAATTCAACTTTTTCCTCTATTTCCGAAAACTCCTAAATGCAATTTATACGTAGTTGCACGATATTACTTTTGCAATGCATATGAAGAAGGCGATCGTTTACCCGCGGCGGAGGAAGATGAAGATGCCGTGGTGGATATCACAGGAAAAATGGTTTAATACATTAATACGGAATTTGTGATGCAGTAATGCATCGCAAAACGTGCCCAAATTTGTCATGCATAACATGCATACTAGGAAAAATCTGTCATGCATATCTGCAACCTACAAAATCCGTTAACGTCAACACTTTTTTGTTGGATAGTGGAGGCTGCTGTCAGGGGTGTCCCGGGAATTTGCTCATCATTATCAAGTGTAAAAGTGTCTGGGTCTGGAAGGATGTAACTTGTGATGCGCATTTCAGAACACACAAAAATCTCTGATGCATAGGCAGCAAAAGCTGCTCACTTTCTGTCACCAAAATGGGGGATTTGTCATGCGGATTCGGCATTGCGGAAGCTTCTCGAAACCTGTGATGCTAGAGCTGCCATGCCAGACCTTCTGTGTCATGCAGAAACAGCATGACTCTTCCAGACGCAGACATTTTTACATTTGATAATCATCTTGTTCCACCAAATAATCCGCCATCGGCATCGACGAGGACGTGGTAGCAGGACCAGGAGTAGATTTGCTTGATAGTTGGACCGTTCTGGCCGCGACTACGGGGGTAATGGTGCAGGTGCTGTTGTGGTGCTGGTCTTTTGGGTACTCATACCACGCGACGATGTAGAAGACTACACCCGCCAGCCGCGCCAGCCATCCTCGGGCTAACGGAAAAATAAAAGGCGTCATCTTACCGTCGAAAGCCATGCTTGCTACTTGTAGTAGTCCTCCCTGTATGAAAATGAAGGTCTTCTGACTCGCTAGTAGTCCCCGCAGGAAGGGGTGCCGCTGCCGCGAAGGGTCGTTCTTGCCAGAAATTATGCTACCTGCAAAGGCTCCTGCGGAAGACTAATCTACTCATGGCAGATTTTAGGCGTCATAGTGTGGCGAAGATCAAGATGTGCATGCTACTTTTCCCGTTGGCCGTGTCTCTCTTGGGGAGACATGAGCCAGGACAGGCCATGGTGAAATTTTATCGTCGAAAGTAAGCGGAAATGGATTTCATCGTCGGAAGTGGTTGATGATGTAGTTGGTCACTTTTTACATATAGTTTAGGTTTAGTACAACTTTCTGTTCTTCATTTTCACATCGGTCGAAAAAAATACTCTTTTATCCGATAAGAATTCTAAGTCTAAACCACGTTCTTTCGACCACTTCTCGTGGCGGTAGGGTGATCTCTGTTCGATAAAACTGCAAATAAAGGCCGGAAAAAAATTGGTGGAAACTGGAAAATTAGTCGAGCAGAAGTTGGAGATCTCCGTTTTCTTGTGATCAAAAGCACAGTTTTTCTTTTTTTCCTCTTTCTCAGGTGAATAAAACAACTTCTGCCACGACATGTGGCACAGGGTGTCGAGCACAGATTTTTATCTGCAAGAACTGCACCATTGTTTTGTATATTTTCGAAATGTAGTGGTTGTAAAAAAGGATGCTAGAAGAAGACACATGATGCCTTTTCTCATGACTCTTTTGGATCTCAAATCGATCTCCTTCGTCCTGGCCGCATGCGGTTCGCGGGGAATGTGTTTTGACTTTGAGAAGAGGAAGACGTTGAGGGGCCCATATTTTGATATTAAGAGAGTTACAACAATAAAGCATTTGAGCCCATATTTTGATATTGATCTTCTACTTCCTTTCGCTGACTACAACGAACGCAAAGAAAAACAAACTTGCACCAACCACATCACCAGAAAGAGCAGGTACGCTGAAACATTGAACAGCGGCATGGCTTGCCCTCGTACTATGATCAACAAATGGATCGATCATATGAAGGGTCGCCTTTCTGGTAGAAATCGGGAAGCGACAGCACCGAATCCGTTTTCTTTTGCACGGTACAACGAACTGCACATCTACGTAATCCTGTAAAATTACTAAGTGGAATTTTGCAGGAAACAGGAAAATTGAAAAAAAATGTACCCTGTGCTGGATTGGACGGCGGCTACGGCGGTTCGGAGTGGTGAGGACGCGGCGGCCTTTGTACTCCTCAGTCCTCATCAAAGAACACCGCTACAGGCACGTGGCAGACCTTCATCAAAATACATCGCTACAGCTACAAATAACGGAGATGAGGACCATGGCCCGTGAGATGAGGGCGGCCTACCTCCAACAGGGGGCGGCTGTGCCAAGCTGGCCGCACGCGCCAGACGGGCGCGCTATGCGGGCAGGGAGAGGAAGGCGGCCACGCGAGCCGGGGTCTAGCCAAATGATTTGGCGACCCAGCAGCTGACGTGCCAGAGAGCCCATGTGTTGCCATTAGGAGGAGTCGCCCCGGACTATTTCCGCACTTTTTGCGCGCGCCGGGGAGAGTGCGAAAAAAATGGCCATCCAGATTTTCCCCCTTGGCGGAGGTAAAACCGCACCTAAATCTCCGACTTGTGGCGCCAATATTGGGCGGCCGGAAAAATGCAAAAAAAAGGCCCCAAGGAGAAGGCCCCCCGCACCTGCTTGCAAAGTTTGGCCGGCCGAAAAGGCAAAAGCGCGCAACTGTTGCATCAAAAATCGGGGCCCGAGGCCGGGGGGCCCGGGGGGTCCCGGAGGGGTAGCCCCCTCATTTTCCTGTGAACTCTGTGGCACGATGGCAGTGCCTCGATTTTGCCCCCCATTCTGGGTCCCCGAATTGCCCCCATTTTCGGCCCCCCCGGAGGCCCCCCCTTTGCGTTTTCCTGTGAACTCTGCGACCGATGGGTATCTATTGATTTTTTGCTCAATCACGGGCTAAACGGCCAAAAAGGGCACCGGAGTCGAACCCCCTGGCGATATCTTTTCCCTGGCACCCCCAGAGAAGGTGGTCGAGGTGCTTCAGGGTCGCCGGCCTTTTTCGGCCCTGCTCGCGGAGCCGCACCCGGGCCGCTTCCTTCCAGCCGACTAAATCAGGGCCGTGCCAGGGGACGCGCTGAGGGGGCCGGGGAGGTAGTGGCAGCCGCCTACCATTTCTGTTGTTTCGGTTTTGTGACTCGCGCAAGGTATTTTTTGAACAGTAGCAGAGGAGAGCGCTGGACTCTGTGATGATTTGTATCGTAGTGTGCGCGTGTGTGGAGCGGAAAGCCGGATCCCTGTGCGAGGCAAGCTGCTTGCACCTTATGGCCCATCATCTTCATGTCCCTCATTTGTACCTGTGGAATGACTATGATGAAGGATTCGCTTTGTGCCTATAGTGATGCTTTTTGATGAAAACAAACTGCAAGAAAGACCGCCGCGTTGTCCCCGCTCCCAGCCGCCGTCGCCCTCGTCCCATCCAGCACAGGGGGCAATTTTTTTCAATTTTCCTTTTTCCTGCAAAATTCCACTTAGTAAAAATAACAGTTGCTGCACCTTTCAAGAGAGAACACACACTGCACATGCACAGGCGTACGGAAGACGGATTCAAAACAAAACGTAGAACTTCGGATCACAAAACTTGATCGCGTCGAGCGTAAGACGTGAAAATCCAAACGAGGAAGTAAACAGATCCGGAAAGGTGTTGTTGGAAGATATCAAAACGGGGCTTCTCAAACTTGATCTTGTAGTATGCGTGCCGTCATGGAGAGATGATATTGAAAAAACCGTGCGGATGACGATCATGGGCGGCATTTCAGAGAAACAGAATATTATCAGGCAAGACAATGCTCTCTACTGAAAAATACAGCAAGATCCGGTGACCAGCCACCAGGGGTTTCAATGCGAGCGTCAGGAGAACACCGGAGCGCTTTACTTCGAGGGCAGGATGTTCTTGAAGAAGTCTATATTAGAATTCGCAAACGCTTCTCCCGACCCCCGTCGCTAAGCCCAGCGGCCGGCTCTCGTCCCTTCCCGGCGAACGGGGGCACTCGCTCTCGCTGTGTGGCTAGAATGCGATCGCTCCGTTGTGGAGAACACACGCCGCGTAGCAGGCACTGTGGCCCAAACCTGTGCCCGCGTTTTCATGCGGGCGTTCGGAGTTCTTACATAACTTCTGTCTGGCATACACTTTCATTTTCGTTGCAGTGCCCCGCCTATGGTAGGGCGGGGCTGGAGTTGCGCGTTTCTGTTTGCCTGACATTGCCAAAACTGTGCGCGGCTTGCCAAAAAATCAATTGGAGTGCAACTGATAGATAGTCGTCCCATCAAAACAGATATAATGTGCCTCGGTTTTGCCGTTGTACTTGCTTCCAAAGTTATAGTCTTGCTTTCAGGTAACAAAAATCAACCTTTCTTTCCGGAAAAAATGCGTAAAACGTTTAGCATTTCCAGAAGCCGTTTCAGCATTTAGCAACAACAACACAAAGTCAGACAGTATATCACAAATGATGCAAATCTATTCGAGGCAGTCCCCTTAGATTATCCTCTTCCGTCCTCTAAGTCTCGCGATTGCTTGGATTGGTAGTCTTTCGCTGTTGTTGTTTGCTTGGACGGAGAGCGCTGAGGATGTATTGCTGCTGCTTGTTGTATTCGCTGATCCTGTTGCTGTGCCTGTGGTGATGTCTCGCCATAGACTTCGACCAAGACAGTCCTTTGCTGTTGCTCGCTTTCGATTGAGATCCGCGGCGATTTATGCTATCCAGGTCTTTGTTGCTCCTTGCCCTTTTTTCGTCTTGGCGTTCGGCACGGTGGCTGACAACATCAGCCGCGCCCAACGTTTCGCCGGATACCTTGGCACGTGGCCAAAGTTACCACGTGGCCCAAATAAGTACTATAATTCAGAAAATTTAGAGTTGGCCGTAGTAGAGAGGACCACAAAATGAAAATTTACCCCAAGAAATGTTGAACGTAGTTGATGATAACTCGCTCAACGGGGGCCACAGAAATCGAAAACTTCACTGTGTGACTTTTCATCTCCGAATGCGAGATAGAACAGCGTCACTCATCCGAAAATTCCTTGGCAAGTCGGTTCAGAACAACTTGTTCGAAGCTGGAGCGTCGAGCCGTCCAGGCTTTTTGGTCGTTCCCGAGCTGCGCGAGCTCTGGAGGCTCGCGTCCCTCCTGGGGTTCTCCGGCGAATATGATGTCCGCCTGTATCTGTCTCACTACCTTGTCGAATGTTCCTTGTGTCGCGAACTCCCCTGTCAGCTTTGTGTTCTCCTTCTCGGACAGCCAACGCTTCCACCGTTTTTTCAGCCATACCAAGTCCCTCTTGGTTGTCTCAGTGAGCGCAACTTGCTCTCCCTCTCCGTCGAAGAAATGGCCAAAGTTCATTTCGCCGCCCTCCCCGATGACTTTTTTGCGAAGGTGGTCTATACGTGCAGAGAAAGGCATCCCCTTCCCATAGTCTTCCGCTACGAGTCGATCTAGCTCCTTCAAAATCCCGGCCCGCTCACGAGCTTGCCTTGGTAGAGGGAGCCGATCTTGCCGCACAGGAGCGAGCGCGTGAACCTTACTCAGCTCTTGCTGCCAGTTTTCAATGATAGCGTCCAGAAGGTGCGCCCATCGATTTCGCAGCTCCTGGTATTCCGCACAGTCAGAAAAAACAAGCCCCAGTTCGCGGAATTGCTCGAGAACAAAGTTAGTGGGGCAAGACTCAACCTCGGAAACGTATAAATGCGTTTTCAGCTTTTTGGCGGCCTCTATACCCCACAGGTACATCGTTCCTCGGGTGCGTCTGGCATATTCTGTGGCAAGAAGCAGCGCCGACAGTTGGTCCGTGTGTTCCTGCAGAAAGTTGTCTGCCTGCTCGGCCTCTCTTTGAAGCCTGGCCCGCGTGTCTTCAGTAATAAATGCCCCGAACGGCCCATTTTTCGGGAGCTGCTGGATAAATCCCAAACCCTTCGAGGTGTCGAAATGATTTTCATAACGCTTCTCCATTTCCAGTATTGACGTGACAAAGACACGGCCGTCGATTTCGATCTTCCACTGGACTTCTTTTTCGTACGAACTCACGTACCCGATCTTGAGACGCTCAAACTGGGGCCCGGGGCAGAGTACATTCAGCAAATTTTTGTGATCGCTGAGTGAAAACTGTCCAGAAAAATATGCTTTTATCATGAACATCCGGAGCGCACGGAAATACGGCAGGCCATCAAATACGTCTCTGCACAGCGTTCCGAGCGAGGCAATGAACACGTCCAGCAGAAGCCCGCTAAGCTGTCGCTGGTCCTTGGACGAACTCCCCATGGGGGTGCCGGCTCCTTTGCTACTCCGCTTTGTCTGCGACATTCGAATCTGTTGTATCTTACGTGAGACCGCAGCGATAGCAACAGAAGGACTCTTGATATCATGGCTCAGACATGCGTCAGAGCCTGCGGTGGCCATTTGTGCGGCGCCTCTTGCTTCCCCAGGGCGTTGCGGTGTTGCTGTAACCGACGCAGGGACCAACTCCGGCCGCTGCAGGGCCTGATCCAATGCCTCACCGTACTCCTTATCCGCTTTCTTAGACAACTGATCCAGGAGCGCCTCCAGATCCCGCTCGTTTGCTTCCGCGGCGAGGGCCTTCGCTTTTTCGAGCAATCTCTCTCTATGTTGCTTCGCTTTTCTAGCTCTGCGGCCGCGCCGTTCTCCACGATGCCCTCCCCCACCACGCGGACCGGCGCCGGAGTCAGACGGCCGCCCTCCTTGTTCGTCGGATGACGCAGTGCAGCTGCAGCTTGAACCTCCGTCACTTGTTTCCTCGTCCTCTTCAGTGGGGCTGAAAGCACCCCATGCGGTCGCGCCCGCCCCCTGCTGTGTCGCGCCACAAGCTTGAGCTGGAGGGACGCTACCTCCTGCAGCTCCAGGTGCCGCATCCAAGTTCTTGAACAGGTGCCGATTCGATAACACTTTGTGCTTGTACTCTTGATCGAACTCTTTGCTGGCTTCGTAGTATCAACTGTAAAAGTGTCTGGGTCTGGAAGAATTCATATTTGTCATGCGTGTCTGGCGTGATTCTTAAATCTGTCATGCACGTTACCCAAGAAGAGCTCCGCTTTCCTGTGATGCAGAAGCGCAGATTGTCATGCAGAATAGGCAACACCTAGGAACTCAGAAACTTGTCATGCTGAGCCAGCATTTGTAGCCTCATCATGAGACGCCACCCAGCATCACAAGTTTCCAGACCCAGACATTTTTGCACTTGATATGTAGGCAGTGGTCACCAATTCCACCAGCCCGTCGTCCGTGAACTGGCCAACTGCATAATCGTGATCGATTTGGGCTTTCAGTTTCGCAGCGTCATCGCGGCTAGTTCTTCGTCGTGCGGCCGCCCTTGGTCCGTACAGCCAGTCCTCGCATGAAACGTCTCTGCCTTGGTAGGTCGACTGCCGCAGCTGCTTTCTCGCGCCGAGACAACGCACGCCCGCCCGCAAGAGCAAAAGTTTGCCCCATAGCCTGTCGCCAGTTTGGCTCAGCCACCAGTCCCACACCCTGGCGGGAAACTGCTCGCGCAGTTTGGCTTTCGCTTTGGCCCCCGTCTCGCCTAGTTGTTCCGTAGCATTATCAATAGCCTTCTGCATTTTCCCAAGCAATTCCATACTCGCGACGGGCTCCATGCGCCGCATTACGACCTTCGCTGCTTTTTTTGCGCGCGCCACCTTTTCCTTAATCGACATTGCTTTCGAAAGATTCTGGACATTGTCCGACTCGGCCTCGCGTTTCACATTCGCGTCGAACGAAGTACCCAGGTCGTGACAGGTCAGCTGTACCTCAGCTGCAAGCCGCCAGCAGTGCGCGGCCATCTTCACACTTTCCATGTCAACCACCGCTCCTAACTTCATGGATTGGCTTGCCTTCGCCCCCTCCTTCGGGTTTGTTCTTTTTGCTTTTCGTCCTCCACCCTGGAGCCCCATTGCGAGGTGGACCAGCGGGGAAGCTCCTGCATCGAACAAGAGCTGCATGCGTACGGCAAATAGAAGGGCAAGCCCAACCGAGAAGCAAAGCGGAGCTCTTGCGTGTCCTCCTCCTGGTCGTACAGGAGCGCGAGGAATACGAGACGACGAAACGAGATCAGGCGCCATGATTGCGTCGATCGAACGACAATGGCTATCAGCAGGCTAAATACTTATTTTATTCCTTCAGTATCGGTATTGCACACAAATGGGGAAGTAATATACTTTCTTGACTTTGACTTAACAAAAAAATAGAAAGTCAAGACCTACTATGTTGTGACAACTTGTGTATCTGTCGAAGCTGTTATTTAGAATGATGATCGATAATATAAGTAGATCAATGTGCATGTGGACGCGCGGGCTTCGCGTGCTATTTCCGTTTGGGCACAAAACAATTAGGGCACAAGACTAGTTTGGCAAGCAAAACAATTAGGGATTGATATAAGGAATGCTCCAGATTCAGGTTAGAAGTAAGTAAATGAAAAGATGGCTCTGCTTCTTCAGAAGTCTTCGTCGTGTGCGTCCTCGTTTCGGTGACCGCGGCGAGTAGAGTTTCTGCAAAAATAACTTGCTCTTTCACACGACTTCTGAGGTCGTTTGTTCAAACTGATAATTGTTGCGGTTCTTGCTCCTCCCTGCGATCCACAACAATTATCAGTGCTTGTCGAATTATCCGCACGATGTAAAGCTGCAATGGAGTCGCGAATGTGAGTAGTAAAGCTGTGAGTAAATATTAAGCTGGAAGAGCTCAATAAACTAGATCAAAGCGCAAGGCGGTCTTGAAAGAATGATTTTTTTGAAAACAGACTAAATTGTTGACGTCGCGTAAAAACGCACACGTTGTTATCCTGCTGAATGATAGTACAATTTCAAACATAGTACTGTGCTGGAGCTGGACGCTTTGATCATTTTGTACTACACAGGCACCAGAAACAAATTCAAGCTGAAGGCTTGACTTGTTTCTTCCGCGGGGGGGATCTTCTGTCGATTTAGAGGACGTCTTTTTATTTCCGCGGGAAGAGCATTTTTTCGTCCGATGCAATAAAGGAGGAGCTGGTGACATAACTGGGTTTATTACCGACCGACACCGAACAGTAGCCGTAGCCCGATACAAAGAAGTGTGGATCATCATCTTCAAGTTAATAGATCTTCTTTCATTTGACCAGGACTGAAAAAAGATTTCGGATCGTCGCATACAGTTCTACTTCGTTTCTCAGATACACGAATTTTTGATCCCAAGTTCCTTCAGACCGATCGCTTTCATTTTCAACACATCAATTGAAATTGACTTCTAGCTGCCCGATAGCACTAATACACAACGAACTTCCCCTCGCCTTTGTGAGAGGACGGCGAGGACCTGGAAATACTTATCGCCCCGGGACATTACTACTACAACACCGGATAATAAGTAAAAACAAAGGGTCGCGCGTCGACCACGTCGTGATCATCAGGAAAATAAATTCAGCTCAAAAATATCTTTCGCACCATGTTCACAGAGAGCAAGATGGCGTGTTTCGGTTTACAGTCCACACAAAAGATCTTCCTCGGGTCGTAAAGCGATTGGTACCAGGCGGTTGATCTACGTGAAGATACTGGGGTCGTTCTACTTGACGTGGTGGTGCTAGTAGTCGATGTGGTGGAACAAGCAGCTGCGTCAGTGCAAGATGAACTTGCGTGAAGAAGCCGATCTTCTGGCCTGCTCTGCAGTGACGTTCTTTCTGCGCCGGTGCTGGGGCAGGAGCCGTGGAAGTTCTTACTATTGGAACAAGATGCGTCTTTTGTTATTTCATCCTTGGTGATGTTGCTCTTCGAGTTTGATGACTGCTCCTGAGAAGTTGATGATGTCATCTGCTTCATCGGCAAGAACTCGTGCGCTGCTTTTATGTTTATTTGTTTGTTTGTTTGCTTGTTTGTTTTCATGCGTTGAGCAGGTGGGAACGCGTTTCGTCTTCACCGTTTTCCTCTAAATAGCGCTCCTTCAAAAAAAAAATCCCCAGTTGCGAGAAACGCTGAAAAAAGACTCTCCGGACTCTGTTGCCTACGACTACAAAATGAAAACGGGCCAGACTGAAGATTTTTCTAGAAGGGGCAGATCACGGTTCTTTGATGATCGTTTTTGATTCTTATGGCGATAGTCTTTGCTAACACAGCGTTTCTAAAAGATGCACTTGCTTCCATCCACAGTCACTTGTAATGGCTGTAGCATCCTCATCTCGCAGCAGCGGCAGCCGCACAAAATAAATGAAACGTTCTTGTGGTAACACTAACATGTAGCCTTTCCTCGTGGGAAAAAAAATACAACTTATCTTCAGGATGTTCATGACTCCATGCGCTATTCATGTGTCACGACCTGAGAGAGCAACCACACTCCGCGATCAGCAATCTCATCACACACAAATACATGATAGTACTTCGGCTGCATAAACGAACCATGCATGACAAATGTCTAAATTCGTGACCATATTAGTATTTCAGTGAAAATAGCAGTTGCAGTAGCTGAACAAGCACCCGTGGTTTTGAGCGTACGACAATTATCTATAAAAGTTTATTCAGTAAAAACGAGAACGAAAACTAACTTATAAACATTTCATCGTCCTGCAGGTCGATTTCCTGTAGCCCGAAACCAACTGTAGCAAGCTCTAGAGACGGTTCTCCCAGCCCTGCTCCGGTGGCAACCGAGCCGAGCTGCAGAACCGAGTTCAAGTACGGGCGCATCAGGTCCAGGAAGGGCTTGGAGCGCTCGGCCCATGACGGCGTTTCATTGTTCCCGGCTGCTGCCCCCGGTGTCGCACTCCCACCGGAAAATGTTATCTCCTCTGCACCATCTTCGATGGGAACGAATTTCAGTGTGGAAATCAAGTCCAGGCCCCGCCACAGGAGAAAGTGCAAATACCGGTCGGCCTCCTGCTCCTGCGCAGGATCCTCTGCGACTTCTTGTTGTGTGGGTGATGTGCGGCGTCGTGCCATGGGCAGCTCGTCCGGAGTTGTACTAGAACTCCCTTGCTTGTTTCCCGTTGCAGAAAGCCTCTTGTTAGTATCCAGTACATGAAACCACACACGCCACAGGCCGTTGGACAACTTCTCCGCAATGGCCGCGTCCGCGGACGGAGCATGATCGTGTGGTGAAAATAGATCGTCTTGACCAACATCACTTCCGGTGGTTGGAGGCCTGCCCGCAAGTGCAGTGGTTCCTCCCCTGGACGACCGGCGGTCTCCGGCTTGGGACGAGCGCGACCTAGCACTAGTGGAAGCGGCTCCGCGACTGCGAGACCGCGAGCAGCTGCGAAAACCCGCTTGGAGTTGGACCATCTCGCTCAGCATCATTATTTCTCGTTCGCGGCGCGTTAGTCGCTGTGTTCGAGGAGCTGCGGCTTCAGCGCTAGTGGACGATAGGAGTTGCTCGTCGCTACTTTCAGCACTTCTTCGCCTGCGAGTACAGCATAGGATTCTTCTAAAGCCTGCGGGCACAGCACTTCTTCGCCTGCGAGTCGGAGGCTCTTCGAGATCACGACTTTTCGGCAGCAAGCGCCGTGCTTTCGGTGGTCGCGAATCTTCGGCCGCGACAAGCCTTTGGAAGATCTGCTGAACTGGGGCCTGGAAGAGACTATTGGCAGGAGCCTGGTCGTGTCGAGCAGCTCCAGCCTGCTGCCCCTTCTTCGGGCTGCCGAAGCTGGCTTGGCCTCCACTGCTGCCTTGTTCTGCCAACCGTCCTCCAAACGGACCTACAGATGCTGCCACGTCGCCTGCGGGAGGACCCTTCTTAGTGGCCGTCTCCCGGCGACCCGCAGCCGAAGAAGAGGCAACAGAAGGAGCATCACGCTCAAGCCGGAGGTGTTCGACAGGTTTGCACAGCTCCTGCTGTAGGCGCTTGATGTGGCTGGCCAATCTTTCAGTTTCTATTTCTTTTCGAAGAAACGTTCTGTCGTCCAACATTTGACTTTCTTTTCGACGAAGCTCTTCTATTCGACGAAGCTGCTCCGCTTCGCCTGTAGCGGGAGGACCCTTGTTAGTGGCCGCCCCACCCGCAGCCGAAGAAGAGGCAACAGAAGGAGCAAGCCGGAGGCGTTCTTCAGCTTCGCCCACCTTCGCATACATGTTTTTCATGGCCTCCTGCTCCTGTTGGCGCTTGATGCGGCTGCGACGACACTCTAGCTCTAGGTGTTCTGCCTCCTGCAGGGCCTCCGCTTGACGCTTGATGTGTAGTCTGGCCAAGCTTTCACTATCTCTTTCTTTCAGAAGAAATCGAAGGCGTTGACCCTCCTGCCGAGGCTTTTCGGTGTCCGTGTCGGCCAAGCTTTCCGTTATGAGGCGTGTGACCCTGCCGAAGCTTTCTGCTATACGACGACGACGCTGTTCCCATGCGATGTCGCTTGATGCCTCTTCGCCTGCGGGAGAACCCTTGTTAGCGGCCGCCCCACCCGCAGCCGAAGAAGAGGCAACAGAAGGAGCATCAAGCGACATCCCGAATTCATCCATGACCTGACGTATGGCTGCCTCCTTCACGGCCTCCGGGACACGGTGCCTGAGGATGGCCAAGCTTTCACTGTCTTTTCGACGATTCGCCTCCTCCATGAGCTCCTTGTATTTAATGGCCTCCCGCATCATGGCCTCCTCCAGGGAATGCAGCACTTCGTCCATCATGTCCTCCGGTTGGCGCTTGAACTGGCTTGCCAATCTTTCTGATCTTTCTGTAAGAAAATCTAGCTCACTTGCTGAAAGTCCAAGGCGGCTCTCCACCTTCTTCCAAAGCTCTTCGAAGTCGATGCGACTTTTTCGCCTCTTTTCGGTGGCCAATTCGCGATGAAACGCTTCTCTTCGAAGCTCTTCTTCTCTTCGACGTTCATCAGCCTCCGCTGCTCGTCGTGCAGCCTCCGCTTCTCGTCGTGCAGCCTCCGTGGCCCGCCGTGCACCACTTGCATCTTCCACGTACGGGGCCGAGTGCGCCTCGTGCGCGCCGTGATGCGCTCTTGGATCGCCACGGGTACCCTCCGTGTACGACATTGCCTCGCGGCCCGTGGTCATGTTGATTTGTGGCACCGCGCCCAAAACGGCGGGAGGGGCGCCGGTGCGGCTAACGCGAATCGGGATCCTTGCCGAGAGCGGGGTACGGGGCGCGCACAGCGACGGGCACCAGGCTGCCACCTCTTGCCAAGCTTTTTCCTGGCGTGAGCTGAAAAGCAGGTGTCCGTGGCACACAACGCACTCGCCTCGGTGCCCCCACTGCAAATACTGCGCGACCCGGGGCTTCAACACGGCTGGGCCTGGCTTCTCGAGGAAAACGGCCTGCTCGAGGGGCATTCTGTTTCCACGCAGAACTTCCGACTTGAAAATCGTCCTAGTTTCAGTGCCGTCTTCCTCTTCTTTCCCGTTATCTTTCCTCTTGTACAGAGCAAAACGGCAGCTCGCATTTCTCGGCGCTTCTTTCTCGAACTCTTCCATTCCACCGCGGAACTCTAGCCCGGCACTGCCATCCTGGACTTGTTCTGGGTCATCTTCATAAGGGCGGTCGCGGCTCCCCCTGCTACGAATCCTGCTGGTGCTGGGGGTTGTGCAAGATGTAGTTGACTTCGCTTCCAAATATGCTCGGTAAAGGCCTTCGTAGCCTATGTTGCCAATTTGGAATACTCCGCGCGAACGAAAATTGTCTGCGGCTTCTCCCCAATACACGGGGAAGGAGGGATCGATGCTCTCCTGTATTTTGGAATTTCTTGTCTCTCCACGCTGGCCCTCTGATTGAATACCCAAACCGAGGCTGATGGTTAGCACTCTGCTCCTGTCATACCGCCCTCGTTTGCAAAAATCTCTTGCCTGTTTGCACGAAGTCCGCACGCCGTTATCACCAACTTCAGGCGGCCGGCCCCAGTACCGCAAAAACCCCGCGATACACTGCTCTTCTACGGTGAGTGCGTTGCGCACCACTTCTCCGGGGCTGATAAAGTCGGTGAGCATGACTCTGTTCCTTAGCATTACCCTTGCCTTCCCGTTGCTCCTCAGGCTATGGCTACCGCTAGTACCGCTTAAAGACGATACAATACCGGATATCGGAAAAAGCCGCGTTGTGATGAGTCGCAGGCACTCGCGGTCGTAGTTGTCCTGCGAATCTTCGTCATCGCTGTGGTGCCTGGAGGTGGTGGCGAAAGGGAACATGTCCGCAATTACTGTTTGTCTTTCATTTTCGTATCAAGCTTGAATATGTCCTCTGGCTCTGGAAAGAATATGCAGATACTTTGACTTGCCATGCTGTTCTTGAATCTACTGCCACAAGGTTTGGAATGCACACAGTGGCCCACATACTTACGATTTGTTAACGAGGGGCTCTGCCGGGAATTCCGCGTGCCCAGCCTGCATGAAGGACGAGGATGCCCTCTCCACCTACAGACGTGAGCTGCGCGTTTTCTGTGGACCATGGTTTTCTGTACACCATGCAAGACAGAATTTGAATTGTGATGCCTTTGCCTGTATCCTGTGCAAAAGTATCGCACTCGTAGTAATTGCTATCATGCATGAAAAACATCCCTTGTATTTAGGTAAATCAGCATTACAAATTCCATTTTTCTTCTTGAAAAAATTTGCAATTTATACTAGTACGATACTTTTGCAATGCATAGCCTGTTACAAAATGTTGCGCATGAGAAGTCTACTGCATCCTTCCAGAACCGGACAGATTTGTATATACATACCTCGAAAGACTCTTGGCTGATGTCCAATACAGCTACCGGCTCACCATCGTGAGATGAAATAGAGGATCTTGATGATATGAGAGCGCACAAGGAATTCCCTCTCCCGGCGCTTATCTGTATAGCATGGACAGCAATTATCATTATGCAAACACCAGCACGCGTGGAGCGTGTGCACGACAAGTTCTTCATGCGTCAACTGCAGAGCTGAGATTGGCCTTGTTCATGTTCTGGAGCAATCAGAGTGTGATATCTAATCGCGACAAAAGGTGGAAACATCTGAAGAAATTACTTACAATGTTGCATATGGAAATGAGCGGGGGCAGGGGGAGTTCACTTGTGCACTCGCATACTACCAAAATCCAAATGGTCGGCGTATTTCCTGTCATAAACCTGGGGGTCTACCGCGAGATTTTTTAGCAAAACATCCACAACCCTTTCGGTCCAGAGGCGATGGAGAAGACGGCTCCAAGCAGGAGGTGCAGGCTCTTGGGCTTCAACTTCATCCCGCTCTAGCTGCGCATCCAGCATGATCCTCTCTACTACTTCGCCCCCCACCACTCTCTCTAGCGGCTCGCGGAAGGCTGCGTTCATGATTTTCAGAAGCGAAATGTTTCCATCGCCAGGAATAACACCACCTCTGCTCTTCATCTGCCGGACGCAGGTTTGCACAAGGTGAGGGAAGTTGTAGGCGTGATCTTCGCGGCTTTGGAGGTCCCCGGTCCTTTTCGTCGAGTTATCAAATGTAAAAATGTCTGGGTCTGGAAGAATGCAAGATTTGTGATGCAGGTTTTCCATGACCCATGAGGCCTGGCATGCAGTACCTAGCATGAGAGATGCTGTGAGATGTCTATCATGCCTATCCTGCATGAGAAACTCCCTGTCAACCTGGTCAAAAGCGGACATCTTTTGGTAATCATGCAACACAAATTTTTGCATGATCCAGACTCAGCACGACAAGTTCCAATCTTCCAGACCCAGACATTTTTGCAATTCATACGAATTTGGCTTTGACCACCACTGATTCGACAGCGTGGAAAACCAAGGCCCCTGGGCTATCCTGTGCAAAAGTATCGCACTAGTAGTAATCGCAGTCATGCATTACAAGTCTCCTTCTTAAACCTAAATCCGCATTACAAATTCCATTTTCCATGCAGAGGGAATTTGTCATGCGATTTCTACTAGTACGATGCTTTTGCATTTCATATGGGCGAACCACCGGCAAAACTTGTTTGTCAGGAAGGCAAAGTTCTGCGTTCCTTCCTCGCGGCTGTGTGGACCACGGCCCCTGCCTGCGCGGGGCCCGTTTGGATCTTCATGATGAACGACGAGAGCGGGGGCAACATGTTGAGACAAACCGCGAAAAGTAGTAGAATAGGTCTCCAGTATCGTTCGTTTTGATGTCGCGCCGCCAGCAAAAAGGCTCTGTGCCCCGTGCACGGCCGCTTCGATACACGCGCGGACTGCGTCCCGCAGAGAAGGAGCAGCTCCTGCTGGTCGTGCGGCTGTCCTATGAAGATCTTGTCCGGCGGCAGCTTGATGTGCAGAAGCCGAATTATGCCGCAGATGTTGCCGGAGATGCGCCTCTCGCTCTCGGTACTGGTGAGCATGATCATCCCTAACAGTAGGGAACCAAACGGCAAGAAGCTCTTTTACCAGTCCTGTGAGTTGCGGGTTGGGAGATACGACTCGCTTGCTCCCAGGCATCGTATCCTTCTTGAAAAGTTCCGCGTAGTTTCGCCGTCGCGATGAATTATCAGCAGGAGGGTTGTTACCATCAATCTTAATATCGACGTAGCAGGTTTGCAAATAATCATCACCCTCTATATCCGCTTTGACCATACACGCCACCTCAGCGACGTCCCGGAAAAGCAGCGATAATTCGAGCAGCTCTTCTGCACCAAGTTGTTCGGGTTCTTGTTGTGCTGGCGCAGTTGGTGGCGCACCCACTTCGATCCTGCTGGTTTCACGCAGAGACAGTCGTGCATCAGAACGAACTCCTGTTTTGCCCAAATTACCCTCCTCCAGTAGCCCTAGGTAAGCATCTTCCCAAAGTGTCCGAATTTTGATCAGTTTCCTGTAGTCATGCCGGCTCAAATACTGCACGATTGTGGTATGAATTGCAAAAGCACAACGACTATCGCACGTACCAGTCAAGTAATTAGAATTTTTACAATAGCTGTCTTGTAGAAGAAATTAGCCAAGCTGCGTGACGAATTCGAAGGGAGCTGCTTGTGGTGCTGTTGATTATAGCATCTTGGGAAGGAGACTTGCAGCTTTTTGTGTCTTTATGCATGACTTTTGCGATATTAATTACCATTAGTACGAGCACGATAGATAGTTTTGCACAGGTGGATATTTCTCCTCATCCGACGTTTTTGGCTGGGATGATTTTTTTGCCGATGACGAAGTTGTAAACGAAGACGTCGATGGGGCCTGGGTCGTCGACGACGGCGTTCGCGGCATGAAGAGAGCAGATGATGCTACTTCTGCTGCCTTCCGCCGCGAGGATGTTGAGGAGGAAGCTGCTGCGCCGCCTGCTGACGAGGCAGCAGCTTTGGTTCTTCTTGCCAAAACTACTACTACACCGGGAGCGAGCACAAAACTTCCACGGTGCTGCTCGTGAAAGTAGCCGACTTCTTGGTGTTGAAAAATGGACAGCAGCGACTCCAGAAGTGCTACACTGGAGGTTAATAGCAGGAGCAGGAGAAAAATACTGGCGCCGAAAGAGTTGTTGTCCACGCCTCCACCTAGAAATCCGCGACGGCGCGAGGGCAGTATCATCATAGACGGCGGACCACCAGCACCACCACGGCAGGAGTGGAACTTAAAAATATCCTTACCGTAGGACGTGGACGAGAAGTACCGCGTCGGCCGGAAAAATGAAGTTTCAGTTTGATGATCTTCCTCTGCTGCCTTCACATCATGGCACTTCTTGTCCGTCACGGCGGAAGTCAGACCCGAAAGTCGAAACCGACGACCGCGTTTCTCCCGCTCAACTCGAAAAGTATTCATTTTTGTCCGTCCAATAGTGCTTTTTGACTTCTGTCGAGAGAAAAAGGAAAAGTGTAGTATGTAAGTTGTGTTGTTGTGCTGCAATTGAAAAAATAAAACTAAAAGCAATAGCACAACGCCGCAGCACAACCTTCTGGTAGTCGTTGTGATAAAAATGCCCTTGAGGTTTAAAACGTCGCCCGAAATCGAACGTAATACTAGCCGTTCACAAAACAGAAAAATGTGGGAAATAAACGGAGATATTTTTTTTTTACTGTTCACGCCTGGGGATTGATACTTCGGATGTTGGTGATCAACGCGACAATACATCAAGATTGAATCAAAAGCCCCAGTTTATTAATAATAAACTGGGGATTTTGAAGATGATAAGTAATAATTACTTTTTTATGGATCATAGTTTTCGTTTTGCAGTTTCTTGTCGAAGATAGAGCTAGAACATCAAGAACGGACCAACTTTCGTGAGATCCCCTTGAAAACAGATCTTCAAGAAGACCAAGACGATTGTTGTTTGTACTACGGCATAGAACTCTGCAGGAACTTCTGCAGCTGAGTCTGCAACAGCAACGGACAAACATTGGACGTAACCAGGCTGAGCTCGTCAAAAAATAAAAGGAGGCTCGAGATCCGCCAGCCTCGGCTGCTATATTTTGCGCGAAAAGTCAAATGCACCTTCTCCTGTTTGAGGCGGGGCGCGGCAGGCCGCGGCGCCGCACAGCCCGCGCGTAAGACGGAAGGTAATTTTGCATCGATTTCTGCAAATTGCACAAAGCTTGCTTCTTTAGTTTCTGCGAAAAATCCGAAAAATGCACCGTCTCCTGTTCGAGGTGGGACGCGGCAGACCACGACGCCACACCGCCCGCACGTAAGACGAAACAAAGCTAATCGCAGTCATGCATTACAAATTGCTTTCTTACTTTAGGTAAACCCGCAATTACAAATGTAATTTCTCATGTTGAGGAAATTTGTCATTCGATTTAAATATACTAGTACGATGGTTGCGGAGAGTGCGTTTATTTGAGACGATGTCGACGATGACAAACCACGAGCTTATAATATATTTTGGATGTTGTTCTACTTGTTCCTTTCGCTGACTACAACAAACACAAAGAAAAACAAACTTGCACCGTCCACATCAGAAAGAGGGACGCTGAAACATTGACCAGCGGCATGGCTCGTCGCACTACGGATCGTCTTTCTGGTAGAAATTGGGGAGCGACACCACCGAATCCGTTTTCTTGTTTCGCACGGTACAACTGCGCATCTACGTAAAATCCTGTAAAGAGACAGTTACTTCTGCAGCTTTCACCTCGTAGTTGGCCACGTCGTGATCATCCTCAGGAAAATAAATTCAGCTCAAAAATATCTTTCGCACCATGTTCACAGAGAGCAAGATGGCGTGTTTCGGTTTACAGTCCACACAAAAGATCTTCCTCGGGTCGTAAAGCGATTGGTACCAGGCGGGTGATCTACTTGAAGATGAGCGTACTGAGGTAGAAGTTCTTGACGTGGTGCTAGTCGACGTGGAAGCTGCTGCGTCAGTGCAAGATGAACTTGCGTGATGAAGAAGATCTTCTGGCCTGCTCTGCAGTGACGTTCTTTCTGCGCCGGTGCTGGGGCAGCCGTAGGAACAAGATGCGTCTTTTGTTTCCTTCTTTTTGTTCTTCGAGTTTGACTGCTCCTGGGTTGATGTCATCTGTTTCGGCAAAAACTCGTTCCTTGCATTGTGTGTAGAAGTCCATCGCTTTCCGCATGCGTTGCAGCAGCGACTGATGTGATAGTGCGAATTCGACGCGGGCATCAGGTTTGATATCGCAGTCGATGTTGTCCTCCCACTTGGACCTAAATGGCCAGTAGACTTCCGATTTTTGCTACTACACGACGAAGACGAGAACGCGGGTAGAAGATGTCGCGTACCGAAGCCCCTCGTAGTTGAAGAAGATTCATCCGTACGTGTAGTTGAAACACCAGGACAACGACCTCTCAGCAAAGCAACACTCATACGGGCAGGGCGACGGGTGGAAGAAGTTGTGTCAAAACGGTTAATATAGGGGTGTACGTTGATCATGTGCTGCGAGCACGAAGATGATGAGGTCGAAGTTGAGGAAGTACAAGCGGAAGGACCACAGGGACGTCGAGCTGCGTTGCCCACCAGGAGAACTTTGTCATCCATCAAGTTCGGTTCGAACGGCCGCTTCGCAAACCAGGGCAGTGATTTCACCCCACTAGGATCGTTCATCTTCTTTCCAGACAGGTGTGCTGGGTCCTGGTCCGGCCTTGTTCTATTCGACAGCAGGTGTTGCTGAGGCTATGGAGAGAAAAAAGTTTGTCACAGTCACCAACTTGCAGGTTTTGCATTACAAATTTTCTCAGCATCAAAAACTTTCCTTGTATTGCAGAAACACTAGGGAAATCCCTGATGAAGTTTGGCTGTGATGCATTTTTACGCATGGCAAACAATTTTGTATTGCAAGAATGCGCATGAGTGATCGTGACGAACTTTTTTTCTTTGATAGAGGCGGACCTGGTGCTACTGACTCGGCCGCGCGCTGGTCATAATTTTCTGTTCTTGCCACATTTACTCTGCTACGCGACAACGTAGTGCGGCGCTTTTTGCTGGCATGAGCATCATCAAAGTCATCTTCCTGCTCAGCTCCTTCATCATCCTCGGGCGTTCCTCCGTTGAAATAAGTGCAACCCTCTCCCCCAGCGCCAGTTCTGTCTGCGGCGCAGTTTTATCGTGGGGAAAAATCCCCCCTCCCCATATCGACAAGGTACGTCGCAGAAAATTTGCAATGCTGATTTGCGACCACAAATCACGTCTGTCTTGCAAGAAGGCAATTCCACAGGCTTCGCCGTATTACGCAGGCGGTTTGTGATGCTGTTGGGCCTACAGCGCAGACGTTTCTCATGCTAAGTGCCTAGGCCAAAACCTCTGTATTCAGGCTTGCTGTGGGCCTGCAGTCCTCTCCAGCAAGACAAATCTGATTTGTGTACGCAGATCAAGCATCACAGACTTCGTTTCGATATGGGGAGGGGGGATTTTTCATTTTGATAAGTTTTTCATGTTCCCTTGAAGATGCTGCGACGTACTTCTACTTTTAGAAGAAGAGGAGCAGGAGGACGAACTGCCCTTACCTGCAGGAGCGCATGTTGACATCCGCTTGTTTAATGTTCTTCGCGACAGAGAAGTAGAAGGTCTCTTGTAGTTCTTCTTCGCTGCAAGAGGAGGTCCTACAACTACCCTCGTCCCGCCGAAAGACGAACTCGAACTGGAACTGCTGACGTGTTGGCTCCTTCCAACCTATCAAATGCAAAAGTGTCTGGGTCTGGAAGATTCTGAGACTTGTCATGGATGCTTTGTATGACCCAGAATGTCTGTAATGCACGACCTAGCATCACAGATTTTTAGAGGGCTTCCTGATGCCTATTCCGCATTACAAATGCCCTTTCCACGTAGGGGTAGCACAGTCTGGGCTCCTCTTCCTGGTCATGCAATACAGATTTTTTTAGAGTCCAAAGATAGCATGACAAGTTTGGATCCTTTCAGACCCAGACATTTTTACATTTGATACAACCGGGACGGGGACCACGGAAGAGGAAGGTCGCCTGCAACGTGTTAAAGGCGGTATCGGCGGAGGCGGTGCAGCGTGCATGACAGTCGGCACCGCTTGCCCACTGGAACTACCTGTCGCAGTTGTCCAGAGCTTACGCAGTTTGGGGTCAACGACTATGGGAGTGTCAGGATTGAAATCGTCAAAGTTGAAATAGTTTGTTATGCATAAAATGCAACGCAGAAAATGCCTGTCTTGCAGAGTAGGCAAGGGAGGCAGATTGTAAGCCTGTTTCGGGGTAGAAGTAGAGCTGCTAAAGTAGCATGACAAAAGGCGTCTTCCTTACCCAACCAGCATTACAAACTGGATTTCGGCTCTACTCAAATTTGTCATGCGCCGCTTAGAAATAGGGCTTCCATTTGGTATCGATATTATGCATTACAAGTTATTTCAACTTTGTCGATTTCAAACCTGACGCTTCCATAACGACACCGCTCTTCATATTGGAAGTCGTGGACGACGACGAGTTCGTGTTTGAGGCGATGTGAGCATCCTCTTTGATGGAAGAGGGCGAAGTTGATGAGGTTAAATCTACTTCACCCTGTTCTTGCAGCATGCAATGTAAATTTCCCGTACATGTACAAAATGCATGACAAATTTCGCTAACTTGCAGTGTCTAACTTGTCATGCTAGACTAGGACGGAAGGCAAGTTTTGTCATGCAGAGACTGCATTTGTACGTGTACGGGAAATTTACGGTGGATATGCAGCACAGAGGTGCTTGTGCTAGTGGTGTATCCTGTGCAAAAGCATCGTACTCGTATAAATGCATTACAGGATGAGAAAAAAAGTTTGTGATGCTGATTTACCTTAAAAAAAAGATTTGTAATGCATGAGTGCAAAAATTACTACAAGTACGATACTTTTGCAGTTCATATGGTGGTTGTAGCCGTTGTTCCGTAAGATGCGGATGCGCTGGTGTCAACACTGCTGTCGACTTATCCTGTGGAAAACTATCGTACTCGTACAAATGCGGGCCTTGCATTACAAATCTTGTTTCCAAGGCAAATCTGCATTACAAATTTTATTTCTCATGCTGAGGAAACATGTAATGCATTTATACGAGTACGATACTTTTGCAATGCATACGACTGGCGGTAGGATGAATGCGCATGCGGCCTCCTCTATACAACTCTGCAACACGTGGGCTTGGTCAGCATGATCATTTCTCAAATAACAGTCAGTGTGGTCCACCTCCATCTTGCCCTTGTTGCACAGCAAATTTGTACTGCTGTGGTCCCTTCCTGCTGATGCTTGATCGTCCTCTTCCGCTACCTCCGTGAGCCAGTTGGCCAGCTCCTGAATGTTGAGCTCGCACTCGTTTTTTGACGACGAAGTAGACACTCCTCCAAATAAATCATCTTTGCTCAACATGATCTGACAGTCGTTTGTTATTTCTAGTGGATCATGATCTTCGTCACAAGAACTACTCCCCGCGGCCATGATCTCTGGTGCTGGCTTGACGGCTGTCCCGCAGGAGGAGGTGCCAGCAGCATCTTCTTCCTTGCAGCTGCTTGTTCCTACATTGCCGGCACGAAGGTCAACATTCAAATTTCTCGCTGTCTCCTCTGACAATCCTCCTGTGCCTGTCTCGAAAATGTTGCAAGGGTCCAGAACATCTTCATCGCTGATGTGTTGTTTGCTCGATAATTTTTTGTTTTCATCATCCGCTATCTTCGAAGTTGTTGTGGTCGATGTTCTCCCGAAAATATTGTTCGTCCTCACCGGTAGTAGGCTCGCATTCTTCAGTGCGTAGTTTTTCACAAATTCATCGGGTGACATGTTGCCCTGAAAATCCAGTGTAGTTCCCGAAGATTTTGATTTCATACTGCCTTGGGAGCAGTGGTTCATCAAGCCGACATTGCAGGACGAGGTCGCTTGTTCCTGAACTAGTTCTATGAATTGCAAAAGTATCGTACTCGTATAAATGCATGACAAATTCCCTCAGCATGAGAAATAAAATTTGTAATGCGGATTTACCTTGAGACAAAAATTTGTAATGCAAGATTGCAATACGAGTACGATACTTTTGCACAGGATAAGTTCATCCAGTTCCCGTTCTCCACCCCCCAGGATCGCATTGCAATCCGCGATATCAAATGTAAAAATGTCTGGGTCTGGAAGATTGCCAGGTTTGTCATGCATATTTTGCATGACCCATGAGGTCTGGCATGTAGGACATAACATGACAGATTCTGCGTTAGTTCTATCATGCCTATTCTGCATGAGAAACTGCCTCTCGATTAGGTCCAAAGTGGACAGCTTTTGGCAATCGTGGAACACAGATTTTATACATGATTCAGATCTAGCATGACAAGTTACAATCTTCCAGACCCAGACATTTTTGTATTTGATACGCGAAGGCCGCGTGGCTCTGCAGCCAAGCTTCCCACTCCTGCGGGGTGTAGTTCGATGAGGATGTTGAAAGAGGAGCGTTCGAATTTAAATTCGCTCGCTCGTCTACTGTGGCCCTCGTCGATTCTTTCGTATCCAAGCCTAGAAGTTCCTCGACCGTAGTCGCTGAACCGAGTCCTTGTATTTCTGATGAAAGCTGCTGGCGCTGCTGGTACCACTCCTGCCTGTAGCTGCCGTTTTGCTTTTGTACAACTACGGTGTCGCTGCTGTTGCCAGTTGTTGAATAGTAAGGGTTTGAACAAGTAGAAAGATCGTACGCAGCTGCAAGAACTGATGCTGGACCAGCGTTGCACGACTGTGCCGGCTGAAAATGATTTTGACCGCAGTTCATCATAGTCTCCTCGTTTTTTTGGTAGCGGCTGTGCTGCCCGCCTCCGAAGTATGGGTATGCGGTCGAGTTCATGTAATAACTCGATGCTAATCCAGCAACATCATCGCGGCCAGCAACATCACCGCGGCCGCCTTTAAAAGTACTTGCTCTCCTTCTGTCGTGTCGTCTACCATGATAAGCACTGCTCTCGCCGTGACTGTCGCCTTTGCAGCTTATCTTCATGTGGTCGGCAACTCCACCATCGCATCCTGCAGCTCCACTTTTGGAGGCACTGCTGGCCCCGACCTTTGTCCGCGTGGTTGTTGTATCATTATTTTTCGAGCTGCCCCAGCCTTGGAAATTTTGCGACACCGCTTGTCTCGTCGCTTGGTTTCCTTTACTGCTGGTCGTGTGCGACTGGGAGCTGCTGCTGCTGCTGCTGCTACTGCTATTTGTGCCAGGTATTTGGAGCGAGTGCGAGTTCTCAATTTCATCTCGACGCGGCGCATTTGAGAAGTTAATACAGTTGTCCCACCCGCCGGACGCGACCGGGTTCTGCATCGATCCCCGACGAGTAACGGAGTTGAGATCGAAGCAGTTGCTGTATCGGCTTCGGCTGTGCTCCACACGCGGGTCCTCGCGGTTGAGGTTTTTGTAGCTAGTACTGGCACGACCTGGCGCAGCTGCCCCGGTTCTACTTTGGTCGTGGAGCGACTGAACACCCTCCATCCTACCGGATAGTAAGCAACCGGAGCAGTAAGCATCCCGGATAGTTGGCAGCAGATTACCAACCGGATAGTAAGCAACTGCCTCCGCCGATGGTATGGACCAGGTTTGGCCCGTTCTCCTTAGCAATGAAGCAGAAAATCGATTTTCCGACTCGATTTTCGATTTCGAGGACTTGCTGATGTCCCGATCTCGATTTTCGATTTCGGAAAATTCCGGATTTTTCGCAAACTCCGGACTTTTTGAAATTTCCGGAATTTCCGGAACCCGGAAAATCGATTTTTCGGCAGTCCCGGCAAGTCCAAGCAACGCGCGGACTTCCGGAACACTTGCTCCTCTGGATTTTCAGGAAGTTGGAAAATCGATTTTGGCAAACAGCCGGACAGCCACCTGCCTTACCCACATAGCAGGCCCGCGCCACCTCTTTTGCCCGCACCACCACTGACGCGGACATCGCACAAGGAGCGGGCCAACAAAATCGATTTTGCGCGCCTCGGGTGATTGAACCCGCAGACGATTCTGCGAGCCTGAAGTAACTAAAGTCCCCGACTCTGCGCCCCATCAAGCGCCCAGCGGCTGTCGAGGACTGAGCCGCGGCACCCACCGAGGGCTGTCTGTTCACAAAATCGATTTTGCGACCCCCGCGCCAGCCGAGAGCCTGTTCCTGGCGCCTCTACGGAGCTCAGAACACGCAGACGGGGCCCATGCCGCTCCCGCGGCTTTTCAGAACTTGGGCCCGGATGTAAGTCACAAGCTCGGGGGGCGTTTTTCATTGGTTTCTACGCTGGGCCAACGCGATGAATGTGCGGAACTTCATCGGGGCGCAAGTTCTGGAATTCGCGATCATCCCTAAGCCTGTAGCGTGCGAGCGAAACATCGATCCAAGGCGGGCAGAGGCCCGTCCTCTGCGACTTCGCCCCACGCAATCAATTTTGCAGCTTTTGCCGGATTTTCCGGCTTTTGTGTTGGTAAAATCGATTTTGCGACCACGCGCGGATTGTGTGGCCCCGCCCGAGGATAGGGCATCTTCGAAAAGCGTGCCCGGAGGGTGCGCACAAAATCGAATCTGTCCGCGGGTACTCACAAAATCGATTTTGTGAGCACCGCCCGCCGGGCGGAACATGACAACCCGGCGCCCCCAACCCGGCTGCGGGAATCTTTCTGGCAGCCCGGACGCTCCAGGGTGGGGCCTAACGCCTCAGGACACCGGCAAAAACTGCCGTGAGACCGAGTTGGCGCATTCTCGAGCTTCGAGAACGCGGGCGACCGACTTCGTTTCGCGCTACTTTGCTTCGCCTGTGGACGTTAGCAGCCGCGGCACAAAGTCGATTTTTTGCGGCGTGCCTGGATTTTTTGCGGATTTTTTTCCGATTTCCTTAACATTTTTGAAGTCGGTCCAAATCAGTACTAAGTTCTACTTTGCTCGTGGAGCGACTGAACACCCTCGCTCTTCTGCTGCTCTTTCCCGTCGTGAAACCGCGAGTAAGGTCGCGTCGCGCCAGAAGTGCGGCGTTGGCGATTTTTGTGTAACACCATCGGGGCCGCGGCCACGCTCATGCTCCGACCTCTTCGAAAATTATGTGTTGGTGCTGTCGACCCCCGTCCTCGTGTTGACAAGTGCTGACGAGAGGACCAATCCAAACTCCTAGCTTGATGCTCTGTCTCGTCGCTGCGTTCGAATTTTCGCAAATTCGCTTCCCGTCTCTCCTGCCACGACGTCGAGAGAGCGGGTGTACTAGTTGAGGCGGCAGTTGCATATACAGATCTACAGGCGGACGAAGACAAAGAGGAAGAACTTGTCGCGCAAGAACCATTTATTCCACCAGAAGATATTATCGTTGCACCTCTAGTAGATGCAGACGTCGAAGCCGTCTGATGCACCCCCGCGGACGAGCAAGATGGTGCCTTGGCCGTCGATACAGGGGCGGGCGCAGTAGTAGAGCTAGAAGCTGCATCCAAGAAAAAAGCACCATCACAACCACGTTTAGATTTAGGAGGTTTTGCATCAGAAATTTTTCTCGCATGACAAATTTTTCTTGTATTGCAAAAACACACTCACGAAGGGGAATCGCCTATAACTCTCGACCGTGATGCATTTTTGCGCATGACAAAAATTTTTGTATCGCAAAAATGTGCAAAAGTGATTGTGATGGTGTTTTTTTCGTGCATAAGCTGCACTACTGCTGCTGGCGATCAGCTGAATGGCAGGACCAAGTGCAGGAGCGCGAAGATGGTTCTTGTGGTGCTCCTGCTTTACTTCGGTGGCGGTACAAAAACTCGAACTCGACGCGGTGTCCTCGGTATTTCTATTTGTATTTTTCGTTCCTTCACCTGCCAGAAATAAACCCGCACTGGGAGTTATCCTGAGTAAAAACGTCCCTACCTCCCCAGAGTTGTCATGCAGAATTGCAAGGACAGGCACACTTGTAATGCGCATCCCCAAGAGAGGCACTTTCAATCGTGCTTTTTCATTCGTAATGCTGCAAACAGGATAAGGGGGCGGCTTTGTCATGCGGCTTCCCTTGCTAACCAGCACCACAATACAGCGAGAAACTTGTCATGCGTGATTCCCAAAACTTCTGGACCTGTGTTGCAGAGATTCCAACGTGACTATGGGGTGGGGACGTTTTTGCATAGGATAGAACAGGCGACGGCGCTGGTAGTACAACTTCGTCCGCTTGCTTTGGCAAAACAAGAACCTTCGACTTTTCTAGTACAACTTCTGGCACAGGCGTCAAACAAAAAAAGTTCGCCACGATCACTTATGCGCATTTTTGCAATACAGAATTTTCTGTCATGCGTAAAAATGCATAACAGCCGAACTTCATAAGGGATTTTTCCCTACAACTAGTGTTTCTGCAATACAAGGAAAATTTGTGATGCGAATAAAAATTTGTAATGCAAAACCTGCAAGTTAGTGACTGTGACAAACTCTTTTCTTTCCATAACAGGCCCTACCGCTGGCTTTGGTGTTCTGCAGATCATTCTCCACATCCTGCTCACACGACCTCCCCGAAGAAAGAAGTCCACTACACTGCTGCTGGTGCAGCACATCAGCCTCGTCCGCATTGTATGAAATGCAAAAGCATCGTACTAGTATGGATTGCATTACAAATTGACTTAGCATTACAAATTGAATTTGTAATGCGGCTTTGCCTTCACAAAAAGATTTGTAATGCATAAACGCAATAATTAGTACGAGTACGATACTTTTGCACAGGATACATTGTCGCTCTCGACCCGTCGCTGCTGCTGGGTGTGGTCTTCGTCTTTGTCTTTGACGCCGCCAGTCGCAAATGTTGTCTTCTCTCTGGCTGCTCCTTCACGACTCGCCGCATAATGCAGTACGGGTTCCACAGGTTTCACCTGCTGTTGTCGTGGCGCAGCTGCTTTGGAGATGGGAGCGCCTGGCCGTGGTGGCAAAGAAGCACCTCCGCCCGCGTCCTGAGCAGGCGGCTGCGTTGGATGATGAAAAGATTTTGTTGTTGTACCGGGAAGTAGGCGGGGTAGTGGCTGTTCTATATTTTGCTGGTCTAGTACAACTGTGTCTCGATTTCGATTTTCACCTGCACCTGCTGCCGTGGCGCTCGTAGTACTACAGGGTCTATGTTGATCTTTTGCTTCATGATCTTCACAGTGTGCTGCGGCCTGCGAGGACTTCTTCTGGTGGTCGTGACTCCAGTTGTTCTTGCAGAAAGAGGACGACGTCGACCACGAACTCGCTGCGCTTCCAGATGGACAAGCGTTCTGCTCTTCACTGCTCGTACCTCCGTAGTTCGTCGTCGAAGCTCCTCCAGTTACTGGATGAGGTGCACGACCAGCAGCGATCGGAGCTTGATAGTTCCACTGCACCGGGGCAGAAGTGATGGCACTATCGTAGTGCTGGCGGTGCAGCTGCTGGGGCGCGTAGTAGGAAGCCGCATGGTCATTGTACCCGTACGGCCCTGGAGGTCGGCCATACCCGTAAAAATTTGAGGGAGTTCTACTTGCAGCAGGGTAGTTGTAACTATTGTTCGCCGCAAGTGTACTAGTCGATTGTGCCGGATGAACAACAAAAGATCCCTGCGGCTGTGGTGGTGGAAACGTCGGAAAGTGCGAATTTCTTCGCGCATAATTCCGCCGCGTACTACTCGTTCCACTGTAGAAGTTCGCACTTGAGGAGATGGAGAGGTTGCTCTGCTGGTAGATGCAGTTGCTATTATTTGTGTCCCAATTCATTGTTGAGATTCCTTCTCGAGGATTCGGAGGCAAAGCTGCACTCGTGTTCCACGAATGCTCCTGATGGGAATAGGATCGGCTTGGTGCTGTAGTTGCAGCATGTTGAGAGGAGCTCATCTTTTGACTTTCTCATACATATCTATCTGAAATAAACAAGAAGAAGAACCACAACCACACAAAGGCAGTCGCAATCTATGATCCCGACGGACTGTTGGTGGATCTATTCTATTCAGGAGTTCAATGTAAGTGTAACGTACACGGACGACAGCAAGTGGTTGGAGACTGGTAGTAGACGAAAAATGCCGGCAAGGAAGCTAGGCAACGCGTTCCACTTCCAGTTCCACACGTATGCATCGTCCCGAAACCTTCACACGACAGACACATGAAGTTAATCGAAACGCATTTTTTTGTAGTTGGCTATCTGAGTTGTACCAACATTCGACCAAGAAACAGTAGAAGCTGTAAAGGTAAACGTAAACCATGATCATGATCAAGATCACAACTTCGAAGAAAGTCGGACGACAGAGATCTTGATCTTGTTGCATTCCGAGTCTCATCTTTGCAACTGTTCTTGCGACGCTGCGGAAGATCTTGCTGCTCTGTGTGGAGCCTACAACCTGTTGGTACTTGTGGCCAAGATCCTGCGCCGGGGATGTGAGGCAGATCCTCTCCCGACCGTTCTCCTCCACAGTTTTTGGTTGACCACTTGCGGGTAGTGGTAGAGCTTTTTATCCTTTCCCAAGAACGACGAGATGAACACCGACGGAAACAAGTAAATGACAGCCTGATGTCTTGTCACCTACAGTGTCGAGATAAAAAAATCCATGTGTTCTTTTGCGTTTGTGGTGTTCCAAGCAAGCCTTCGTCTTCTCGATCGTCGTGGTTAGTAAATATCCCATAATATGTTTCCGGCGTTCGGGTTCCGCTCGTCAGACTACTAGCTTACTTGTGTCTTCTCAACATAATTTTTGAAATCCCTACAGCTACTTTTTTTTGTTGCGTCACAACTACAACATACCTAGGGTGTGGGACCACACTCATTTTTCTCGCTGCGACGTTGAGTTTTTGCTGCTTTGTTCAAAGAAAGTCGCTCTCAACATCTCCGGAAGATTCGTGAGCGCACACTTTATTCGATCAGGCTGCAGCTATAATGTAGCTTTATACAAATTTTTGCGTTAATATAGTAGTTCTACTTGTTCGTACATCGTGTTTCACGGACTACAGGTAAAAAATTTAAATTTTATTTGCGTGGTAAAAATAAAAATTCTTATGGGGAACAACCTTCTCCATCTCCCCCCCCCCCCCTCGCGCAACAATCCCGATCATGCCCGTGCTCGCCTTCGTAAAGTGTTGCTGAAATAATGGATGTTCTGCCGGCCTGTGACAGGATTAATTCATGTCGTGCAAAGTAGTGCAGCAACATAAATGCATGTTGATCGCCCTGCTGCTCAGGCGGGCTTTGTTCAATCATCTCCGAAACAAAACAGCGTCACTTTCTTGTTTGGCCCTTGGCTTCATACTAACTTTCATCTTTCAGGTACGAAAAAATCGGCCGCGGGCACGGTCGTTTAACCTGTGGCACCTCGTCGTCGCCCCATACCTTATGAACGTGCAAAATGCAAACCGGACAACCTAAATCCGAAATAAGGAGAAGGGGCAGCTGGTCCCAGCAAATACGTCCGAAAATGAAAGTTTTCTTTTTGCTCAAACAACGACAGAGCTTTTCTATTGAGGTTGTCCGGTTTTGCATTTTGCACGCTCGTATCAGAGCTTCGCCACTGGAGAGTCGAGCTGTCTGGGCTTTTTGGTCGTCCCCGAGCTGCTCGAGCTCTGGGGGTTCGCGTCCCGCCCGAGGCTCTCCAGCGAATAAGATGTCCGCCTGTATCTGTCTCACCACCTTGACGAACGTTCGTTGTGTCGCGTGGTTGCTTGTCAGCTTTCTATTCTCCTTCTCGCGGAGCCAACTCTCCCACCGCCTTTTTAGCCATACTAAGTCCCTCGTGGTTGTCTCACTGAGCCGCGCAACGTGCTCCCCGTCGGGGAAGTGGCCAAAGTTTTCGCCGGTGACCTTGTTTCGAAGGTCGTCTATCCGTTCAGAGAAACCCTTCCCATGGCTTTCCGCTACGAGTCGACCTAGCTCCTTCAAAATCCCGACCCGCTCCCGAGCCTGCCCTGATGGACCACCGAACCGATCTTCGGGCGCGTAAGCCTTCCTCAGCTCTTGCTGCCACAGTTCAATGATTGCGTCCAGAAGGGCCGTCCACCGATTTTGCAGATCCGGTGCGATAAGGCCCTTGAGGAAGTCAGGCGCGGGGGCAGCCTCAACCTCGGAAACGTATATTAAGTCCGCCGCTTTCTTCATTCTTGTGGCCTGCTCTATACCCCACATGTACACCGCTCCTCGGGTATGGAAGTGTCAGAATCGAAATTGCCAACATCGAAAAACTTGTGATGCAGAAATTCGATACCGCAGTTGGAGCCTCAGTTTCCGAGTGGCGGCGCATGACAAACTTCGGGAGCACCGAAATCCAGTCTGTCATGCTGTTTGGACAAAGAAGACTGCTCCTGTCATGCTATTCTGCAAGCACAGTGCATACCCCTAAACAGGCTGACAATCGGGCTCATTTGCCTGCTCCCCAATACCGGCCTTCAGCCGTGCCCTACATTTCACGCATCACAAGTTTTTCGATTTTGTCGATTTCGATTCTGACACATCCATATCGGGTGCGTCTCGCATATTCTGTGGAAAGCAGCTCCGACAGCATGAGCTTGTGCTCCGACAGCCAGTTTTCTATTTTTTTCAAGTTTTGAAGATCGGCCCGCGCCTCGGTACCCTCAGGAAGCATTAATTGCGACTACTATGAGCATGCACAACTCCCTATCGACGTCCCGCCACTCATCATGTGTATGTCATACACGAGAGGATGCACATGATGATGTTGAGCAACAATTTTTATACAAGTGCGTGTGCGAGCCAGTCGAAAATTATGCAGGTTTTCCCTAACATCAAATTTGCACAGGAGTGCAGTGCTATTTGGGATTCCACCAGAAGAACATACACAAGAGCAAGAGCTTGTCAACTTACATAATAACGACAGGAGATCATGCGCCCGCTGCGCAATAGTGGTAAGTATGTTGGGGAATTGGTGTTTTGCATGAAGAGAAATAGGAACGAGGCGGAGTTGTGCGCTCTCATAGCGACCCATTCGTCTTCGACTGCAGAAGAAATCTCTTCACCAGCAAGCTGTCGGACATAATATCATAACTCTCGTTCTTTCTGGTCGACATGGCCGGATTATAGGTGGTCCCGTCGACTTCGACATTTTTTTCATAGGAACTCATGTACTGGGTCTTGGACCGCTCAAGCTGGGTATTACCATGAAAAACGCCCCCAAAACCCGGACTTAGGAGCATTTGCATTGCAAACACTTCCAGATGTTGAAACATTCGCCGGGCGAATGATTCGCCCTTTTGCATCTATCAGCGTCACAGATTTCCAATCGTGAATAGCAAAAGACTGTATTGCAAACGATCCCAGCAAGAGCGGCGCTTGTCATGCAAGCGATGCGATTCACTTACGCGCGCGCGCCTAGACTCTGCATCAGAAAGATTCATACTCCTTTCATGCATGACAAAAAGTTTTCAACATTTGGAAACTTCGCATCACAACTTTTTGCAACTTTGGGGGTCGGGGCATTTTTTACTGTAGTACTGGGGCCCCGGGCAGAGCACCTTCAGCAAATGTTCGTATAACAGTGCACAACCCCCCCTCCCCCTCATTTGTATAGCATCAACGGCAGCACAAGCATCAGCAAGAGTGCCGGTTTTGCATGACAAATTTGCACTTGAGTATAGTGCTATTTGGGCTACCAGAACTTGTCATGCAAACAGTGCCAAGAGGCAGCCAAGCGGTGGACTGGGTAATATTTTACATCATGAAAAACCAGCCATGCCCCGGCTGACGCCGGGGCGCAAGGCTGTTGGGGCGGGGCAGGACTATTTGCGGATCGGGCCACAATGCCACAGGCCTAATAAATATGCATAATGAAACATACTGGGGTCCTGCCGCTTGTTTGCGCGGCGCCAACCCGCAGGACCACCTGCGCGCTTCCCGCGCCTGTGGGCGCTCTGCGCGGGAGCAGCTGCAAAGGACACTGGGCGGGGGCGAACAGAAGCCGCCCGGCGCGGGAGGGTGGCGCGAGAGGGTTGCGCGAGAGGGTGGCGCGAGAAGGGTGGCGAGAGAGGGTGCGCGAGAGGGTTCGGGCCTATGCATGAAAAGGCCACAAAAGAATCAGCCTCGTACCGGGCGGATTCGGGTTTTTCTACCCCTCTCGCAGACCCTCTTTCTGACCTCTCCCGCGAGGTGTTGCTAATAATCCGGCTATACTCGCTGGTAGAGGTCTACAGAGGTGGCCGAGAGGTGGCCCAGGGGGAGCGCGAGAGGTTCGCCCTTATTCGCGCAACCTCTCGGCACCTCTGTCCCCCTCTCGCTTACCCTCTCTGGACCCTCTCGGCCACCTCCGGGCCCCATAGGCGCGGCTTTAGGGCGACCGGTTCGGCTGGCTATACTCGCGCCACCTCTCGGCCACCCTCACGAATGACCTCCCGCGCCACCTCTCCACCTCTGTGGACCTCTTTTTGACCTCTTTTCACCTCTTTTTGACCTCTCGGCCACCTCTCTTCTATCCTCTGTAGACCTCTTTTTTCGCATGAATATAATAGATAGTAATTGTGACGGGGAGGAGTAGTTGTGCACTGTCATACCTCGTTGAGGGAAAGCACTCCAGAAAAATATAGGCTCATCATGTCCATCCGCTCCGCACGGAAATACGGCAGGCCAGCATATACGTCTCTGCACAGCGTTCCGAGCGAGGCAATGAACACGTCCAAGACAAGCTCTGCGTCGACCATTCCTCGTCCACTCGCACTCCGCCGTCGAATCTGTTGCACCCGACGTGAGATCGCAGCGAGAGCAGCAGCGGGGCTAGGGATATCACGGTCCAGGCGGGCGTCAGAGCCTGCGGTGGTCGCGTGCGCGCCGGTGCCTCTTGCTCTTCCAGGGCGTTTCGGTGCTGCTGTAACCGACGCAGGGACCAACTCCGGCCGCTGCAGGGCCTGATCAAGTGCCTGCTTGTACTCCTCATCCCCGTCCTGAGACAACTGACCCAGCAGCGCCTCCAGATCCCGCTCTTCTGCTTCCGCGGCGAGGGCCTTCGCTTTCTCGAGCAGTCTCTCTCTGCGTTGCTCTGCTTTTCTAGTCCTGCGCCCGCGCCGTTCTTCACGATTCCCTCCCCCACCACGCGGACCGGCGCCGGAGTAAGACGGCCGCCCCCCTTGTTCGTCGTTCGACGCAGTGGTTGAGCCTCCGTCCTCGCTTGTTTCCTCGTCCTCTTCAGTGGGGCTGAAAGCATCCCAGGCGGTCGCGCCCGCCCCCTGCTGTTTCGCACCACGAGCTTGAGCTAAAGGGACGCCACCTCCTGCAGCTCCAGGTGCGGCATCCAAGTTTTTGAACAGGTGCCGATTCGAGGACACTTTTTGCTTGTACTGTTGATCGAACTTCTTGCTGGCTTTGTCGGCAGTGGTCAGCAATTCCACCAACCCGTCGTCCGTGAACTTGCCAACCGCATAATCGTGATCGATTTGGGCTTTCAATTTCGCAGCATCATCGCTGCTAGTTCTTCGTCGTGCGGCCGCCCCTGGTCCGTACAGCTCCTCCTCGCACGAAACGTCTCTGCCTTGGTAGGTCGACTGCCGCAGCTGCTTTCTCGCGCCAAAGCAACGCGCGCCTGCCCGAACGAGCAAAACTCTACTCCATAGCTTTTCGCTCTTTTGGCTCAGCCACCAGTCCCACACTCTGGCGGGAAACTGCTTCTCCCTTTTCACTGCGGATAACGTTTTCAGTGTGCCATCGTCAATTTGCTTTTGCATCGTCTCGAGGACTCCGCTCGAAGCCATTGCGTCCTGCATACGGTTACTTACAATCTCCGCTGCTCTTGTTACGCGGGCCACCTTTTCCTTAATCGACATTGCTTTCGAGAGATCCCGGACTTTAGCCAACTTGGCCTCGCGTTCGACATTCGCGTCAAATGAAGTGCTCTGCTCGTGACAGGTCAGCTGCACCTCAGCTGCAAGCCGCCAGCAGTACGCAGTCATCTTCACACTTTCCATGATGTCCGGCGCCGACCTGCTCGCCCCATTCGGGTTGTTCGTTCTTTGTGCTTTTCGTCCTCCACCCTGGAGCCCCATTGCGAGGTGGACCAGCGGGGCAGCTCCTGCATCGAACAAGAGCTGCAGGCGTACGGCAAATAAAAGGGCAAGCCCAGCCGAGAAGCAGAGCGGAGTTCTTGCGTGTCCTCCTCCTGGTCGTACAGGAGCACGAGGGATACGAGACGACGAAACGAGATCAGGCGCCATGATAGCGCAGATCGAACGACAATGGCTATCAGCAGGCTGAATATTTATTTTGTTCCTTCAGTTTCGGTATTGCACACAATGAATGGGGAAATGATAGTAATCTTAGCTAATTTTAATATACTTGGACTTAGGTTTAGGGTTTAGGGTTGAAGGAAAAAATCAAGACGCACCTACTATGTTGTGACAACTTGTGGCTATGTATCTCTCGAAGCTCTTGTTTCGAATGATGATCGATATAAGATCAATCAATGTGCATGGGGGCGCGCGGGCTTCGCGTGCTATTTCCGTTTGGCAAACAAAACAATGAGGGCACAAAACAATTAGGGCACAAAACAATTAGGACACAAAACAATTAGCGCACAAAACAATTAGGGCACAAAACAATTAGGGCACAAAACAAAAAGGTGGGGCACAAAATAAAAATTAGGGCACAAGTTTAAAATTAGAATGATTGCTGAAAACAGAGCAAATTGTTGATGTCAAAACGCACAAGTTAACCTGCTGAGTTATAGAATTTGAAAAATCCAAGTTGCAGTTTGCAATTTTCAACAAGCGACTAGTACTTATGCTGGGCGCTTTGATTTGTTGTATACCCAGGCAGAAACAAGTGGAAGTTGAAGGCCTGACTTGTTTCTTCCGCGGGAGGGGATCTTCTCTCGATTTAGAGGACGTCTTTTCATTGCCGCGGGAAGAAAATTTTTTCGTCCGATGCAATACAGGAGGAGCTGACATAACTGGGTTTATTACCGACCGACACCGATGAACAGGAGCCCGATACAAAGAAATGTGGGCCCTCATCATCTTCAAGTTAAATAATAGATTTTCTTTCATTTGACCAGGACAGAAAAAAGATTTCGGATCATCGGCCGCAGTTCTTCGTTTTTCAGGTACACGAATTTTTGATCCCAAGTTCCTTCAGACCGATCACTTTCCTTTTCGACAAATCAGTTAAAGTCGACTTCTACTAGCTGCCCGATAACATCACTAACACACAACTATCCCTCGTCGCCTTTGTGAGAGGACGGCGAGGACCAGGAGATATTTGACACAGTTACCGCAGACGGATCACCCGTTGGATGATCGCTCGGCGGGATTGAGCTATCTCCCTCTGGTTGAAGACTTGCGATTATTAGAGCTATCCGTTACCAACGGCGAGATGAACACCGACGAAAACAACTAAATGACAGCCTGAAGATGTCAACACCTGATGTAGCGTCGAGATAAAAATCCATGTGTTCTTTTGCGTTTGTGGTGTTCCAAAGAAGCCTTCGTCTTCTCGATCGTCGTGGTTAGTAAATATCCCATATTTTCCCGGCGTTCGGGTTCCGATCGTCAGACTACTAGCTCACTTCTGTCTTCTCAGCATAATTTTTGAAAGCCCTATAGTTTTATTTTTGTTGCGGCCAAGTACTTGGAGTACAACTACACGGTGGCACAGCACCAAATAATCAGGGGTGGGTTCTTTAGATTGAAGATATCGATGAGCACTACTGGTCAAAAATTTGTTGACTAGTGGTGATCATCATGCTTCTGTTGCTTATTATCCTGTGCAAAAGTATCGTATTCGTATTGCAATCATGCATTACAAATCCCTTTCTTAAGCCAAATCTGCATTTACAAATTTTATTTCTCATGCTGCAGAAACAACTTGTATTGCATTTATACGAATACGATACTTTTGCAATGCATACTTTTGCTTCTGCGCCAATGATCCGGGAAAACGGCTTCTGCCAGGCTGGTATGTGAAATGGAGTCTCTTCGGCAGGTATCAAATGTAAAAATGTCTGGGTCTGGAAGAATCCGAAATTTGTTATGCTGTTTTTGCATGACACAGAATGTCTGTCATGGAAGCCGTAGCATCACAGATTTTTAGAGGCCTTCCTGATGCCTACTCCGCATGACAAATGCCCTCCACGCGTAGCACAAACCGGACTCCTCCTGCTGGTCATGCAATACAGAATTTTTTAGAGTCCAAAGTTAGCGTCACAAGTTCCAACCTTCCAGCCCCAGACATTTTTGCAATCCATAGCAGGCGTTTCGTACGTGTCCCCAGTTCCAAAAAGAAAATCCAGGCGCATTTTTATCCGGGCTAAAAACGTCCCCACCTGGTCGTGCCCATAATCAAGAAGGGAAGTTCGCTACAGATATATATCAAGAAGTTTATCTGGGAGTCGAGCGTGACAACAAGTTCCTCTCTGTCTTCTCGTGCACTGTATTCGCAAAATAAAGTGCGACCGCATTGCAAAGCCATCTGCTGTTGATCCTGTTTACATCAGCGTTACAAATTTCAAAACACGAAGATCGGAAAAAATGCCTCTCATGGGCGGGACCATGCGCATTCCGAATCCTCCCGTCAACATGTATGCAGATTACGTCGTAATCTGCATGACCACAACTCTAGGGCGGAGACGTTTTCCCCAAAGATAAGCTGCGTCGCGAGCTGGTCAAACTGTTCTTTCGTGGTCAAGGGGCCGAATGCCGGCACTTCCTTGTTTTGTGCATTCAGGTATAGACCCTGAAAATTTATTACCAAAGGCCCCATACATGGAATATAATTCGCATAACAAAAAATAAAAAGATCATCTTCAACTGAGCAGACGCTTCTAGAAGTTGTACAACGACGTGAATATAATATATTCATTCGTTGTCGAAGATGTCGCTCGTAATAAATCGTAGTACAACTCCGTGTTTTATTGTTGCGTGGCACGATCAAATTGGAGGATCATGTTGGGAAAAATGGTGAAAATTTTCAGGTCATACCAGGAAGAGCTGGAGCCGGTCTTTTTTGATCCAGTGTAAGAATTGCAGCTCGGCTTCGCGTTTCTGTTGCTCTTGTTGTGTCCCCGCCTCTGGTATGGATTGCAAAAGTGCCTGGGTCTGGAAGATTGCAACTTGTGATGCTAAATCTGAATCATGAAAAAATCTGTGTTGCATGAGTGCCAAAAGCTAGCCCCTTTCGACCAAGTTGGGAGGGAGTTTCCCATGCAGGAGAGGCATGACAGAGACCTCACAGAGTCTGTTATGCTAGCCCCCGCATTCCAGACCTCAGGGGTCATCGAAAACCTGCATGACAAGCTTACAGTCTTCCAGACCCAGACATTTTTGCATTTGATACCTGGAAGCTCCGCCTTTTCCTTTGCACTCTGAATTTCGTCATCCACTGCTCTCAGCAGAAATCTCAAAAACTTCACCATGTCTTTTTTGATGCTCAAGCTGAACTTTTCCTCCTTCACAATGGTCGCAGCTGGTTCCAAAATTGTCCGCGTGAGCTATCAAATGGAAAGGTGCCCCCACGAAGATGATCGCCGAGTGATCGTGATGTGAAAGCGCTTGCATTTTTTTTTGTGGAAGTGCGAGCTTTTGCAAAAAAAATGCAAGCATGTAAAAATAAGTAGCACCTTGGATATGCATGATGTTCTTGTACAAGTAATGACAAATGATTTAAAAATCCAGATTAGCGAAAGTCTTTGCTGCACGCCGCCATGAAGTGGCGCAACTGGCCTAGATGCCGCATCAAGATGCGTCGCTTTCTCCCTTGCTTCATGCTGATAAAAAAAAAATCTTGAAAGTCAAAAAGTTTATGCTGCGTCTGGAAATTATCTGTTTGCAAATGCAATACAAACTGTCCAGTCCACCTCTTCCGGAGTCCTCGTGGGGCAATTTTCATGTTGATACGAGCCGCACACCGAGCGCGTTGCGGGCCCGGATAGCGTTAAGTGCTTGCTGCAGCAGCTCGGCCAAATTCCTTTTATTTCTGTTTATTTGCGTCCGAAATATTTCGTCGTACAGTAGTTTTGGATTCGCAAACCCCAAGGCGCCAAAGATCTTCGGAACGAACGGCCCGACTACGCTTGGATCAGCACCGAGAGAATGCAATAAATAACCGGGCGCCCGTTCTTTTTGATCTCCTGCTTTGGAGGTGGTCCTAGTCCACCGATCCACACGCACTACATGCTTCACTTCTTTCTTAAAAAAATGCAGGTATGATGAAGATCTTCCCCGGGAGGCGGAGGTCGGCGGCCCTCGCTGCGCTGAAGATTCTGTTTTGGTTTTCTCTATTTCTTGCTCTCGAGGAACATCAAGTAGATCAGGATCATCTTCATCCTTATCCTCATGTTCGATTTCCTTTTCGACCTCGATCTTGAGAAGTTTCTCTAGTAATTTTTCATTCCACCAGGGATTCGTGTGCTGTGCGGCCATCCGCGTCCACCGCTTGGATATGGAAGCGTCAGGATTGAAATCGTCAAAGCTGAAATAATCTGTATATGCAAAAAAGCGATACAACCAGCTGGAGCCCAGTTTGCAAGTGGCGCATGACAAATTTTGGCAGCATGGAAACCCAATTTGTCATGCTGTTTAAGCAAAAAAGACTGCTTTTGTCATGCTATTTTAGCAGCTCTATCTCACACCCCAACCAGGCTTATAATCGGCCTCAGTTGCCTGCTCTGCAAGACAGGCGCTTTGCGTCTAGCATTTTATGCATCGCAAACTATTTCAACTTTGACGATTTCAATCCTGACGCTTCCATATTGGAGAGCTGGTCTTTAAACTCCGTCCACCTGATTTTCGCCACTTCAACTTCTTCTTTAAACTTCGGCTCCCTTTCGCGTAAAAATGCCTCAGTTTTTTCGTTATCAACTGTAAACGTGTCTGGGTCTGGAAGTGATTCTAAACTTGTAATGCTGTCTCTGGATTCTGAAAAAATGTGTATTGCACGACCAGCGAGAGGACTCCAGTTTGTGCTATGCGGCGAGGGTTGTAAGTATTTCTCATGCGATAGAGGCATCACAAAGTCCTCTAAAGATCTGTGATGCTCGGGCATGCATCACAGACATCATGGGCCATGCAAAATATGCATGACAGACCTGGCAATCTTCCAGACCCAGACATTTTTGCAGTTGATATTCGTGCATTTCTTCCAGCTCTGCTAGCCCGTACTGGTACACCGTGTCATGGATTCGCCCCGTGCCCTATGCAAGAGTCAGGACGATTCCGAAATCGACAAAGTAAGTTGAGGACGAAATGACTTGTCACCGCGCAGCACAAAACCAACGCCAGTTGGAAGGAGAGTTCTTCATCCCAAATGGCGCATGCCAAATTTTCCGAGTGCCGGAATCGAGTTTCATGTCGTCCTGTTTGGGCAATATTAAAAGTAGCCTCCACCTCTGCCGTGCTATTTAGCAGCTCACTCTCCACCAAGCCCATGCCCAAAAAGGCTTGTAGTCGGCCTCACTTGATGCCACGTGCCTTCCAATACAGGTATTTTAATTATTTTGAGGCTTCATGGTCCTTGTGCAGCTTCATTTTTATGGATGACAAACTACTATTTCAACTTTGTCGATTTGGACCCTGGCACAACTCCCAGCATATTTGGAGAAACGCAGCTGCTCCCCATGACTCTGCTTCTATCACGAGAAAATAATCGTGCTACAGTTACACATGTGTTGGAGTTTCTGCGTCACAGATTTTCTCTTTGTGGCAGAGAAAGCTTGCAGTGCGAAGATCATAAAGGAAAACACCAAGGAAACGAGGCTCCCAAGTATTTCCTGCATGAGAAAGGTTGTCTGTCTTGCCGGTCTTGCAACACAGTGGGTATACTGTAACACTTTTTTCTTGCGATATCTTCCGGCATATTATCTTCTGTGATTTCCTGCGGCCGGGTCCATATGTCCGCGACATATGCATTGCAAAAGTGTCTGGGTCTGGGAGATTCCGAGATTTGTCACGCTAGTCTGGCATGACTCTGAGCTCTGTATTGCGTGGCCGCGAAGAGCTGCTGCTCCCTGTCATGCAAAGACGCAGTTTCTCACGCAGAGTACGGAACTCAGAACCATGCAAAAAACTTGTCATGCTTGGCAGCGCATTACAGTGAGCGCACTACTCCCTTCCTTGCATCACAAATTTCCAGACGCATTTGATACGAGATGCGTGCGCACCACCCTCGGACGGTACTTCTCCGCACCGTATGCGCCGCAAATATGTCATCTCCTGGCCGGCCGTCTGGTGGAAGCATGCCGTTCTTCTTGCAGATACTTGCTATGCATTAATTTATTTTCGGACCTTCAAGGAGAGCTGGAAGAAAAAGAAATTGAATGTATACAGAGAATGACATCAAGATGCACGTCGGAGTAGACGACTTTTCCATGCCTAGGGACCTGCTGCAGGAGGAATCCCTAATATACCCTTCGACAAAAACAAAAAGGGCGCACTTTCTGCTGACCATGCAAGACTCTGATTATGATTTTTCTGGGCTACACAGCACCAGTCTCTGGTCGTGCATCACAACGCGCAGTGATCCACCAGATACCCCAGACGACTACATATTTGCATTTGATACGCCCAGGAGCACCTTCGGCATTCCACACGAAGCCACGAGGTCCTCCACTTTATCCTCCCCGAAGCCGAGTAGCTTCACAAGTAGTTCCTTGTTAAGCTCGTCATTCGTGCACAGGGACAGTTCCTTAAGGTCGCTGCGCAACCAGTCGCTTGCCGCGGAATTGGCCCTGCCCGTTGGGGCGATGATATTGAGAGGAAAAATCCCCCCTCCCCATATCGAAGATGTATGTTTCCGAAAATTTGCGTTGCTGATTTGAGACCACAAACCACGTCTGTCTTGCAAGAAGACAACTCCACAGACTCTGTTGTATTATGCAGGCGGGTTCTAGTGATGGTGTTGGGCCTACAGCATAGACGTTTCTCGTGCTAAGCGCCTAGGCCAACACCTCTCTACTCAGGCTTGGCAGGATCCTGCAGCCCTCTACTGCAAGACAAACCTGATCTGTGTACGCAAATCCAGCATCAGAAACTTCCTTTTGATATGGGGAGGGGGGATTTTTCCTTGTGATAGATGAGAGAAGCTCTTTTCGCCGCCACGGCTTCCTCTTGGTTCCTCGCGATCGCGGCATTGAGCAAGGTATACACTTCGTCATCTTTTCCCACCCCAGCGTCCTCTGCTAGTTCTAGGGCCGCGGTCAGCACGGCCGTACGCTTAACATTTCGCTTCTTCTTGTGGAAGCGTCAGGTTTGAAATCAACAAAGTTGAAATGAAATTTCATGCATAAAATGCAAGGCATGAAATGCCTGTCTTGCCGGGATAGCAAGTGAGGCCGACTGTCAGCCTGCCTAGTTTTGAAATAGAGCTGCTAAAGTAGCATGACAAAAGCAGTCGTCTGCGCCGAAACAGCATGATCAATTGGTTTCCGGTGCTCGGAAAATTTGTCATGCGTCGCTTGGAAATTGGGCCTCCAACTGGTATCGATTTTATGCATGACAAATCTTTTCAACTTTGTCGATTTCAAACCTGACACTTCCATACTTCTTGTTCATCCCTTTCATCTTCCCGTCGGGACGACGTCGAGGAGAATATCCTGTGCAAGAGTATCGTATTCGTATTGCAATCATGCATTACAAATCCCTTTCTTAAGCTAAATCTGCATTACAAATTTTATTTCTCACGCTGCAGAAACTTGTATTGTATTTATACGAATACGATACTTTTGCAATGCATAGAGAACGACGAGACGCCCGCCCCTGTTGCTCTGCCGTGCTGTCGTTCCCGCTCGGCGACTCGTCGGTCGAGCTCTCATCGCTGTCTGTCGCAGTCGCCCCCAGCGTCCCAAATCCACTCTGCCGCAATATTATGCATTGCAAAACAAGTATCGTACTCGTACTAATTGGCTCCTCAATCGATCATGCAAAACGGATCGCCTCACAAAGCCGAATCAGCATGGCAAATTGCATTTGATGTCATGCTGCGCTAATGCATAGGCGACGTATAACTTAAATTTTAATTGCGATTACTACTAGAGCTAGTACGATTTAACTTTTGCAATGCATACGCATTGGCTGCTGCTGACCACTCGTCCCGCTGGTGCCGCCCGCCTGCTGCTGCACGGCGACCAAAGCCGCCTGCTTCTGCTTCATATACGGGCGCATTTCTTCGCGAAAGAAGTTTTTCACCTGCTTGACGCGCGACAAAGTCTGCTTTACCCTCGGGTAAAATGTTGCGTCCGTTTCAAAAAAAACCTTTTGGGCCCCCTCGTGCCGTTCGTAGTCTCCCTCTCCGCTATCCTTTCGGTGGCCATACAAAACATCATTGCACCCTTTGTTCCAAAATTGGTAACGCTCCCGCAAGCACCGGCTACCAGCGTCGAAGGCTCGGACTGACCAGCGCATCGGAAGCGTTGGCGATCCATCAGGTAGAACTGCACCAGGAATGTTTCGTCGACCAAACACGGGCCAAAGAAGGGTGTCCATACTCAAATCGGTACCTGCTGTGATCGGTCGAGGCAAGTTTGGTAGGATGTGGTGCTGGATCAGCGGCGTCAGAAATACAGCGACGCTACTGTCATCTTCCTGAGGAAATAAATTGTGCCCGATTGTTCCCATCAGTTTCTCCATAATTCGTTTTTTCTGATCTAGGCTGTATCGAGGTTGTCCGTCTGCGCTTTTCTTCCCTTTTGGCGTCTCCAGAAAGCCGATCTCAGCTTGCGCAGGAGCAGTAGGATGCATCATCTCATTTAGCGTTTGATCCCAGCTTGTGCCTTGTGTCAGACTGTGGCAGTCAATTTGGATCGCCCCCGCCGTTCGAAAGCACTCGGCTTTCTTATCAAAAGGAAAAATCCCCCCTCCCCATATCAAAACGGAAATCTGTGACGCGGGATTTGTGTACACAAATCGCATCTGTCTTGCAGTGAGGCACTACAGGCAAAGCCTAAGCCTGTGCAGGGGTGTTTTGGCGTAGGTGCTTAGCATAGCAGAGGCCTGTCATGTAGTCGTAACAGCATTACGAAATGCCTGTATAACACGGCGGATTCTTTTGATTTGCCCCCTTGCAAGAGAGTGTGGTCACAAATCAGCATCACAAATTTTTAGGGGCATGCCTTTTCAGTATGGGGAGGGGGGATTTTTCCTCACAATATTTCTGCTTGGCGAGTTCTGCCATTTTTTGAACCGCATTTGCTATGGGAGTGTCAGGTTTGAAATCGACAAAGTTGAAATAATTTGTCATGCATAAAATGGATGCCAGTTAGACCTGCAGTTTGTAGTCGGCGCATGACAAATTTTCCCGGTCCTGGAAGCGAGTCTGTCATGCGGTTTAGGGCAAAAGAGCTGCCTTCTGTCATGCTAGTCAGCAGTCCAACTTTTGACCCTTACCAGGACTATAATCTGCCTCCCTTGCGTCCTCTGCAATAGAATCACTTTCTGTATCGCATTTTATACATTACAAGTTATTTCAACTTTGTCGATTTCAACTCTGACACATCCATATTTGCTGCGTCTTGTTTTGAAGATAGTACAACTCGGGGGGCCCTGGAGGTGGCTCGCTTCTTGCTGCTGTGTCCCCTTCTTGCAAAGCCAACGACAGGGAGAAGGAAAACCTCAGAACAATTGTTGGCCAAAGACCCGAGAAGGGTCAGCAGAGCAAAACTGGACCAGGTCCAGGACAACGACATTTTTGTCATGATTTGTTTTGTAGTCCCGATAAAAACAAGTATAATAAGTTGTACCTACAACCAGCAAGTCGAAGAAAAATCGCGGAATGAATTCTTCTTTACGTATAAATAAAAATTTGACATACAACTCCAGCACAAATTTATAAAAAAATGGGTCGTAGTACTACTTTAGGGTAAAGGGTTTAGGTTTCAGCCGAAGTTGTTTTAGTTTTAGGTTTAGGGTTTAAGCGACGAACTAAACTTTGATTTAGAGTTCTCCGAAGATTTAAGTATGTTGCTTCACAAGTCCTCTTCTCTTTTCATAGATTGCAATCCAAAACAAGCAGTGCCGAAACGACACGGAAGTAGTAGTAGTAGAGCTTGCGAACTTTGTTTTTCTCAAAAACTGTCAATATAGGAATGTGCTTTTTCCAAAATGAAACAGAGGAGACCGAGCGCAGAAGAGACCACCCGGCTGGTGTGCAGCAAGGGCATTTTCGCACAGAAGCGGCGGTTTTTTTTCAATTATCATCAGGATCTCAGACTCGTCCTTCAATATAGCGTGATCAGTCTTCAATTTGAACCGAAGCAGTGGCAGCTTTTGGGCTGTTCAACATCCTTGACACAACTACAGCTTTGGATCTGGTGCAATCTTGATCTTGTGTAGGAGCAATTTTGGATCAAAACATCTTCCACGATTCTTCGAAGATGTGCCATCTGTCGTAATTTTTCTAAATCATGTATACTAGGTAGCTGCAGATGCAGTTAACCGATTCTCTTTTTTCCCGAATTTACATTGTACCGACATGGTGTGCCACTTATTCATCAGCACGAGGGAGCACGAGCAACAGATTATTTTCCTTCAAGATCAGAGAACCAGATCGTAGTGCATGGATTTTTTACGAGATGGAGGTGCCGCCCTCTTCATATAGGTGGATGAAAATGATGAACAGCCGCCCTGCTCTTTCCTGTGTGGCTGCCACTTCCTCGGCTCCATTCGCGAATCCGTTCATTGCCGTATTCATCGCCGCGTCGGAGTCGCTGCTATCTGCTGGCCGCACTCGTTTACTCATCCACCGTTGGTGGGCGGAGTTCTTGTCGTCTGCAAATTTGGGCTCGATTGTTGTGGTTGCGGAGAATCGTGAACCTAAATCGACGCTACCACTGTCGAAAATAGGTCTGTCGGGATCAGAAGTCGCTCTTCTCACGTCCTGCAATGCGACCGATTCGCTCTGGATTCAGTTCGAGCAACAGTCTTGCTGGCGGCGAGAACTGCGGAATCCCATGCGTGTTGTATTTTCAATTCTTCCAATAGTCAGAATGTGAATCACGGAAAGTCTTACACGAAAGATTTCGTATACTCATTGGCACCTTGAGCCAACCAGCGGGCAAACAAAGAAAGGATGGGTCCAGTGTGTTTCCAGCAAAGCACTAAAAAGGTCAATGACGTATGTGCCCGCTTAGTCGGGTTTTTCGGTTTCTTAAAGTTAGTCTTTTCTTACATTCTATTTCTACTGCGACTCAGAAACAAAGAAAAGGCACAAAGGAAAATCCGACCCGTACAACTTTATTTTTACCACGACAAGAAGAAAAGGAAAAGCGCGAAGGAAAAAAGTCCAGTACGACAATACGACTTATTTCAGGATGCTACGCACGATATCACGACCTTCTTATTCTTGTTGACAAAAAAGTGAAAACAAAAACAGACGACCATCATCTCTCATCTTGTTCGCTCATCTTTCGATTGAAAAACAAAAACAAGAACATCACCCCTGTGTTGAAAACAGGCGACATCAATGACGAAGTCGTCAATATACTTAGGTGGATGAAAATGATGAACAGCCGCCCTGCTCTTTCATAGCAGCTTTGGACGACGACCCACCAGTGGCCGTTGTTCAGCCCCCACGAGTCGTGGCTTTTTACTCACTTTCATTCTCCACTGCTCGTCTTGGACTTGATCCTCCTCAAATGCAGCTCCTAGAGCAGCTTTATCAATCTTCTACAACCTTTACGGTGGTTTATGCCAGACCCGGAGGAAAAAGTGATGTGCCGGAAACCTTTTACAATATCCTGGTCGAACGAGGACGAAACATGGTGTCAAATCATACAGGAGTAGTAAGTAATCAGTTGCTCGTCGGTTCTCGTTCTTGTGCAGCCGACACTTGTACTACTACATGCACTATGACTATGACAAACTGCACCACCACTGCAGCTCCATATTTTACTCCTTACGAATTGGTTTTCGTAATGTCCCACTCCTCAAACTTTTCGTCGCTGTCTTCGGGGTGGAAGTGTGCGACGCCTCCGTCTAGACCACTCTGGTCACCGCTTATCGATGAAAAAACAACCCCATCCACATACAATTTGTCATGCAAAACATACATAAAATCCCGTATCTGTCGTGCGAAAAATGGATGCGGATGGTTTTTTTTCTGTGGATACCACTGTCACTGTCAGGAGCTGCACCATCGTCGGAGTCGTCACCGGAATCATCATCGTCCTCGGCCTCCTCATATGGATCGCAAAAGTATCGCACTCGAGCTAGTAGTGGAGTTGTAATGCATGGCAAATATCCTACCATTTTTCTTGGTGAAGAAATTTGTCATGCGATTTTTCTCTACGTACGATACTTTTGCGATGCATACCTCACAACCAATGCAGTCCACCGCCAGATCTCGCATCATCGAAATCTCCACGGCCTTGCTCGGGATTTCCAACTCCACGCAACAGCACTGCGCGTCTTTCTTATCACAGCAGAGCATGCTCTTACTTGATTGTTCATCTGCTTCACATGTTCTATCACAACTGAATCTGATGAAAAAGTGTTCTCATGATGCTTACTACGATTGCCTATCTAATGCAAGAAGGCAGCAAAATCATGCGTAAAACCAGGGCGCGACTAGTATAAACAGGTCGATTTACAATTACGAACATCACTGTCTTGCTGTGATAATCTTCGCACTCCTCGGGAGTCAGTGGCTCTTTCGGATCAAAGGGTTTAAACTTCGGGAAGGTTAATATGGGAGTGTCAGGATCGAAATCGTCAAAGTTGAATTTGAAATAATTTCTGATGCATAAACTGCAAGGCATGAAGTGCCTCTCTTGCAGGGATGGCAAGTGAGGCCGACTGTCAGCCTGTTTGGGGTCTGCGATAGAGCTGCTAAAGCAGCATGACAAAAGACGCCCTCTGTCCCTAAACAGCATGACAAACTGGATTTAGACGGCTCCGAAATTTGTCATGCGCCGCTTAGAAATTGGGCTTCCAACTGGTATCGATTTTACGCAAGTTATTTCAGCTTTGTCGATCTCGATTTCAATCTTGACACTCCCATAGTTAATTCGCCTGTGACCCCGTACCACGCCGAGTTCAGCTCTTCTTTGGTAAACTTCTTTCGTTTATGCGTCGCAAAAGTTGTATGTTTATCGTGCTAGAAATAAATGTAATTGCAACATGCTACAGCTAAGTTTACTTTTGCGAAGGAATGTGACTTTTGGGATGCGGATACGGATTCGGGTAGGTGGTCATGCAACTACATCAACAAGACAAAGACTGCAATTAGTACGACGACTACGCTCACACAACTTTTACAGAGGATATGGCTTTACGTAGTCGTCTTTCTTCGGGGGCGGTATGATTGGGTACGGATCAGGGGAGTCGTTCGTGATGTCCGGCAGCTCCTTGTACACGACCGCCCCTGGGTCGGGTTTTATTTATCCCACGTAAAGTCACCCTCACCACCAATTTGTCATGCGGAAACGAAATCATGTCATGCGTTGAAATGCTGCAAAGTTACTTTTTATTCTGCATTTCTTTGCTCTTTAATTATTACGCACTCGAAAGTAGTACAACAAAGGTCTGATGGTGATTTTACATTCCATACCACATTGATGGAGAGAAAAAAGTTTGTCAGAGTCACTAACTTGCAGGCTTTGCATTACAAATTTTCTTAGCATCACAAATTTTCCTTGTATTGCAGAAACACTAGGGAAATCCCTAATAAAGTTCGGCTGTGATGCATTTTTACGCATGACAAACACTTTTGTGTTGCAAAAATGCGCATGAGTGATCGTGACGAGCTATTTTTCTTTGATAATATTCGGCGGGATCGAAGGCGTGGAGGGAATCATCGGTCTTGGCGTCGCAGTATCAAATGTAAAAATGTCTAGGTCTGGAAGAGTGCAAGATTTGTCATGCCTATTTCTCATGGCACATGATGCCTGTAATGCATGACTTAGCATCGCAGACTTTTAGAGGGCTTCCTGATGCACCTTCCGCATGAGAAATGCCCTGTCCGTGTAGCACAAATTATACCCCTCTTGCTGGTCACGCAATACAAATTTTTTTAGAGTCCAAAAACAGCATGACAAGTTGCAATCTTCCAGGGAGACCCAGACATTTTTACATTTGATACGCAGGATTCGTCGGCGTCGGAAGCCCTTCTGGTTTTTTCTCTGGCAGCCCCTGTGTATGGGAGTGTCAGAATCGAAATCGACAAAATCGAAAAACTTGTGATGCGCAAAATCGATGCCAGTTAGACCGACAGTTTGTAGTCGGCGCATGGCAAATTTCCTTCGTCCTGCAAGCGAATCTGTCATGCGGTTTAGGGCAAAAGAGCTCCCCTCTGTCATACTAGCCACCAGCCCAATTCTTGATGAAGACCCTTAGCAGGACTACAATCTGCCTCCTTTGCGTTCTCTGCAATAGAGTCACTTTTTGTGTCGCATTTTCTGCATGACAGATTATTTCGACAACTTTGTCGATTTCGGTCCTGACGCTTCCATACTGTGGATTTTTATCCGGCAACCCTTCCGGTTCGTCGCTTTTCTCCGGTGTCGCATGCAGTGCAAAAGCATCGCACTCGTATAAATGCATTACAAATTTACTCAGCATGAAAAATAAAATTTGTAATGCTGATCTACCTCAAGAAAAAGATTTGTATTCGCATGAATGCAATAGCAATACAAGTACGATGCTTTTGCATTTCATATGTCGCCGACGGAGAGGAAGATTCTTCCGAACTTTTTTCCTCACTGGACTTCTCTTCGGACGAGGCAGCGCTACCAGGAGATCCCGACCCGCTCCCCGACGCAGAGGCGCTTCCCGATTCGGTTCCAGACCCGGTGTCATCTTCTTCGCTAGTACTCGACGCCGCGTCAACCTCCACATTCACCTCAGTCTTGTGTGTCGCCGGTGCTGGTGCTCGTCCCGCTGCGTCTTGCCGTTCTTCGAGTTGCAGAAGAGACTCGGCATGTTGTTGACCCCCACCAGTACCTTCTGTCCACCCGAAATCGCCGTTGTCCCCTTCCCAGAGTTCCAGGAAGGGGTTGGGGTTGAGACTGGTCATCTGCGCGGGTCGTTGTGAATGAGCGCCATCGAAGTTGTTGTTTCCCGTAGTTGTGTTCGCGACAAGAAAGCCGCTCGCACTAGTACTCCCTATCTCGTCGTCCATGCCTTCGTCCCCTAGGATATGACAAGAAAAAGTGTTAACGTTAACGGTTTTCACAGATTGCAGGCATGCATCACAAATGTAGTCCAATATGCATGCTATGCATGACAAATTATAACATGTTTTGTGATGCGTTTCTGCAACACAAATTCCGTTCACGTTAACACTTTTTCCTCTGATATAGGAATTCGGCTAACGGAACCGCCCGAATCGTACTGGCGGTAAAGTTATGCATTGCAAAAGTATCATAATAGTATAAATCGCAATACAAATTTTTTCAGAAGGAAAAATCGAATTTGTAATGCTGATTTCGGTAAGAAATAAGACTTGTCATGCATAATTGCAATTAGTACGAGTACGATACTTTTGCACATGATAAAAGTCGTTCTTCGGTAGTAACTCCTTGGATTCAACATCTCGGGTGAAGCTAGTTTCTAGGAAAGAAGAGGCGGGAGTTGATGTTGGTACTGGATTTAGTGAGGAATGATCTAAATCATGAAGACCATGTTTGTCGTTGTCCGCAGGGGCAGCATTATCGTGAGCTATCGCATTGCCAGCGTCGTTTGTTAAGCTGGAAGTGGACAGTGAGGTTGATTTTTCTTTTCGTCCTGCGGGCAGTGCTTCTGCTTTTGGTTCTTCTTTCTGTTTCTGTTGATCTTGATCCTGCGTAGCAGTAGCAGAGGTGATTATATCAGCAGCGGAGTTCATCTGCTTGATCCCGCCACGAAGGTTCGTTTTTCCCACAACCTGTAATTTATTTTCCGATGCTCCTGCTTCCAAAGCGGATGCCGGCTGTGGATTGTTATTCAAGGCGCCTGAAGTGCTGGTGGACGAGGAAAGAACACTGCTCATTTCATCCGATGAGCTAGTGGTTTTCTGCATCTTGCCCGCGCCGCGAAGATTTCCACGCTTCTGCCTTCTGTTCTCCGTAGTTTTGACACCATTTTGCGCGGCAGGAGCATCATTATCAGCAACTCCACTTATTGCTGTTGTTCCGTGGTCTTTATGGATTGCAAAAGTGTCTGGGTCTGGAGGAATGCAGGAGTTTGTCATGCAGATTTTGCATGACCCATGAGGTCTGTGATGCATGCCCTAGCATCAGAGATTTTCCGAGGGCATTCTGATGCTCATACCGCATGCGCAGTGCCCTCCTTGCGTAGCACAAAACGCACCTCTTTTGCTGCTCATGCAATATAGATTTTTTTAGAATCCAAAATCAGCATGACAAGTTGGATTCTTCCAGACCCAGACATTTTTACAGTTGATAGTCTTGCAGCTTGTGCCTATTTTTCCTTTTCAATTCCGCAAACGAAGCATCGGGATCGTCCTCCTCCTCACCACTCGCACTACCTGACGCAGCGGCACCATCCTCGCCCGAGCCTCCTGCAGATCCGGCCGCACTTATTCTGAGTAAAAACGTACACACACCAGAGTTGTAATGCAAATCTGCATGCTGAAAATGTTTCTCATGCGGAGCTCCATGAGAAGCATTTTCTAGTCGTGTTTTGCAATTTGTCATGCTCCAATCAGCATGGTATGCTAGATCTGTAATGCTGCTGAGCTAGCTCAAACAGCACTACACTACGAATCCAAATTTGTCATGCAAAACAGCCAAAGCTTGTGGATTTGTCTAGCCGATTCCCCATCTTGACTCTGGTGTGGGTACGTTTTTACTCAGGCTAGCACTGTCATTTTCATCATCTTCAGCGGATTCTTTGTCTTGCTTCTTGCCCGCCGTTGCGTCTTTTCCCTTCTCCTTTTCCTTCGGTGCGTGTTATGAGACTGCACAACTCCCCCTCCCCCTCATTTGTAATGCAAAATACCAAATTCACACCCTGTTCGTAGGCACTGTTAGCATGACAAATTTTGGAACCTTAGAAAATGGTACTACTATCCGCATGCAGATTTGTCATGCGAAAGCCTCTTTTCTGCTGTTGCTTGTGTTGCTGTTCATGCAATACAAATGAGGGGAAGGGGTAGTTGTGCACTCTCATACCTGCCACGGTTTCCTCCCGTTGTCCAATTTTATCATCTGCGCGCGCCAAGCGTATTTCCCCCCAGGGAGGAAGAGCCAGGAGAGACGGCACATGAAGTCGTCCGTTTCGGTGTCGAGGTAGGCGTGTATCATGCGGCCTGTGCAAACGGGTTCTTCGCCGTGAAACGGGTCGAAGTCGTCGTCAGAATCCGGGTCCAGGTTGATATCGCTGTCAGCACCATCTCCATCACTGTCGCTGTCCTTTTTTCCTGTTTTGGTTTTCTGCAGCGCACTACTCGAAGAGGATGCTGTTGAGGAAGCGCCAACAATACTAGGTTGTGTACTTTTGTGCTTCTTGATGTTCGCCCGTTTCAACTTTCGTGGCCGACGCTTCTTCGACGTCCAAGAAGACTTCCTTCCTGAAGATGTTGTTGTACTAGCAGTAGATAGAGCAGACAAAGCTTTTTCAACAGAAGCTGCTGTTTTCGACGTCAAACCTGAAGATGTACTCGTCGTTGCTTTGTCCTCCTCTTGTCCAACCTGAAGTGCAGAGCCAGACTTTGGCGCAGAAGATATTAAAGTCGCTTGTTGTACTAGTTCAGGCACTGCTCCTGCACTACTTGCAGTTCCAGGAACTTTTTCTTCCTCTACTACTGCCTCATGTGCCTGTGCTTCTGATTCTGTCTGCAGGAAAGAGCTCGCGGCCTGTGACTCGCTGTTTGGAATTGTCGTCGGTGATGAACCTGTACCACTGGTGGGCTCCACCACTCCTGTATCTACCCCGCTGCCTCCGTCAGCTGCTGCTGCAGCTACCACCTCGTCCTGCGCAGGTCCGTCTACTACCGTGTTCTCTACTGCCGCACTCCGCTTTAAACTTGCAGCCGCTCCGCGCAGGTTGGACGTCTTTGTTTTCAGTTTTGCTACTGAAGTAGAAGCCCCGTCCTCACTTGGTTTTTCTCCGCGCTCCGCCCACCACCGTTGCTTATTTTTCCCAAAAATCCGTCTACTCAACATTTTCCCGAACCGCCTCGCTTTGGTTTTTATCCGCTCGATATCAACTGTAAAAATGTCTGCGTCTGGAAAAGTGCAACTTGTCATGCTAAATCTGAATCATACAAAAATCTGTGTTGCATGATTACCAATAAAGCTGCTCACTTTTGAGAAGGCCGAGAGGCAGTTCCTCATGCGGAAAAGGCATGGTAAAGATCTCACAGAATCTGTGACGCTACGGCATGCATCACAGACCTCACACGTCATGCAAAACCTGCATCACAAGTCTGGCATTCTTCCAGACCCAGACATTTTTGCAATCCATACTCGAGAAACGAAGAGGAAGAAGCAGAACTGGTGCTTGCCGCAGCAGCTTTTTTGCCAGAAGTTTTGCTGTCGCTGTCTTCGTCGTCGTCACTGGCTGAACTGCCAGAGTCTTCGCCAGATCCTGAACCGGAATCAATATCATCGTCACCACTGTCGCCTCCCGAGTCCTCTGCCTTCTTGCCGGCAGCCGCAGGGGCCTGTTTCTTCGACGAAGCAGAGTCCTCACTGTCGCCCGAGGCAGCGGCATCCGAGTCCTCTGGCGCCTTCTTGCCGGCAGCCGCAGGGGCCTGTTTGTTTTTTGACGCAGCCGAGGAAGATGTTGCACTTGCGGCGTTTTGTCTTGTCGTCGCAGCAGAAGGAGCAGTTTTATCGGCATCATCTGATCCTTCATCTCCGCTGTTGTCAGCCGCTTCGTCGCTAGAACGTTTGTCACCATCTTCCCCGTCATCACTATCGTCCTCGTCATCTTCTGCCCCCGCTGCTGCCTTCCCCTTATTTCCACCCTCGCCAGAAGTCTTTCCCGGCAGTTTGGGACACGTGCCTTTTCGGTACTCTCCCTTCAAAAACACCTTTTTGTAGGGGTACTTCCTTTCGCTGTCCCGAAAAATTTATGCACTGCAAAAGTATTGCAATCATGCATTACAAATTTCATTTGTTAAGCCAAATCCGCATTTCTCTCATGCTGAGGAAGTTTGTAATGCATTTGTACGAGTACGATACTTTTGCAGTGCATAAAATTTCACGAATCGCCGCTGTGGTGTTCATATGCATTGCAAAATCATCGTACTAGTAGGAACTTCTGCATGACAAATTTTTGTAAGAGGAAAAGTGCAATTTGTCATGTTGTTTTACCTTCGGAAGAAGATCTGTCATGCGTATTTGCAATTAATACGAGTACGATAAGTACTTTTGCACAGGATAGTTCACTTTTACCAGGGTGTTTGGTTTTCGGATTTCCCATATGCCGCACCCCTTCTGCACGGCTTCGATGGCGGTCAAAGCGACGTAGTCGGGCGGGGGCGGGGGCGGGGGAGGGAACAATAGCGCGTTCAGGCTCATGAACACCCACTTGAAAAAAGTCCAGATGAAGTTCAGATACCCCTTGTAGCCCAGCCAGACCACGCCGGAAAGCAGGGCGATTACTAGGAGAAGGAGGAAGAGCTGCATGCACAGGTGGCCGCAGGACAGGCAGTATCCACAGTAAATTTCCCACACACGTACAGACGCGGTTTCTGCATGACAAAATTTCGATTCATCCTATTCAGCATGAGAAGCGTCATGGTTCAAGTTGGCGAAATTTGTGATGCATGTTGCAGCACGTCGCGTAGAGGAAATTTGTATTGCATACGCAGCAGGGCAAAAGCGTGTTGTCCTTGAAGTTTTCCCACCAGGCGAGGCATTGTTCGAAACAGCCCGGGCCTAAGTCCTCTTCTGGTTCCTCTTCAATCTCGACTATTTCATCCGGTTCCTCTTCGTCGAATTCGTGCTCTAGTGCTTGCCGTGCTCCGAAATCCGCTTTTCCCGAGGCTTTTTTCCCATATCCCCCCTTGTCGCCCTTGGTGAAAATCTCGGAGTAAATCTATCCTATGTAAAAACGTCCCCACCCCACAGTCAAGATGGGAAATCTGCAAGACAAATCAACCAGCTTTGGCTGCTGCGCATGACAAGTTTTGACTCGTAATGTAATCCTGTTTAGCTACCTCCAGCAGCAACACAGATCTAGCATATCGTGCTTCTTCGAGCATCACAAGTTCCAAAACACGACTAGAAAATGCTTCGCATGGGGCTCCGCATCATCATCATGTAGTGGACACCCGCTCCCAGCGCCACAGGTCAAGGATCCCCTCCCCGGGGGGTGGGCGAGGAAGCACTTTCGGCGACCTCATCATACAAAAGCCGAGCGCTACCACGGCAAGTCGCCCCAAGAAAAGTGCCAACCAGTCGGGAGCTACCCACCACACCTGATCGGTACAGCCCGGCCAGCAAGCCGAGCGCGACGGTCCAACATACAGAATGATCCAGGACCCGACCCATTTTACGCCCTACGTTTTTGTTCTCACGGAAGAGACGACGTACCCCTTTGGGTGAAGGGGCGAGACTCTCCCCTAAGCCGCAGCCCCGCCCAGACAGGGGAGGCTGGACCGTTTGCGCCTTACCTGCGGCACGGACGAAAAAGGCAAGCGAGCGGGCCACAGTTGTCAAACCATAGACCAGTTGTTTGGCACTGCTGACTGGCAACCCACCTGGGGCACAGCGACAACTTAAAGGCTTAATTTGTGCGTGGCGGCCGTAGTGACTCAGCTTGACCCTCCGCATGAGAAACATCTTCACCCTGCGGATTTGCATGACAACTATGGGGCGGGGATGTTTTTACGTAGGATAAAACCGGACCGGTTGACGCCGGAATTGGGTCCTCCCACTGCATGGGATCCTGCCAGGGGTCGGGCTCCGGCCAGGCGGTCCAGTTTTCCTCCGGCCAGCTTTCCTCCGGCCAGCTTTCTTCCTGCCACGACTGCTGTTGTTGTCCGTAGTTCGACGAAGCCGCACCGGGTACTACAACGGGGGCCGGCGGCGGCTGTGGCTTTGCTTTGGGTTTCGGCGGTTTCGGTGGGGGTCTTTTGTTCATGATGGTCACTTCGTCCACCTGGAAACCCTGGATGTAAGCCACACGGGAGAGATACCTTAGCAGGATTTTTCTTTGCATAATGGTTTAGTTGTTCGTGTTCGATGAGACAATTTTTACAGAAAGTTAGACTTAGAGCTCGAGAAAAATCTAGCAAGCAGTTGTACACAACAAATGATGAACAAATGCAGTCGAAATATCTATGTAGTACTCCTGCACTAGTTCGTCCATCCACGCTTTGTCACCCGACTCTTCTATCACAGGAAAAAGTGTTAACAACGGAATTTGTGATGCAGTAATGCATCACAAAACGTGCAGAAATTTGTCATGCATAGAATGCATGCTAGGCAAGATTTGTGATGCATATTTGCAATCTATGAAAACCGTTAACGTTAACACTTTTTTGTTTGATATCTTCGTCCACCATAACGTACACCTGCAACCTATGGAAGCGTCAGGATTGAAATCGTCAAAGTTGAAATAATTTCTCATGCAGGAATTGCAACGCATGAAGTGCCTCTCTTGCAGGGATGGCAAGTGAGGCCGACTGTAAGCCTGTTTGGGGTCGGCAATTATAGAGCTGCTAAAATAGCATGACAAAAGACGCCGTCTGTCTCTGAACAGCATGACAAACTGGATTTAGACGGTGCCGAGATTTGTCATGCGCTGCTTAGAAATTGGGCTTTTGACTCGCCATCCATTTAATGCATCGCAAACTATTTCAACTTTGACAATTCCATTCCTGACAGTTTCATACAACCCTTGCTGCGCGTTCATGCGCGAGTGCGGGTCCTTTTTCACCCCGGGCTATGCATTACAAAAGTATCCTATCGCACTAGTATAAACTGCATTACAAATTTCCTTAGCATGTGAAATGGACTTTGTCATGCTGTTTTAGCTTATGCTTCGGAAGGCGATTTGTCATGCATAATTGCGATTACTACGAGTACGATACTTTTGCACAGGATACGGGCTCGACGAGCGTGATGTTGAAAAACAGTATCCAAGAAAAAAAGCATTGTAGGTGTAACTTTTTTGCAGGAACAGCATTACAAATGCCGTGTCTGGCATGACAGCAGAAACTTGTCATGCGCAGATCGTATGTGAGGACATGAGACTAGCGTAGCCTGTAAGCCATACTCAGCATGACAAGTGTCCCTTCCTTGCGTCGTCTGCAACACAACTTTACTATACACGCTACAATCTTTTTTCGTTGCATAAATAGCGTCAGATCGATCCCGTCATCCAGCTCATCCACCTCCGCCTCATATCCTATGGAAAAACGTCCCCACCCGCCCATAGTCAATCTGCTACACAAATCCACAAGCTTTGGCTGTCGAGCATGACAAGTTCTGGCTCGTAGTGTAATTATCCTGTTTAGCTAGTTGTGCAACCGCATGACAAATTGATGACTATCTTATCCTGATTCTAGCATGACAAACTCCCAGATAGCATGAGAGTAGAATGGCATCTCTCATTCGGCTGCGCATGAGAGACATGTTTGGGCTTGCGGATCTACAGGACAACTATCGGGAGGTGGGGACGTTTTTACATATGATACCTCGCCCTCGATCCCAATCACCTCCAACGCGTAATCAAACGCTTCCGCGACCTGCGCCGTGGTAACCACATCTTCTTCCGTGTACTGCAGGATGGTGAGTTTGTAACCGGGATGGGCCGCCGCGGCCGCGCTCGCAACGTCATCGCGATTTCCCGCCCAGTGTTCCTCTTTCACGGTGCCCTTCTTGTCCGTGGGGTGCACCACGTTGTGCCGCACGTTGGGGTGACTCATTTTCTTGGAAAAAATGTGGGATTTTTCTTGCACAGCAGGGGCTTCTAGTAAGCAAAAAGTCTTTTGTTTGCTTTGTAATAGCTAAAAATACCAGATTTTTAATACCGCTCCGTAGGCTTGACTGGTCTCTCTCCACCAACTACTTTATGGACGGCCCGCACACATTAAAGAACAAGAAGCGAATGGCTCTCCTAGGGCACCTCTTGACAGAAACCAATCACTTCCTGCAGTTTCACAACGTGCTCTCATGCTGTTGCACGACACTGAAGCGAAGAGGTGGAAATTTCTCTGTTTCTTTCTCTTTTGGCTTGTCTGCAATGGGTCGACGACAACGTCTTACTCGAACATGATGAAAGCTCGTTTGCGCGAACATACGAACATGATCGACGACAACGAACCTCCAACAACGATACACTTTCATCAGAAATTCAAGAACAGACAGACACAGATGTTCGAATTGGTTCACTGCGCAAGAACTTCTGTGCAGCCGCAAACATCCTCGGACAACTGACGACGTGTCACAACCTGAATTTTGCCACTGCCAAGAAGCAGAGCAATCGAGTTTATTTGCTAGATTTGAGAACTTCATCAATTGATTTTGCGCAAAATGAATTTTTAAATCTGCGCCTCATTTATCTTGATGTCCATGAATCTCTGCGGTGACGTGGTGGCTCCTGATCATGGATAAGGCTTTCAAAACGCCCTCAAAATCCTGGCCAAACAAACCAAGACCACCCCCGCGTCCCAGACACTCATGAGCATCAAAGGAACGAAGCTGTACCTTTCCCCAAATAAAAGTGCGTTCAGTCCGTTCGGGCCGAAACCCGTGGAGAATTCGTTGTAAAGTGCGGTCGCGACGACGCCGGTGAGTAGAAAGTTATCGGAGGTTTGGAAAACAAACAGAAAAGACGAGCTTGATGTGGTCCTTCCAGCAGGTGCGGCTCTACTGCTCGCAAGAACCATCGGAATCCTTTCGTGCAAATACGCGATTTCGAACAAATGCACTCCAGCCGCGAGGAAATACTTCGCCAAACAATTCAGCGGGTGACTCGTATTTGGTACGAGCGGCATGATGGACAGCGTTGCGGTGATGTGGAGCAGGAGAAAGGCGCGGAGAAAGTCAGCGTTTGAAGATACTGAGGTAGAAGTGCTGGTCCTTGACCTTGTCGGTAGTCTTAGATGCACAAACAATTGCAGTGGGATGGTCACCATCAAAATCGCCTTTTCGTGGACGTGCCACCCGACCAAGAAGGCGACCGCCGAGCCCATCGAGAGAAAGAAGAGAAAATCCGTGCCGTGAACGGATTTCGTTTGTTTGATGAGGGTCGTTTGTTTGGTTGAGGTTGCTTTGTCAGAGCCTGATGCTGGCGCACTATCACCTTCCTTCGAAGATATGTTCGTGCTCCTCGTTGTCGTGGTGTATTTCCTTTTCAACACCAGTCCCAGCACGAAGTACAGGCTCACTACCAGCAAAAGGCAAACCATCGGCGTGATAGTCGGCAGGACAACAGACGAATAAGTCTCCACCAACCCCGTGGTACTGCTGCTGGTACCACTGCTGCTGCTTCTCTTGAGAACTTTTGCTAAAACCCTATCCGCGAAATTGTACAGCGCCCAGACATTCGGTGCCCAATAGGCGTGCGTCAAGCCTCGGCCGAAGGGAAACAGCCGGGACAAAATCTGCTTCACTTCCGCAACAGTAGCGACGAAAACCGTTTTCAAATCGAGCGAAGAAGTAAAGGAGAGGACTCCACCGCCTCTTCGACCACCCAAAGATTCTTCTATTGCAGGGTAAACAGTGACCGGCGCCCAGATGAGGAAAGTTGTGACCAGAACGAGGAGTCCCAACCGCAAAAATCGAAAGAATGAGAAGCGGGAGGTGGATTTGCTCGTCGTCGTGGTAGCAGGAACAACAGAAGAGTTGTCGCCCTTCAACATCTTCGAAGACGAGTCCTTTTCGCCACCAACGAAGCACTCTCGGTACAGCAAGACCACGAAGTACACCGGGGCGCAGTAGAGAAAAATGTGCTTCATGTTGAATAGCAGGGTGAACAACAGCGCGGCTTTCAAGTGTTTCTTCTCGTAGAGCTCAAAGGCGGAGAGAAGAAGAATTCCGTACATCATACCGTTGTACTGAAAGTTCTATTCACAAGAAACGACCAATACCGATCCACATCCATTTTTTGCATGACAGACACTGGCTCTGATGCACGTTTTGCATGCCAAAATGGATTTATGGGGAGGGATCGGTTTTTGTGCATAAGTGCATGTGGTCGACGACTAGCAGACCCGCGTTGAATACGACGAAGATTAGAGAGGGGAGCAGAAGATGACCGTGGCTGGTGTTTCTGTTTGCACCTCTAGTCGTAGTTGTACTTCCGCGGGATCCACCCGTCGTCCCTTTCGTCACCCACTTCCAGACCGCGTAGACGAGAACAGTGTCGGACAAAATCACGCTCAAGCGGTGGAAGAAGATGAACTTCGTACTCGCGAAGTTGACGGAGTGTCTCACCGACGCTACCGCCTTTTCGAAGTCGAAAAGGAAATCCCCGAGGACTTTGTTCCTGCCAATACTACCGCCGAAGATCCCGTTCCCGCATGACAGGACTAGATAGAGGAAAAATTCGAAGTACGCAAACATGGGCGGGTAATCCAGCGTCCATTCAGAGTACTTCTCCTCGTGGTACCACTGGCTCAACGGAAGATTTCCGGTGATGGCCAGCCAATTTCTGTGGACCTCGAAATCCGTGCTTCGGTACGCGCTTGGGTTGCTGGTGGAGTCATCCACGGCACGACTGCTTGCGCTTTTCCCCACAACTGCGCCGGCCGTTCTGCCGGGGTTTGTGGGCGGGAGGAAAAAAGATTTTAAAACAAAGTGGAGGAGGAAGATGTTGAAAAACGTCAGTCCGCCAGACTTTGAAGCAGTTTTAGTTTTTCCTGTGGTGGTAAAGCTAGTTCCATCATTTGCTCCAGTGCGAGGCTCTGCTTCCACATTTCGTTGCCGTTGTTGAGCCAGCGAAGAGACTGGCGCGGCAGCTCCTGTGAGCAGGGTACGAGACATGATGTTCGTTTCTGGTGGCTGAGTGACCTCCAGTTATATGACTCGCACTTGTAATAGAAGCAGCACGAGGACTGACAATGTGTACATAGTTTTGGCTTTCTGCTCTACTGTGTATGAGTTACGAATCTTCACTACAACTACACGTTGAAGAAGTTAAACTTCGTCTAGAACTAGAAGCAAGACCAGAATCTGCTGAAAGAGCTTCTCGAAAAGTTTGATCAATGTAGTCTGAAGAACAGTCCCGCGGCCTTGGACTGTTGATTATTGCAAAACTGACAGCACCGAAGATCCTTCACAAGGGGGATCAAAGCAACCACATTAGACAGCATCCAGAGTTGTAAAGAGTGGATATGTTCGTTGTTGAACCAGCACCAGCGATGCAACGTCATAGGAGCAACGTGAGCTGCTAACTTTGAGTTCGATTCGACTTCAGAATTGAAATTCCACAGAACCATAGTGGGACGAACAACTGTTTGACCGCCGCTCTCTAGCCGTGATTTAGTCGGAGTGTCACGGTTGGAAGTCCAGAATTTTCGATGCAGCAAGAAGTGAAAAATTTGGGTTTGTTTATCCCGTGCAAGAAGTACGTGCTAGTGCTACACACGACTTCTAGGACTACTCACCACCCCATCTCATTCCTTTTCAGCCAGTTGCAAAAGCTTTCCGCAATCACGGCCGACCCTAAGAGCAAAAAGCAGATCGGCATCTGGTCTAGCCAGAAGCCGAGAAAATAATACCCTCCCGACGGGGTGTATTTCAACACGGTTTTTGCCACGCTCGTAAACTTCGACATCGGCAGGGAAACGTTGCACGAGAGCTGGTACAGAAAATACAGCTGGAAGACGCAGAAAACGGTGAAGCAAACCAGTAGCCCTATTCTCAGTCTGTTCACCGCTTTTTCACTCCAAAATTTGTGGTGCCGCAGGAAGGTCTGCAGGGATATTATGGTATTGCCGTTGCTCGACCGTAATGCAGTTGTCCTCTCTTGGACGTCGAGAGTAGAAGTTCCAGTCGAAGAAGAAGGAAGATCTGGTCCTCCGTTGATCCCACTTGTTCCTGCCTTATTAGCACGACTCCCGGCCGGAAGATCGTCGTTCTCCGCTCCGGACAAAGCCAGTTCTACAGTGGTGGAGCCCCCCGTAAGAACATCAGGATCTACGGAGGAAGTTGCAGCAGCCCCGATAATGCGTTCCGTATCGTCCTCGACCTGATCTAAATTAACCGCGTTCCAGTCCTCGTCTGGTATTGTCCCTCTCTGGCTTATTGCACTGGCAGTTCCGCCACCCGGTAGTGTCTTCTGTTTCCGGAGATTTCTCCCGTTGTTCCGGCGTTTCCAGAGCTGGATTTGCACGAAAAAGACGAGTCGCACCAGCAGGAGCAGCAGAAAAGAGATGTAGGCAATCTGGCCCGGTTTCGCCATCGCCATGGACAGCCGACCGCCGAGAAAGAAGAAGGACGGTTGGTATGAAAGCGAAAAGCGGGAAGGTCGGGCTTGTAGTTGTATCAGTATCTTTGACTTCGTTCTACTTCTTTCAATGGCTAGTAGTTGTGGTGTCCACGTACTACGTTTTATGATGCACTCTCACAGAAGGTCGTGTAGCACGTGACACCTTGCAAAGGGTACGTTGCTGTACTTCTACTTCTCCTCATCTCCGCGTGCTCGTACTGTACAAAGAAACTACAAACCATATTACCACTGCAATTCTGGTGCTTCCGCAACACTGATACAATATGCAGGAACCTTTTTTTGTTCTTGTTTCATACCGCGTCCGCGTCCCAGTCTTGGAAAACTGTGGATTTCGTGAATTCTTGCATAGAAACCGGCACTGCTGATGCACGAGTCCTTGCCGCCCCGTCTGCAAAACCTTCCGTCTTCGACGTTTTTCCTCCGCTTGAGCTGATTTGCGCGTAAGCTTCGAGAGCACGAAGGTGGGTCATCGGCTTCTGGTCTTCATCATCCGCGACTTCGTTGTGCCGTCGCCCAGGCGCAACAGATTGCTGCTCAAATGAAAGTTCATCCGCGTCCGATGGTGGTACTGCTTTTATCTTTCTTCCTCCTTCCGATAGAAGATGCTGAGGATGCTGCTCTTCCAAAGCAGCTTCATCTTCCTCTCGTCCCTCACGCTCTCCTGGCGGTGACGGCAACATTCGTCTGGTTCTAGTAGTTCCGGGTTTTGGAGAAGACGACACCGATTCGAACTGCGCATTGTACTCCTGTGAACTAGACGTTTTCCAGTACCCGCTCCTGGTGAGTTCCACGTAGGTTTTGTATAAATTCGTTTTCCAGTACCCGTTCCAATGCAACACCACCGGATTCGTACCAGTCGCCGGCGAAAAAACGCGGGAGCCCGGGGATTATCCTGTGCAAAAGTATCGCACTCGTATAAATGCATTACAAATTTCGATTTCCTCAGCATGAAAAGAAAAATTTCTAATGCAGATTCGCCTTGGAGACAAGATTTGTAATGCAAGACCTGAATTTGTACGAGTGCGATACTTGTGCACAGGATAGGGATTTCGCGAAGTCAATCACCAGCCCAGGGTTTTCCTGAAACGGTTCGACGGCGGGGTCGAATTTTTCGTCTTGCAAAACCTGCTGGTTCTTCACCTCGATATCCACAGTAAATTTCCTGTACACGTACAAATGCTGTCTCTGCATCACAAAATTTGCCTTCAATCCTAGTGTAGCATGACAAGTTGTACACTGCAAGTTAGCAAAATTTGTCATGCATTTTGTACATGTACAGAAAATTTACATAGCATACTCGATCTTCAGATACCCCAAGTTGCTGGCGAAAATCATCCCGAGGTCGTCGAGGCAGAAAAAATATCCTGTGCAAAAGTATCGCACTCGTATAGCTGCAAGTCTTGCATCACAAATTTTTTTCTGAAGGCAAATCAGCACTACAAATTTCATTTTTCATGCTGTGGACATCATTTGTAATGCATTTATACGAGTACGATACTTTTGCAGTTCATAAAAAAGATTTGTTTTTCTTCTCTTCGAATTCTTTGCCCCAGACCAGGGCCCAGTAGTACTGCTCGGATTGGTTTGGGTAGTTTTTTGCGAACTCTTTAATTGGGTATTTCCGAAAGAGCTCCACGAAGGCTTCCGCCTCGCCGATGAAGCCGCCGGAGCACAAAAACTGCGAAAACCTGTTGCTCGTTGTGTTTGCAGACAAAGCGGCTACTGCACCATCCGCACTGGTGCCACTACTTGAGGATACCAATGGTCCTCTAACCGCCGACGTGGTGAAAGCGCCGAGATACCCCGGTATGCAAGCAGACCCGCAGTTCTCCTCGCCTGAGAAAAAAATGCGGCACTGGCCATTGCTCTTCTCTTGCAGCTGCTTGAAACGGGAAAGAAGTTCCGGCTCCCCAGCCTCCAGCAGGGCGTCATAGGCGTCGGCGAAGAAAAGAACCTGCGGGAGATAATTTAATTTTTGTTTTCTAATTCTAGCTGTGAAAGGTGGAAACAACGCATATACAATCCTTCGTGATCAACATCATCCGAAAATTGTGTCATGCAGTACAACAAATTTGAGGTGGATACCGATCCCGTTCCCTTCATCCGGTACGCCTCGTCTTGGTGATAGACTAGCTTCTCAAGTATCGACTGCAAAGACAAAATTGCTTCTACATACTACTACAAACAAGGAGCCGAAGATCCTGGTCATTCCGCAATGTTCAATCACGCATGAACGCGTGTAGAACTTCATAGTTGAACTAGGTATTGATGAAGCAAATGGATCATGCACCGATCAGCCTCTTGCTCTGGTGTAGACGGCAATTTCATATGAACTGCAAAATTATCGTACTCGTATAAATGCATTACAAATTTCCTCAGCGTGAGAAATGAAATTTGTAATGGAGATTTGCCTTAAGAAAAAGATTTGTCATGCATGATTGCAATACGAGTACGATACTTTTGCACAGGATATTTCACGTTCACTGCTGATACGCTGCAGGGCTTTTCGACTCCACTTCTGCAACACTGGGTCGCCCATGCCACGTGGTCTATCAGGCCGAACTTGTTCTTCTGAGTCAGTTCGGTTTTTTTTTCCCTGCGTCGACATTTTTGCAATTGCAAACCGCCTGGTGTACTACCAGTACTAGATAATCTAAAGCAAAATCAATATGCATCACAACCAGCAGGTCGAAGCATACCAACGAGAACGACAGGCCACGCAGCCATTCATGATTGGCCCGATCTCCCGTTCGTCTTCCTAAACGAATGCATGACCAGGCGCCATCAAACTCAACTTTCATTTTCGAAATGGAAATACGAACACGACTCAGGAATCGTTCGGTTCCTCGCACGATACGGCAGGATCGGCAAGTTGTGTACTTCCGCGGAATGCTGGAGGTAAAACTATCCTGTGTAAAAACGTCCCCACGTCCCCAGAGTCAAGATGGGCGACATCGCGGAACACACATCAAGACGCTTTGGGAATCACGCATGACAAGTTTTTCTCTGTTTTGTAAGTGCAGTTTCGTAAGTACAGCCGCATCACAAAGCCATCCACTATATCCTGTTATACAGCATCACAAATTCCAAAACACAGCCGGAAATGCCTCTGATGAGGATGCGCATTACAAATTTTCATGTGACTGCAAATCTGCATCACAACTCTGGGTTGAAAACGTTTTTACTTAAGGTAAAAACAGCAAGGGGTTCATCCTTGTTCCAATCGTGTAGGAATGAAGGCGCAGCCGGGGCTGCGGCACCGCTCCCGCCGGACTGTCGCCAGCGAGAAGGGCTCGGCCAGTACTGGGAGAGGATTTTTGCCGCTCATCCATTACACCCGTGGTGCTTCTTGATGTCCTCGCAGTCGGTGATGAAGATGATCTTCGAGATTGAAGCTTGTGGGCGAAGTCTGTATCTTTCTCCGAGAGCAGCGGGGGCCCTGCTCCCTGCAATCTTCGTTGTGCAACTTCTGTAATCGTCATTTCCGCGTTTGGTCCTTCTTGCTCGGATAAAGATTCTTCCCAGCCAGACAGTCGGGCCTGCGTTTGCCCTGCTATTTTTACCGCCGGGTGCATCAAAGATCTAGCCGACGTGGTCCGCAATGTTGAACCCTGGGCATCTTTGACGCTTTTATCTGCACTCTGTTCCTGAGCTGGTCGTGTTGTACGGTCTGGGGATTTACTTCGTTTTGAACTAAGGGCCGTGTCTTGTCGTTCATCAACCATCATGGGTGAAGAAGCTGCAGACGCGCCACCCTCCATCATCTCCCCGCCGGGTGTAGTTACTTCCATGGCGGCTGATGTCGCAGTGGTGCTACTCCTGGTGCCCACTCGCGCAGTAGAAGTGTAACTGCCCAGACCACGACGATGAGGAACAACATCATCATGATCATGGTCTTCATGGTCCTGGTGGCTCGCACTACAGAAATTCCCGTTTTGTCTTGCGGGATCGGCAAACAATACGACGGAAAAAAATCGTAACACGAAAACCAACCTCGGACGACGAGGATACGAGAACGAATCGAAAGGCATTTTTTATTTTTCGAATGATTTTTAAAGGGTACGGGACGCGGTGCTAGACGTCTCAAGCAAAGAGGAAGGACCGTCTCATGTTTCACGTTCAACTGCTTACATACATTTAAAGTTTTCATCTGCATTTCTATTGGTGGAACTCACCACCAGGACGCAGATGCTGACGCATGGGAACAAGCATCGGCGCTCTTCAGCCTTTTCCAAGCTGTGCATCTATATTAATTTCATCACTGTAACAGTTCAAGGGCGAAATCAAGACCGTCGCCGAATAAGCGCTCGGCGCATTTTTGAATTCTGCGCAGGTTTGTCGTTGAAGATCATTTTTCAAGTTCCAGAAAGTTCACGTCATTTCTTGCACAGCAGCAACGTCATCTCTTTATTGCGTGTCCGTGGTGGCGGACGATTGAGAAGACCCGTCTCCCGAGGATGGAGACCCGCCTCCCGAGGATGAGGACTCGACCTCCTGGCCGCGTTCCGCCCACCTCCTTGCTGCTTCGCCTCCGCCTATAATTGCGGCTGGCATGGCGTGTCCACCGTGGCCCGGCGCCCCCGGTGCGCACATGTGCGCCAGGGCGCCTCCCAATGCCGACAGGGCCGGCCCCATCTCCACGAACGACGACTCCGCACCAGACTGTGTGCCTTGCGCACTATGGATGTAGCCAAACGCTGCCGCACTAAGCCGATTTACACATTGCATGTTGAGCAAAAGGACTCACAAGTACAAAAGGACCACAAAAGGTCGTTACTTATTTTGCCAGACTTGTACTACCCGTAGGTGGTGTGAGAACGTAATGCTGGTGATCTTCATCTTCATGCCAGAGTCTTTGCTGGTGCAGCCTGGCTCTGACACGAAAACCAACCTCGGACGACGAGGATACGAGAACGAATCGAATAAAAAAGTCATTCTCATTATCTTATTTTTCATCTGATAATTTATTTGATTATATTTCAAAGGGAGGCTGCGTTAGACGTCTCGAAAAAAGAGAAACAAGAGGACGCTCTTAATAGTTTGTTAAACTGCTGCAGTGGCTTACTTACATTTGAAATTCTCATCAGCATTTTTTGCTGGATCTCACCAGGACCACGCAGATGCAGATGCTTACGCATGAGAACAAGGATCGGTCTCGGTGTTCTCTAATCATAGAAGCGCTGGGCAATCTCGATCAACATGGAAAATTACTCTCCCAAGAACACAACAGTAAGGTGATCATTTAGCTAGCTTCAAGATTGGGATTGGCATTGGCGCACGATCATCAAACCCCCCAGTAAAAAACACAGCACCAGAAGAACGAGCGAATTTTTGCCAGTCACTGTGATCCTCAACATGGGTAAGGAATTCAGTATATAAAAGATTCTGGACTACAACCAAAGTCGCCTTCTTCAGAGACACTTTTCATTTTCGTTTACACACCCGTTGGCTCTTCCTCCACCCGTCTCGGATTGTCACTGTCTGCAGGTTCACGAGCGCGAAAAAATCTTCCAGCCACGGCCCCAAATATGACGACGGCAAAGGTTGCTTTCACGGCATTCAAAGACCAGAACTTTTCCATCCCTGTCGCTGTTCTTGAAGCGAACGCTCGACATACATGATAAGTTGGACCGCCGCAAAGAGAAGGACACCAACAAAGTTTCTGTCTTTGAATGGGAAAGCATTTGCTTTCAAAGTCGTAAAACACCCGCCAGGAGCGAGCCCCAACGGGCTCGGTCTATGTGATCCCACTGCGCTCGCACTATGGGCGCCACCGGCACCGGCACTTTGGGCGGCACCGGCACCGGCACTATGAGCGGCACCGGCACCGGTCAGCTGATGAGCAGCCGCTGCCGCCCCCGTGGTCGCCAGAAAAGGCTCCATTTCGACAAACGACGAATCCGCGAATGGGTGCGCAGCCACTTCTTGACGAATATGCCAGTCAAACTCTGACTCAACTCAACAAATCTTTGTTCGCATGCAAGGTCAGTACCTGTAGTTGTAGAAGTACCAAGAACAACAACAGCTACAGTCCGAGCCGCAGCACTTATTTTCCGACGGAACGAGAACAACACTTAATTTAGAGAAAGGTTTTACAGCTTCTAAACATGCCCGGTGGGAGAGCTCGCGTCTTCAATTTTCACGATTATGTTGCCTCTGCTGCGGTGCGGCCTGTTTTCGCCATATTTATTGCAAGACAAAGCTCTGCTTCGCTTTTTTATGGGTCAGACTCATTCAACTGGCATAATCGTTGCTGCTCCTCAACATCCTGAAATGCTCGCACGCACTACGGTATCCAGTGCAAAAGCATCGCACTGGTACTACACGAATAGCTGCATCTTCAACTTAGTTGAAGATGCAGAATTGCCTTCATCTTGCACGATAAAGGGCTTTTTTTTGCAAAAAATATACCGTGCCATTTATTTTTTCACTACTAGTGCAACACTTTTGCAATGCATATGCAGAACTCACACGAATCCAGAGAGAAAATGGCTTATTTTGCCCCTCAGTTTGTTATGTGCCATGAAAAGAGCTTCATGCTGTTAAAGCTGATTTTTCGAGGCTGAGTCTGCGGACGACCAACAGGACGGGGGATGGAGTTGAAGTTGATACTGCCAGTAACTATTTGGGTATAAAGATAAAGAGCTTGCGGTAACTGCTGCTGAACATACAAACTGAAGCCACAACAAGCCATCTTTTCTCACACGGCATAGACCGGCGACAACTTCTGGTCCGATGGGTCGATCAGATGCTGGCCGCTCCTCGAGTTTCCCTGTCCACCCGAAAACACTTGCGCTACACTCGCCAGCGGTCCACCGGGCAGGAAGAGCGATTGGAAGCCCGTAATAATTCTCTGCGCTTCGGTTTCGCTCTGGGATTGCAGAACCTTCGCCAGCTCTGCGATATCGATGGCGTTGGACGAATTCTGGTCCACAGTGGAAAACTCGTTCAGAAAATTCACCAACACCGGAAAGGGGATCATCTGCAGCGACGGGGTAATCAGGATGGTCTGGACGTTTTGCTGTGAGAGTGAAGTGTAAACAATTTTTTGTATAACATGATGATGAAGATCATACTGTGCATATATTTGACCACAACAAGGTCAGGTAAATCCATTCTCCATTTTCTTCGCTGTAACATCAAATGCTCAGCAAAACAAAAAAGTTTAATCGCGTACCTGTAAATTCTCCCACTTCTTCAGTTCCAATTCGCCTCCCCTAGTTGCGCCACTTTGCGCCTTCAGCCGACTTATGCATTGCAAAAGTATCGTCCTAGTATAAATTGCATCACAAATTTTGGCAAGAAGAAAAGTGGAATTTGTAATGCTGTTTTTAGCTTAGGAAGGAGATTTGTCATGCATATTTGCAATTAGTACGAGTGCGATACTTTTGCACAGGGTACGACTTTCCGTGATCTTCACCGCTTTGGATTCCAGCAGGTACCTATTCATCGTGGACGATTTTTCAAACACTTTCGAATGCAGAAAAAAATGACAAGTTACAGCTTTGCAGTAGAATGCTTTCTCATACGCGTCCGCATGAGACAGAGGCTGCGATTTTGTAAAACAAGAGAGGCAGCGACTTTTGGTGTTCATGCAATACAGACTTCACAGAAATGCAAGACCGGCATATACAAATTCCAATTTTCTTCTATTAACACCAGATTACATATTTGCAACGCATAGTACCGGTAGAGGTCGTCCTTGTCGAAGGAGGTTGTCATGCTGGAGACCGTTTCCACGTCTAGGAGGGAATTGGTAGATTGGAGTTCTCCCGGGTTACTTCCCTCCTCCTGGCTGCCGGCCCCTGCTTCGTCGCTGAAACTGCCATCGAAATCGACAACCTCAGCACTGTATCAAATGCAAATATGTCTGGGTCCGAAACTTGTGATGCAAGAAAGGGAAAAGTGGTGACCTCACTGTAATGCGCTGCCAAGCATGACAAGTTTTTTCGTGGTCCTGAGTTGTGGGCCCCGCATGAGAAACTGCGTTTTTGCATGACAGGGAGGAGGAGCTCTTCGCGGCCACGCAATACAGAGTTTAGCGCCATGACAGACTAGCATGCCAAATCTCGCATTTTCCGAGACCCAGACACACTTGCATTTGATACACTGACGAATTGCTCGCGACCGGAACCGTCGATCATGCGGACAACGGCCAGTGCTGTGACAACGTTGCTGCCACGCCGTGACAACGACGTGCGGGAGTTCTTACCACGCCGGGGGATGGGATACAAATAGTTTGTCTTGAAAACAACGGGCCTGGTGTTCTCGCCCTCCATAGAACCCGTTTCCTCCAACAAGGGCGAGGCCTGTGATGTTGTGTATGGGCGTATCGGTGGGTAAACCAAAGGAAGCGCCAGCGGCAGCGCCACAGGGAAATACTCCTCATGCGCGTATGCAATAAAACAAAACGGATGTTTTCTGGGTACAAAAAACAATTCAACTTTGTTTGTGTCAATCTAGTAAGTATGCGATGCAACTCCAGTACCACCGTTTCGGTTCCCGGGAGTTGAGAAGTAGAGCAATGCAGGCCTGGTTTCTCGCTCTCCATTTTGCTTGATGACCGAAAAATCTTGTCTTTCCGTCGTTTTACAGTCGCACGTGCGGGTGATCTACCAGAGTGTGTTCTTATTTCCAAGGTTTGTCTTTGTCCTCGGACCGTGGGAGTTTGTGCGTTTGAGTTCTCTACTCCTGGTTATCTCGCGTACATACAACACCTTCTCTCGTACTTCTGTTGTTCACGTCGTGCAAGATAGATGACATTGACACGGCGTCCGCACACTGAAGCTCTGTCTTTTACGGTAACCACTTGATATTGATCTCTTCTAAGCAAGGTAGCTAATATTCGTTTTCTTTCTCTCTTACCATATTGCAGAGTAATTCTACCACACGGAAAAGTAATTGGAGACATCCGCTAACCCGTCCTACATGCACATCAAAAAAACGCAAGCAACTTCAAGAGGAGGAGGAGGAGCAGGACATCTCCGTCCAACAAGAGACGAGGGAACACGAAATACATATTTGGCACAGTGTCCTACTTTGCCGACATTGTAAGCATGCGCATGCGGCGGCAAGAACAACCAATCTCCTGCTGGGTCGTTGTTGTCAGCTAGTATGTTCAGCTGACGTGGTTTTCTGCGATCTTTCAATACTGTTTATTGGCTCGAGCACTGTAGAAGTTCAAGGGCGGATTCAGGTCCATCGCCAAAAAAGTAAACGCGTTTCGTTGGAATTTCTGGCTCGTTCAGCCGGTGCGGTTTCCGGAAAGTGGATTGAAGACGAGACGCAGTTAAAAGTTAGCGCTCAACATATGAGATCACTCATCTAGGCATGGACATAATTCCATTTTGAGAGCGGATGCGAAAAGGGTTGTAGTAGTTCGGAAGTCGCAGCGTAAAGATGAAGGAGCGTAACACCAACCTCGGACGACGAGGATACGAGAACGAATCGAAAGGCATTTTTTATTTTTCGGATATATTTTTTTTGAAGGGACGAGGCGGCGTTTTTAGACGTCTCAAAAAGAGAGGAAATAGGAGGACTACTTTTAATATAAAATTACCATCAGCATTGCATCTTTCTTGATCTCACCAGGACGCAGATGCTGACGCATGGGAACAAGCGTCGGTCCCGGTGTTTTTCAATCAAGTTGTAGCACTGGGCGATCTACTCGATCATGGAATAAAATTTCCCTAGCAAGATCACAACAATGGGGAGATCATATAAAACAACTTCAAGATTGGGATTGGCGCGCAATGACGGTGAAGCTCACTGCTGGTAGAAAACGCAGTACTAGGAGGAGCGAAGTTTTGCAGGTCACTGTGATCATCAACTACATGGAGCAACAATTTATTTTGTCCACCACCACCGCTCGCGACTTTCGTCCAGGACTAAAGGCATCCATGACTTGATTTTTGACACAAGCTGCAACAACAAAATGATGTGATGAACTCCAGGAAGCTAGTATTGAAACACCTGGTTATATATAATATCGCAAAGCCACCGCAAATGAGTCGCACGCATGAGAGTCGAGGCGATTCATCTTCAGTTTTATTTCTATACAATCCTACGGCTAAGCCTGAGGCAGACTGACCTCGCTCGCGCCACTCTTCGCAGTTGGGGACGATTCGGGGGTGGACGATGGAGACCCCGAGGATGATGACCCGCCCGCGGATGAAGCCCCGGCTTCCTGGCGGCGTTCCCTCCACTGCCTTATCTCGTCCGCGGCAATAATTGCCGGTGGCAAGAGCCCTCGACCGGTGCCCGACTGCCCCGGTGTGCACGCATGTGCCAAGCCTTTTCCGAGTGCCAGCATAGCCGCAGAACCAGGCTCCAGCCCCATCTCCACGAACGACGACTCCGCACCAGACTGTGTGCCCTGCGCACTATGGATGTAGCCAAACGCTGCCGGATTAAGCCGATTCATTTACACGACATCGCATGTTGAGTAAAAGGACTCAAAAGTACAAAAAGACGACAAAAGGTCGTTATTCTCTTGCCAGACTTGTACTACCCGTAGGTGTGAAAGAATGTAATGCTGGTGATCTTTATCTTCATGCCAGAGTCTTTGCTGCTGCAGCCTGGCTCGTGAATCATTCTGCTTGCCTCGTCAGTGTTTCGCTTTGATAAAAGTCGTATCAAATGTAAAAATGTCTGGGTCTGGAAGGTTCTGAGACTTGTCATGCATGTTTTGCATTGGCCATGATGTCTGTGATGCATGCCCTAGCATCACAGATTTTTTGAGGGCTTCGCGATGCCTATTCCGCGGCATGACAAATGCCCTCTCCGCGTAGCAAAAATTGCATTCCCTTTGCTGCTCATGCAATACAGATTTTTTCGGAATCCAAATTCAGCATCACAAGTTCCAATCTTCCAGACCCAGACATTTTTACATTTGATAAGTCGTTGCGGAAATTATCCGTCAGCATTCTCAAAAACTCGCAAGCACTGCAGAACTCGAGGGAATGCAACCAAAATGAAGTGGCCTGCTGTAGTACTCCTCAATTTGAGAAATCCATGCTGAACCGTAAGGATTTTTTGATGCTGATAGAGATTGAGATGCAGACCACGTCAATCCAGCAGGTGGACCGTTTTATTTTTCCTAAGGCAGGAGCAAAAATAAAGAGTGGACTACTGTTTCTGTTGCAACAGAAAGATGAAACTCAAATTGAGGACACAACAGGCAATTTTCATTTTTTCACCCCATAGACCGGCGACAACTTCTGGTCCGATGGGTTGATCAGATGCTGGCCGCTTTTCGAGTTTCCCGGTACCCCGGAAAAAACTTGCGCCAGCGGTCCACCGGGGAGGAACAGAGACTGGATGCCAACGATAATTCTCTGCGCTTCGATTTCGCTCTGGGATTGCAGAACCTTCGCCAGCTCCGCGACATCGATAGTGTTGGAGGAATTCTGGTCCACGGTGGAAAACTCGTTTAGAAAATTCACCAACATCGGAAAGGGGATCATCTGCAGCGACGGGGTAATCAGGATGGTCTGGACGTTTTGCTGTGAGAATGAAGTTGAATCATTTTTTTCTTTTAGATTTTGTCAACATGAACATAATCATACGCTGCAAGCATATTTTTGAGCGCAACAAGATCAGGTAAATCCATCCTCGTTTCTTCGCTGTAACATCACGTGCCCAGGAGCAAAACAAAAAAGTCTTCGTACCTGTAAATTCTCCCACTTCTTCAGTTCCACTTCGCCGCCACTAATTGCGCCGCTTTGGGCCTTCAGCCGACTTATGCATTGCAAAAGTATCGTCCTAGTTTATAAATCGCATCACAAATTTTGGCAAGAAGAAAAGTTGTGAGATTTGTATTGCTGTTTTTACCTTAGGAAGGAGATTTGCCATGCATTATATTTGCAATGAGTACGAGTACGATACTTTTGCACAGGATACGACTTTCCGTGATCTTCACGGCTTTGGATTCCAGCAGATACCGGTAGAGGTCATCCTTGTCGAAGGAGGTTGTCATGCTGGACACCGTTTGCACGTCTAGGAGGGAGTTGGTAGATTGGAGTTCTCCCGGGTTACTTCCCTCCTCCTGGCTGCCGGCCCCTGCTTCGTCACTGAAACTGCCATCGAAATCCACAACCTCAGCACTGTATGCATTGCAAATATGTCTGGGTCCGAAACTTGTGATGCAAGAAAGGGAAAAGTGGTGACCTCACTGTAATGCGCTGCCAAGCATGACAAGTTTTTTCGTGGTCCTGAGTTGTGGGCCCCGCATGAGAAACTGCGTTTTTGCATGACAGGGAGGAGGAGCTCTTCGCGGCCACGCAATACAGAGTTTAGCGCCATGACAGACTAGCATGCCAAATCTCGCATTTTCCGAGACCCAGACACATTTGCATTTGATACACTGACGAATTGCTCGCGACCGGAGCCGTCGATCATGTGGACAACGGCCAGTGCTGTGACCACGGTGCTGCCACGCCGCGGCAACGACATGCGGGAGTTCTTACCACGGGGGATGATGGGATACAAATAGTTCGTCTTGAAAACAACAGGCCTGTTCTCACACTCCATAGTAACCGTTTCCTCCAACAACGGCGAGGCCTGTGATGTTTTGTATGAGCCAGCGTATCGGTAAACCGAACGACGGGCCAAATATTTGTTTCTCATGCACACATGCAATAAAACAAGACTTCTCATGCTAGTTTTGTTCTGGATACAAAAAAAGTCCGCTTTGTTTGTCTCAATCTAGAAGACAATGCAAATCCAGTACCATGGTTCCCGGCAGTTGAGAAGCAGAGCAATGGCGCGTGCCTGGTTTCTCGCCCTCCATAGTACCCGCTTCCTCCAACAACGGCGAGGCCTGTGATGTTGTGTATTGGCGTATCGCCGGTAAACCGAAGGAAGCGCCAGCGGCAGCGCTACAGGGAAATACTCCTCATGCGCGTATGCAATAAAACAAAACTTCTCATGCTAGATTTTTTCTGGGTACAAAAAACAATTCAACTTTGTTTCGTGTCAATCCACTTAGAAGACGATGCAACTCCAGTACCATCCTCGTTTCGACCCGGGGCAGTTGAGAAGCAGAGCAATGCAGGCTGTCCATTATGTGATGACCGAAGAATCTTGATCTTGTCTTTCCGTCGTACTACAGTCGCACGTGCGGGTGATCTACCAGAGTGTGTTCTTATTTCCAGGATTTGTCCTCGAACGGTAGGAGTTTGTACGTTTGGGTTCTATAATCTCCTGGTCTCCTCGCGTACGTACAACACACCCTCTTGTATTTCTTCACGCCGTGCAAGATAGATGACACGGCGTCGTACTGAAGCTCTGTCTTTAACGGTAACCACTTGATGTTGATCTCGTCTTCTAGTAAGAAAGGCTAATATTCGTTTTCTTTCTCTCTTACCATATTGCAGAGTAACCACACGGAAAAGTAATAAGTGGAGACATGCGCAAACCCCTCCTACATAACATGCACATCAAAACACCGCAAGCAACATCAAGAAGAGGAGGAGGAGCAGGACATCTCCGTCCAACAAGAGACGAGGGAACACGAAATACATATTTGGCACATCTGCTACTTCGCCGACATTGTAAGCATGCGCATGCCGCGGCAAGAACAACCAATCTCCTGCTGGGTCGTTGTTGTCAGCTGGCACTTCATGTAGCTGGCGTTTTTTTTTATTTCTGCGATCTTTGAAAGAATGCTCTAGATTAACTCGAGCACTCCTGTATAAGTTCAAGGGCGGAATCAAGTTCATCGCCAAAAAAGTAAACGCATTTCGTTGGAATTTCTGGCTCGTTCAGCCGGTGCGGTTTCCAGAAAGTGGATTGAATGCGAGATCAAATTCTTAAGAGTTAGAGATCATTCATCTAGGCACGGACATATTCCGTTTTGAGGGTGGATGCGAAAGAGGTCGTAGTAGTTCGGAAATCTTCGTAGCATAAAGATGAACTGGACCGCCCACACGACCTTTCTTCAGCACCAAACTAGTCGGTTACTAGAGAGCGACTATCAAGTAGTTGAAAACTGTATTCTTAAAAACAAGCGGCAAAGTAGATACCAGGGTCGTCGTGGTCGTGTCACGAGACCCGTCGGAAGAAGATCATTTTCAAACGACAATCGACGAGCCTTCGCAAAGGAAACAAGAGAGCAAAATAAATTCTGTATGATTTTTCGAATGTGTTGAAGTTCAATTTTATACTCGTTATCGAAGTCTTAGGCTCCAATGGTGGAGCAAAAAAATCAAGTTCGCGAACCGATAAAAAGCTGAAGCTGCCCTCGCGTGCATCGGGAGCAGGAATACCAGTGCTCTCCGTCTAATATCCGGTTGCACTCACACCAGGCACGCAGAGATTCAACACTTGGAACAAGCGTAAGTGCTCCGACTAGTCCACCTCCATCTTATCATTCGTGTAGGTTCTCCCGACGTCGTTGCTGGCGCCTGCTTCCCCTGAGGCTTCCACTTCCGACTCTCCGGCAGAGCCACCGACCGGCGGCTGTTGACCTTTGAATGCCGCAGCACGCCCAGGTCCTCCTCGTTGATCCAGTTTCTTGTCGGCGAGCAGTCCACCTCGAGCAGACGAGGCAAATGACGGTCGTTCTTTCTCGCTGTAAGTGCGGCCAGCACCGCCTAGAAAAGCAGAAGCACCCGCTGCACGACCTCCTGCTCCTGCTGACGAAGTAAATAAACCGGCGTCCTCGTTGTTCGCTGGCGGCAGCTGCCTCGGCTTGTTACTGCTGTACTTTCGCAAATCCAGCGTCAGCACACCGCTGCAGTCATTCAGCTTATCTTTGTACACGCCCACAAGACCCTCGCTCTTGGAGAAAAACTTGTCCTTCAGGGAAATCACGATGATCTGGCTGTTGTTGTTTTTCCCGATTTGATGTGAAGATGGAGCTTTTGAGGAGGAAGTCGAGGTTTTCGCCAAGAAGCGCCGCACCGACTGCACATTGTAAGCGTCGAGTGCGGCGTCGACTTCGTCCAGAATCAGGAACGGAGGTTTTTGGTAGGAATGCACCGCGAAGAGCAGCGCCAGGGCCGCCAGCGTTTTTTCCCCGCCCGAGAGCAAGGACATGTCGCGAAACCGCTTCGACGGCGCCATGGTGGTGTACTTGATGCCGCCCTCAAACGGCCACTATCAACTGCAAACATGTGTGCCCACCCAGGTCTGGAGAAATAACGCATCAACGACTACTTGTGCTTGTCATGCTGCGTCGGTCTTGCATGAGATGGACGTGTTTTGTAGGCTACAGGAACGCGTCACAAGTTCAGATCTTAACGACGACATCGACATGCAAATCTTGCATCACATCAGATCCAGACCCAGGACGAGCCTGCCTATTTGCACTGCATACCCACTCCGGGTTTTCCAAGTCCAAAAATGCCCTGCCGCCTTCGTCGATAATTTGGTTGCGGGTGCGCTTTTTGGAAAACTGGCGTTGGTGCGACAATGATTTTCTGTCTTGCAGCAAGCCGGATCGGTTTGCAGCTTTATCGTCAGGATCCATTTGTTCATCAGCATGTTGTATCCTGTGCAAAAGTATCGTACTCGTACTAATTGCATTTATGCATTACAAATCTAGTTCCCAGGGCAAATCCGCATTACAAATTCAATTTGTAATGCTGAGCCAATTTGTATTGCAATTTATACTAGTACGTTACTTTTGCAATTCACATGTTGATCTACATCCTCTTCCTCGTACGTTGCCGTCAGGTCCTATCCCCTGAAAATTATCCATCCCCATCCAATTTGTCATGCAAAACATGTAGTAAATTCAGTGTTTGTCATGCAGAGAGTGGATGGGGAAGGTTAATTTTCAGGGAATAGGTCCGCATAGATGTCGTTGATACTCAAACACACGTTTTCGAAGCACTTTACGAAGCACTGCTTTCGCTTTTCTTTCAGCTGGGTGATCCGACCTTCCAACTGCGCCGTCCTTGTCCGCATTTCCTCGGCTTGCTTCGTCTTTTCCTTGACATCCAGCTCCACCTCATTCGCCCGCTGCGCCGCCTTCAGGTTCGGCCGCAAACCGTATGAGAGTGCACAACTCCCCCTCCCCCTCATTTGTATTGCATTTTGCATGAACAGCAATACAAGCACCAGCATACGTGGTGCCTGTGCATGACAAATTCATGCGCCTAGTGTAGTACTGTTTGGGCTTCCGGAATCTCTCATGCAAACAGTGCCACAGGGAACGGGGAGCGAAGCAATTGTGGTTTGAGGTTTTGCATGACAAATGAGGGGGAGGGGGACGAGTTCTGCACTCTCATAAACCGTCGAGCTCCTGCTTGATTTTTTCTAACTCTTGCTCGTACTCGGCGGTCTGTTCGCGGATGGTGTCAAGGTCGGTAAGATTCTTCCGGTCGTCGGGAAGCGCCTGAAAATCGATTTCCAGGTCGTTGACGGTAAGATTTTTCGTGGACCCGGCGGACGACTGGATTTGTGGGAAGTTTTGCTGTACTGCTGGTCTAGAAGAACTGCTACTTCCTCCTGCAGCCGCACTGGAGGATGACGAAGAACTGCTTATCCTGTGTAAAAACGTCCCCACACCATAGTTGTCATGCAACTCTGCATGCTTAAAATGTTTCTCATACGGAGCCCCATGAGACTCATTTTCTAATGCGGTTTGTAAATCTGTAATGCGCCAATCAGCATGAGACGCTAGATCTGTAATGCTGCTTAGCTAGCTCAAACAGCACTACACTACGCGTCCAAATTTGTCATGCGAAACGGCCAAAGCTTATGGATTTGTCTAGCGGATTTCCCATCTTGACTCTGGTGTGGGGACATTTTTACTCAGGATACTGCTGGCTCCAGGACCAGCCCGCCCGTTCTGTTGTGCGCCGCCGGACGAGGTTAGATTGTTGTCATTCAGCTCCAAAACAATCGCCTCGACCTGTTTCGCGGAAAGCGAAATGCTGTTCTGCTGCTGCTGCTGGTCCTCTTCCGAGGACTCCGGCGGCAGAAGGAGGTTCTTTTTGTTTTGCTTTTTCTTGTGCTTCTGCTGCGGATTTGGATTTGGATTTTGACCTCCGATTATAGCAGGACCTGCAACATGTTGGCCACCGGTCGTACCAACTATCTGCAACACCGGAATTTGCACCGCGTCCATTAGCGCGTGACGCCACAAATCGCTGCGCCAACCTGATAGACAGTGAAGATTATAGGGCCAGTAGAAATAAAACACTACATACTAGATGGCAAAATCAGCCACAGAAATAGAAATTGAGATAACCTTATACCAACAACACATCTGCTATTGTAAAAAAGCTCTGAGACCACTACAGCAGACGAGGACACAGAGTCAACTAATACCTTGCAGCGATTCCACTTTGCCCTTGCAACCGTCTAGCTTCTTCCCCGCTTCTGCGCTGGCTTTTCGCTTTTCTATCAACTGTCTCTTCTGCTCGGTCAGCTCTATCCAGAGAAAAAAAATATCCATCTTCCCAATACATCTTTTGCGTGATTTGATAGTAGAAGACAGGTGACTACAAGCGCAGGCTGTAGACGTTCATGTTGTATTTTGCGTGACAAATAATTCATTGGATGAGGATGGGCGTAGTTCGTTCTCTGGCGATAAACTCCTGCTCTTTGTTAGTCTTTTCCTCTTTCAGCTCGCCAATTTTGGCTTTCGCCGTTTCCTTTTTCTGGCAAAATTCATCGTGCTCCTTGTCCAACTTTTCCAGTTCGGCGGTCAGTTTTTGGAGTTTCTCCTTTTCTATCCTCTCCAAAAGCATCGTACTGATTTCTGTTTTGCTAGTAGAAGTTTTTGCAATCTCAATCATGCATGGCAGGTATCTGCTCCTACCCTTCTTGAGCATGACAACCTCCATTCCTTCTCCTGTGAAAAGTTGTAATCTAATGCATATAACTGCTTAGTACGATGCTTTATTTACCATGCGTATCCTCTTCCACGATCACATTTTGCTGCTGTTTCAAAGAATTCGCGGAATACCGACCTCCGCCGAAGTTTGCCATGCCGCGGGAAATGACAGAGCTGGAGTTCATCCTGGCATTTGCATTTATGCAAAGAAAAAAGTGTTACAGTTACACATTGTGTTGCACGACCGGCAACACAGACAACCTTTGTCATGCAGGAAATGCTTTGGAGACTCGTTTCCTTCGTGTTTTCCCTTATGATCTTTGCATTGCAAGTTTTCTCTGCCACACAGAGAAAATTTGTGATGCAGATACTCCAACAAATGTGTAACTGTAAGTAACACTTTTTTCTCGTGATAGCATTAGTGCTCCCTTTATTGTTGCCGTCACTCACGCTTGCCTGGAGCAACTCCAGCTGCGATTCCAGGTTCTCAATGTCGGTTTGCATATTGCCTGAAAATTAACCATCCCCATCCAATTTGTCATGCAAAACACGTAGTCAGTTCTGTGTTTGTGATGTAGAAAATGGATGGGGATGGTTGATTTTCACGGAATATTGCAGCCTCGTCTCCTCCATACGCAGCTTTTCCCGCGCCCGTTTCTGCTGCAAATCCAGTGCACGTATGTCTCTTATCGGGGACGGCGGATTTGAATTTTTTGAAGAAGAAGATGATGCACCACCACGACCGTGCTGGGTGTTTTTGCTTGATGCTGCTCCGGGCGGGGGAATGTTCTCCTTGTCTAGCTCTTCGACGGGTACCATTTCCACGTCCTGATCCTCGTTTGGGTTTGGACTGTGAACCTGTAATCCGAATAAATAATCGCCGTCACCTCCAATTATTTCGCCGTCGTCGACAAAAATTTCGTCGTTCAGCTCTTTGAAGAACGACCCCACGATGCCCTGGATTTCTTTCTCGATCTTCACCTGTTTCGTCTCGTTTTCTTTGATGTCAGTTTCCTTTTCTTTCTTCTCTTTCTCGCACTTGTCCAGCTGCGGCCGCAAGACGGAATCCCTTTCTTTTTTCTTTCGTTTCAGATCTTCCTCCGAGCGGTTCAACCGCATCGTCTGCTCGGTTATGCGGTTCTGCAGCCTCTGCAAATCCGATTCCAGTGCTGTTTTCTCCCGTTGTCCGGCAGATTATGCATTGCACAAGTATCGTACTAGGTAGTAGTAGGCAATGCAAGTCTACTACTTTAAGCTCGAAAAAATATCGCCCCAACTTGTTCTGGTGCTGCTTGCAAAATGAGCGCAAAAATCCAAAAAGCCGCCTGCTCCCCACGGGTGAGGAGCGATTCCTAGGCGGCAGAACGGCTGAGACAAAAACAAAAAATCGCGCAACTTTTGAAAATTGGCCAGCGTCTGCTGTTTAAGAAATAACCGCAAAAACCGAAAAAACCGCCGGCCCACGGGTGAGGAGCGATTCCAAGGCGGCAGACCGGCAGAGGCAAATGAAAAAAAACTTGCAATTTTCGCAAATTAGCCAGCGTCTGTTGTTTGAAAAATGACCGCAAAAATCGAAAAAAACGCCGGCCCACCGGTGAGGAGCGATTCCAAGGCGGCAGAACGGCAGAGGCAAATGAAAAAAAACTTGCAATTTGCGAAAATTGGCCAGCGTCAACTGTTTGAAAAATGGCCGCAAAAACCAAAAAAACCGCCGGCCCACGGGGGAGGAGCGATTCCTAGGCGGCAGAAGCAGAACGGCTGAGGCAAAGACAGAAATAAAGTCCTAGCATGAAAAATGGAGCTTGTCGTAATGCGGGTCTTCCCTAAGAGAGGGATTTGCACTGCATGACTGCAATTACAACTACGAATACGATACATTTGCAGAGCATACCAATTCCAAATTGACGATTTGTAAAACGTTTTTGTCGATCTGCTCCAGCCGGGAAGAAGCGTGTTGGAGTTGCTGGATGTCAAACTTTATCAAATGCAAAAGTGTCTGGGTCTGGAACAAAGCAACTTGTCATGCTAAATCTGAATCATGTAAAAATCTGTGTTGCATGATTGCCAGAAGCTGCCCACTTTTGACCTAATCGAGAGGCAGTGTCTCATGCAGGATAGGCATGATAGAGCTAACACAGAATCTGTCATGCTAGTCCTACATACCAGACCTCATGGGTCAGGGAAAACCTGCATGACAAGTCTGGCATTCTTCCAGACCCAGACATTTTTGCATTTGATAAACTTCGTGCCGCCCTCCTGCGTGGCGTCGGAATTCACCGTCATGTTTCCGTTCGGTTTGATCATCTCACCATGCAGCTATCCTGAGTGAAAACGTACCCACACCATAGTTGTCATGCAAATCTGCATGCTTAAAATGTTTGCCATGCGGAGCCCCATGAGAAGCATTGTCTAATGGTGTTTTGAAATTTGTCATGCTCCAATCAGCATGAGAGACTAGATCTGTAATGCTGCTGAACTAGCTCAAACAGCACTACACTACGCGTCCAAATTTGTCATGCGAAACAAGCAAAGTTGGCCGATATGTCTAGCAGATTTTCCATCTTGACTCTGGTGTGGCTACGTTTTTACTCAGGATAGCAGCGTGACGATCTTCAGGCCGTGGTCCCTGCGTTTCAACACCTTCGGCAATTGCTCGTACGCAACCTTCCGCGCGACTTCCAAATTTTCAACAATGATCGTGTTGGAGAGCATATGGAAAGAAAAAAGTTCGTCACATCGCCCCTACGTTGCAGGCTTTGCATCACAAATTTTCTAGCGTCGCAGCTTTCTACTTGTATTGCAGAAACAAGAGAAATCGCGTATGAAATTCGACTGCTGTGCATTTCCACGCATTACAGACAGTTTTGTATTGCAAGAATGCGCATGAGGGATCGTGACGAACTTTTCTTGTTCGATAGAGCAAATAATTGAACGCGGTCTGGAACGTGCTCCGACCAGCTCCGTTTGGACCTAGGGCAGACGAGCTGCTGTATGCATTGCAAAAGTATCGTACTCGTAGAAATGCATTACAAATTTTCTCAGACTCTGACTCAGCATGAGTAGAAATAAAATTTGTAATGCGGATTTACATTACGAAAAGGATTTGTAATGCATGATTGCAATTTACTACGAGTACGATACTTTTGCACAGCATATGCTGCCGCCTGGCACAACTTTGTATCCCCCTCCGATGGAGAGAATTTGCAGCGCGGGGACGACGTGCTTCTTCAAAAATGGGTCATCCTGCGTAAAAATGTCCATCCCCTATAGTCAAGATGGGAAATCGGCTAGACAAATCCACAAGTTTTGGCGCTGGTGCATGACAAGATTCGGGACGTACTATAGTCCTGCCTAGGTAGCCCGGACGCATCACAAATCCGCTCTATTATCGCGATTCCCGCATGACAAATTGCCAAACTACACAGTTTGTGGAAAATGCCCGCCATGCGGGCCCGCATGACAGATGTTCTGAGCAAGCAGATTTGCATGACAACTCTGGGGTGGGGACGTTTTTCCTCACAATATGGGTCCTGCATGATTCGCGGGTCGAGCAGCGAGGCGTTGTCGCCCTTGTAGCCCCGCAGGTCCTATCCTGTGCAAAAGTATCGTACTCGTACTGCAATCATGCATTACAAATCTTTTTCTTAAGGTAAATCAGCAACACAAATTTCTCATGCCGAGAAAATTTGTAATGCATTTATAAGAGTACGATACTTTTGCAATGCATAAGTCTTCCTTCCGGAGAGGGATAAACGTCATGGGCTCGAGGTGCTTTGCCTTCAAAAACATCACGCACTTCTTGCAGGTCGTGGCGGTATCGCACAAAATCGCGTCGAGGTAAAAGCCAATCGCCACATTCAAGGCAACCCGGTATTTCTTGTTCGTAGGCTTGCACAAGTCGCAAATCCGGCCGAAAACTCCGGGAATGGTTTGCGTCATGTTCTATGAGAGTGCACAACTCGTCCCCCTCGTTCTCATCTCTCTTGTATGAAATCGCAAGTACTCGTCCAGTAGTTCTTGCCATATAAATGAGAGGGAGGGCCGCGGGTTGGAGTTGTGCTCTTTCATATCTCCTTGCTGACGTTGAAAAGGCGCTGCTCACGCTCCAGTTGCCGTTGAGAAATCGTGCCGGACTGAACTCCGTCGAGAATGGTGCGCTGATAAAGGTTTTTTCAACGGAAATAAAATGCTCTATTTGGTGGTCATGCGCCGCAACCAGAACTGCTATTAGAAGTTGGTGGGCTGTGGTTGTAACATTTTGCAATATCATGCACTGGTAGACAGGTGGCTGCACGTTCGTTCTCAACCGATTATACCTTTTGGAAAAGTCATGTACTACTAGTAAAAAGCATGTGTTGTAGAAGACAACACCACTTCCAAGTCTATTTGATAGTACCTTCTCTTCATTCAGTGTGCGTTTTTCCTTTGCCCACTTCTCTTCCAGATTTTGTCTCACCGCCGATAGCTCCGTTTTCTTCTGCGCACTGCTTGCTTTCAGGTTCTCCAAGACCTCCATTTGTGACTCCACCTGCTCTGCGAACTGCACGATCTGGCTCTCGTTTGTCGTGAGCCGAGTATCGACAGGAAATATCTTCGTCCCGCACACGAAGTACAAATGCGTTTTCCGCATGACAAGGTTTTGCTTTTCCTGGAAGCCTCTTCAGCATGACAAGTTGCTTGTTCTAAGAAAGAAGTTGTTGAGATTGGTGACGCATTTTGTTTTGTACATGTACAACGGGAAATAAAATTTGTATTGCATACCGAGATTTTAGATTCGCCAAATCGGCTTGCTTGCGCTGCAAGTGGTGCTGCTCGGAGGAGAGCTGGTACTCCAAATCTCGTATCCACTGCAAAAGTATCGTATTTAATCGTAGTAATCGCACTCATGCATTACAAATTTTTTTGTTAACGGTAAATCCGCATTACAAATTGAATTGCCAATGCTGAGAGAATTTGTCATGCGATTTCTACTAATAGATACGATAGCTTTTGTTTGCAATCCATATCTCGCTGCTCGTCAATCATGGCTAGCGGGATGGAAGACTCCGAATTTTTCATATGGGAGTGTCAGGATCGAAATGGACAAAATCGAAAAACTTGTGATGCTTAAAATGTAGGGCACGCGCGGCCTGTATTGGGGAGCAGGCAAATGAGGCCGATTCTTGTAAGCCTGTTTAGGGGTATGCAATGCGCTGCCAGAGTAGCATAACAGGAGCAGTCTTCTTTGTACAAACAGCATGACAGGCTGAATTTTGGTGCTCCCGAAATTTGTCATGCGCGACTTAGAAACTGCGTTCGAACTGGAATCCATTTTATGCATGACAAATTATTTCGATTTTGTCATTTCGATTCTGGCACCTCCATATTTCACTGCCTGTTTGTATCGGTGTTCTTGCTCCGTGGACTTGAAAGGAAGTTTGCAGCTTTCGATTTTCCGCTGAACCTTCTCCAGATGCTTTATGGATTGCAAAAGTGTCTGGGTCTGGAAGATTGCAGCTTGTGATGCTGTCTTTGGATTCTAGTTCTACATGAAATCTGTATTGCATGAACTGCAAAAGTGGTCCAGTTTTCGCTACGCGGAGAGGGAATTTCTCATGCCGTATGGGCATCAGGAAGCATTTACAAAATCTGTGATGCTAGAGCATGCATCAGAGGAAGCATGGGTCATGCAAAACATGCATGACAGACGTTGCATTTTTCCAGACCCAGACATTTTTGCAGTTGATATGCTTCTGCAAACTTCCGATATCCTGCTTCTTGTGGTCGCACTGCTTTTCGATCTCGTTTTTCTTCTTCTCGCAATGCTCTAACTGCTGCTTGCGGTCTTGCAGCTGCCGCTCTAGTTGCCCTTTCTCCGTCCGGAGTTTCTTGTGATTCTCGGTTAGGAACTATGCAATACAAATAATTTCCCGCCCACGTTCATCTACAAAATGCATTTTTTACAACATCGCCCACTACTTAGTAGAGAAGCATGCCATTTGTCACACTGAAGGGGATTGAAAATGAAAATTCTTGACATGCAGCCGACGCATCTCCATGCCGTGTACGGGAAAAATAAATTCTTTATGGATATCAACAGGTCGGAAAACGCTGCTGCACTCGCCTGGTCGTTTGCCCCCGTGGTTCCGAAAAGATGGCCGTGCGCCGGCACGCCCGCACTTGTCTTCGTCAGCTTTTGAATCTGCAGGCTTAGTTGGTTCACTTGCTCTTCCTTCTGTTTGCAGGATTTCAGTTCTTCCTTGTACGCACTCTCCGCTTCCTTTTTCGTGGCTTTCAGCTCTCCAAACTTTTGCTTTTCCTTGGTTAGTATGCGATGCAAAAATACTATCGTATTCGTATAAATGCATTACAAATTTCTCAGCATGAGAAATGAAATCTGTAATGCTGATTTACCTTAAGAAAAAGATTTGTAATGCATGATTGCAATATGAGTACGATATTTTTGCACAGGATAATTAGAGAGACCTCGATCGTGTTCATCCTGTAGAGGTAAAATTCTTTATCAACTGTAAAAATGTCTGGGTCTGGAAGAATGCAACTTGTGATGCTGTGTTTCGATGTCTAAAAAATTTGTGTTGCATGAGCAGCAAAAGGAATCTAATTTTTGCTACGCGGAGAGGGCATTTGTCATGCGGAATGGGCATCAAGAATCCCTCAAAAAACCTGTGATGCTAGGGCATACATTACAGGCATCATGGGTCATGAGAACTATGCATGACAAATCTTGCATTCTTCCAGACCCAGACATTTTTACAATCCATATTCTTTCAACAACAACGATCTTTCCTCGTTTAATTGCCGGTACTTTTCCGCCTCCTGCTTTTGAAACTCGACCTGTTTCTTCTCCGTGATCACTTGTCGCTTCTTATCACAGCCAAAAGTGTTAACGTTAACGAAATTTGTGATGCAGTAAATCATCACAAAACGTGCCCATGTTTGTCATGCATAGCATGCATACTAGGCAAAACCTGTCATGCATATCTGCAACCTATGAAAACCGTTAACGTTAACACTTTTTTGTTGGATACTTCTTGCTGAAGAGCAGCCGGAGCTTTTCCTCCGAGTTTTTCTTTTCCTTCTCCAGCGCTTCACATTCCTTCTGGTACAGGTCCGACCCGCATATTCGCTCGAAGAACCGCGTCAGCTCCATGCCCTGCCGGTTGGCCAGGGATTCGACGTCCCCTTGGAAGACCAGGAAGCTTTATCCTGAGCAAAAAGGTCCCCGCCCTCTAGTCAAGATGGGAAATCTGCTAGACAAATCAGTCAGCTTTGGTTGTTGCGCATGCCAAGTCTGACCTCGTAGCGTGATCCTTTTTAGCGTCTTGTTCAGCAGCATCACAGATCTGGTCTATCACGCTGATTGGAGCATTACAAATTATTCCAAAATACGGCCAGAAAATTCTTGTCGTGGTGTTCCGGCGCATGAGCAACGTTCTGAGCATGCAGATTTGCATTACAACCGTGGAACGGGGACGTTTTTCCACAGGATAAGTTTCTCGCCTTCGTCAGGATTTTGATCTTCTCCAAAACTTTCTGGTAAAATTCCGTCGTGACCTATCCCGTGCAAAAGTTTCGCACTCGTATAAATGCAAGTCTTGCAAATTTTTTTCTTATCGTAAATCCGCATTACAAATTTTATTTCTCATGCGGAGGAAACTTGTAATGCATTTATACGAGTACGATAATTTTGCAATTCATATGACCGGCTTTTTGTTGATTTTGTAGGTTGAATCCCCCGTCCGACCGTTGATGTAGCGCCCGAACAGGAGGGGGTGGTAGGATCGAGTGAGAGTAGACGAAGATGAGGTAGTCTGCTGCTGCATATTAAGTGGCTGCGGTGCTGAGGAAGATGAGGAGGAAGAACTACCCGCCGCTACGCCCGGCCCGGCTGCAACTGGATTCGACCCCGCGAGGACCAACTCCCCACTTGACGACGAGGAGTTCGTCGCGTAACTGTTTTCCGCAAGCACGATCCCGGCTCGCTGCAGCATTTGGTGGAGCTTCTCCGAACGGGTGAGCCGGATTTTGTGGTTTTTCTTCCCGGATCTACTGGCGCCGGCGCGGCGATTTTTTGTACTTGATTGATTCATTCCCTGCTTGGTCATTTTGTTCCCCCGTTTCGATGGACCACCTCCAGGAGTCTTTTGGTCGAAGTTAGCGAGATCGTTGATGTTCTCTTCGTCCTCCCCAAAAACCTCATCCTCAAGGTCTAAATCGTTCAGCTGCAAGTTGTTGTTCCGCCCGCGTTTCAGGTTTTTCTTCTTGCCAGTCGTGGTTAGTGCTTTTTTGTTTCTCGTCAGTTTTCCGTCCTTGTTCCTCCCTGCACTCTTCTGGAGGTTCTCGTTTTGGTTTTTCATATCAGCATCAGTATTGTAGTCCTCCTCTTCATCCTCGCTGTTGTAGTCGTCTCCTTCTGATGAGGAAGAATCGTCAAACTCACTTTCCTCGTCGAAGTCTCCTAGTAATCCTGCTTGATGGTCAACTACATCAGTTGGATTTATCCCGCGATCCTTCTTCCCATCCAGCCAGAACTCCAGCTCCACACTCCCCTCCCGACCGTCTACCACTATCAAATGTAAAAATGTCTGGGTCTGGAAAAAAGAAGTGTTTGTCATGCATATTTAGCACGACCCCTGATGTCTCTGATGCATGCCCTAGCATCCCAGATTTGTTGCGGGCTTTGCGATGCCTGTCCAGCATGAGAAATACCCTCTCCGCGTAACAAAAAATGGACCTCTTTTGCTGGTCACGCAATACAGATTCTGTGTAGAATCCAAGGACAGCATCACAAGTTGCAACCTTCCAGAGGACCCAGACATTTTTGCATTTCATAACCACATCTGCGGGCTCATTTGGCTTCCGGTGCACCAGGTCCTTCAGCGAGTTTCCCCGCAAGTCCTTCGCCTGGATCCCGAGCACGAAGCCGAACGCATCCACCAAGTTGGATTTCCCGGACCCGTTGGGGCCAATCACACAGGTGAAGTCCAGGAAGGGGCCGATGTTGGTGGGCTTTTCGTAGGACTTGAAATTCGCCAACTTCAGCTGGTGGACGCGGCCGGACATGGTTTTTTTTTTTTGTGCTTTGATCAAAAAAATAAAAATTTGCTCTTTGTCAAGTATAATTTTGGTTCATGGTATACTGTACCTACTTGGTTTTGACACGCGCTAAAGAAAATTGCTAGTGTTTTTCAACGAATTTTTGAGCACACGATTTTTTCGGTCAGCTTCTCGTTGCTGAAAAGCAAAAAATACTTTCGTGTTTTAACAACTTCTCGCTCGGTGTCGACCTCTTTTTAACCTCAAGGTTGCATCTGTACAACCACTTTCACACGCGTTTTTGCTTTGCTGTTGCTCGCTGATGTCCGCCTACTTTTATTCGTTCATCTCAATGAAAATAGCCATAGAAGCCGTAGCCAAACTAGTACTAGCTCAAGAACATCAACTTCAACCCACACATGGAAGATGAAGTGGCCTTCTTCACCTGCCCATGATTACACAGTGCAATCACGACAGCATTCGACAACTTTGCGTTTGGAAAAGTAAGTGAATGCACCTGCACAGCTTTGCGCACAACTTCTTATCATAATGCTGTGGTGTCGAAGTTGTCCCTCCTGTAGTCCATCTCATGATGTAACTGTATTCACACAACACCAGTTGTCTTGGAATTCACAGAATACAGAGACTGGCAAGAAATTCGCAGTTAGATGGTATTCGTCAAGTCGTGGCAGCTCAAGACTGCCCCGCACTGAAAACTCCCGAGCTACGCGCTGTTGTGTGGAGATTCTCAAGCTGTATGATGCACAACACGGGGCGAAATTTGCATGGTCAGCAACTACGAGCCGCCGTTTCATAGCGCCTGAAGTGCGGGTGAAGCAGACGGGTCATGCTGTTGATGCGGCGTCAATCTACTTTTTACCCTTGAGCTGAATGGATATGAAGTCTTGTTCGACCGGTAAACTATTAATTATTCTATGTTCGTCTACTAGGACTTCTTGTCACGTCTTCTTCTTCTGAAAACATAGAACTTGCACATCCCCGCCGGATTGCTTGTATCAACGGAAAGACATCAACCCCTCCCCCTGTTGGCGAGCGGCCAAGGCAACAATGCGACAGCATCATGAGCAGCAGGCGTTTAATTAGAAAAACGCATAGAGATAGAGCACCGTCATGCGTGTGCCACACAATGCATTCCAAGGACTGGAGTCAACGGACAAGCATGCGCATGGCTTATGTTGCCGAGGCTATTCTTGTATGAGCTTTTGTTTTTCGATTTTTGCATGCATCTTATAGTGCAACTTTCGATCGCACCTGGCCCTCTCATCTCCGGGGGATGTTGAATTTTGCACGAGTCGATAGATGCCGCTTTCCCGATAGAACTCGAAATCCCGACTAAACGTGGCATTGATATATTCCAGGTCCTATCAACTGCAAAAGTATTGCACTCATACATCAACATAAAAATCGCAGTATCGCATTACAGACTGGATGGCTACCTTACCCAAAACTATGGTACAAAAGCCAGAGCCAGTTTCACTCTGATAAAAGATTGCCAACGTGCAATTTTATTTGCGTGGAAGTGCGATGGATTTGCGCTAGATAGGTCCTTCCTATGCCGCACGTGCTGCCGCTCCAATCTGGGTAGGTTATCTGTGTCCTTGGTCTCGGCGTGCTTGAAGATGATGACAAACTGCTTGATATCACAGGAAAAAGTGTTAGTGTTAACGTTAACGATAATATCATATTAGTGATGCAGTAATGCATTGCAAAACAAGGCGAAGCGCAAATTTGTCATGCATAGCATGCATTCTAGGCAAAGTTTGTCATGCGTATTTGCAATCAATCTAATAACTATAAGGGGAAGGCTTGGCAAAATTGCTGCTGAACCTTCAGAAGCTTTTTCTTCTGAAGGTCTTCTGAAGGTCCAAAATCATCACTGGAACCTTCAGAAGAAATGGAAAAAGCCTCTTTTTTTTGAGCGAGCATACCATCGGTTTAACCGTGAGCATTTTTTTCTTCTGAAGGTCACACCTTCTGTAGGTTTTTTTTGAGCTTCAGAAGAAAAAAACGAAAAATCAGCCAAAAAACCTTCTGAAGGCTAAAAGTGACCGCTTTCCAACTCTTCAGAAGGTTAAAAAGCTTCAGAAGACGGCATTTTTTTGACCTTCAGAAGAGTTTGCGACTTTTGCGACAAAAAAACGCTGTCAAGTATGCCAGTTTTGTCCAACCTCCAGAAGGTTGAAAACCTTCAGAAGGTTTTTCAAATCTGTCTCCAGTTCTGCAATTTTCTGTGCTCCGTTTTTGAACTTCTTCAGAAGGTTTGATCTTCTGAAGACTGTCTTCTGTAGATTCTTCTGAAGAGTGAAAACCTTCTATAGGGTTTGGAGCCGATGACAAAAAACGACAAACATGCGACTTTTGCATCAAAAAACGACTTTTGCATAAAAAAAAGCCGACGGCGCCTGCGGCTCCATTCTGTGTCGAGGCCTGTGCTGCTTTTTGCCTCTGGAAAGCAGTTTCTTCGGCCGTGGTGAATGCCCTGCCCTGGAGACGTCGGCCTTTTTTATCTTAATCTTTTTTGGTTCTTTTTGGCATTTGGGTACTACCTCGAGTGGTCAGTGAGCCCGGCCGCGGACGGCGTCGCCTATGACTACCTGTTGCCTGTTTTCACTGACCAAGCAGAAAGCGCCTGCAATGCACGCAATAATTCCAAATTTGGGCCAGCAGCAATTCAAATCAGCCTTGCCCCACGACGCAGTCGTGGGGAGTGGTTCTTACTTACTATGAAAACCGTTAACAATGTACACTTTTTTGTTTGATACTTGGCGGAGTTGAAGAGCTCGGCCATGTAGCTGTCGTATATGACGTCTTCTACCAGATGATAGACCACGTCCATTGAAATAGTGATGTCAAAAGAAGGCGGGACTCCTTGTACTTCTTCTCTTCTGCGTTCATAATCGTCGTGCAGTTTGTCTTCTGTGTCTACCACGTCGACTTCTTCCCTGTGTGTGGTTATCTTTCTTCGTTTCCACTCCGAGTCGTGAAGGATCTCCAAACGATTTTCCTTCGCTGCTCTCTTCAACCGGTTCAGGGACGTAGCTTGTTCCTCTTCTGGCGCGGAGGAGCCGGGGGTGCTGGTGGTAGGAGTTGTTGCGGCTGGTCGCTCGGCCGTAAGAGACGTCGAGACGGCGGCAGCAGTAACTCTTGTTGCACTACCACCTCCTATCCCACCCGGCCACAGCTCCCGTTTCAGCTTCTTCACGACAAACTCGCTCACGTCCACACCGACATATTTTTCCAACCAGGAGGTGTAATTGGCTTGGTTCAGCTGGCATCCTGTGCAAAAATATCGCACTGGCACTAGGACGAGGAATCGCATGAGAAATTCCTTCACTACGACAAATGGAATCAGCAACGCGGAGGCGAATTTCGATTTGCATGATTGCCACGAACTACAAAGCAGGGGTATGATACTTTTGCAATGCATAGCTGGTTGCCATCCCCCACGCCAAGCTCCAGCACTCTCTTGATCGTTCTGGCGTTTCCCCCTCTAGTGTTCTCCTCCTGCATGCCGGCAGATTCGGTGCCCTTGCTGTGCTCCTCAAAAAACGAATTCAAAAACCCCGCTTTAAATTCCGCATCCTTCCCGTAGCTACCTTTCCCGGAATCCCCACCAGAGACGTACCGCGATTCCCAATACCGCCTGCTATACTCTGTCTTCCAGTTTTTCTCTTTCAGTGGTTGGTTCTCAAAAACGAGCAGAGACGGCAGAGACGTCGAGCGCAGCGACTGCGTGTAGAATAAGGATATCGGCGATAGGTGGTGCTGCAGCACCCAGCAGTCCCCCTCGGTGGAGGTTGTCCCGGGACAGACGTCGCCGTGCTTGACCGCGTCTTTGACGGCTTCAACCACCTTTATGAAAGCCTCAGGTTGAATAAAATCCCCACAGTGGAAATAATTTGTGATGCAAAAAAACGACTCCAGTTGAAGCGGCGTTTGTCTTCGGCGCATGACAAATTTCCCCGGCACTTAAAGCATGTCTGTCATGCAGGTGTTGGCAAAGGAGTGCCCTTCTCTCCTGCTAAGCAGCTCTCCAATTCTTCACCCCTAGTAGGAAAATAGTCGGCCTCCATTGCGTCCCCTGCAATTACAGTCTTCTTTGCGTCGCATTGCATGCATCACAAATTATTTCCACTTTCAGGATTTCCATACTGAGGCTTTCATAACCTTCCCGACATACTCGTTGTAATTCTTCGGCGAGTAAAGCTCGTGGATGGTTTTGTTGAAGAGATGTTGCTATCCCGTGCAGAAGTTGTATCGTACTCGTACTAAAACCAATAATTGCGTTTATGCATTACAAGTCATTTTCTTAAGGCAAATCCGCATTACAAACTTCATTTTTAATGCGAAGTCAATTTGTAATGCAATTTCCACTAGTACGATATTTTTGCAATACATAGTTGCAACTCCTGCTTCCTCTTTATCGTCGTTTCGTACAGCAGCCAGTCCCGGCCGTAGAAAGAATTATCCTGAGTAAAAACGTCCCCACACCAGAGCTGTAATGCAGATTTGCAAAGACAGGAAGACTTGTAATGCGCACCCCTATGAGAGCCAATTACAGTCGTGCTTTGGAATTTGTGATGCTGTGAACAGGATGAGCAGATGAATCTGTGATGCGACTGCACTTGCTAACCTGCACTACACTGCGGAGTGCAACTTGTCATGCGTGACTCACAAAACTCCTAGGTTTGTGTTGCGAAATCCCCATCCTGACTCTGGTGTGGGGACGTTTTTACTCAGGATAAGAATCGTAGAAAAAAACGTACCGCTCCGCCGTTTTCTGGAAGAGATTCGCGACATAGAGAGGGAGAAGCTGAAGCGGGGCCCCCTGCTGTTGTTGCTTACGATCTGTTTGCTGAGAAGATGGTTTGAAGTCTTCTATCTTTGTCAGTGCACTTCTGGTCGTGGTAGTTTTTGATGATGACGACGTTGTTGACGGAACAGTTTTTACAGTCGGCATTTCAGCAACAGCTTGCTCTCTCTGTGCTGTCTCCTCCAGCAACCCGCGGACTTGTGCGAAATCCTCGAGCAAGGTCGGTCCTGCTCTTGCTGAAGGTGATTCTGTTCTTTCTGTTTGTCTTCCCGCAGGTGAAGACTTTTCCCGCTCAAAGCCGAGGCTCTCCACCTTCTCGTACTTGTCCAAAAGGAACAGAAAAAACCCAACATCCACTGCTGTTGCAAAATCTCGTCGTCGTTGATAATTTTTCAGGGTTGCCTCAGCGTCCCTTGTCGACTGTCTTTCTCCGGTATTGATGTTCTCTCCTTGCGTTGTAGTTGTGCGTGGGCTCTGAACACGCGTAAATTGGAAAACGATCTTCCGTCTTGCGACATTAGATCCTGACGCAGGAGCAACAGCTCCTGCAGGAGCAGCACGGCTACTGCTAGTTGTCGTGCCAGTTACAGGAACTTCTACCACTTTCATCTCCAATCTGTCTTGCAGCCATGTGCTCCCGAACCCCGTCATCAATTGCTCTCGTCGCTGGATTCGAAAGCTCCACCCCATCCAATTCGAGTTCTTGTCGGTGACGGCAATCCGTTCCTTGCTGGTATTGCCATTCAGCGCTGTTTTGTCGTACTCGGATTCCCAACCGACGTATCAAAAGGAAAAATCCCCCCTCCCCATATCGAAATGCAATTCTGTGATGCGGGATATGTGTACACAAATCGGCTTTGTCTTGCAGTACAAGACCACAACCAGGCACAAAGCCGGAGTAGGGGCGTTCTGGTGTAGGCGCCTTGCAAGGGAGGCATGTCCTCCGTAGGCCATACAGCATTACAAGTGACCTGCAGAATGCGGCGGAGTTTTTGGATTTGCCTTCTTGCAATACAGGGCCGATTTGTAGTCTCAAATCGGCAACACAAATTTTCAGAAGTATCCCGCTTTGATATGGGACGGGGGGATTTTTCCTCACAATACGACGCAGTCCATCAACTGTACCAGCAAATGCGTGATGAAGGGATTGCTCCAGTCGGCAGAGTATGCTGTGGAAAAGTATCGCACTCGTAGTAATCGCATGTATGCATGACAAATCTCTTTTTCAAGGTAAATCAGCATGAGAAATTCCATTTGTCACGCTGAGCAAATTTGTGATGCGATTACTACTAGTACGTCGATGCGTTTGCAAGTCATACAGAGTAATTGAAAAACGACTGAGATTCCAAGAGGTTTTTCGCGTAGAAGTTTCCGAGAAACAAGGACAAAAAAACGTCCCGTGATTTCAAATATTCGTCCGACTTCATCGCTTCCCGGCCCTTGTGCTGCAGGTTCTCCGAAAGCGCGATCACTTGAATCAGCGACCGCAGCACCGGGCATTGCTCGCGCTTAAACTGCTCGTAGAAGGATCTCTGCTTGTATCCAGGAAAAAAACACCCATGCCCATCCAATTTGTCATGCAAAACGTGCATAAGTTCCACTATTTGCCATGCAAAAAATGGATGGGGATGGGTGTTTTTTCCTGAATAGCTCCCCCCGGAGCCACAGAATCTTCGTACAGAAGGTGGCGTTCAGGCTGTCGAGCGAGGTAACTATCCACAGTAAAATTCCCGTACACGACGTACAAAAAAAAATGCAGTCTCTGCATGACAAAACTTGCCTTCCATCCTAGTCTAGCAAGACAAGTTGCACACTGCAAGTTAGCAGAATTTGTCATGCATTTTGTACATGTACGGGAAATTTACATTGCATAGTCACTTGCTGGTGCGCATGCTCGGTCCAGAAGTGAAAGCTTGATGATGCAGCTTGAGCTTGAGGTTCAAACAAATGTCCATCACCAACATCGTGTGGTGCTCCTGTCGACAAGACCTTGTGATTGAAAGCCAGCCGGGTATTTTCGGCGATCCGTTGCTGCACTGCGTAGGAATCGTTGACGTAGGCAACGTAGTTCTCGTGCTCGTCATCTACTCCGATAGAAGAACTTCTACCTGGCGATGATGTTGCAAGAGCACTAATGTCGCGTGATGGTCGTTCGATAGTAACTGCATCAGAACTACTGCTTCCTGCACCAAGAAAGTCCTCCTTTATCCGCACTATCGCATGTTCCGCTTCTCCATGGAAATCCGGGAACCACATCGGGAGCAGAGACCGCATGCACAGGAACAGGGCGGGGTACCGCTGCAGAATGGACTTTTCGCACCCAAAATCATCGGGCCAGGGGAGGGAAGGGAGAAACTTCGTATTTTTACTGGAAGAAGATGCTGGTGGTGAGGCCATTTTGTTGCTGAAATGATGTTCTTACTTGGCTGGCAGTAAAAATAAAGTTGCGATCTCCTAGAAGGCCTGCACCAAGGTCACGCCCTCTCTGTCCTTTTCGAAACACCACTGCACAGACAGAGGAAACAGATCTGATCGATTCCAAGCGCTAAACAAAAGGAAAAGATAGAAGTGGCGTATAAATAGAAAGGATCATGGCACTACCGTCTTCGAAAAATTCATCTCTCCAGTGGAAGGTGGGCCAGCTCCTCTCAAACCACGCAAGTTGCGGATTCTCTCAGAAAAAAACCAAAAATGGGGAGAAACAAAAACAAATCATCTAAAGAGGATCTTCGCAAAAACAAAAGGACAACACGAAACAAAAGGTGGACGTGGACTGCTGAAGTAGATCACCATGAAAAAATAGCAGATAATACCATCCAGAACCAGATTCACCACCTGCATACAGACAGCGGGCAACGACGATCGAGCCCGAATACACAACCAGGACAAGAAATCCGATCATACGTAAGAGCAACCGACTTAAATAATTTGCAAGAACTCGGATAGTAAGGAACTCAGTGGCGGCGGTACCAACCACTCGTGGCCGACCGCCTCCTTGTGAGAAGAGACAGAACACTTGACGATGCCTGCGGGCTGCAAATCCAAATCCATCGAGAGCTGCTATGCTCGAGGCAAAGACAGCGAGCGTCGATTCAAGTATCATTTTTCCCCTGGTGCAGTAGATGTATATACGCGAAGACACTTGATTTGGAAAGTCCCGAGACGGTAAGCTGCAGGCGCGTTCATCATGTCTCTATCCTATCAGAATTTTCGTTCATCATTTCTCAACGTGTAGAGTTGCAATACTTTGCAATCGAGTTGAGGCATAATGTCTTCAACATCTTCATGCAAACATCCCGTCGACCGCTCCCACTTCGCCATGAAGTAGTGGTTGTTTCTAATACTTCCACAATTTGTCGACTTTTTTCCCACTGGTCGCGCTCTTTTTGGCCAATTTCTCGAGCCACTCTGGCACCTCCTGGCCGGCTTCTTTCGCGATCTTGACCAAAGCCGGCGAGCACTGCATATCGTAATCGGAGTTGACAAAGGTAATAGAAGTTCCATTATTCCCCGCCCTCCCCGTCCGGCCGATCCGGTGGATGTAGGACTCGACATCTCGGGCCATGTCGTAGTTAATGACGTGCGTGACGTCCTTGATGTCCAAGCCGCGGGCGCAGACATCCGTCCCGAATAAGAGTTTTGTTTTGTTTTCCTTGAATTCTTTCAGGGACTTATCCCGGTCCTGCTGCGTCTGGTCGCCGGACAGCACATATCCTGTGCAAAAGTACCGTACTCGTAGTAATCGCAATTATGCATCACAAATCTACTTGCTTCTAAGGTCAATCCGCATTGCAAATTTGATTTGTAATGCTGAGCCAATTTGTATTGCGATTTATACTAGTACGATACTTCTGCAATGCATAGCACACTGCACTGGTATCCGCTCGCCCAGACGTCCTGCGAAAGCTTCTGGACCCTGCGTTTCGTGTTGGCAAAAACGATGGTCTTGTCGGAGTCCTTCAACTGATCCAGCAGCTTCCACAACTTCCCGTCCTTTACATCGTCAGACAGCTCGTAAAACTCCTGTTTTACCGCTTTGTTCGCGGCTAAGTCGTCGGTTTCGCCCACGTTGATCTGGTAGGTGACTTTCTTAACTGATGAACAACTTCCTTCAACATTTTGTTTTTCCTCCTCCCTCACCAGGTAGTCGTTTTGCAACAGAAGTTTTTTCATTGCCTTTGGCCAGGTTGCGGAGAAAAGCAGGGTCTGGCGGTCGGAGGATTTCGGTAATTCCTTCACAATCTCCTTCATCTGGGGCTCGAATCCCATCTCCAACATCCGATCCGCCTCGTCGATGGCCAGACAGGCAACACTGCTTAATTTCACACTACCATCCTTCATGTGGTCACACAGTCGGCCCGGGGTCGCGGTTAAAACCAAAAGATTCTTGCTCTCCTTCAGCTGTTTCTGCTGCGGAAACTTCGGCACGCCGCCGTAGATCAAACAGCACGCAGTTGCACTTCTAGTACGATCTTCGGTAGCCTTAGTTCCAGTCGCAAACTTCCCCAAAAACCGCCTCGCGTCCTTGTCGATCTGCGTTGCCAACTCCCGCGTTGGCGCCAGGACGAGCAGCTTCGGACCATTTCCGATAGAAGAGTCAGTTTTCGAAGATGACTGCAAAATTTTCTCAAAACAGGGTAACAGAAACGCCAGCGTTTTTCCCGAACCCGTCTTCTATCAAGTGTAAAAATGTCTGGGTCTGGAAACTTGTGATGCTGGGTGGCGTATCATAAGGAGGCCACAGGTGCTGGCTCAACATGACAAGTTTCTGAGCTTCTATATGATGCCTATTCTGCATGACAAACTGCGTTTTTGCATGACAGAAAAGTGGGGCTCTTGAGTAACGTGCATGACAGATTTAAGAGTCATGCCGGACAAGCATGACAAAGCTGCATTCTTCCAGACCCAGACATTTTTACATTTCATATCTTTGCCACGGCGACCAAATCGTGCCCCTCTTTCGCGATCGGCCAAACCTGAGCTTGAATGGGCGTGGGAGTGGTGAACCCGCCGGCAAGCAACTCCTTGTGGACTTCCGGCCCGAAAAGCGACTCTTCGAAGTGCTCGGAGGGGGGGAAAGCCTCGATCAATTGAGCCGGTTGTTGTTCCGCTGATGGTTTCTTCTCTTGCTGTTCCGTAGCGAAGAGTTGAAACTTGGTCACGCGGATTTGGTGTTTCGCCCGGAATTGTTTTGCTTTTTCCAGAGTAGCCGGGTCGATTTTATTTGCGCAACTCGTAGTAGCCACTGCTTGATGGCTTATAGCAACTTCGACCTCCGCATTATTTTCTTTTTCGCCCTTGCTTTTCTTCTTTTTTTTCTTCTTTTCCGGCTTGTCCTCGGAAGTAGATTCTTTCACTGTATTCAGGCTGCTCTCCGCCTCCGCGCCGTCCGCCGGCGAAGTAGTCGTGGTGTCTTCCGAGCTTGGGCTCGGAGCGGAGCAGAACGGAAGTTCATCTGCTTCTGCTGTACTTTCTGTTTTTTTGCTCTTCTTCTTTTTCTTCTTGGCGGGAGCAAGAAGTTCAGCTGTGTTGTTTTCGTTACATGCGGTAGTTTCTACTTTCCCGACAGGCGCCTCCTCCTGCTCTGCCGCTCGCTGCCGCTTCATTTTTTTCTTCGAGATCTTTTCTACTTCGATCGTCATGATAGATGCAGGCAGTGTGTAAAACAGATATGTATGCACCACCAAAGACAAAAAATCCACAATCTACCTGTGACTGAAAATAAATGGAAAACGGTGATGGAGATTATCCGTTCACTTGAATCTGGTGTCTATACTCCGTTTTTCACTCGGCAACAGATATTTTTCTTTGATCGATCTTGTGATTTGTTTTTCATTTCATCTGTAGGACCCCGTCTGAAACTTGGCATATCCATGAAGATCCTTTGATTTTACCACCTGGATTGGTTTTGGTAGTCTAGTGCCCAAAATTTCTATGTGAGAGAATTTGCACCAGATGATCACTTTTTTTCTGTCATGATCCACAAATGAATCCACGAAGAAAGATCGTCGCTGACAGGAATTACTTATATTTCTGGAGGTACACATCCGTTTTATTCATGATGTTCTTTCACCAGCAGGACAGGCGACGAACTCTTGTAGATCTCCATCCATCTCATCTGGTCAAATTGAGCAGGGAGCTACGGGAGGAGGAGCTAATGGACCTTGTCCTTGCTTGCAATATCATTCCCCAAACAAAATACTGCTTGATTTCCAGCTGTACGATGCAATAGAGATGGGGGTTTTGATTTCGGCGTCGTCGGTCTGCATTTTGACAAATCTGTCTAGTCCACACTTACTCCCTTCGGCACTGCCCCCGTCCGATCGTACCCGAGAAAATTATCGGTGTAGCCAGTGATCCTGGCGACAGGTGGACCACTCGACGTCCCGGCCGCGACAGTGGATGAAATTCCGCCTGTAGCTTCCTATCACAGGAAAAAGTGTTTAACGTTAACGGAATTTGTGATGCTAAAACAACCGCACCGACATTGCCATTGTCCAGCGTAGCTTTGGAGGCAAGCCTCCGCAGGTGCTGGAACGGAATTTGTGATGCAGTAACGCACGACAAAACGTGCCCAAATTTGTCATGCATAGCATGCATGCTAGGAACAATTTGCCAAGCGCATGCATATTTGGAATCTATGAGAACCGTTAACGTTAACACTTTTTCTTGTGATACTTCCTCCACCTGCTTCATCAGTCTCCGGTCGAAACCGTTTGTCGCTTCGTAGAACTCAATCAAGCTGACTACCCCGTTGGCCGCCCGTGCGAGGTCGATGAGCAGGAACGCGAAGATAAGCTGCGCCAGCGCGAGGGGTGTCAGGTGCGGGAAGAGGATTACCCGGAGAAATTTCGCAAACAAATTCCAGGCCTTCTTGAAGAACGAGTTCGAAGTAGAAGTTCTGGACGAAGAGGGCTGTAGTTTCGACGCAGCGACGGCAGCAGCAGAAGCAGTTCTTGACCTCTTTTCGTCTTCTGCGTGCGTTGTATCCGTTCCTTTTTCAATTTCATCTTCTTGCTGCTCAGCGTCATCTGCGTTTTTACTTAGAGGAGTTCCCTCAGTTGATGTTGACGTCGTGTCAGCATCTTTGGTCGTCGTACCAACTACATGCTCTGCTCTTTGCAATGCTCCTGTTCCCCGGGCGGTCTCTTCGTCCTCTTGTTTCTCGACGTCGGCTGCAGCGCCAACCTCTCCGCCGGCGGTCACCACCACCGCCGTCGCTTTTCTACTTGCGCGGCGGTGGCCTCTCGTGCCGCGCAGCGGGTGATGTCCGGGGTGAAAGTTCTGGTTATTTTTTCTACGTTCCAGGACCACTTCTACCTCGTGCTCCAGAAAGGACGCCTCGGCGGTCGAGGATGCGTTTCGAGGATGTTGTGTGGGATGAACATCGCCGCTTTTCACTTCCTCTGTGCGGAAAAAAAACATGTCCTTGTCTACTGCACCGTCATCCTCGGCGAACAGCGGCGGGAATAAAAACCAGCAGCTTCGCTCCAACTCGTTTTTTTTGTAGTTCCCGCAAAAATCTTTCCGCTGCAGCAGGTCCGCACCGCCGAAAAAGACCACGATGAAAATCGTGTGCCGCAAGAACCGCTTGCAGTGTCGTTGTCCTCTTTGCAAGGCCTCGACATCGGTGCTGAGTTTCATCCGCTTGCTCTCTTCCTTCAGTGTTTTTTTACGCACTTCTTTGTACTCCCCCTCCATCTTCGACACAAACCGCCTCTGGACGATCGCTACGGCGAGGTAGGGCGAGAGGAAGAGTAGGTGGAGGAGATAGAGGGGAAAACGGACGAGGAAGCTCAAGGCCGCGAAGAGTGCGTATATCCACAGGAAATTTCCTGCACATGTACAAAATGCATCACAAATATTGCCAGCCTTCTAGCGCAAGTTGTCACTACTTGTCATGCTAACTAGTATCGAGCGCAAGCTTTGTCATGCAGGCACCGCATTTGTACTTACGTGTGCGGGATAAAATTTCCTGTGAATAGCATACACGACCAGCACCAAAGTAAATTCCCATGTTTTCCAAGGTGCAAGGAAAAAAGCTGTGTACTGTGCGAGTCTGTATATGCAAAGCATGCAACACAGTATACACTTGTCATGCGAGCCAGTCACGCAGCCTGTCATGCAGAACATCAAACAAAACTTAAACTTGTGATGCTGTCACTGCAAGACAGCTACACTAGCAGCACAGTCAGAAGTTTTTGTTCTTCGATATCCAGCAGAGAAAAGATTCCTGCTTCTCGTTCAAAATCACCAAGGAATGAGCACCTCGAGATCCCAGCCCGGCGGACTGATTTTTCATGTGAATAGCAATAGGGGAGAGAACGGTTTTTTTGTTTGCTTGTTTGAGTGAAAAGCTAGGTTTTTTTCATTTCTTTTCTTGCTGTATTTCCAAATTTTTTTCTTTTCGTCACCCAATTGTCATGCCATCATGAAGCTTGATTCTATACCACTCTGGAGCGCCGCGCCTCTTGCGGATCCTCCTCGACATCATCACTCGCAGCTGCAATTGCGGGCTCAGAACTCGACGACCTAACTGCGCCGAACAAACCCTGAGCAGTCGTGGAAGATGAAGATTCTTGGTCCACTCCCGGCGCCCCGTCTTCGTCGAGCAGAGTATTGCCCCCTAACCCGCACTTGTTTTCTTCGCGCACAAGAAACGCCAAAGTGCTATCCAGGAAAAAACATCCATCCCCATCCATTTTCTGCATGACAAAGACAGGACTTTATGCATGTTTTGCATGACAAATTGGATGGGGATGGGTCTTTTTTTGTGGATAAGTGCAGAAGTAATACCAGAGGAAGTAACCACTGCCGAGTAAAGAGACGATGCCGACGCAACATAGAAAGTACAGAGCACACTCACTGTGCTCGATTTGCACGACCGCGGCGGTTCCAGCAGAGTATACTGTTGGATAAGATGTCGAGCTAGCGTCGTCTTCTACAACTCCTCCTCCTTCGGTTCTTGTTGTACTGCCGGTCGTGCTGGACAACTTTGACGCGGCGACTACTTTTCCGTACGACCACAGTTGGAAAATTCCGAACAAACCGAACGCAATATGAATGTGCACAATTCATCCCCCTCCCCCTCATTTGTATTGCATGAACAGCAATACCAACACCCGCACATGCGGACCCTGTGCATGACAGGTTCATTCGCGTAGTTTAGTACTGCTTGGGCTTCTGCAGGAATCTGTCATGCAAACAGTACCACACGGCAGCGCTTCGACTTGGTATTTTGCATGACAAATGAGCGGGAGGGGGAGTTGTGCACTGTCACACGCAATCCCCAGCCAGTAGAAGTGCGCGGAGAACATCAGCCGGGGCGGCTTCTCCGCGACCTTGCGCGCGCGCAAGATCCAGTATCCGGAAAATGTGGCGACAACCGCGATGGCGAAAGAGGATCCGATGGTACCGATGCAGGTGTTATCCTGTGCAGAAGTATCGTACTCGTAGTAATCGCGTTTATGCATGACAAATCTCTTTTAGAAGGTAAATCAGCATGAGAAATTCCACTTGTCATGCTGATCAAATTTGTAATGCGAGTACTACTAGCTAGCACGATGCTTTTGCATTTCATAGGTGTCCGTGGCGTTTTTGGAGGGAAAGATGGTTGCGTCGAGGTGAAAGCGCAACAGCGAGGTCTCGTCGACGATATAATTGATGTGATTGAACACATCCTGGACAATGTTCTTGTTGGGAGAGCCTTTATCATGTGTTGTCAGGCCACCTCGCATTCCGTCCCTTGGTAGCTGCACTTCTCCACCTCCTTCACTCATGATTTTTCGTGGCGAAAAGTAAAAAGCTTCTGTTTCTTCTTCAGTAGATTTTCAGTTTTGCCCTGGCGGGAGCAGCCGCAGCAGCTAACGCTAAGTAGCGCTATCGCTGAAATAAAACTACTTCTAACACACAGACACAGGGACAGGACAGAGGATATTACAGACAAATGCACTATTCTTGTCTTGCTTGGACTTTCATCGACACTTCTGGTGTTGTCCTTGTCTTCAAACAGGTTCTAGGACAATGAAAAAGCAGCATATATAGCACCTTGCACTTCATCCCCAATCTTTCCAGTTCATCCCCCGGCGGGCGCTTTTACGCTACTTACCGAAACTTGTTCACCCGCCTGAAACGCAACGACAAAACGACACAACGATCACGATGGACGAATTTCTTCCGATATTGCAACAATTCGCGATCGATTTTAAAACCAATTTGTGCGAAAGAAGCGTCTACCAAAGCCGACACTGTTACTCGAGTTCGACGATAGATAAAAGCCGTTTTACTATTTGTAACTCAAGCCCTTGCGAAACTTTTAGAATTCTTGGATGTTCTTTCATTTTGTCGAAGCCGTCCCTTGGTGCAGCAGCTAAAGATTGCCCAGAACACTTCCGCACTGCTTGTTGCGCTCTTGGCGTAAAGCGTGTGCCCATGCCTGTCCGTCGGAAGCAGGTGGAGCCTCATTGTTGTACTTATGGAGGACCCTGATGCTTTTGTATGTGGTATTCGATTGACTGATCTGCTGACTCTGTGTCGCACTGCGGAGTAGTAGTTTCTTGGGAATCTGTATCTGCCATGCTGTGCGTTCATCACTATGAAAGAATTACAATTTATTATGTCGCGTAGTTTAGTATACTCATATTCCCAAGCGACACGACCGTGGTCGTCGTGGTCCTACTTTTTACCTATTCTCACTCTGCTGCCCGGCACCATGAGCATGTTCCTCCTTATTTTCCATCTCGATAATGATCACCGGCCCGAAATTTCGCAGCACCGGTTTTTTCTGGCCGGAACACATACTGTGGTCAGCATCGTCGTCGTCACAAAACTGGTGTTCCGCATCGAACATCCACTCCACCACCGAAAACGCGTACTTCTTGTGCGCTATGGCGCTTGCGTTCGCTGCGTTGAAGTTCACCCGCAAGTGCCATTTGACGGACTGATTCGGGTGGAGTTTGATCGGAATCCCAATGCCATTGGCCGGCGTGGCAGTAGAAATTGCAGCATTCTTTTTTACACCGGGAGCGCCGTCGTTCTCCGGAATCGGCGTCTCCTTCACATTTGTTTCCTTGTGGTTCTGGTACTTCGTCGACACGACTCCCTCAGACAGCAAGGTGACAAACGGTGCGGCGTTCTTTCCGCCTTCTCCCGTGTCGTCGTTGTGAACGTGCGGCACGGCGAAGTCGTGGGTCAAGTGAAGCTTGTGATCGTGTAGATGCGTGTCCAATTTGTCGACTTCCCCGTGCGTGAAACTCAAATCCCGCCCGAAAACGCCGTGGTGTTCCCGCGCTTGCTTATCGTGCAAGTAGTCGTGGTGGAGATTATGGGAGTAAAACACATCGTCGTCGTGGTCCACGTCGTTATCCTCGTAGAGTTTCTCCTGCACCGCGGTTTTGCCGTCGTGCAGGTCGTAATCCCCGACTCGGTGGTGCATCAGCAAATCGTGCGGGATCTTCTTCATTCCGCGCGTGTCGTCGTAGAAGGGAGTGGAGGTGTCATCATTTATTTCACCTCCTGGTGGTAACCCGTCTGGGTGCTTCTTCAACAACTCCTCCTCATCATGCAAAATCTCGTGGTGAAAGTAACTGTCAGCGAGTTCTCGGAGCATAATGTGGTCGGAAATTTCCCAGGGCTGGTTACCCTGATTTATCATCTCCAACGTGAAGTAGAGGACCGAGGACTTCCCCTGCTCCGACGTCGTCGCACTCGTCGCACCATATTTCCCGATACTGATCCCCCGATACCCGTGGACATTTAAATTTCTCGGAGGTAATAACATCTTCGCGTTCGACTTTCTCGTATCTAGCTGTACAAAGACCCGGCTGCGCATCTTCCTTCGGAAATCCAAGTCGGACGGCATTTCGTCTTCCCAGGTGATCGGCAATTTCATCAGATTGGTCTCCTTCGGGTGCGGGTGGTCCGATAAATGCTTCGGGCTTTCTTCGGAAGTGGATTTGTAAGGAATTATGGCCCCGTTGTCGCGATGACCTACAGAGGCAGGAGATGATGCGCTCGTTCCACCTGCTGCGCGGAGGTCTTCATCCGCTGCAACTGCGGCGCCGCTGTCCATCCCGCCATTCTCCATGTGCAGAATGTCCCGCCATTTGTCCAAATCATTCTCGATTTCGTCTTCTACCCATTCTAGTGTGTGCTGCATATACCCGTTTTCGCTGATGATCCCAACCTCTTCGGCCAAGTACTTGCTGAAGAAGTGCTTGTTGTGCCGTCCGAAAATCCCGTTCTTCGACAGAGTGTTGACGATGAACAGGACGATAAAAATAAACAGCAACCCGCCGCAGAGGGGCACGAGGGATTGCTTTAGGATATTTTCTTCCTCCCCGTCTACATCAGCATGGGTGATGTACTTTCTGCGGTCTTTGTATGGAAGCGTCAGGATCGAAATCGTCAAAGTTGAAATCATGATTTGTCATGCATAAAATGCAAGGCAAAAAAGACTGTATTGCAGAGGACACAATGGAGGCCGACTATTGTCCTGCTAGGGGTGAAGAATTGGGCTGCTGATTAGCACGACAGAAGGGCACCCCTTTGGCTAACTAGCATGACAGACACGCTTTGAGTGCCCGGGAAATTTGTCATGCGCGGACTACAAATGGCGCTGCAACTGGTATCCATTTTAAGCATGACAAACCATTTCCACTTTGAGGATTTCCAACCTGAGGCTTTCATACTTTGTTTGTATTTGGCGCACTTGTCGGGTCGATCAGCTCGATGCCATCCGGCTGTTCTAAGTACCGTGGGCCGCCCCGGGTAGTTGAAGAGGAACTGGGGGAAGATCCTGCTGCAATGATTCCTCGCCCATGTTGATAAGGACCACCTGCAGAAGATTGGTGTGCTGGGCCAGTCGCAACGTTGTCCTTATAAGGGGACGGCGGTGGCGCTTCTTCGTCATAATGATCTTGCATGTGCTGCAAGTGGTTCCGAAGCGTTTGGTCCGCGGGAATGGCCATGGTGACTGTCCTTGATGTACTAGGTGCAGCTAGAGGTAGTTGGGTCCCATTGTTCAGACAGTATGAGGGACATAAACGCGTAAATGTAGCAGTTGCTGAATATATCAAGAAGCTACTGAAGTGACAAAGCGATCATGTTATTGGAGCAAGTACTAGATGAAGAAATCAAAATCATAAGGCGGAAGGGCCGAAGAAAAGCTAGTACAGGGGAGAAATAAATAAGGCTAGTAGAGGATGAATGGGAAGAGGCGCGACTAGGGGGGTCCAAAGAAAGCGAGATGCTGTGGGCCTCACGGTGAAAAGACAAAAGATGGAAGTAGAGATCAACACTCGTGTCGTGATGAACGCTTTGCTCACGTGTTTTTTTTTGTTCGTCTCAATTATACCTAGGACCGAAATGTATTTCTCTTGATGCTGCTGCACAACATGAAGGTGTCGAACCGACAAGCTTTTCTGATGCTTCACGATCGAAAAGAACTTCCTGCAGATCCGATTAGTTTCATCTCTTAAGTATTGTGTCTGTCGATCCATTTCATTATCTCCAAATTCTCCTGCCTCCGCAGAGCGTACATTTGGAAGCACGGCCCGCAGCGCTTTTCGCCGAAGCCTGCTTGTTCTTTTGAGACCTTCATGTATGAGGATGCGAAGCGCGACACGGCTACAATAATTTTCAGTAGACTTCATCTTGCGTAAGAATTGTTACTGATAAAGCGCAGGAAAAAATGACAACTCTACGGGTTATTTTCCTCAGAAGGTCCTTTTCTTCGTTGGTTCCGTAGTTACTTTTCACTTGGTTTTTGAATACACAAAAGACACAACGGCCACCCCTTCTGATGTAGAAGAAGGTAGCTCGCTCATGTCTTCAAGAGCTAAGAGTGCAAGACAACCAGGCTACTTGTACTTACTTCTTAGCAGCTGCCGTTGCTTGAACTCTTCCCCAGCAGATGTTGACTCAATTATCTTCCAACACCACTTTGTTCATGCAGTCCGCAACGTACTCCAAGTTGTTCTCGTTTAACCCCGCGAGGGAAATGCGACTATGCAACGCAAAAGTATCGTACTTCTAGTATAAATCGCAATACAAATTGCCTCTGCATTACAAAGTGAATTTGTAATGCGGATTTACCTAACCCACTAGATTTGTAATGCGTGACTGCAATTAGTACGATTACGATACTTTTGCAGTTCATACCGACCCGTTTTCAGCAAGTAGATGTGGTGTTCGTCGATCAATTTCGTGCACTGTTTTTCGGTCAATCCCGTGAAGGAAAACATGCCAATCTGGTCATCCTATGCAAAACCGTCCCTACCCCATAGTCAAGATGGGGACTTGGCTACACAAAGCCAGCATCTTTTAGCTGTCGCGCATGACAAGTTTGGGCTGGCTGTGTCATCGCGTTTAGCTATTGTAGCTGCATCACAAATCGATCCCCTGATGCTGATTCTAGCATGACAAACCACCAGAAGGCATTACAGAATCAATGCTCCTAATGGGGCTCTACATGACAAACATTTGAAGCTGCTTGCAGATTTGCATGACAACTATGGGGTAGGGACGTTTTTACACAGGATACTGGTCCGTGATGTGGTTCCAGGTGCCCGGGGTCTTCTTGTCCTCGAGCTTCTTTCGCAGCGTCTCGCGGATAAGCAGGATTCTTATCGACAGTAAATTTCCTGTACACGTACAGATGCTGAATCTGCATGACAAAACTTGCCTCTAATCTTCTTCAGCATGACAAGTTGGACACACCAACTTAGCGAGATTTGTCATGCATTTTGTACACGTACGGAAAATTTGCATTGCATAATTCTGTCCGCCATTTCCTTCAGTTCCTTGGTCCACTGCTGGTACATAGCGTCGCTGTTGAGGATTTTCGAAACCAGCCACGCCCCGTGCAACGGAGGAGAGGAATACATCGGACGGATGATGAGCTTGAGCTGGGAGAGGACGACCTGGATGAAATAGAGAGCAGAATGCTGAGCAACTCTTAATCATATCAAGTTTACTTCTTTCTTACCATGCTATTTTTTGCCTGTGCTGGGTGGGGCATTGGCAGAGTACGAGGGATGCATCAACTCGCGGAAAGGAAAAGCAATATGGTCGTAAACGCAACAAGATGAAGTCCCCGAGTCACATTAGAACAAAATCTGCACCTTCGCTCTCTCCGCACTGTTGCAAACTGCGTGCAGCATTCCAATCCGCTCGCCGTACAGCCCCAGGTTCTTCGCAAACGACTGACAGACAAAAAATTCCATCCCGGACGCCGCAAACAGTTCGATCGCCTGGCGGTCCTTCTCCAGCGACCCTGAGGCGTACCCCTGGTAGGCACTGTCCAGAATCACTAAATGTTTTCTCCGCAGACACACCTCCACGATTTTTTTCCATTGCTCCAAGCTCGGGTCCACCCCGGTCGGGTTGTGCGCGCAGGGGTGCAGCAAGTACAGAGACTTTTCCGGCGACTTAGTTTCCAAGTGATCCAAAAACTTGTCAAAGTCGCACGACTTCGTCGCTTTGTCGTAGTACGGGTACTTTTCCACCGCCATGCCGCTCTTCTGAAAAATCGCCACGTGGTTGCCCCAGGTCGGATCGGAGTAAAACAGGTGGTTGATTTGCAAATTGTGATTCAGAAACTCCCCCAAAACCCGCAGGGATCCCGTTCCCGACAACGTTTGCACGCTGGCGATCTTTTCGCCATTGTTCCCACCGGTAGTGTCCGTGAAAAATTTCTCGCCGAAAATCAGCTTCTGGCACGCGGCATGCTTTGCAAAAGTTGTATCGCAGTCGTTTTATTAGACTGCAGGTCTGCATGATATGGGAGTGTCAGGATTGAAATCGTCAAAGTTGAAATAGTTTGTGAGGCGTAAAATGCTAGACGCAAAGTGCCTGTCTTGCAGAGCAGGCAACTGAGGCCGATTGTAAGCCTGTTTGGGGTGTGAGATAGAGCTGCTAAAATAGCATGACAAAAGCAGTCTTCTCTGCGCAAACAGCATGACAAATTGGATTTCCATGCTGGTAAAGTTTGTCATGCGCCACTTGCAATCTGGGCTCCAGCTGGTATCGCTTTTTTGCATTACAGATTATTTCAACTTTGACGATTTCGATCCTGACACTCCCATACATGACAGTTCTTCCTACACTTACGTGGATCAGCATTACAAATTCCACTTTTCATCTTCTTGAGAAAGTTTGTAATGCAATTTGTACTTAGCACGATAATTTTGCATTGAATACGCGGGCTTCAGGGATTGCAGCCCGTCCACGGGGAGATATTCCTTGTTGATTTGGTTCAGTTTCGCGTCCCCACCCAGTTCCGCGAGCATTTTTTCCTCCGCAGAACGGACAACCGGCAGGATAAACGGGTTCCCCTTGGTATGGCGAAGAAAAAGTGTTAACGTTAAAAACGGAATCATGAGCAAATTGATTTCCAGCGAAGTTCCCTAATGCAACTCTTCACCCGATCGCTCTGGACTAGAGGTCGCCTGCAATTTATACTGCGTTGTCGGTCGGCAAGTGCCAATCGAGCACCGGGAGAAATGCGTTACGTGTCATGCAGTTGCCGATGAAACCGACAAAGTAATCGTCGACGTCCGTAGTTTCTCGCAGAAAAATGTTAAAGCGATACTGCTTGGCATTATGCATTTTTGCAAATATCTTTATTTTAGTGCCAAGATAGAAAGATGCAACTTTGCGTGAAGGCTGCAAAAGCTGGACCTTTGGACGTCGCCGAACCCAGTGAGCATTCTATTTCTAATGAAAAACATCAAAAATATATTAAGTATTTTCGCACCACCACTTCGTTTTTTCGATCGTTGGGCAAAAGTATTCACAAATGAATGTCGCTGGCAAAGACTGCACAATTCTACATTCATGCAACATACAACCTCCATGCGTTTTCATTAAAATTGTTGTCATGCATAAAGAGTGCAATCTAGTATGAACTACTCCCCGTTTTTTAAAGGTAAAACTTTTTTCTTTCCTACTCGGTCGTTCGATACGCCCCAATCCCCAGGTTTACCTTCCGCGGGTCCGGGTCTTTTTGGTACAGCAGCGCCGTATTGAGAATCGGGTCGGGCGGCGCCAGTTGGAGGTCATTGAAAATGGAGGAGAAATGGCGGGGGTGATTCTTGTGGGTAGAATTTATTTTCGGTGTAGGCGTACTGATGAAAGCCTGAAGTTCTCGTCGAAGAGGTGTTGCAGCTGCTCTGGCTAGTACTGGGGCACAGCGATGAGAGGACGTCGTTGACGATGCAACGCTTCTGGTACAACAGCTCCGCCCGCGCTCCGCCCGCAAAAACGGTTTGCAGGCCACACGACTGGGCGCGAGTTTCATTTGTTGACGCAGGCTCATCATGATTTGAATACGTCTAAGTGCTATAATACCATTTGATCCACTGCTCCGCCGAGTTGTGTTGTCTAATCTTCGACGAGCCCAGCTAGAAGTTATTGTTATCCAGGAGAAAGAGAAACCCACCGTTCACTCTTCTCTTCATCACATCTGTGTGTAGTACAGCAAGTACAACAAGGCACCACATCAACTCCTCTACGAATTTATTACTCGCGTCTTCAAAAAGAATGCTTGCTCATCTGACCCCGAAGAAGATGAACCACCGCACGACCACCTCCATGACTTTCGTTTTCTTTCCACGCTCGCATTCCACAAAAAATATTCAACTCTTTACAACAATACAGCGTTTTTATTTGTCGTTAGAACAGAAATAGATCCAAGTCCAACCCAATACAACTACCTTTATTCGAGAGGACACCGCGCCGAGAGCGGGCGCCCACTCGTCGCCGTTCGTTCCCGTCGGATAATGATCCGACACTTTTTTATCTTAGCTGATTTTTTTTTAGTATATTTTTATTTGTACAAAGTTGTGTACTACTAGTAGATACTCGGTCTGGATTATTTTATTTTGCCTTGTTGTAGTTGTACAGTCTTCCTGCTGGCCTGATACTGCCACTACGTTTCATCCCAACAACGCGGATTCTTGTTTCTCGAGTGGTTGTTAAACTAATTCTCACCTCTTGTAAGTAGTTGCGTTGCCACTTGATGTTACTTGTACAGGTTTGTCTGCTGGCAATAAAATCTTACTGGAACTACAACCTTGTTGGGAACTACAAGGGCGCAACGATTAATATCAATTAGGGTGGAACAAAGGGTGGAGGACATAATATCATACAAGATGGAATAATACAGAGTCCTCGGGAGTCAAATTAGAAACAATAGCTGTAAGATATTCTTCGAATAAAACCACGTAGATGCTGCATATATTCTATGACTAATCGTCGATACGAAGAAGTAGCTTCTGAAACTTCAACTTGTATACGTTGAGAAACAAGTTTACTACTTCGAATTTTGCAGTACAGAGAGATTCGACACATTGAAATCTTCTTTCGTCCGTGGTAGATGCTTGTAAACGACACATTATGATTTTGTGAGACTTTTGTTTTTCTCGAATTTTCTTCGATTTGCGATGAAGTTGATATATAAAAGTAAAGCCGCGACAGCAAGAACACCAACTCAAACATCTTTTTTACTTAGTTGGTCTTGCATGCGCCTTTGCCTTGTGCTTCGCGTGCGCGACGTGTGCCTTCGCCCCCGCGCCCACCGCAGAAGTTCCGCCGGAGGTGCTATGCGCCTTGGCCTTGTGCTTCACACCTCCCAGTACCTTATTCGGGGAAGATGCGGATGTACTAGTTTTGGCTGCAGCTCCTGTTGCGCTATCACTTGCTCGACTCGCTGGCTGGGCGCTGTCTTGGTGATGATCTGCATCCTCGTGGTGGTAGTCTTCATGCTCCTCCGCAGCGTCGCGTTCTATGCATCGCAAAATTTGTATCATCGCACAATAATACCAGCACAAAAAATGGCATGACGAATCTTAATCTTTTCAAGAAGAAAAAAAGGCTGCGATCATGCAGGTGAAGTTCATGATTAAAGAAACAGGGTGACAAAGAAGAAGATCTCCAGCTGTCATCTAGTAATAGTATCACTGTCATGCTGGTGTATAATTGCTGTCGCATGTGAATGAGTACGATGGCGCGAGGACATCACTTTTGCACAGGATAACTATCGATTTATTACTCCCCCTGCTCGCACTCGATTTCGGTTCCTCTGCCTTGCTTGCCGGAGCAGCGGAAGGAGTACTATCCTCCTTTTTCTTCCCCCCGTCCGCGGGCCTCAACCCGTGGGGTAAAACCCAGTAGGGTACGTAGGCTTTCTTCTTCTCGTTGACCCAGGAAACGCCGATCCACCCGTTTGTCGGGCCGTTCAGCAGCTTCAGCTCCTCCCCTTTTTTCAGGGTAATTTTGCCGTCCTTGGACTTGTAATCGTGGAAGGCGTGGAACTGAACGGGACCGTCTTCCTTCTTGGGTTTCACTTCCACCGCGTGGTCTGGGAGGTTCGCAAGCGGAACCCAATCCGCGTGTGTAGCATGGTTCGTCACGTTGCGGATCTGGATTTTTGATTTAGAATTTTTTCGCTTTTGTTTTCATCTTCGCATCTTCGTCCGGCGCATGACAACTTCTTCGACGAGAGCATTGCTCCGAAGATTATGTCATCATGCAAGATCCAAGTCCAACATGAAGGTACAGGTAGGAATAAAACCACCTATGAAGTGAACCGCAAAACCTCTACTTGATCATCTGCAAGAGTTCATTTAGAGTTAGTTATCAGTACCAGCACCCAGCCATCCAGCGGTCCTTTCAAATATTCCACGAGGTCGTTCTCTTCGCAGACACCTTCATACGCCGCCAACGTGCGGAAGAACCCCTTGGACACGACCCAACTCGGGGTCCAGTGCGAGATCCCGGTGGCGACGTCCTCCATCAAAATCCAGTTTTTCTCGTTCTTCGGCTTCAAAATCCGCGCGATGTGCCCGGGGGAGACTTTTTCCTCGAAGCCGTGCTATGCTGAGTAAAAACGTACCCACACCAGAGTCAGGATGGGGATTTTGCAACACAAACCTAGGAGTTTTGTGAGTCACGCATGACAAGTTTCAGTCCGTAAGGTAGTGCAAGTTAGCAAGGGAAGCCGCATCACAAATCGACCTGCTGATCCTGTTTACAGCATTACAAGTTCCCAAACACGATTGAAAATGCCTGTCATGGGGTTGCGCATCACAAATGTTCCTGTCATGGCAAATCTGCATGACAACTATGGTGTGGGGACGTTTTTACACTTGATACGTGCACGATCGTTCTGATGTTCACGTCGACCATATCTAAATCGTCGCCCAGGTACTGGTATGCATTGCAAAAGTATCGCGCCACTAGTATAAATCGCATGACAAATTAGCCCAGCATGAGAAATGAAATTCGTCATGCTGATTTGCCTTGGGATGGAGATTTGTAATGCATGACTGCGATTCTTACTACGTGTACGATACTTTTGCAATGGATAACTGGTTAATGTTGTCTAATTCGCCCTCTTTCTTCTCATACTCTTCCTCCTCCATGTCGACCTGTTTTGTCATTGCATTCACACATGAAGACTACAACCTTAGACTTCTTACCAAAACCAGCTTTTTTACAGACACGATTTTTCATTTTCACCTTGGGGAAATTTATCGATAGATACTAGGAAAGGAAGATCAGGATATTCATATTACTATTTGCGATGCATAAACTCATCAAGGCACCACTGCAAATGCAATCTTTCATACCTTAACATCCTCCGGCGCTGCCACTTGTGACGCCCTTGTTGCTTCCGACTTCAAATCTTCTTTTTTCGCAGGCGTACTAGCTGCTCCACCTCGGCTCACCGCCTTTGGCGCTTTCTTTGGGTCGATCGTGTGCCCCACGTTGAAGGTCTCGTCTTCGTCCAGCATGCGCTCCTGGCACTTGGCGAGGATGGTTCTTGCGTCATTGAACGCGTGGGAGCCGCCGACGGATTCGTTTGCGTTGTCCGGGTCGTTTTCTGCGCACCAGTTCATGGTGTCTTGGAGTTCGTTATGGATTGTAAAAGTGTCTGGGTCTGGAAGAATGCGCGACTTGTCATGCTGCTTTCCATGACCCATGAGGTCTGCACCTGCAGAAATGCAAGACCTAGCATGACAGATTTTGCGCGATGTCTCTCATGCCTATCCTGCATGAGAAACTCTCTCCCGACCTGGTCAAAACTGGACGACTTTTGGTAATCATGCAACACAGATTTTTGCGTGCTTCAGATTTAGCATGACAAGTTGCAATCATCCACACCCAGACATTTTTGCATTTGATATTCGTCGTGCAGTTTCTGCAGGTCCTTCATCAACGCTTTTCGGCTATCCCAGAGAAAAAAGCTGGCAGGGCATATTTGTAATGCAAAAATGAATACACAGAAAAATTTGTCATGGGCGGCCCCATAGCATGCTGCTCCGGATATGCAATATAGGTTTTTTTGTGTATTTATTTTTGCATTACAAATATGACCTGCCAGCTTTTTTCTCTGGGATATCGCCCCATCAGAATGATGCCAATGGACTCGTCGACCTTTAATTATTGAAATTTTTTGATCAGTTCAGTACCATTAAAGCATTTCTCGCACTATGTTGTTTTTCACATGCAAAGCGGGAATGCTACTTCTATACAAGCGACACGTGGTATAGAAGTGCGGTTGTCCACCCAAGGATAAGGCGGCGCAGCTTATTCCCATGAATGTACTACATCGAATTGAAATAAGCAAAGTGCCACAATCAGAAGCAGAATGCACCGCCCAAGTGCGGTTCTCCTTCTCATGCTGCCGCATCGCGATCAATATTCTTTCTGCACAACAAAAATCATATTTACGTTTATGTACTATACCTCGGTCGTTTTCTTTTTTTCCTTTTCCAACCCGGCTTTTCTCCCCAGAGCCGCTTTGTAATCCACCTTCATTGCTGAGTAGACGTGCATCAGATCCGTCAACTCGGCCAGGATGTCCTCAACCGATCTGCCCTTGTACTCTGGCGTGGCGCCGTCCTCCTCGTCTTCTTGCTCCCCGTCCTGATCGTCATTATCTTCATTCCCGTCCGGGAGCTCAGTTAACTCGATTGTTTGTGATTTCTCCGTAGAAATGGCGGCCTGGCCGGACTTTCGCTTGGGCTGCGGGGCCGGAATCTCGGGGGTGTCTGCCTCGTGGTGACCTGGTAAATACGTAGGTATTCTTTTCACATCAGCTTTTCAGTTTCAGTTTCAGACGGCGGAAGCTCTTTTTTCTTCCAACATATCTGCATGTCGTTCTAGATCATCATGATACAGAATATTTTTGTGCAGTCACAACGAATGCCTGCACGAAAAAACAGATTGGTATGAAGAATTGTATGCACGACGAGGACCTGCCTCCCATCTGCCTCTGTGCTTAATCAAGAACTACAACTGTTTGTTGTACACAAAACTGGTAATCGTCACATCTTCATCAAACAATACTTGATTTTTTCTTTGCCGGTGCCGTGTCTTCTCCACTTTGCTGCGCCTTCAGAATTTCCGTTCCGAGAGACCGCGCCCGCTCCCCGAAGAGTTCGTAGGTGGCCCATTCGGTCGAGAAGCGAATGCTAATGCTATTGTGAGGAAAAATGCCCCCACCCCATAGTTGCCATGCAGAATTGCAGTCACAGGAAAACTTGTAATGCGAATCCCCATGAGAGGCTCTTTCAATCGCGCGATGCAATTTGTGATGCTGTAAACAGGATACCAGAATGGCTTTGTGATGCGGCTGTGGCTGTCCTTGGTACTAACCCGCATTACATTTACAGTACAGAGAAAAACTTGTCATGTGTGACTCCCAAAACTTCTCGATCTGTGTTGCAGAGTTTCCATCTTGACTATGGGGTGGGGACGTTTTTACAAATGATACATGTTGGACTCCTCCATATACTTGCAATCCGTGACGCGCATTTGGTCATCTCCGACCCACAACCGCGCCGGGCCGGAGTGCGAGGGGACCACGGAGCAGGTGACCGGGACCAGCCTCGCGCCACCACCGCAGCAGCCGCCGCTACCCTTACCCTGCTTCCGCTTGAGCACATACTGGGTGGGAGGTGCCATTTTTTTATCAATTATTCCAACAGTGGGTCGCGGTAAGCCTTTTTATAAAAAACCGCCAATGCTAGAGAAAACTGTACTCCGATGAATTGCGACAAGCTAAGGATAGCTGTAGATAATGATGTACAGTCATTCTTTTTTGTGAATGCTTACTTTAGGATTTTCGGGGTAGAAGATGATGCTGGGGGTAACACTTTGTAATGGGAGCAGTTATGCGATTTCCGATTAGTGGTCTGCTGGTGGTAAGAAGTTATTTGTAAAATTAAATCCGAGTCGTTGCGTTGTCAAGCACGAGCAATCGGTGAAACGACAGACGAAAAGGTAGAATTTGAACGACGAAATCGAATGTGATGTTGATCACGATGAAAACGATATTTTCATAGACATAGTACCAACCGAGCGAGGGCAGCCGCAGCCTGTCAGACAGAGCTGCAAGTGGATATAACGACCCTGACCGAGAAGACAGCAAACGCTCCACGACCGAGCAACCGTGTAGTCGGTAGAAGTTGTTCCTCGTCTGTTCATTTTGCGATGAAACAAGTGCGATAAAAATTTCGAGTGTAGCTAGTAGCGAAGGTGGGTTCGTCGTGCAGCTCTATGTGTCTCACATCACACTGCTCGACGTGGGTGTCCGATTCGTAATGTACGAAAAATACGTATCCCGAACGTATGTTAAACGGTTTGCGAGCGCGATTCGATGGACGATGACGAATAGGTTGTAAGCCTGAGTACAAATACCGACTGATATTGCGCTTTTCAGCTCTAGCAAATAAACTTCTATGTGTTCATCATCGATCTTCACACGACCGATTTTTCCATTCTTTTGCGTCCGGTATCACTTTGATGTAGTGCTGTCTTGGATTCATGACCATGATATTAGATTGATGAAAGGAACATACCGACTGCATCTTCGTTCACGAACAAGCAAGCGGACCAACTATCTGTGCAGATCGAGCCACTGCTCTACGCCAGGAAGAGAAGGAGACTTCACGGAAAAATCGACGGGAGGTCAGGATTTAGGACGCAGCTCTAGAAGCGCTAGCACTGCCTGAAGAAACGGATCGTCGCACTTTAATATGGACGACCAGATTGATCATGTCCTCCGTGTAAATAGTTCCTGGGTATATCTTTTGTCGTGCTGCTGTTGAAAACCGATTGGAACTTCTCGTGCTTGCTGCATAAAGTAACGAGCACAATGACCTAGGCTCGGCTAAGTAAAGTAAATTAGTACTGCATTCTAAAGTTTTCCTTCAGATTGGGTGTGACTTGTTGGGGAAGAGATGGGATTTTAGGGTGGGGCAAGAATTTTATTTGTTGAGGGGTACTTCAACTTCTTACTCAGATTGATTTTGAAAACGCCACCAGCCCCGCGATGCGGGTGCCAGTGGTCCCCGCACGACAGTCAGAGTATGCTAGAAATACGATACTTTTGCAATGCGTAGACAGAGTCTTCAGCTTGACACATACATTTTGATATAAATTAAGTAAGTTCATTTTGGAGACGACGGTACCTGAAGATGACCCCAATGCGTTCAACTCTTAGGAGCCTCAGTTCGATTCACATTGTAGGGCAGTTGCTTGGTGGTCGTGATTTTGCTCCGCTCTGTCGGTCTACTGCAATTACTCGGGACAGTACTTTTTGACATTGTCGTTGGTGTGCTCTGGACACTCACCACCATCTTCAAGGGTGAAGCAACGACCCAAGGTTGGCGCAGTGAGGCCCATTCCGCCGGAGGCGGCGGCACACTCAAACTTGCAACACGTCTGGCCACCCATGGCGCAAGAGGTCCCGGGCATACACGGAAAGTGCGGCGTCGGATCCGAAAGCTTGGCCTTCGCCGTCCCCGCACGCAGGAGCTTCTTCTTCATTCTAGCCTTGTTGGTCCCGGCCTTGTTGGCCTTCACGAAAGTTATATATGCGTTGCAAAAATGTCAACATGATCTGGGTCGGGATTTGTGATGCAAGTTGATTTCTTGACGGTGGACCAACACCAATCGCAATCCAAGATGGAGATCTGTTTCTGTGATAACGAATTATACACCTGCGCTAAGCCTCAAATGAAATAACATCTTCAGATGGCGCTGCTGTTGGTGTCGATTATGTCGTGCAAGAAGCGGCTACTTACTCCGCGATCGCGATGCTCGTAGCAGCAACACAATTTGTCTGCTCCAGACCCAGGCAAAGGCATATAATTTGCAACGCATAAAAGCTTGCCCGTTCCACCCGTTCCCATCGATTCCCTCAACATCGGTGGGGGGCAGCTTGATCGCGGTAGTCGGCGAGCAAGAGTAGACCGCAACGGAAACAAAACATCCTGAGAAAAAACGTCCCCACCACAGACTTGTCATGCAGATTTGCACTTACTTTTACAAAAACATTTGCCAACGTGCATATCCCCGCGATCATGAGAGGCATTTCTAATAATCGCGGTTTGCCATAATTTGTAAAGCTGAGATCAAAAATAAGAGGAGATGACATTGTGATGCTAACCTGCACTTCTACGAACAATACAGAGAGATGAGAAGTTACTTGTTGTCATGCGTGACTCCCAAACAATCATTTGGATCTACTGTGTTACGAAATTCCCTTCATCTTGACTCTCCGGTGGAGACGTTGTTACACAGGATACAAATAAAAGCGCCGTCTTCATTTTGTGACACAAACGGAGGATAGCGCTTGGTAATTGTACGTTGGAACGAAAGGAGATGCCTTTACGTTCTTTCTGGCACTACTTAGAGTCGTGAAAGAGCTGCAGTACAGCTTCCGTTTAAAAAATGAGTTTTTCAGGCAAGAGGCTGTGGGCAATGCTACTCCGAACTGACGAAAAGTTCGAATTTGCACGAGGAAAACGAATTTGTGATGTTGATCACGATGAGTACGATCATACCGACAAGAGCGGGCAGCCTGCCGGAGAAAGTGCAAACGACCCTGAAGTACACCGAAATAAGGGCAAGCGCTCCAAATAGACCGAGCAATCGTGTCGGTAGTTCCTCGTCTGTTCATCTTGCGAACATCAAACGATGTTGACTGTACTAGCTAGGAGCGAATAACGAGGTTCGTTCGTCGTGCAGCTCGTCTGCGTCAAATCTTCACACTCACCTGCTCGAGGACGTACGATTTGTACGAAAATAAATACGTTTCCCGAATGTATGTTAAACGGTCTGCGAGCGCGATTCGATGGACGATGACGAATAAGTTGTAAGTCTAAGTACAGATACCGACTGATAATATTGCGTTTTTCATCTCTAGCAAAGCTTCTATGTGCTGTTGAATCGATCTTCACACGACCGATTGATTTTTCCATTCGACCAGCAGGAGAGGACGTCCCGGGGGTCTCAACCAGTACAAGAAAGAGGCATGCTCTTATTTTCCATTCAGAGATGTTGATGTTCTTCTTGAAACCGTGAAGTAGTAGTAATCAAAGCAGGCAGACATTCCAGAACTTCTGCCTGCGGAAACGCATATAGTCAAATCAAATTTCATCACCATCATGCAGCATATTATTTTTCAAACGGTCTCCATTTTCTTGCTTCGCACGCCCGAAAGTGCGTCGATCTCTTTGTTCGTTATCTCTTCCATCCAAAATATTGAAACGCACGTCGTCGTCCAAGACCTCTCGTGCGAGGACGGTATTATGCACTGGCAAAGAGCTGCTCCTTCTTGTTGCCCTGCTACTTCGACTCACACCATAAGACGAGAAAGGCTTTCCACCAGCATAAAAATCATGCTGGTCTTGCTCAGGAACGCTAGCAGCACTGCCACTGTTGTTCGGCGCGTTAGCATGACTCGACGAAAGCTCCTGCTGATGCTCTTGTGCAGCGGCCGTTGCGTAGACAGCATTTTCGTCGCCGAAATAAGCGCTCTTGGACGATGTTGAACCGCCTGTAGCAGAAGTATTTCGAGTAGTTCCCCTACTACTTCTTCTTCCCTCGTTACTTCGCATGCTGAGCAGCAGCGGTTCCAGTGTCGCCAGGTGGAAGACAACAATGAAGAACATCACCAGCATTAGGAGGTGAAAGAGCAGGTTCTTGATCCGAAATTTCTTAGATGAATAAAGTTGCAAACTCGCGGCCACGTTCTTGTTGTCCGATGTCCTAATATCTTCATGTTCGTCAAACGGCATTTCGATTCCGCCGTGCTTTTCCAGGAGGTCCAGCATAGCAGGTTCGCCTGCTGCCTCGCGGAGGTCTTCTTGTTTCCCAGCGGCGCAAAAGTGGCTCCTCTTCACCGCCGTTGGCTCTCCTCGTAGCCGGTGCAGCGTGGTGTAGTTGTCATTCGAAATATCGCGTTTATTGCGAAGAGGAAGATTCTGTCTCGCGTAAAAATTATCCGGTAGCAGGCCTGTTTCTACTTCTTCAGAAAGTTCGGTAGTCTCGTAACTGCAAATGTCGGAAATTGTGCCGCTCATCGAGGATACTGCGCCGCAAAAGGAGGTGCTCAGTTTGTACAGGAGAAAGTAGTCCCAGGATGAAGAGGCTGCAGTAGAAGCTGGATATGACAACTCAGTTGTAGATGACGCGGAGGCGGAAAGCGAGTTCGTCATCGGTATTAAATACTTCGCGCGTATCCACATGCACAGCAAACACGCTACTCCGTTGTTTAGTCCCCGGCCGAGAACCTCCCCGACTTGTTTGAGTTCCTTGTCTTCTAAGCTACTTGTACTTTCTTCATCGTGATGCCGATGATCTCCATGCAGAAATAATGACAGGAGTAGTTGTCCGGCTTTTCTTTTTGTCGACGTGCTCATCTTCGTGTAAAGTGATTTTTCATCGTCCGGCGCAGTGTGGTTCTCTATAATTCGACGCTTCCGCTTCATCCGGGCGAGAAACTGCAAAACGGCTGAAAACTTCTTGCACACCACCGTTCCGCTTATGGAACCGAAAGCGGAAAAGCCACAGGCTAGGAGAAGGCCGAGAAGTTTCGTTTCGACATCAAAGTGACGGTTATTGTCGTGGCGGGGGTCCTCCGAGTAGTTGTGCAGCACATTCGGCTCAGCTAGGTCGATTATGAAGTCGTGCTCGCTGCGTGTAGTAGTTCTTGTTCCTCGTGGTCCTTCAGTACTATCCATTTTCCACCAAAAAATTGAGGCGCCGGCGTGGACGAGCGTGAGAGTGAAGATGGCCAGTGTCGTTGCCACTACAAGTTTGTACAAGTAGTGCTGCACGATATAGTTTCTTCTTTCCACGATGGGGGGAACTTGGTCGTGCTGGTCCTGATGCAGCATCCTCTGCGTAAAAACAGTAACTCTACTTCTCCCGTTGTTCGTATTCTCGTCAAGCAACCCGGCAACCACTCCCCCCACAAGCCGCCTGCCCAGGCAGAACGCCAAACACCCAATCGCCATGCTGGTGAAGCAGTAGCAGAGACCCAGAACGCGGAACCCGAAGTGAAAAGTATAATTTGTTGTGGGTTCATCGGAAACTGATGAAAACGCTCCCTCTACTTCTTGATCATTGTCGCCGTTATTTATTTCGCTATCCAGAAGCATGATGTCCTTTGCCGCGTCACCGATGTCGGGAAAACTTGTTATGACCGAGAGAAAGCCGCCTGAAAACGCCTCGAGGTGGAGACGGTGTAATGCTGTAGTTAGTGACGCGGTTGGAGGTGTGGTGGATCTGCGTCGCCCGGATGATATGTATGTGCTTCCTGCTTTTTCGTCCATCATGTTTGAGCTGGCTAGCGGTTCTTGTTCCACAGCGCCGCACGATGTTCCAAGAATGATCGCGGAAACCACTACACCCTCGAGGAAACAGCCGAAGGTGTTGAGGAAGAACGAAACCCAGGCAAGCAGGGTGACGTTTACGGGAATTGGAGTTATTTCTTCATCTTCAAGAGACGGCACAGCCAGGGTTTGTGGCTGTGTTGGTACAGTTGTCTGTCTCGCTTCACCGCTGATGTTCCTGTACAATACCGCAGGTAGCAAAACGTTCACGAAACACTCGCCCGCGGCCGCATAGACAGCGATGAGGAGATAAAAGGAGCAAGCCGACCATTTAGGTGAAGTGAAGAATGACGACGAGAAGCCTCCCAACATATTTGATTCTTTATCTTTTTGCAGAGTCTTTTCAGATGTTAAGAAACAGAAACCAGCCTCAGTCTCAGACACATGTTCTTAGAAGTGTTCTCCACTATGTATCAGGTAAGAAAGGGACCAATCCGGTTAAGTACATTTGCAACATCTTGATGTAGTCGGACTCGGATTCATCTTCGTGCTTTTTCTTGATGTTGTGCATAGAGACGATCTTGAAAGGAATGTTTTCATTCTTCGGAAGGGAAAAAGTAGATGTTCTTGCGTGAGCCAGTACTGTCAACTCAAGTTCAATTATTTTTACAGGCAGGAAGAGGAACACGAACAGTGAAAAAAGCCTCTGTGCTGCGACATCATCATGCGGCCCTGGCCCACAATGAAGCATTTTGCGAGCCGTGACTCGGTTGTCTTCGATTGAGATTGTGTCCCTGTCCTTAGCTAGTAGGTTTCATCTACTTCTTTTTTTGCAACACGATCGCCAAGGTAGAATGCATCTTCAAGCCATTGCCGTATCAAGGCGATTCTACCGGCTTAGTTCAGATGCCGTCCTCCTCTCGCATCGGACTTTTTACTTTTAGCGCGGTCCTCTGACTTTTGCTCGGTCCAGGTTGGACATCATTCGACGTGTTCACCCGAAGATCGTCCCCCCGGTTGTCCTGCACGGTCAACATGGCTTTTCCACTTCTACTCCCGCCAGGCGTCCCCGCATGTAGTCCTGCTCGTGACCCCTGCTCATCAACTTCTGTAGAAGTTGCTGAAGCTGCTGCCGTCACTCCAGCTATCGCAGTCACAACACGACTGCTCGGCCTTGTTCTCACCGTCATCAAATGCTGGAAGATCACACTTAGCGGGTCTCGGATCGCCCTTTCTTCGCAGAGGATCAACTTTGGGAGCAACAGCTCCACTGCGGCCGACGACGTTCTTGGATTCATATTTCTACTCTCGTGGTCGCCAGGAGTTGAAGCACAACTTCTCGCGAATATCTCCTGCACTGCGTCGCCCGTCTATGGAACTGTCAGGATTGAAATTAACAAAGTTGAAATAATTTGTGATGCATAAAATCGACACCAGTTGGAAGCCCAATTCGCAAGCGGCGCATGACAAATTTCGGCGGTCCCTAAATCCAGTTTGTCCTGCTGTTTAGGCAAAGAAGGGCGACTTTCTCATGCTACTTTAGCAGCTCGAGCTGCAACCCCAAACAGGCTTGCAATCGGCCTCATTTGCCTGCTCTGCAACGCACGTACCTCGGGTCATGCATTTTATGCATTACAAACTATCTCAACTTTGACGATTTCAAACCTGACGCTTCCATACCGTCCGCGCGATCCGTTGTACCGTGTCCGCGAGCCGGGATGCCGTGATTTGTCTCCTTATGTAGTTTGCTGAGGGTGAGGCAGTAGTTGTCGCTGCCGCCGGCGCTGCGCCCTTGCCACTCTGGTGCTGGTGCTGCCCCCGCTTTGACGACGGCGTGCTGCTGTTGATTTCCAATCTTTTTGAAGTTGACGTCCCGGCGCGGCTCGCGGGGGAGAGCTCTTTTGACGATGGGGAAGCAGTTGTAGAAGAAGAGTCTACTTTCTGTTGTGCTGCGTCATCCGCAGAAGTCGACCACTTTCTGTACTGCTCATATTGCTCGCACAGCCGGTCCAGCAGCAACTTTTTCGCCAAGTCTTTGACTTTCGCGTTTATCTTCGGGTTAGTAGCAGGATATTCCTCTGTACCAGTAAAGCTGTGTTGCAGCCATGCGCCACCGCTAGCCGCCGCAGCACCGTGGTGGTGGTTCCCAGGGTCGTCGTCTGTAGCAGGGTCCTTATTGTAGGCCACTCGACCGAGTAGAAAATTTTCGTATGCCATGCATGTCAGGCATGAAGATTTGTTGCCGTTGGACGAAGTGCTAGTCGACGTGGACGTCCCAAATGTTGACGTTACACCACGCGTCGCTAAATCAACCAACAGATTCGTGATGGCCTCGAAAGTTTTCCCGAAGGAGTTTGTACTTGACGTCCCGCTGGTACTCGCACTACTATGTGAGCCAGCAGATGATAAAGCGAGCTGCTCCTCCTCCTCAATCATTTGCTCTTGTTCATTTTCGATCAGCATTTTCAGCAACTGCGATACCAAGCTGAAGCTTTCTTCACTTTGTTTCGCGCAGATTCTTATCCTGTGCAAAAGTATCGCACGCGTAGTAATCGCAGTCATGCATTACAAATCTCCATCCCAAGGTAAAACTGCATGACAAATCCCATTTGTCATGCTGAGCTAATTTGTCATGCGATTTATGCTAGTACGATACTTTTGCAGTGCATAATTCTTGGAATCAATTGGTACCCGAGTAGGTGGATTTTCGCGCATTCGAGAATGGAAGTGGATACTGGTGTACTGTTGGATGCAGTTGTCTTATTGCCCCCTCCGCCACTACCTCCAGCCTTGCTTGACATCGCAGGAGAATTGGAGGAAGAGGAGAACGCTGCAAGATGAAATTCGGTGAAATTGATCGCCACAATGAACTTAATCGCTGCATCGAGGAAGGGCTGGTGGTCGAAATGATTATTTTCAGCTCCTGCTGAAGGTGGCGTTGCAAGCTCGCCGGCGCCCCCAGCCCCCACGACCGTAGAAGGACAGTAAATCGTCTGCAGACAGTCCTCAATGAGGTAAAACCCCGCCTCAATTGCGACTTTGAACAATCCTGTTTCGATGCTCAGACTGTGCAGGAGTTCATGGTCGACAACATCCGTGCCCCCACCAACTAGATGACCGATCGCGGAGCCTATGAAAGTGCACAACTCCCCCTCCCCCTCATTTGTATAACTCCTATTGCTGAGCTGCGCAAGTTAAAACTTTGTGACGGGGAGGAAAATCGTCCACGCCGAAGCTTTTTTTGGCATTTTTCAAACTTTCCAAAGCTGTCGCGATTTGGGAAGTCGCCCAACGCCCAACGGCCATATTTGCTCGAAATATTTCGCGGCTCGAAATATTTTGGAGCTCGAAATATTTTGGAGCTCGAAATATTTTGAAGCTCGATATATTTTGGTGCTCGAAATATTTTGGAGCTCGAAATATTTTGCAATATTTCCCAGCTCGAAATATTTCCCAGCTCGAAATATTTCCCAGCTCGAAATATTTCCCAGCTCGAAATATTTCCCAGCTCGAAATATTTCCCAGCTCGAAATATTTCCCAGCTCGAAATATTTCCCAGCTCGAAATATTTCCCAGCTCGAAATATTTCCCAGCTCGAAATATTTCCCAGCTCGAAATATTTCCCAGCTCGAAATATTTCCCAGCTCGAAATATTTCCCAGCTCGAAATATTTCCCAGCTCGAAATATTTCCCAGCTCGAAATATTTCCCAGCTCGAAATATTTCCCAGCTCGAAATATTTCCCAGCTCGAAATATTTCCCAGCTCGAAATATTTCCCAGCTCGAAATATTTCCCAGCTCGAAATATTTCCCAGCTCCAAATATTTCCCAGCTCGAAATATTTCCCAGCTCGAAATATTTCCCAGCTCCAAAGATTTCCCAGCTCCAAAGATTTCCCAGCTCCAAATATTTCCCAGCTCGAAATATTTTGCAACTCCAAAATATTTTACAGCTCCAAAATATTTTGCAGCTCCAGAATATTTTGCAACGCAAAATATTTCGCGGGCCCCGTCGAAAATATTTCGCAACAAACTCCCAAACAAACTCTTCTCCCCGTTTCACTTCCTTACTAAAATCCCTAAGGAAAAAAAAAACTCAGTTGGTCGCGCGTCCGAGGAGCGAGAGCAACGCGATCAGGCAGCCGAAGACCGAAGGCGGCGATCGCATTCCTGCGAACTCTACAGGGATGGCAGCGCATCCTACTGAGAAATCTTTCCCCTGGGTAGCCAGAATTGTTGCGCTAAACACAACAACTCGGGGAAAACAAGCAAAACGCTCCATCCTTTTGCCCGTTCCTTCCCACTACCCCAATATCCCCTCACTATCCTGATACCCTCCCAGTGCCCTATTGGAAATCTTTTCCCTGGGTAGCCAGAATTGCTGCGCTAAGCAAAGCAACTCGGGCAAGAAAGTGAATCTTTTCAATCCCTGTCCAATGTCCTCCAAGTATCCTGAAGATACCCTCCCAACATCCTACTGGAAGCCTTTCCCCTGGGTAGCCAGCTTTGCTGTGTTAAACACAGCAACTCGGGCAAAAAATCCAATATCCTCCCACTATCCTGATACCCTACCAATATCCTATTGGGAACCCTTTCCCCAGGTAGTCAGAATTGCTATGCTAAACACAGCAACTCGGACAAAAAATCCAATATCCTCCCACGATCCTGATACCCTCCCAATATCTTCCTGAAAATAAACCCTTTCCCCGGGTAGCCAGAATTGCTGTGCTAAACACAGCAACTCTTGCAAAAAAACCCGAAAAGCCCCAAAGTCGCCCCTGGAAATACCCTCGGGCCATCTCCGCCCGGCCGACATTCCGCCTGGATATGCCTTGAGGCGTCTTGCTTCGCCTGAAATTGTAGCAGCGCCCGCGGTGCAGATGCCTTCTCAAAGTGTTTCTAGCTGGATTTCCAGATGGAAATGGAGCAGGCCTCTTCAGCTGGAAATCCAGCTGGAAACACTTTGAACAGGCCAGGTGGGAAATGCATTGAAAAGCAAAAGGCGTCTGCAGCTGCATTTCCAGGCGGAAACGCGCTGCAGATGCCTCTTCCAAATGTTTCTCCAGCTGGAAATGCATTGAAAAGGCGTCTGCCGCCGTCTGGGGAACACCGCCGGCGGCCAAGCACCAGGTGAGCAGCTGCCCACCACCCTCCCCCGGCGCCCTCCCTCTGTTCGCGAAGGGAAAATCGCGCCCCAGCGCCAGGCGTGCAGGCGAGCAGCTGCCCTCACCACCCTTCCCCGGCGCCCTCCCTCTGTTCACGAAGAGACCGGCAGAGGGCGCCACCGTCCGCCGTCTCTGTCTCGGAGGAAGGGCGCGCGCGAGGGAAGCAGGCGGGGGCGAAACAGATTGCATGCGAGGTAACGCGGGGGGCGCCGTTGTTGTCCGGGGGTGCTGGGGGAGACTGGTGGGCCCCTGCGCCTAGAGGGCAATGAATGAATGCCCCGCCCCGGCTCCCTTCCTCCATCCACGCGCGCGGCAGGGGCCCCAGCGCGCGAGCGTCCGTTCTGCAAGGCTGCGCGCAGAAGAAGGGCGCGGGGGGCACCAAGGCGCAGAGGGGCGGGGCACGCAGGCAGGCGGCACGAACGGGCCACACCGCAAACGCGCGGGTGGGGCGTCACGCGCCAGCGCCTCGCATGGCGCGGACTGTTCGCCTGCTTCCTTCCCCCGTCCACTGGCGCCCGCCCGCTGCCGCGCTTTGCGTTGTTGCTTGGGCCTAAGGCTTGCCGCCACGCAAACGCGCACCCAGTACGAGCGGGGTCCTCGCGCTCGCACAACAAAAGGGAACCACGGGCGCCATGGCGCTCCTCCTTCGTTCTTTCAGCAAGAAGCGGCGCAGATGCCTGGCCCCGCCCTGCATCAAAAATTTTCTCCCTTACCCACCCTCTGGCGTTTTTCTTTCCACCCCGTCCACTCGTTCACCCTCCCACTGCGCGACATAAGTTGCGGCCTTGTAGCATGAACAGCAATAGTACAACAGACACCACCCCACGTGGAGTCCATGCATGACAAATTTGAGCGCCTAGCGTAGTAGTGTTTGAGCTTCCGGGATTTGTCATGCAAACAATGCCACAAGGAAGTGCCTCGATTTATTGGGGTTTTGCATGACAAATGACGGTGACCACGGGGAGTTGTGCACTGCCATAAAGCCAGACACTGTATTTGCGGAGCTCCCGCTGGAGGAGAAAATCGGCTTCAAAACCTCGAGGAGGTATGAACTGCAAAAGTATCGCACTCGTATAAATGCATTACAAATTTCCGCAGCATGAGAAGTAAAATTTGTAATGCAGATTCGCCTTGGGAACCAGATTTGTAATGCAGGACTCGCATTTATACGAGTACGATACTTTTGCACAGGATAGGAGGAGGTAGGGCACAATTTCGTTTCGGATTTTCGTGCCGGAGCAGGTCTTCATGATTTGCATTGCAGGAGATGCTCCTGCAGAAGTCGTCGACGCGACTCCTTTCGACCCCCCTTCTGGTATATTATTCTCCTGCATCAACAACAGAAGCCCTTGCCTCACGACGGAGACAAGCAAGTAGCAGACCCGCACGGCCAACATGGGCTTTTGCGAGTCCGCAAAAAGAATTTGCTTCCCGAGGTAGACTTTGGAAAAAAGCTTCACGAACGTCTCCAGAAGGCTTGTGGATTTTTGATTTTGTGTTGCATCGTCCGCAATAAAGTTGTGAAACCATTTCTGCTGTTCCAGCAGGGAAAAAATCCCCGAGACCGGGTGTGGCAGCGCCTTCTTGTGCGTGAAAACCGCGAAATTCCTCACCATTTGCTGGTGCGGGGTGTTCGGTGGCGGCTGCCAGGTCTTCAGTGGAACATAATTGGTGGATGACGAGGAACTACTACCTCCAGCACTACTGCTTTGCGTCTGTGTCGTCTTTATGCAGTTCACTTCCGGAACAGCCTGTTTCTTCTTGTACAGTTGCAGACTGCCTCTGATACCCGGTTGCCAGAGCCACGCCGCGCCGGAAAAATTCGTGGAGTAAGAATTTTTTCGCATAGAAGCACTTAGCAGCTTCGAAGATGAGCCATTGGGCGTTTGCGACCTACTGACCGGGGCTGTGCCTCCTGCGGATCCGGCGACGGAAGAAGATTGTAGTCCTGATCCACTGGTGGTACTACTAGAAGCAGTTCCTACACCTACAGCTGCGCTACTACCCCCGATGATATCGTTCAGCAAGTTGTCAATTTCGACCTCCATCTGCTCATCCAATTCGCAAACATTGGACTCGGAATCTTTTATCTCGGGCGTGTTTTTCAAAAGGGATTGGCTGATCGGGTACCACGGCTCCGCGACATCTGTGTAAAGTGTAGGTACGGAGCCCATGGAAATCAGGAGCAGCCACTGGATTTCGGCCTCTTTAGAAGTCCCGGCGAGCGTGGTCGTTGATGTCGTTGTGGACGATATTACACCAGAAGTTGCGGTTGACGTCACATGCTGGTGCGGTTGGTTCAGCGTGGTTAAACAGGCCAAGACCCCGTCTGCTAGAGCCTCTGGCAACACTGGTTGGGTCAAGAACGCCTTGGTTAAGCGCCACAGTAGCGCGAAGCAGGACTTCCGGAGGGAAGAGAACGGTAAAACGAACTCTCCCAGACACTTGAGACAGGTGTTTGCCGTTATCAACTGTAAAAGTGTCTGGGTCTGGAAGAATCCAACTTGTCATGCTGATTGTGGGTTCTAAAAAAACCTGTATTGCATGAACAGCAAACAGAGTCCAAGTTTAAGTTTTACTACACGGAAAGAGCATTTGTCATGCGGTATAGGCATCAGGAAGCCCTCACAAAATCTGTGATGCTAGGGCATGCATCACAGACATCAGGAGTCATGCAAAATGTGCATGACAAACCTGGCAATCTTCGAGACCCAGACATTTTTACATTTGATAGCCGTGCGCGCGTGGCTCTGCATGCGGTCCTCATCGATTTGGGAAAAGAGGTCGAGGGAAGATGATTTGGATAAAGACGATGTTGGAACTGCTGCTGCTGCGGCCGGGGTGCTCTGTAATATTCTCGCGGCAGAAGAACTTGAGTCCTCGTTCTTGCCCGGTATGTTGAGCTGGCCGCCAATGCCGCTGTTGCTCCGAGATGATCCAGCATTCGAATGCAGTCCTGCCGGGTTAATATTACCGCCGCTCAAGTCAGTGTAGAAATAGGAGTCCGAATCCTTATCGACTGTGATGTTGAATCCGCCACCGCCCCATGGGGGTTTCAGGCACTGCCAAATGGTGGAAATGTACTGCAGAGCGATTTCTGTCCAGCACTCCTGGAGGGGATTTAATATTTTGGTCTCACTTGCATTTGCAATGATTTTTTCCTGTCCGCCCCCGCCCTGCTGTTCGCCACTGTTGTATGAGCAGGACAACTATTGAGAGGAAAAATCCCCCCTCCCCATATCAAAACAAAAAGGCATGCTTTCGAAAATTTGTCTTGCTGATTTGAGACCACAAATCACGTCTGTCTTGCAAGAAGGCAAACGCAGAGGCTTCCGCGCCATTATGGAAGCGGTTTGGCATGCTGCTGGGCCTAGAGGACAGCCGTTTGCAACGCCAAGCACCTACACCCAAATGTCCCTCGTAGGCTGCGGATCTGGTTGCGATGCCGTGTTGCAAGACAGCGCGAATTTGTGTACGCAAATCCTGCATCACAGATTTCCCATTTGATATGGGGAGGGGGGATTTTTCACTTTGATAACAACAACACCTTCTTCATGCTCTGCATCGCCAACCCGACCGACTGGCCCCATTGCTTGCGTTGCGTGTTGCTGCTGTGATGTAGATCATTCATGTTCATCCCCGTAGATGATGAAGACGAGGTGCTCATCGCTTTCATGTGGGCGTTGGATTCTGTCTCGCACCTCAAATAAACGTCAACCAATCTTTGCAGCGTACTGAGCATCACGGTGAGTAGCTTCTTCAAAATTTTCAGTTCCTCCGCCTGTTCCTGCTTTTTGGTTTGGTTTTTCGTGATCATGCGGGCCAGAATGGGGTTCTTATTTCTCACGGAGGTCGAGGACGTGGCAGTTGAAGTAGTGGTGGTCGTTGTAGACGAAGATACAAGAGTCGAGGCTGAGGAAGTCTGCGCACCAGCTTGTCCTATCACCTCCACATCCTGTTCTGTGCTCCCACACAACGCGCCCGCGAGGGACTTCAGCGCGCAATCTCTCACTTCCCTTCTTGGGTCCAGGCAAGATATCTGGAGTTGCCGAAAGAGCTGCAACCAAATCCACTGGGCGTTGTTGCTGCCAGCAGTATAGGAGTTAGAAGTGTGCTGCTCGTTGGAGTTGTCAGCTGCGGGGGCGGCTGGGGCAGCAGCTGCGCCATCTGGACCGCTCCCAAACGCAGCAGTATTTTGACGCGAATGTTGAGAGCCACCACGACCACCTGTCGCTGCACTAGTGCCGTCTTCCGGGCTGGCATCGTCATCTTCGTTGTCATTCAGGTCCATCAAGAGATTCCCCCGCTGGGCACTAGGCGAAGTGGTCGAAGATGATGGCTTTAGAAAACGCGTTGTCGGGATCTCTATCCCGGTACCGCTTGACAGATCCGATCTGTCTTGCTCGCCTCGCATGACAGATGTCGTAGTTCTCGTGTCACTGCCTTGGCCTTCCTCCGAAATCTTCGCCAAAATGTCGGCACTTTCCCAGAGGTACTTAATCGCGGTGAAAGATACATTCACTGACAACTTCGTGCATCTCGCGAACGCGCCAACTGTCTGGATTAAGACCAACAGATCCACCTCTGCCCGGTCTCGGTCAGATGACTTTGATACAGCTGGTGTAGAAGTAGTTTTGGCGCCGGTCGCTGCAAAAGATGACGGGCCGGCAGGATTTATTTGTGCAGAGGTACTAGCGGAAGAAGGAAAGAAGATTTTTTCCCGAAAATCCTGCAAAATCAGCTCAATGATCCGGAACAACGTCGCAAATGTCGGGTCATTGGCATCAAAACTGGACTCACTGCTATTCATCCCGATGCCATCTCCTGTAATATGGCTGCCGGCTCCGCCAACCACGGAAAAAGTGGCAGGACTACTTGCAGCTGCGCCCATCATCATGTTACTATCCTGGCTGTGGATGCTTTGCATGTTCATGTTGAAGCAGTTATCAAGTGTAAAAATGTCTGGGTCTGGAAGATTTCTAGATTTGTCATGCATGTTTTGCATGACCCAGGATGCCTGTAATGCACGACCTAGCGTCACAGATTTTTAGAGCGCTTCCTCATGCCTATTCCGCATGACAAATGCCATCTCCGTGGAGCACAAAGTCTACTCCTCTTACTGGTCACGCAACACAAATCTTTTTCGAATCCAGAGACAGCATCACAAGTCTAGATTCTTCCAGACCCAGATATTTTTGCATTTGATAGCAGTTCATTTTCCGCAACTCCATCTCGAGTTTCGTCGCGCTGGCCAGAAATATGGGAGTGTCAGAGTTGAAATCGACAAAGTTGAAATGATTTGTCATGCATAAAATGCATGGCCCGAGTTACGTGTGTTGCAGAGCAGGCAAGTGAGGTCGATTGTAAGCCTGTTTGGGGTTATAGCTCGAGCTGCTAAAGTAGCATGAGAAAATCGCTCTTCTTTGCCTAGACAGCATGACACACTGGATTTAGGGACCGTCGAAATTTGTCATGCGCCACTTGAAAACTGGGTTCCAACTGGCATCCATTTTTATGCATAACAAATTACTTCAACTTTGACGATTTCAAACCTGACGCTTCCATAAGAAACTCGATGACTTTACTCCACGCGACAATGGTTAGATCCTCCCCGGCCGACTGCAAAACCGTTTCCAACGCCTCGACGACATACTGCCGCATCTCTCGGTCCGGAGACCGGAGAAGTGATCGGAGCGGGCGGAGCCAGTCGGAATTCCGAAAATTTTTCTCGACGGAATGAACCGTGGTTTTCGAAGCGGCTGGTGCAGTAGTAGAAGCTAGTCCACTACCTTTGTGGTTGTTCCCGAGGGATTCATCTTGGTTGGAAGATTGCTTTTGCTTTATTCCGGTCTTGTCTTGTCGACCGGGCGACTTGGCTTCATTGTCCAGGTCGAAATCGTATCAAATGTAAAAATGTCTGGGTCTGGAAGAATGCAAGATTTGTGATGCAGGTTTTCCATGACCCATGAGGTCTGGAATGCGAGACCCAGCATGACAGATTTTTTGAGGTCTCTATCATCCCTTTCCCGCATGAGAAACTCCCCCTCAACTTGGTCAAAAGCGGACAGCTTTTGGCACTCACGCAACACAGATTTTTGCATCATTCAGATTTAGCATGACAAGTTCCAACCTTCCAGACCCAGACATTTTTACACTTGATAAATCCCCCGGCGAAGTGGATTCCAGATACGCTGCAACGTCGGATGTTTTCCTCGCCGGGCTGTTATTGACAGAAAAAAAACCATCGATCCCCATCTTCCATTTTTCGCATGACAAACACAGGACATATATGCATGTTTCGCATGACAAATAACTCGATGGAAATTTGGGTGTTCGTGTTTTTTCCTGGAAGATAACTGTCCCGTGGTTTCGCTAAGCCACCGGCGATGATCAGGGCGAGGGAGTGGATGATCTGTTTCCGGAGAAGGTTTTTGTTCTGCTGGTTGGCCTTGGACCTGGAGGAAGTTGTGGTTGCGGTGTTGACAAGGGTTGAGTCTTCCACCACAGAAATATAGTCGAAAAACTTCTTCACCAACACATCCATCAGAACGGCGTTTGGAGTCGGCGGTGCTTCCTGCTGCACAACTTGTTGCGTTTGATCTCCTTCTCCTCCTGTGTGAGAACCCATTCCTCGTCCCATAGAATTCTGGACGATGCTGCACCTGTGGATGCGATGGACGTTCACGCCAATCAGGGTACTGAGCTGGGAGAGGAGAAACTGAAACATAGACGCATTGTTCTGTTGCTGTGGGTCTTTTGTCATACCGGATGTTGAACTGGTAGCTGAAGCGAGCTTTGCCTTGCTTTCCTCGAGAAACTCCGAAGCAACGCTAGCTGTAGTGCTGCTTCCCGGATGAAGATGAGCGCCAGTAGCACCAGACGCGCTGGTCAACACCGAAGAGGTAGATGACAAAGAAGACACACTCGGGCTTTCCGCAAGTAGGCTCGTCCCAGTATGGCGTTCTCAACTGTTACACCCTCAACTGCTACATGGCTTTGTGATGCAACAATGGCAACAGTCAAAGGGGCAAGGTTGCTGCTTTCGCATCACAGATTTGGCACAGATTTAGATGCTACTTAGCCTCTCGTCGGAGATTTGTCATGCGAAGCAGCTTGATCACGTGGCGGCTTAAGGTAGTCTCGCATGACAAATTCATGCAACAGTTGAGAATGTAACGTTTGAGAACTCCATACCCAGTCTCCAGCTTTATCACCTCTAAAAGGTACTCCAAGACCGCCACGACCTATGAAAGCCGCAGGTTGGAAGTCCTCAAAGTGAAAATTGCTATCTATTATATTCATGCGAAAAAAGAGGTCTACAGAGGATAGAAGAGAGGTGGCCGAGAGGTCAAAAAGAGGTGAAAAGAGGTCAAAAAGAGGTCCACAGAGGTGGAGAGGTGGCGCGGGAGGTCATTCGCGAGGGTGGCCGAGAGGTGGCGCGAGTATAGCCAGCCGAACCGGTCGCCCTAAAGCCGCGCCTATGGGGCACGGAGGTGGCCGAGAGGGTCCAGAGAGGGTAAGCGAGAGGGGGACAGAGGTGCCGAGAGGTTGCGCGAATAAGCGCGAACGTCTCGCGCACCCTCTGGGCCACCTCTCGACCACCTCTGTAGACCTCTACCGGCGAGTATAGCCGGACTGTTAGGCGCGCCCCTCGGAAGAGGTGAGACAGAGGGTCTGCGAGAGGGTTAAAAAAACCCGAATCCGCCCGGCACAGGGTCGATTTTTTGGGCCTTTTTCGTCGTGTAGGTTCGCACCGTCTCGCGCCAACCTCTCGCGCACCATCTCGCGCCACCCTGTCGCGCCACCCTCTCTGGCCACCCTCTCGCGCGTGATCACAAAGGGGCTTCGCGGCCCCCGTTCTGCCTCGGCAGGCACCTACGCCGAGGCGGCTTCGCTTCGCCCCCAAGTTTCGCTGCAGCTGCTCCCTGCGCATAGCGCCAGAAGGCGCGGGAAGCGCGCAGGAGGCCCAGCGGGTTGAGATGGCGCAATCCGGCGCCAGTATTTCCTTCGACCTATCACGCCGGGCGCAAAGCTCTGGCGCTGTGGCCCGATCCGCAAATCGTCCTGCCCCACCACAACAGCCGCTCGCCCCGGCGTCGGCCGGGGCATGGCTGGTAGTTTGTAATGCAAAAAAACGACTCCAGTTGGAGCACCATTTATAACTCCTATTGCTGAGCTGCGCGAGTTAAAACTTTGCGACGGGGAGGAAAATCGCCCGCGCCGGAAATTTTTTGACAATTTTGAAACTTTCCAAAGCTGTCGCGATTTGCGAAATCGCCCACCGCCCAACGGCCAACGGCAACCGGCCAAATCGCAAACGGCCAACGGCCAAATCGCAAACGGCCACCGGCCAACGGCCAAATCGCAAACGATCAACAGCCAACGGCCAACGTCCAGCGGCCAAATCGCAAACAGCCAACGGCCAAATCGCAAACGGCCAACGGCCAAATCGCAAACGGCCAACGGCCAAATCGCCAACGAACGGCCAACGGCCAACGGCCAAATCGCAAACG